GTTCCAAAAGGCATAGAGAAATCTAACGCTCTTAATAAAATTCGCATACAACATCCCTCCTCTTTTGGAAAGATGGGATGAGGACATGACTTATTTAGAGTATAGCTCAAATTGCTTAAAAGCATATTCATGATTAGAAGTGACAAATGGACTAATTATGAATCAATATTATTTAATTAAAAATAATCCTAAAAAAAAACTGCTTATATAGAAAAATTCTCTTATAGCACCTCCTTTATTCATAACAAAATTAAAAAGAAAGAAAACTCTTAATAATTATGAAATTAATCTCTGGTTTTTAATATTTTTCTCATAGATGATTAAGTCGTTATAACAAAAGGGATTTATTGAATCACCAAGTTCCACGACTCTATTATTATTTAATCAATATAGCATGTGAAGAGCATAATATTTGTGAAAAATTTGTATCACTACTTTTATGATCTCTATTTAATAAAGAACTCCATAAAGAAAAATTGATATAGAAAATACAATTTATATTTGACTCATCTCTACGAATTAGGGTATTTTCAAAATACCTCTAGAAACAAATTCAATGAAAGGGATTAAGTATCTTCATTTTATAATTATTTATATATTTTGATATTTTTTATGGGTTTATATGATGGTAAAATTAATTAATTACTCTATCATGCTTCTTCTTCACCCTCTCCTTCAGCAGTCTCAATTCCAACTTCTTCATAATCTTTTTCAAGAGCTGCTAAATCTTCTCTAGCCTCTGAAAATTCCCCTTCTTCCATTCCTTCTCCAACATACCAATGAACGAATGCTCTTTTTGCATACATAAGATCAAATTTATGATCTAACCTAGAAAACACTTCTGCAATGGCAGTTGAATTGGATATCATACAAACTGCTCTCATTACTTTAGCTAAATCTCCTCCCGGTACTACAGTTGGTGGTTAGTAATTGATACCAACTTTAAATCCAGTTGGGCACCAATCAACAAATTATATAGTTCTTTTAGTTTTTATTGTTGCAATTGCTGCATTTACATCTTTAGGAACAACATCTCCTCTATAAAGCATTGAACAAGCCATGTATTTGCCATGTCTTGGATCACATTTGGCCATCATATTTGCTGGTTCAAATGCTGAATTTGTAATTTCAGCAACTGATAATTATTCATGATATGCTTTTTCAGCAGAGATGATAGGTGCATAAGAACAAAGCATAAAATGAATTCTTGGATAAGGAACCAAATTTGTCTAGAACTCTGTAATATCAACATTTAAAGCCCCATCAAATCTTAAGGATGCAGTCAAAGATGAGATAACTTAGGCAATCAGCCTGTTTAAATTTGTGTATGTTGGTCTTTCAATATCTAAATTTCTTCTGCAAATATCATATATAGCTTCGTTATCTAACATAACGCATACATCTGTATGCTCCAATAAAGAATGTGTTGATAAAATTGAATTGTAAGGCTCTACAACAGCTGTAGAAATTTGGGGGGATGGATAAATAGTAAATCCTAATTTTGATTTTTTCCCATAGTCAACTGATAATCTTTCTAATAACAATGAACCAAGTCCAGATCCAGTTCCTCCTCCAACTGTATGAAATACTAAGAATCCCTATAGACCAGTGCAATTATCAGCCAATTTTCGAATCCTGTCCAAACACAAATCAACAATTTCTTTTCCAATTGTATAATGTCCTCTTGCAAAATTATTTGCAGCATCTTCCTTCCCTGAAATCAATTACTCGGGATGGAATAATTGTCTGTAAGTACCTGTTCTGACTTCATCAATTACTGTGGGTTCTAAATCCAAAAAAACAGATCTTGGAACATGTTTTCCTGCACCGGTTTCAGAAAAAAAGGTATTGAAAGCATCATCACCTCCTCCTATTGTTTTATCTGATGGCATTTATCCATCAGGTTGAATTCCATGTTCGAGGCAAAACAATTCCCAACAGGCATTTCCTACTTAAATACCTCCTTATCCTACGTGAATAGATATAACTTCTCTCATTTTCAAGTGTTTTATGATGTTAACTCTTAAAAAAATGATTATTCCTTTTCTGTTACCCTGGCTTTGAAACTGAGAAATCTTCAAGAAGGGGGTCGAAAATGTTATAAAAGAAATATTTTGAAAAAATGATAAATTAATAAAATTTTCTGCAGTTAAGAAAAATTATTAGAATTTACAAAGAAAACCGTTGTATATTTTCTAATTATAATAGTTGTCATTGATCTTAAAAATAAGTTAGTCTAAATTAATTGTTCCAAAAATAAATTAGAAACGTACCTCAATACCACAATATGGTGCAGACCATGAAATAGCATAAAAATTAATATATAATAACTAGTTTTTTTGTACACCTTCTTATTAAAATTCGAATGAATTATTATCAACATTACTAAAATAATTATTAATTTTAATGAGAGAAGTAAAGAATTTATATTGGTGTTTCGTTGATATCTAAAAGACATATATTAAATATCCTGAAAAAAGAGGCATTTTTTATAATTCTAATATCATTCAAGACATGCTTTTTCTGTGAATTTTTGGCAAAATCTAAAAAAGCAATATGAATTGAAACAAAAAGTAAAGTAATCTAATAGAGAAAGAATAAGAGATATATCTATTAAATTTTATATTTTATTAATCTTAGTATAGAAATTACATCAGAAATAACTTAACTAATAGAATCACAAAATTGCGACCTAAATAACTAAATAAAGCCTTATTGTTTTCTAATTTATTGAAAAGAAGAGCTTCATTATTTTATATATCAGTATACTCTATTTCTTAGATATTTAACTTTTTATTTATATTTCAGATAGATAAGTTTTAAATCAAAAAGATTCTTAAGCTTTCATTAATAATTAGGTCCCTTGTTCATCACTATAATTTTCAAACATGTGATTTGAACAAAAATAGAAGGAATACTAATTTAATATCAAAAAGTAAGTTAAAATAATCAGTTTCTCATTTAAGTTTTTGATTATTCTAGAAAAAGTATAATTTAATATTGAGTTAGATTAAAAAGCTTAAATATTAATAATTGATGAGCGGACTTTTCAAAAATTGTAAGATAGTTGTAATATTATAGAAATGAAGAAAGTAACATAAATTATCTTAAAACATCCCTTAATATGATTGTTAAACAAAAATTAAGCACAATTATAAAAATTAATTAAGATTAATATGCTCCCAAATCTCAGACTTGAGCTTAGTTAAACTCGTACGCTAAATTAAATAGAAATAAAACATTTTAGATCTAACTTTTAAGGAGGTTTCATAAAATAAGAGTTCTTGAGTTTAAATTTTGACATAATATTTATTTTCTTTATAATTCCTTCAATAAAAACTCTATATCTTAATGAAATTAAAGGAGAATGCATTTATAAAAATTTCTAATCCCAATATCAAACTTCAGCAAGTGTTTTCTTTGGAATTTATTCAAATCCTTTGGTGACTAATACATTTTTCTAATCTAAATTGTAATTCAAGATAAAATTCATCAAAATTCTGTTTACGATTTATTTTGAAAATTCAATTCAAACATAGGCAAACAATGCATTCCCCTCAAAAAATTAAAATACTGAATTTACTCAAATAAATCTCTTTTTCGTAAGTAATAATATACTATATGAGAATTAAAAATAGAGCATATTAAGGTTGTCAACTGTTTGAAAGACTATTAGAAATTTTAAGAGAAATATTATAAATCATGTAAATACGATGAAAAATCTGATTTATTTTGTTAATCGATTTATAAGCAAATCCTAAGAGTATTTTAGCATTTATAAATAAGAATTTATCTTTAATATTAACGAATATGGAGAATTTTAAACTTGAATAAATCGAAGATTATATGTAACAAATAGAAACATATTATTAGATCAGTTATGGAAATCAAGAAAGAAGATAGTAAAAAAAAGGGTTAACTAAAGTAAACTTAATAGTTGATTGAAAAGATTGATGATTTGAATTCTATTTCTATCATCTATAAATCCATAAAATAAGCTGAATAATACGATGCAGAAGTATAATTTCTAAAAAATTTAAGTTATAAATGGTAGAGTTTTAATAAAAACTATAACTTGAAGAATTTGATGAAGCTTGGGAAGATCTTTACAAAATTGAATAAGACAGAATTAAGGAAGCTGAAAATACTATCTACTCACTCCATTTGTATAATATTCTATAATCTTAGCAAGGAAATGGAATAATTATAAAAATAATTGCAGGAGTAATCTATTCCAAAAATTAAGTTTTCTTCAGATATCATTTAAAAATAAGCCTTGTATAATCAGTTATTCAGAGCTGGGCAGTATTATTAAATATGTATATAGTTATGCCGATGCAGATCTAGTTCAAAAAAAATTGTAAGAATAGATTGATATAGAAAATTAAAAATGGGAAAAATAACATGTTGAGAAAATAGAGAATAAGTTAAATTAATTAACCAAAAAATAAATTAATGAGTTACAAGTCCTAAAATAGAAACTTAATAGTTAGATCTAATAATTCATTATAAATAGAGATAATTAAAAACAATTATTAATAAATAAGTTGTAAATAATTAAAGTTGAGAAGGAACAAAAAATAAATTAAGATATTAGCAAGATGAATCAATAAGTTAACAAATTATTATAAAAATTGTCGCAGCAATAATGAACATTATTGATAAAATTTTAGAAATCAACTAATCATTTATTCTTATTTCACATTTCTTCTTTCATTATTATAATAAATTTTAGCTTTGATGCATATTTGAGTCTAGGTTCTTACATAAATTTGATTTTATTATTTTTCTCTTATGTCTATATTTTATATATCCTTTCTATTTTATGATTTGATTAATTCATATTTTTAAGTTTGTTAATTTCCTTATTTCTTTTATCTTACTTTAATTTTTCTTCTAATTAGAATTTTATTACCTACCTTCTTCAATTCACCTTATTTTCTTTGGAGATTCTCCTAATTACTTATCTGTAATCCATTATTTTATTTGACTTGGTTTCTTTAGGCATGTGATACCAAATATTGTCAATTTCTTTTTTTCAATGAAAAATTTTAAGACAGAGAATCTCTATGCACATTATGATTAAAAACAATAACTTTTGAATAATATTCATGACTCATATATAAATTATTGATTAAAGTAAAGGAAGATAAGGGAAAATGTACTATTTTTTTATATTTAGTGTTTAATAGAGTATTATATTGACTAGAGAATTAAAAGATAGGATGTAGTAAGATTTTCATATAAAACAATAAAACTGAAATTAAGGATCATATTAGGGGGTCAAAAAAATGGAATAGGATTAATAATAAAAAAATCCTAAAATTCTTGCTTGATGAATAAGTTTTTGCTTAGAAAAATTCTTAAAAAAAGTAGATGGTGAATTTCAAATTACAATGTCAAAGCCAGACAAATTAGAATTATTATTATTAGAAAAGTTACGGTAATATTACTTGATCACACAATAATTATATTAAGAAAGAAAATAATAATCATATCGTTTAATAGGTTAACAATAAATATGATTTCATTATTATTGTTGTAGCATATTTTCACTTTCTGAAACTTTACCCCAAAACTATTCTGCAATTTATGAAAGACTAATTTCATAAGAAATAATATTCTTAATCATGCAGTAATATTGATACTGCTTTTCCCCCTTAAATTTATCTATCTCTATATATCCAACAAGAACAGTTAGAATATCGCAGATAAATTAATAGCTCTCAATTTCCTTTCCTACATCAGCGATTTGCTATTAAAGCTTAGCAACATTGTCTTCCTTTTTTCCTGTAGTAAATAATGTTCTAATTGTAGTCTTCCCTGCTAAAACTTCTTATAATTGCAATTATAACTCTTTTTAACGCTATTCTGCATTTGCTTTCTATTATTCATATTTTTCTCTCTCTTCAAATGTCTCTAAAAATGCCTTTAATTTATGTCTATTCATTACCTTCAACTATTTACCCTCTTTTCTAACTTCTTAATATAGCTATTAAAATTTAGGATCTTTCAATAGGTCACACTAAATAATCGAAATATTGCATTACATACTAATTAATTAAGCCTTTGATTTCTTCATTTTGTATCAAATTTGCAAATATTAGTTTCTCTTTTTGTTCAGCATATTCTAACAAAACATTATTTTCATATTCTGGAACAAAGATTGTTATGAAATGAATTAAGGATGTTTAATGAGCTGATTTGGCTTCGGCGATATTTTTTGCAATTTACTTAAAATTTTAGACCATTGGCTAAATTTTCTTAATATATGCCTTGAAATCATTAATTTTCGAAATTATCTCTCGATTAATTTCTTTCTAGAAGTGAATAATTTTAATAGTTTACTCCAGATAATTCTGAGAATGATTCTTGATATTTATTGATAATTTCATCATTTGTTATTTTAGGAATAGATAACAAAGCCTTGTATGACGTCAAAAAATACTTTTTCAATTTCTCCAGGGGTTTTTAAGAAAATTTAAAATTCTTCTGAATACCATAAATATTTGAGAGTTGCTATTTTCTTTAAAAATTCTTCGAGCATCAACCTTCTTTCATCAATAAATTATTATTCCATATTACCCTATAAAGATTAATAATATTTTTACAAAGGCTTTTCTTGGAGGAACAGGTGGTATATAGCATCCTGGCCATTTTGTCAAAAGAAATGATCTGATTGTCTTAAAATCGCTAAATCTTCTCTAAACATCGAATTGTCCATTTTTATCCATTCCCTTCACAGTGTATACAATGTATTTATTTATTCCCGGTTATACTTTTGGATCGCAAACTTAGAGCACTATCTAACAGAAGAATTAACATCATACCTCAGTCTCATCAGATTAATCCATATTATTAAAAATAAGATATAAATATAATGAAGCCATAATTCTAATGTACTCTATTATATTCAAGATCAAATAAATTGCGATATAAGATCTGTAAATTTAAATATGAGATAATACTTAAGTTCAAGTTGCCAACCCATAGATTAATATATCATGATTCTTGTATTTTTATTTTTAATGGCGAATTCAAATTACTTCAAACATAAGACTTATAAGACTATACAAAATATATAGAAGAAAAGAAATTGTCATATTTAAGGTATTAGTATTCCAATTATTATATCTTTTGAAAAATTTCTGCACACCTTAATAGAAGAGACTAATATTTAGATTATGAATGTTAGATTTCTCATCAGTAATTTTTATATATTCTAATGATGCATTTGAAAGATGAGTTACTTTCTTAATGCTCTATATTCTGAAATGTTTATAATTTATAGGAAGATGGTATTTTAAGTATTAGATATAAATTATTAATAAAAGAAAAGAACAAAGCTCTCTCCAGATTTCATTAATTGGGTATTATTTTCTCTTCCTTCTTTTCATCTTCCCTTTTTTCTTCATCAATAAACACTTGATGCTTGCTTTCTTCATCACATTTTGTATTCTTTTCTCTAGGTCTTCCTCTACTCCCATAATGCTTATCACTCGGAATCTATGTACCCGTAGGAGGTTGGCCGTCATGTTTAATTCTAAAATTTCTAAATGAAATACTTCAAATGAGTATATAATGCAGGATAACTATAGTAACCACGTCCACATCCGCAAGTGTAAGGTCTCGGATTTTCATCATGCTTCGTACATCTCCTAATGCGCTTCTTTGCACTCGGCTGGTCCTGCTATTATGACATCTATATATATTTTATTTAATTTATTTTATATATGTAAATCTCACAATTATTTACTACATAAGTAACGCTCTTTATTTTATTTTACTCTCAAGTCTACCCTTCCAACAATTCTCTAATCCATTTTTGATTTTGATCTTAGCCTGTCTCTCGGATTTCACAAGCTTTTATTAATTTCCTTTGTTATTATATAATTTCAATTGTTTTTCTTGTTTTTTATCCTTCGATTATTACTCTCAGTTATTTAGAGTAATATGCTATTTATCTTTATTTTTTCTTCTTCAATTATAAATTTTATCCATAGAAATGATGATTACTATATCTCTCCTAACTTTTTTCACATTATTATTACTTTTTTCATACTTTTTTAAACAAAACCTTAGAATTAGGTTTAAAGGGATCTTCAAATTACCTTTTTATCTCCTTTCATTAATTGTATAATTTCATTATTGATTCATTTTATCGCCTAATTTTACTAATTGTATTTTAAACATAAATAAAAAAAATTATCATTTTATTTTCCATGCTTCTATCTCTCTAATGCTAAGCCTAGTATAGAAAGGTAACGAAACAGAGCTAGATAACTTGACATTTAATTATCTTAAGCAACTTAAACTCATTCCTTTTTCTTACAAAATATGAGGCAAAACTTCATAAGCAGCTGCCAATACATTTTATGTAATTTAATCTGGAGTTTATGCAACCCTTCCTATTTTGACAGTACTAAAATATCATGTCTAAATTACTATACAGGGCCATTTCCTTATATAAAATAAGTGGAGTTTGATAATTCGTTTAATGCCTCTTAGGTAATATTTTCACAATTAATTGGAAATGGTATTCTAAATATGAATATTCATTACTTTTTTCTATCCGTAGAAGATTTTTCCTAATCCTTTTGCCAAATTTCCATATATCTTTTAATCACAAAAGAATTGATCATATTGATAAAGTAGTTTTCTCTTATCTGTGTAAGTTGGGGTATTTTTTGTTCAATTTACTATATCCAATTACCTTTTAAATTAAAGGAATATCAAATTCGCAAATTTAATCTTTGAACTATCTTTAAGGATTTGTGCTTATTATACAGAATTTAGAATTCATTTCCTAATTGTAAATTGTATTTGGTAATTTTCTAATATTAATTTAACTCTTTTACATTTACACAGGCCTCAATGAATACCTGATCGGTTATTTGTTCAATACAATTTCTAAATAAATAAAGTCATCTTTGATGTCAAGGATATTTGCAGTATGAGTGGATTCTCTGTATTTCAATATAGCATTTATTGCCTTCTTAATTTGTTTTTAATCCAGGGTCACTAGTTTCCTTAATGATTGGCCTATTTTTATAATTCTAGTCTTTTTTATAGTCAAAACCTGCTCTTTGGTCTATTTCCTTTCCCCTTCTTCTTATTCAATATTTTTGCCCATAATTTATAATTATAATAATGTAATTAATTTAATGAGTAAAACAACGAATACTAGTCATTTGATAAACCAATGCTATTCATAGAGATTGGTATTGTGATATTGGAATAAGTCGCAGCTTGATCAAATCATTATTTATATTTTGATGTCAAATAATTGAAAACAATTATCATATAATTTAGTATTCTAGGTTTAATATCAGTTATTTAAATCATCAAAATAAGCATGTTTTAGGGCTTCCTCTGCAGTGATTCTAGCATAAGGATCATATGTTATCATTTTAGAAAGGAGATCTAATCCTAGTGGACATAAATTAGTAATATCTTTTCCTAACGTTGCAGCTGGATTAGTAGGGGTTGGCCATCTTGGGAAGGTACTCTTAAAGTCAGGTAAAGTGCTAACACCAGGCCAAGTAGATTCTTTAGGAGTGCCCATAATTTTAAATATCTTAAATAACTAATCTATTTCTGAATCTCCACAAAATAATGGTCTTTTTTGTGCCATTTCAGCAAAGATGCATCCCAATGACCAAATATCTACTGGTGTTGAGTATTATCTTTACCCAAGTAAAATCTCAGGGGCTCTATACCATAGGGTTATAACTTCATGGGTGTAAGTTTTTAAAGGTAAGCCAAATGCTCTAGCCAATCCGAAATCTGCGATTTAGGTATTTTATTATTTGATATCTACTAGGATATTTTATGGTTTTAAGTCTCTGTGAATGACTCTATTTTAATGACAATAGTTTAAGGCTTGTATCATTTAATTTATGAACTTCTTCACTTGCATTCTATCTAACTAAGGTACGCTCTCCATATATTTTTTTAGATCTAAATCTACAAAATCAAATATTAAATATAATCTTGATTCATCATAAACTACATCTTTCAGTGGAACAATATTTGGATGTTGAACCTTTCATGATTAATACAATTTTACTTCTTTTAATAATGAAATTTCTCTAATTGCAGTAGATGGAACACCTTCGTCTTCATGATCCATTCTTATTTTTTTTAATGCCACTATATCGCCAGTTTGATTATCTCTTGCTTTGTATACTAATCCATATGTTCCTTCTCCTATTTTTTCCAATTTTTAATATCTTTCTTCGCTTTATGCTAAATCCATAACTAACAGCTATTCGTTAATTTTAATAATTATATATTCCCTTATTTATTGAACTTTAATAGTTTTATTAGATAAATGAAGTGTTTATTCTTTGAATTTTATTAAACCAATAGCAAAGATCTTTTATTTTACTAGAAATAGATCTAAGGTTAAAACAATGTCCTTTAATAGGTTTTAAGTTAAAAAATATTTCAACTTTTCAGGAAACCCATGATGTGATGTGTGAATGCTTCAATCTGAAGCTAATTATAAGTGTTAAAGAAATAGGATTTTATAGCAGATGTATGCATTTTTAAAATCTATATTGTTTTATTAATAAAATAATGGATCAAATTTAGACAATAGCATAACGATTACGATATGCTCCTCCTAATTCAAGAACTTTAGCATTTTAATTTTAAAATACTGTGGCAACATCATTGGTGATAATTCCAGTCGAAAGATCTTCATTTCCTTCTCCAAAGAATTTCTTTCTGTAATAAAGCTTACCATCCTCGGTTGCAACTACGATGCATCTATAACAACATCCAATATTGGTGATTTTAGCGATTCCATCGGGTAGAGGAAATCTGAATAAATTAAATTATGAATCTACCTAGCTGGAGAATATTCAGCCTTACTACCAGACCAATAAACTTCATTGTTATCTAAGAGTACTGCTACAAGATCTTCTGCGACAACAAAATCTACGATCTTATTATCTCCAAATTTGTCTTTCAAAACCTGAGTTGGAAAATTGGCTGTCTCATATATTTCAACTCCAATCTCTATCTTGACGCCAATTTATCCAAAATCATTACTACCCCATCCATAGAGATTTCCATCACTCATCAAAGCCACTGAATAGTTATTGCAAGACTTTAATTTAACAATCGAAAGATTTTATTTTTTTTTTAAGTATCCCTCAAAGAACTCGTTTCTTTAGGGAATGTTGAAAGACTTATTATTTCCATCACCAAATACGCCATAATCACCTTTACCCCACACATATAACTCATTATTTTCATTTATGGCATTAGTGAATCTCAATCCTGATTGTATATATTTAATTTTCTTAAGTGACCTTAATGCCTTCACTGGAGTAGGTGTGTATCTATTTTTTGAATTGCCATGACCTAATGCTCCAACTTATAAAAATAATAAATCCATTAAAAAATTTTATTCTTTGCCTCCATATCCCCAAGTCCAAACATCTCCATCGTGAGTTAAAGCAACTGTATGATAATCCCCCAGTGCAACTTATTTCACTTTCAGATTATGTTTTGTAAAGAATTCAACCAATTGAGGTGTAATATAATCCTTATCTAATTTGCAATCAGATCAATACCGTTGTTATGTCCCAATTATCCACTATTACCAGTTCCCCACGTATAGAGCTCTCCCTCACTTGTGATTAAAGCCGAATGGTTTTAACCCATTTGGACTTATGCTACATTATTGTTAAATCCTTTAACTAATTAAGGCATCGAAACTCCTTTCATTTATTGTTGACTTCCTACTGCATAACCTAAACTTCCATTAGATGAGCCCCAGGTAAACAAAGAACCTGTACTAAACAAGTACCTTCTTACACTATTAAACATAAATTAATTATTATTTAATTAATTATGGTGAAGTATGAATAATTATTATAATATTAATTTTCTGAACATCTTAGTGTGGCCATGATGTATCTTAATTTATTATGATTTTAAAGGGCATTAATCATTAATTGGATATTGTTAAAAATATGATAAAAATATTACAAAAATTCAATAAAACACTCTTTCATTTCTCAAAAGAAGTATAGCTAAAGCAAAGTGAAACTTTGGGCAAAGGATTTTATCAATAGCAAATATTTACAGGATGCTTAGCTGAGTATGCTTATTATATTGAATCAAATAAGGAAGCAATAATTATTGATCCTCTTAGAGACATCTAGCCATATCTGTAAATATTGGATATATTTTTAGCAATATTGCAAAGGAGAGAGGAGCAAAAATAAAATATGTCTTATTAACACACTTTCATGCCGATTTCATAGCTGGGCATTTAAGTTTATAGAGAGAAACTGATGCTTAAATAATTATGGGTCCAAGGGCTACTGCTCCATTCATTAGCAAAGTGATGAATGACAATGAGTTTTTAAAGGTAGGAAAAGTTAAGATTCAAGCTCTTCATACTCCAGGTCACACTTAAGAATCAACTTGCTTTTTATTGTACGATGAGGAAGGAAAATAACATAGGTATACAAAATAATTAAATTATTTTAGCATTTATACAGGAGATACATTATTTTTGGGTGAAGTCGGAAGGCCTGATTTGGCAGTGAAGAGCGATGTTACTTAATACGACTTAGCCTCATTGCTCTATGCTTCTCTTAAATAAAAGATATTGGGATTGCCTGATGATGTTATTGTATTCCCTGGTCATGGGGCTGGTTCAGCTTGTGGAAAGAACATCTCAGCAGGTTATAGTTGCACTATTGGAAATCAAAAGAAAAACAATTATGCTTTACAAGAAATGGATTAAGAAACCTTTGTATAATTAGTAGCTAGTGATTTGCCTAAGCCACCTTAATATTTCTTTTATAATGCAGGCTTAAACAAAACTAATCAATTTTAAGATCTAAATTTGATATTGAAAAAAGCTAATACAAAATTGACTCCAGCAAAAGTTGTTTCAAAATAAGGAATACAAATAATTGATTCAAGAAATTCCATATCTGAAGGATTCATTCCAGGATCAATAAATGTGCCTCTCTAAATTCCATTTGCTCATTGGGTTGGGACACTCTTACCTCACGATAGAGAAATCGTTATTGTTTGTGACCCTGGAAATGAAGAATAAACAATCATGAGATTATCTAGAATTGGCTATGATAACATTGTTGGATATTTACATTTTGATGATTGGAAATAATCAGGAAATACAATCAACAAACCAACAGAGTTAGAAGTTTAAGATTTCTTGAAGAGAAGCAAACTTGCATAGATTGTTGATGTTAGAACCAAAGAAGAATGGGGTAGAGGTATTTTGAAACATGCACAACTAATTACTCTTAGTGAACTACCTTAAAATTTAGAGAAATTAGATAAGTTAAGAGATATTAGCATATATTGCGGGACTGGATAAAGAGCAAAAATAGCTCATACATTATTGGTTGCCAATGGATTTACAAGAGTTTAATATTGCAAAGTAGGATATGATGATATCATCAAGTGAATTTTTATATTTAATACAATGATAAAAATCTTTAAGTATGTTTATTCTGTTTTTATATAATAATCAGTTTCAGTTCGCAAACCCTCATTATTATCTGGCCTACGGTTTTTCTGGATTATTCTAAGTCAAATAGCTAGCAATGAATTCAATAGGGTTAGGAGGTCTTTATTAAATTATACAAACTCACCTCACTTTAGCGACTTCAGTCATCGCCTAAAGTAGGATTGGAACGACTGTTTAATCCAAATAATTTCTTATAGGAAGTTATTGCAATTGCTTCATTCTCTAGGGTAAATATAAAATCTTGATTACTTCGTCTTCGCTCGACATGTATTTTTTATTTGAAATTTAATTAATATCATTTATTTAATAAAAATGCAATTAGAAATACAACAAATCCAGCCATAGTTCCAAAACTTGAAAAATAATACGGGAAGGCTTAAACTAAATATCTACCATATTCATCATGTCTAAAGGGTCTTACGGTTATTTTTTCAGCTATTTTTAAAAATGTATATCCAGGTTTCAAATAATTGATTTTAAATTAAAATACACCATAAACATCTGGGATCTATCATAATTTGGATGGATAGATACTTTAACCGATAATTCATATTTTGATCCTTCTCCTTTTTTCAATGGAAGTCTGTAATATGGATCTAACATTACAAATTCTAGAATAACATCATTATCTGTTGAATTATAAGGTACCCATTAATCCTTTTAGTAATCCCATTCAGAGATGTCAATTGAAAAATAGCAATCCTCTCTCAATCTATAATTGTAAGGTTTAATATCATCAGAATCCAATCTTCTATGAATCAGATTTTCTGCCTTTAAAATCTTTGATTATCCAAAACCCCATCGAATGATTTCTTAAGCTAATTCAAAGTTTCCCAAATTGGAATCATTCACAAATTCATCGCTCAAGATTTCCCAAGACCCTGTTGCCACAAATCTTGCATTATTTCTCCCTTAAGTTGCTCCAACATAAATAATATTATGACTAAGATTGGGACCTGAAAATGCTGTTTCTGACCCTCTCACTAAACCATAAACTTAAAATGTTTCATATGGTGTCATTGTTAATCCTGCTCCTTAATGAGCTACTGGTTTATCTACTTTAAGGATATTCACATTGTTTGTAGTAACAACATTTTGATTCCCTTTGATATTATTGAAATAATCAACTACAGAAGACCCCTAAAAATATAGCTTTTGATTTTACATAGTCATGCATGTCTAAACCAAAACTATTTAAAAACTTTCTAAAGTATTTAGATTGGTCTGTTGATCCCAATAATAAAATATTTCTACCAGAGTCATAAAAGTCCAATAATTCTTAGGTGCTTACTTTCAAATCGTTTGTAGTGCTGAACAACACAAGATGATCATATTGCCACTCTCCAAACAACTACAAATTGAAGGTATTTGATTAGATGTTTTTATAATCAACCCTGTATGACTTACTCAACAAATTAAAAAATTAAGAATGTGAAACATAGACTGCAGGATTATCAGATAGCACTAACACTTTCTTTTGGTTGTATGGAGTCCCTGCCAATACTACACCAAGTATTAAAATTAAAAATTTAATCATAATTAATTAAAAACCTTCATTCAATATCTTAATGTACATTAAGCTTATTTATTTCATCAAATAGTTCCTCGAATACCCAAGATTGAGACTCAGAAATTGCTTAGATGGAAGATAATTATTCTTCAACTTCTAAAGCCTCATTTTCCATATGTTCAACATGTTATTGATTATCCTAGATTTTACTTTTCTATTTGGTTCTTCGTTTCTTTAACCCTTTTTCTGTATGATTTTAGATGTATTTTTCTCCTACCTCACTAACTATCACTTTACGGATTTTATTGCATAAAATTTCAATCGAGTTTGAATCTTCTTGATTTTATTATGAGACTTTCCTTTTAGATAGCATCTTACTAATATTAATTATAAATTAATAAATTATAATAGATTACGATTATGCTCAAATCAATCTTATTGATATCTAAAATAATTTTAAATTATAATAAAAATTAATCACAAACACAGAGACAATCCTCAATATATCTGTAATATCTTTGAATAATTGTTTAGTATATCTACACTACTCTAAGAAAATTGAACTTCCTACTTACAAATTCTTATCCCTTAGGAGACAGGATATTTAAGTAAAGTCTCGTTAAATTCTTTTATTTTGGCACTAAAATAGTTATTTAAATTATTACATTGTTAGCGATTTATCAAGATCTTTTTTCTCTTAAATTAAATACAAAATTTAGCAGAAAACCATCTTCATTAAATGCACTTACTTATTATCTAATAAACATTTCGATAGTTCACGCACATTTATATTGACTAACATAGAATTAATTTCATTTAATGAGATTTAATCTTATCTGATTAATGCAGAAGTTAATTAAAATATCTCAATCAATTAAAATCTATGCAAGTAATAATATTATTTAAAAGTCTTTGCTAAACTCTTTATTTTAGGATGTAATATCTCTAAATTTCTAGCTAAATGCTATCCTTTATCCTATTTGACACCTAACTATGAAATATAATATTAATTGACTATGAAGCTAGCTATTATCAAAACAAATTAGGTTTCATGATATAAATAGATAGCTGTTTCTATCAGAGTTTCTTAGTTTTAATTAAGCAATAGTCTGATATAATTGCTCATTTCATCTAATTTCAAAAATATTGCAGTTTAGCAGTCACTGATTTAATTTTTTGTTGAGGCCATAGCCAATTATTATTATAAATCTTTCAGAGCAGAGTGCAAGTTTTTTTCAAAATGCTGATGAACCATTTCATTTATGATTTTAAGTAATTGATAAAGTCCAAAAATGCTTTCCAAGTTCTCCTTTGTGGTTTTATCGCTCAATACTTAAGAGACATGATTGCTTCTTTACAGTAAATTTGCAATAGACTCAGTATTATATTCAGCAACACTTAAAATCAAACAAGAAATAAGAGGATATTTGTTCTAAGTATAATTTACAATATTGTCGATTATCCATTTAGTTTATTTTTCAATATCTTAATTAATTTGTGATTTGATGTTAAGGGTTGTAATCACTGAATTTAAAATGAAATATTCAATTTGTGAAAGGCACTAATTTTGAATTTTGTATAATTCATTCAAAATGTAATCATACCTTTGTAAAAAGAGATTAGTTCTTAGGCAAACAGATGTTTAAGGTATGACCTCATGTAATTCTGCCAAAGTCCAATGAGGAAATGATTTTTTTGATTCATACTCTTATCTTTCATATTAAATATAATTTTCGGAGACGTGAGCCGTTTTCAAAATCATCCAAAAGAAAAAGTCCTTATCTTTTTGGAACTTGGTTTCCTCAAAAACATCATATGCTTCACTTACATCCATTAATAACCAATAACATTATTGCAATATGATATCACAACATTATTACCTATATTTCTCTTCAACATCATTTTGATTGATGACTTTTTTTTAATATGTAATTAGGTTAACCAAATCAAAGAAGCTTAAGAATTATTAGGCAAAATTCTAATCGTTAGAAATGAGTGTTTAGAGTATTTTCTCTGCTTCGTTTATTTTTCCGCATCTCATCAATACAAGGAGAATACCACTTGGATAAAACTATCCAACTTAATATATTTCATTGTCATGCAAATACGGAAGATAATATTCTTTAAATTTTCTATTTAAATTTTACAAGTCAATATGTCCAATTTATTTAAGCATATCATTTTCTAGATGAGTTACAGTGTTTCTGATAATTTTTTCGCTAAGATAAATTCATAAAGGTATACCAAATATCCTCATGAGTTTTATTTTGTGTTATGTCTTTGAATTGATCTGCCAACAATTTCATTTCCACTTTGTGAGGGGTTTCGAAATTTTCCAAGGTTCTAAATAGTTTCTCATAAATCAAAGGATTTTTTTTGTTCTTATTAAATTCTTACAGAACCTAATATAAATGATGATCAATAAATAGCTTTTCTAAAATGACCTCATTATATTAATTAAGTTGAAATTCATTCGTCACCAGTCTTTCTATTCTATGGGATGTTTTTAGGATATCAACTAATTTAGTTCTTTGTCGACATCTGCTTTTCTATTCAATATTACTGAATGAGTTGAATGTCTATCTGATAATATAGAACTTTTTACTTGCTTGTTTTTGAAGTGGTCTTGGGATATTTGCGAATAATTTTTGTAATCTTAAATTTTGATGTTAGAATTATAATGCGAATGTCTTATTTTGATATCCTAATTTACTTTTTCAGTTAATCTTTTGATATGGTCACTCATATAATCCACATTATTAATTTATAAATTGAATTTCTTAAATAACTAATCTACTTTTGTTCCCATTTCGTCAATTAGATAGCCTAGGTAGTAAATTGGTGCAAATTACATTGAGTCTTTTTGATTGGAATTAGACAATCAAACCGCTTACTCATTCTATTGAGCATGTAGTTGGTTGAGATTGATATTGTTAAAATAGTTTTCTCATTTATCTCTTTAATTTTATCTGCTTCAATTGTGTCTTGAGAAATCGATTTGAGATTCAACTAATTAGACCCAATGTTAGTTAAGGCATTTTTCAGCTGTAATCCCTCTCGATAACTACTTTAAAGCATTTATTTTTAATTGTTTTAATTAATCAAATTCACTATCATTATTTAATTATTTTATAAAACAATACTTAATATTTTATTTTATTATAAATGCATTCATAAATCTCACTATCAGAAATGTTCAGAAGTTATGAGCAAGACTATAAGGCTCATATGGAATCAGTTATGTTGGATCTCTTGAAAATGAGTAAGGATAGAAGGGATGAAGCAGATAAAAGTTTCTCCAAAGTATCTGATGAACTTCAATAGACAGAATAATGCGTAATTTATTTCTATATAGATTGCAGATCAAATAAATGGAGTTGGAAGCCTCCACTCTGCCTGGTAGTTATAAAAAGGAATTGATGGAAACAATTAAGTAATATAAAAGGGATATGGCAAAAGTGGAGAAGGATTTTAAATAATTATAGTTGGATCAATAAGAAGACTCAAGCAGAGAAAAATTGTTTAATGACAGATAAATCAATCAAGCCTTGCTAAAATAAGAAGATCGTTTAATTCGACAAACTTTAGAATTAGAAGCAGCCAAAAGAACTGCTTATTTGACTGAATAATAGGCAAATCAAATCTCGCTCAATCTTCATTCTTAATCAATGACTTTAGATAATTCAATTAGGAAGACGTAATATATCAGAGAGGACTTGGGAGAATCTAATAATTTAGTGAAAATTATGAAAAATAGAATAATGAAAAGAAAGTTTATAGTCTACGGAGTTTTTGGTTTCCTAGGTCTATGTTTAGCAATTGCCATAATGAGTTGGTTTATTTGATTAAGAATTCAGTTTTAAAGTTTAATTATTATTATTAATTGAAAACTAAATGGCGGAAATCTTAGGGGACTTATTAAAACAAAAAAGAGACAACTTTCGAGTCGAATTAAGGAGAAAGGCAACTGAAGAACTCTTCAAACAAAAAAGAAGAACTTATACGAATAATGTGTAAACTTAATTGACGGATGAAATAATCAATATTTGGTAAATGAATTTAGTGAACTAAAATTATGAGGAAACCCTCAATGAAATAGGATTATATTTAAGTAATTCAACCGTTGAAGTATTAGAACTCATCTAATAATTAGTATAATTTAAAATTAATTAATAAACATGAAGTATATTCCTTATTACTAAACATTTGGAATAAGCAGGAATTGAACTATCATATAATTGAACAATTACTTAAGATATTCGCAAATTTACATTCCCATAATGTATTTGATGATTTGAAACTATTGCAAAATGAATAGCTAATGAGAAAATTGTTTTAGTTATTGGAAATGACTTCATATCAAAAAATTCAATCTCTAATCTTCTTCTTATTAGCAAATCTCACTGGAAATGATAATGGAGTCAAAGCTAGATAATTGGCAGATTATGAATTTTGTACTCTTCTCAAGAAAATGTGGATTAATAGGCAAATTTCCTTTGAAGTATTATATTATTAGTAAATTTTGAGATTGAAAATATTAGATAATTCTGTTGGTTTTTAAAAAACTTTTTCTCCTATGATTCAAAAAATGTGGCTGGTTTTACATTAAGAGAAGTATATTGTGATTGATTTATTAAGGTCAAAGATCTTTTGCCAATTGTATTAGAATGCATTGATTAAAATGATAAGGAAATAAAATTCTATTCCTTATTGACTCTCAAGTATATGTGTTAAGCTAAAGAAGAAATACTTGCAGACATTTTTAATAAACTGAAAATGTTCAATAAATTAATCGATATGTAGAGGAAAAGTAATGATGAGGAGATTTAATTAAAAATACTTGACATTATAGCCTCTTTTGCTATGGCAGATGATTAGATAACGACTTAATTAGTGAATGAGTTCAAAATCTTGGACTTCTTCTTATAAATCTATATCTAACCAGGTAGAAGCAAGTAGATGGAATTCAAAAAAATAATCTTATGGGGATTAAACAACTTGTGTTGTAATTAAAAATTTGAAGTATTACAAACCATAGTGCAACATGATCTAATCTAATTTATGCAAAAGGATGAAAATGAAACAGAAATTATCAAAGATGTCTTAGAAGTTATTATAAGCGTTTCTTAATTAAAAAACACAGATTTATTAAAGTACTTTTTAATGAGAGGTAAAATTGCGGATATAGTGATGAATTAATTGAAGCTCAAAACATCAAAAATTGTTATGTTAATGTGTTTGAAAATAATACATAACTTTGCTTTTCAAATAGGAAAGCATTCACAATACGATTTGAATATGGCGGTAGAATTGTTTATTTCCAAAGGCTTAGACAAACTACTTAATTAATTAGAATTTGATCCAGATAATGATATCAGTCTATTTGCATAAAAATTAACTGAGACTTTCCTTTAATGAATTGATATAATTAATTTATTGACATTTATTATTATTGAATTTATGCACAAAATTCATTCGTCTTTGTAATACGATTCCTTCAATGTTGGGATTGTATGAAAATTCTACCAGGTGAACTCAACATCGCATTTTGATTGCCACACATAGAATGAAAACAATCCTACTGTTGTATGCCACATTCCATGATAAAATCTTAAATAATCCTAATACTCATCTTGGGATAAACTAAAAAACACTATGGCTGCCAATAAGATAAGCAATCCTTTTTTCATCTTAATAAATATTTGAGATTAGTACTTTCTATTTATTCAATTTTGGCAATCTTCTTCTTTTGATAATCAAAAAGATGCAAATAAATAATTGCATTAAAATAGGTCCCACAGTATAATTTAAATCCCATGGAGATTTGGCTTATGCTATGAAAGTAACAAAAAGTCCAAAATAATTTAACATTGTTTCAAGATGTAAATTTTACAAATCGCTCAATTAGGTAAATAACATCTAAAAACAAACAATTGATCCAACATTATCTAATCGATGCCAACCTCCTTCTTCAATTATGAAATACTTGCAATCAACACTCTCTAATGTGTGATACATGAAACTTGTAATCAAGGTAAATATGGAGATATAAAATTAGAAATCCATTCTTTGCTTCCTGATAATGATAATCGCTGGAATCACCACGAAATTAGTAATTCCTGTAATTAAAACCATCATAAACATTTCAAATTAGTTGTACCCATATTTAGAATGCACAACATTTTATATATCTGTCATTAAGTAATTAATTCATTTATTATAAAAGCTATTTGAATTCTTATCAATCAGAATACTAAATGCATTTTCTAATTAAATTTCATTAAATTATATCATATTGAGGTACTTCTTATAGACAAATCACATCAAAACCTCATCAAATTTTTTGAGTGTAAAATATATTAGTTTAGATTAAGGATAATATTTAAGATCATTTGAATTCTACACAATAACATTGAAATCTGGAAAATACACAAAATGAAAAATACTATACGCTCCTTTGAATTGACCTTTAATAATAATTAGAGATTAATTAAAAAATAAATTAATTTTTAAAAACATGATGAAAGTACAAATTAAGACCTATAGTAGATAGAAGAAGTGAAATCGACAACAAAAACCCAACGAATAGCACATCATAGTCATATCAAAGGATTGGGATTATAGGAGGATGGTACTGCTTTGGAAAATGCATCTGGAATGGTTGGATAATAAATAGCCAGAGAAGTAATATTAAAGTAGTAATATTTATAGGCTGCAGGAATATTTGTCGATTTAGTCAAATCTAAAAAGCTAGCAGGAAGAGCATTGTTAATGGCTGGACCTCCGGGCACAGGAAAAACTGCAATTGCTTTGGCAGTGGCATAAGAATTAGGATCGAAAGTTCCATTCTATCCAATGGTGGGTTCAGAGGTTTATTCAGCTGAAGTGAAAAAGACAGAAATACTAATGGAGAATTTTAGGAGAGCAATTGGTTTAAGAATTAAGGAAACTAAAGAAGTTTGGGAGGGTGAAGTTACAGATTTGAAAACGGAAGAAAAAGATGATCAAACTGGGTAATTGCATATTTAAATGATAACATAGATATGGTAAAGTTGTATCAGCCGTAGTAATTACACTAAAAACATCTAAGGGATCAAAAACATTGAAACTAGATCCCTCAATCCATGAAAACTTAACAAGAGAAAAAGTAACCATTGGAGATGTTATCTATATTGAAGCCAATAGTGGTAATGTTAAAAGAGTAGGCAGATGCGACATCTACAATAGTGAATATGATTTAGAGGCAGAAGAGTATGTTCCATTACCCAAAGGCGATGTACATAAAAAGAAAGAAATTGTTTAAGATGTTACATTACATGATTTGGATGTAGCAAATGCTAAACCATAAGGAGGTCATGATTTTGTTTCATTAATGAATCAATTGAATAAAAAAAAGAAAACTGATATCACTGACAAGTTGAGAGGTGAAATCAACAAGGTTGTGAGCAAATATATTGATTAAGGAGTGGCTGAATTAGTCCCAGGAGTTTTATTTATAGATGAATGTCACATGCTTGATATAGAGGCATTTACATTCTTAAATAGAGCTTTGGAGTCTACTTTAGCCCCAATTGTTATTTTGGCTACCAATAGAGGTCAATCTTAAATCAGAGGAACAGATATTGTGAGTCCTCATGGATTACCAGTTGATTTGTTAGACAGGTAATTTTATTTAAATATTATCATTTCAGATTGCTAATTATTAGAACTACTCCATATAATCTAGAAGATATTATCAAAATATTGGCTATTAGAGCTTAAACTGAAGGCATAAAAATTTCCGAAGATGCTTTATAAGATCTCAGTTCAATAGGTAATGAAGCTTCCCTAAGGTATCTATATGGTCTATTTCAAAACTAGATTTGCTATTCTTTTACTCACACCAGCAAATATATTAGCTTAGACTTCGGGAAGGGAGGAAATTGGAAGACAAGACATTCAAGAAGTACATGAATTGTTCTTACATGCTAAATAAAGTTCAAAAGTGCTGGAGCAACAAGCTGATAAATACATTAGTTGATGAGTATTATAAGATAATATAATAAATCGATTTGGTCTTACTTTTTATATATTTGTTATAAAATTTTTTTGGTGTTTATATTGTAATAATTATGGAAATGCAAAATTGAATCATAAATATTTGCTTAATCCAAATTAATCTTTAAGGCTCAAGTATTCATTTCTTATGTTGACTCCAATTTGTCCAATTGCATTTTATGTACCATTATAAAGTGCACAATTATCAAAGACCAATAACATGTCTGCATGAAATTCTCTGCAAGATTTGTAAGCATTTACATTCAATTTATTCTGAATATAAGTTGATTATTACTTTTATTGTTCCGAAATCCATGGGTCTTTTAACAATTTCAAAATAATCACTAATATGATATTCTTTTTGATCAACTGGTTTATGGAAGAAGTATGCGCCTTTTGACTTCCATATTTAAGCTAATTATTTAATACAGTTGTACATACCAATTAATCTTTTGGCTAATTTCTCCCAAGTTTCATCTTCTTTGCATTAATTAATCATATTTTCATCAATGATATCATCAGCATTTAAAATCAATTGAGCAATTTCTGGATATTATCTTTGGAACCTTGAAAAATCTTCATTTGTTAATTCTCTTTATTATCCTGTATCATCAGTATGTAAAATTTTGTATTATTATTTTGGTACATCTTTTTGTTTTTTTTTAATTTGCTTTTATTATTCAGTAACTTTGACAACTTCCTCCTTTTTTTAGTGAACATCTTCCTTTTGTTTTGTCATGCTTGCAGTAATTAAGTCTATCACCTCCTTTTTCTAAGATTACTTTGCAAAATAAAGCGCAGTTTTTTTTTTATTATCTTAATGATTAACTGGACATCCAGCCTAAGATCAGATGCTAATCTTACCTCTATCAATAATCTACAAGCTTCAAAGTGTCCTTTGCTTGCCGCATAAAATAAAGCTGTTTGACAAGATAATGTATCCAAATGAGCCACATCAGCACCCAATCTTATAAATCTATATAGGTTTTTTCTTATATTTACTTTTAAATTATATCAACCCTGTTTTCTCTTGATGCATAAAACAATGGAGTTTATCCATAGGAATCAGGATCCGATATATTTATTCCTTAGGATATCAAATAATCAAACAATTTAGTTTTACCATCTCTGCAAACATAAAATATGATTGATTATTTTAGATTATCTTTATAGTTAACATTTGCCCCCAACTCACATAATAGTTTTAGTAATTGTAATGAAACTTCCTCATCTGACCCTTAAATTGCGATAAACGTAGATATTTATCTTGTTTATGGATCTATTCTGTTTACTAAATCTACTTCTTTTTAATATTTATCTAGGATTAAATATGTTATTGCATACTTAAGATATGCTTTACTTTTTCAATGTGTTATAAATGTAAAGCTTACTTAAATTCTCCTTGAATTGCATAAATTTATTCAGATGTCAATTTTTCAATAGGGATTTCTTATTCAACAGGTTGAAGTAATTATTGGAACTAATTAATGTCTATATAGTTAATCATCTCACCTATTTCAGATTTGATTTAAGAGACTATTGACTGTATTTATGAGTCATTATAATTTAAACTTCGCAATATGTTTTCAACCTAGATTGAATTTACTCTATCATTATTTGCCTCCATTCTAAATCTGGTTAGAGCAGTTTATAGATAATTTTATGAAATCATAATTATTAAATTAAATAATAAATGAAATTCTCAGAAAAATCAACTTAAATTACAAGTATTTGATGCTTAACATTGTACAAAATTTGTTGCTCTTCCAATCGATATAAAAATATAGAAATTAAATATATATTTGTTTTTCAATAGATTATACTAATCAATGTTTTTTTGCATATTTTTATGTGAATTCTCTTGCCTTCATTAAAGCTTAACCTTCATTAGCTTTCCATAAATTAGCTGCTTCATTATTTAATGGATCATCCTTAATATTATTTATGACAAATCATACTGGGTTTGGTGAGCTCAACAACACCTGAATTGATAGCAAAATAGATCTGATTTATAATGCTGGTGACCATTTATCTTTTAAGACATCCAAGCAAATTCTTCCCAAATTATCAATATTTGGATGATAAATCTTAGTATTGAAAACACATTTGGGTGGGGACTAATTAAGTCAATTTTAAGTAATTTTACCATGGGATAATCATCAGGTAAAAGCAATTCAACATCAAAAACACCTCCTTCATATGGTGTATTAGGAGGTCCTGATATTATGACAAAGAAATGTTTGAAATTTTGTGGATCTGGAGTCACATCAATTCCTTACACTTTATCTTTGGCTAAGTTTTATGTCTCTTTGATAATTCTTGGAGTGGGTTAAGCCATAAATTGTTGAAATTATATTTATATTAATATTTAATATTTGTATGATAAATAATATTTATACTCATATTCAATGAACATATTCAATAATTAAATCAAATGTCGTCAGGATTGTTGCGTTCAAGAATTAAATATGTTAATACTATCAGAAATGATTGATTTCATTGTGAATATTTGAAAAATAGTTAATTTCATTTTAAATGTTCTTCTACTCTAAGAAGTGAGTTTGATGTAATTTATTATTGTTTAACCTATTGCGACCATAAATTAAGATATATTATCCCCCTTATAGAGGATAATCATTTAAATAAAATACCTAGTTTCAAAAGAAAATTATAATATATTATATTCAATTTTAGGAGATTCTAAATAATATAGGTGGGCAAACAGTTCAAATTAGAAAGGTGATTATTTTAAATTTCATTTTAAACAAGTCTATTTTCAATATCATATATTTTGGAGTTTTAATTAACTCCAAAGATTATAAGAAAAAATAATTTAATTAGTTTAATATTATAAACTCAACTAATATCTACTCTAGCATTTTTTATGTTGGATATTTTATAAAACAATAATTTTACCTTACAATTTATGAATCAACCAAAAAAGTTATATAATATATATTGAAATTATTAAGAATATATATTCCCAATATCAAAATTATATTGAGTGTCTCATTCTTTTTATATTATTTATCATTTTTCTAATCAAATTCTTCATATTTTTAAAAGTATAATTCTGTGTGTAATTATGGTTAAATATATCAAATAGCAAATAAAATGCATATAATGTTGGGTTATTTCTTTCCACATAGTTTTCTAACTGAAAATATAAAATTTCATTGTAATCCTATTACTCACCTCTAGCGATTACACTCAAAGAATAATCCTATACTACCTTTATTGAAATACAATAAATTATGATAATAAAAGATTAAAAATTTGAAAAAAGCTGAGAAATTAAGCCTTCAGTTTTATAATATTTAGGATATATGACTTAAAATATAATATATTAATAAATTTATTAGTAAATTAAAATGTTCAATAATTAAATGTAACAACCAAACCCATAATATGGGCCTATGACAACTTAGTTTCCTTAAAATTAAAATAGAAATCCTTAATAGCCTTCTTTAGCCCCAAATTAGAAATAAATCTACCCATAGATGGTATTATTGTTGACTTATAAAATTTAAATAGATCCCTCCTTAATAACCTTAAACCGTTCCTTAAATGCCAAATAACATTCCTCCTCAACCTATGAATTAATCTCAGTAATAAATTAGGCCTAATGTCATTTCAAATAGAATCATACCACAACAAGTAAAATATCCTGATCTTATGCTGCTAGGAACCTCTTAGATCAATTAGAAATTAGGTGTAACCATTTTAATAGTCCCCATAATAATTTATTAATAATGATATCCCATAGTCGATTAGAAACTAAAATACTTAATCCCCTTAAGGTCCAGCATCGCAAAAAAGCAATGTCAACCTTTCTGGATAAAAACCTGCATTTGTTGAGTATTTCCCACCAGTCTATGTTCCTCATATTGAGCCAATGATTACATAAACAGTGGTTGACAATCCCATTAAAGTGGTGGACTTAAACAAATTTGAAGAAATGTGGCAGAAGCGAATGCAAGGAATCGAAGAATTATTAGCAGCAAAACAATAACCTGTAGAACCTGAACCATTAGAATTAAGGGCAGTGTAAAATGATGATAGTGAAAGAGTGATAGAGCTAGAAAATGAGCTGTTTAGAACAAAATCATAATTAGACGATCGTGATAAAGAAATCATGGATCTGAAATCTTAGCTGTAATCTGCAATTGAACAATTGGATTTCGAAAATTGTAATTACATAATCTATAAATTTAGAATAAAGTAAGAACTAAGCTTCAAAGTTAATATCTGAATTATAAACGAAAATAAGTAATCTTTAGTCAACAATAGTCAATCTTTAACTTGAACTCAAGCAATCTGATTAAAATTTGGAAAAATGTAAAATAGACAATTTGTAATTGAAAAATGATGTCTAAAATTATAATATGTAATGCTAAATAAAGGATGAGACAATCCAGAAATTGAACCAGTAAATAAAATAATTAAATTTGGAACTATGTATATTATTTAATTTAATAATTTTTAGAACAAAGTAGGAATGGATCTTCTGCTCAAACAACTGAACTATCAATGCAAATAAACACACTCTAATAAACCATTTCTAATTTAAAAAATGATTTGTTATTGAATTCTTAATTAATTGAAAAATTACAAAGAGAAAATGGATAATTAAGATCTGACATCTAAAGTTATATTGATAAATGCAATGATAAGGATGAATATATTGCAAAATTGGAGTAAGAAATATCCGAATTAAACTAACATGTAGATTCATTGACTGAAGAAATCACAACAACTCAATCAATAAAAACCTTTGAAGAGGAAGCAAAAATTTGGAAGAAAAAGTTCAAAGAGCTGAATGATATTTATCATGCATGCTAGGAGAAACTTATGGTAAAGGAAGCAGAATATGAATCATTATAGAAATAATAAAGTTCATAAAGAATAGTGACATAAACTACAGTAGTCAAATCAAATAGTTCCAGATAAGTTAAGAATGTAATATTTAACAATATCATTTTAGGATTCTGATTACATTTCAAGCAGTCTAACTTAAAATGATATTGAAAAATTGCAAAATTTGTAAAAACCATTATAATTGTGACATTAAACAAACATATGCCTTATAATAAATTTATCCTTATTATTTGTTAATGTTTCTTTATCATTCAGAATACTACTCTTTCTTTTATATTATAAATTTTCCATTCTATTAGAATTAAAATGAACCAATACAATATTATTAGATGATATATATATATATCTCACAATGCTTTTAGTTTGGCATCTAGATCGTCCAAATTCTCTTGAGGGTTTACTTATTATTACTATTGTTGTTGCTGCATAGGTTATATCAGGTTATTCTATTTAAGTCCTCCACCGCCATTGCCAGCTCCAGCAATTTTGGCTTCCACTTCTTATATGTACTTGTCAGCATTTTCATCATTATACTCATCCTGGTCCTCATTCATGATTTCGCCAATTTACTCTATAGAATAATATTGATCTAATTCATACCTTGTAAGAAATTCTGTTTTTCGCTCTCTATCGAAAATATCTCGATAGCCTATTAAACATTCTTGACATCTATGGCTGAATTTGCCTACTTCATCATCTTTGACATTCCTGACATCACTTATACTAATGTTTCTGTGGTTGCTGCTGAGTTTAATCTTTATAAATATTTAATGCTAAATAAATACTGGAACATGACATCATTCATTTAGGCGTCTAGTCTCTAATATTTTTGAACATATTGCTAATTTCTTAATATAGCTGCTGCTAACATTCTTTACGTAGCCTAATATGATAATTATAATCGACTACCTTAGGTTCTTTTGCTTTAACTGATTTCTCTAAATCAGTCTTAAGCTTCTTGCTTTACATTTCCATTCTCATAATCTCTCTATTAAATTCCCTTTACAATTTTCTAATTGTTCTTGAGAATTCTTTAACCATTTCTAATAAATAGAAAGAAAATTGATACCTTTAACAGTCTTGGGTGGTTGAGGAGGAGGAGGTGGTTTATTGCCCATTTAAAATTCGTATAAAAAATAATGAAGATTTTATGATTATTGTTTATGTTATATATTCTGTAAATATACATTAATTATTAAATTTAATATGGAAATCCTAATTAATTTATAGAATATTTTCATTTATTTGATACTAGTATTAATAAGGAGTCGAAATCAAATCCTATTCAAATTTAATCAAGCGACATCCTCCTAAATACTGGTTAAGTTAATTACAATAATAATCAGTAACAATTTTCTTGTTATAACCCATACAAAGTATTTCTAGGTACCAAAATTGATTCAAATTCTAAAAGTTGAATACTTATCCTCAATTTTATTATCTATTTCATCATAATCCACTATTAAAGAAAGAATTTCTTTATATAATCGCTTAAGTTGAGTATAGTTTTAAGATCAGCCAAGAAATTTAAACAATCAAGATAGTTAAAGTGCTGAAATAAACTAAATTTAGTGCTATTATCCAGGGGTAAGTAGAATCATGTGACAATAAATTGAAACTGAATTTAAATCAAATGTCAACTGATATAAGTCTATAAATCAAAAATTCTATTTAATAGATGTTATAGCAACGAGTTAACAATTCATATTTAATTCTCATCAAAGAATTATCTAAGTCTTGATAATAGGTCCTCCTTTACTTTATTAGGAATTGTGGCTTAACCTCTAACATATAACATATCTGTCAATTCTTCAATTGTTATTTTCTCGAGTCCTTTTTATCTTATGACTTCTTTACAGTAATCCTTTAGATCATCCCTCCATCTACATTCAATCAGTTTTTATCTCAGATATTCTTCCAATCTAAAACTATTACATTTTGATTACCTGGAATCTTCACCTGATTCTCTGAGTTTTTAAGCCAACAAATTAGTTCTTTGATTGATAAAGTCACCAGCCAATCTTGACTATTGATTCATAATAAATAATAATTTATAATAAAATGAATTCTGTACTTAAGGGAGAATAACCATTTTTTGATTAACAGCGAAGATCAACTATAAGTCCAGAAAATGGGAAACAAATTTAAAATATACTTCATCGCAAAATCAATTATTCTCAGACTGATTTGATAACTCCTATTGCAATTAAACAAAGTCATAAAAAATAAGCGATTAGTCAAGGATTGCAATAATTGCTTAAATCTAGTCCTTATAGCAAATTAGTCTCCTAAAAGTCATAACAATAATTACAGTATTAAGATAGTTTTTCTTAATTACATCTAAATGGTTATACTCCCAATTAACAATAATCTTAGTTATTGTTTAAACCGGAAGTCAGAACACCCTCTTTAAATTCTACGAATTCAAGTAGTATAAAACCTAGAATGAGGAACCAAGCAAGAGATTCTTTGTAAAAAAAATCATTTGATTCTCAAAATGCCATTTCTTATAGAGATAAAGATAAGTAAACCATTTCTTAACTTTAAACCATCATATAGAAAACCTCTGTAGTATTATAATCCTACAAAGAGGAACTATAAAAAAATATTTAAGAGAAATAGGATTTATTAAGGTAAATCCAGACCTTAGAATAAAATAAGACAAAAAAATGAATAAAATGATTAAAAATTTATTAATTTATTTTCTGTTTCTCCAGAAATATAAATGAATTTTTGAATTAATATACAAATTTACCGTTTTAACCTTAAATGCATGTATATTATATAAAAAAAGAATTTAATTCCAAAGAAATCAATTTTATCTTGCATTTAAACATTTAAACTAAACAACCAACTCCTTTTCAAAACATTTTATCATATATAGATAGGTTAAAATAATATAGAGTATAAATAGTCATTCTTCTACTTCATATGAAGTTAAAATTTGTAAGGAATTTTCTAAAATTGAGCTGTCTTAACGACGGATTTCCTGAAAATAAGAGTCCATTTTAGTTTTCGCATTTTCTGGGTCGATTGCTTAAGTGCAATCTCTTAAGACATTTACTTTGTATCCTAATTTGATGGCATCCAAGGCTGTGAACAGAACACAATAGTCAAATGATAATCCTCCAACATATATAGTGTTCACTTTTAAGGTTTTAAGCTAAAATATTATGAATGATTAGTACAATTTCATGTAAATTAGTCTTATCTTCTTTGCATCCAAATCCACTATAGCTATCGTACTTTGAGTTTTTGCCTTTAAGTATAAAGTGATCCCCATTTCTGATTTGAATGTCTTTGTGTAATTAGGCTCCATAAGAATTTTGGACACAATGAACTGGCCAAAGATTCAATTATTCGAGCTAAGACAGTTATTTATAATTAGGGTGATTGGTTTTGAAAGAAATATGATTCTTAGGGTGCCAATCTTAGGTGAAAATCACGTTTTTGAAGTGTTTTCTAACTTTGTTTATCTAAGGAATGATCTTAGAGGCATTTTGCACAGAAAGTGATCCTCCTTCACAAAAATCATTTTAAACATCAACGATGATGAGTGCAGAATTTTCCATTTTAATATTTCTATAACTATTGTAAATAATTTTATTAATATTCCAATTTTAAAAAATGCAAAAACCTAAATACAGCATTTTTGTCTATTAGTTAGATACCAGAATTAATTATTATGTCATTCTATTTTTGTTTTAATCAGAAAAATTATAAATAATATATATTATACTGATAATAGTCCCTAAGTATATAATTAATAATACAGTATAAAATAATATTTAAAAACCAAACCGTAATTAAGAATTACTTTTAAATATTTGTTTTTCCTAAGTATTATAATATGTTGGAGGTTATGAGTTTAAGAATAAAGATATATTCTTATTCCAACTCAAAATTTTACGTAATATACAACATATAGTACACGAATACAACTATTTTTCTTATAAACCAAGTAATTGCTATTTTCACCCTTCAAATCCCTTTAAATACATTAAAATTGGACTTACTTATAAACTAATTACATTCAAATAGGCTTATATAGATCGTAATTGTAATGGTTTCCAAAGGTTAATCTCTTCCAATATTACATATAAATCGGTCCAAAAATTGGAATTGTTCATTGAAATTATTTATTTCCTCAAGGTACTGCGTTCCATAGTTGAAAATATTCAAGAATATGGTACAAAGCAGTTAGTTATTAATTAAGTATAATTATTATAATTAATGCAAATTCCAAATTACGATAGGGATTCGGTATGTTCATTTTTTAAGAAGCTTACAGGAGATATATAATTTTATCTGGATGAAATGAAATCTGACTTTGCCAAAAACCCTCCATAAACAAATATAAAGGACAGGGTGCTTGTAATAATGGTTTCTTAATTAGCTATGGAAAGATAAATATTAATAATCACTCAATCAATGCATAATGACTTATATTATGAAAACAGAGTAAGTTGATGTGTCACAATTCTAATTTAAAGAGTTCTTAGATAGAGTGACAGACGAGTATTAAAATGATCAAGAATTTATGGATTTATTAAAGCAGTGCAATTAAAGCATAGAAAATCTTAAAGATTTCATAAGAACAAACTTAGCGAAAGATCCTTCCATTTATGTAATAAAGGATATTTGATTTTAATTTCTATTTAAGATGGAAATATGAATGATAATTAACTATTAGAGGGAATATTTAATGGAAATTAATATTTTATAATTTATTAACCATTATGTAAGTCACAATGATTCTAAAGCACTTTTTGCTTAGTATTTGACTTCAGCATCTTAATCATCACTAAGAGTTTATAGAATTTTTTTCATAGGATCAACAACGTTACCTCCCTTTTCTTTAGCCAATTATATGGATGTTCTACAAACGTTGCTTCTGATATTGGCAACTGAATCTTTAGCCATAGCTTATAAAATGGGGACGATAGTTTTTATAATGTAATCATTGTTTAATTAAGAAGTAATTTGCTATAATAAAATAAGTTCAATACATTGATTGTGAATAAAACAGTTATTCGATGAAGATAGTTTTAAATTGATTAAAATGCCCATATTTTTGTTAATAGGTTTTTGTCTGCCCAAGCCAATCCAAGAATAGAAATCAATTAGGCTGTCTATTGGATTGCTGTTTATCTAACTGAAAAGACCTTGTCACCCATCCAATCTAATAGCAATTTCAGAACTTTATCAGATAGGAATTCTGGTCCAATAGCTCTTGCGAAGAAACTCAAAACTTCGATAGTTGAAGCCCTTATTCTCCAATTCTTATCTTGTGCTAATTCTGTCAATGCTGGGATAACACTTTGGGATAAAGAATCGACACCCAACACATTTGTGATAAGACTTAATTTCTTAAAGAGGGTTATTCTGACTTCTGAATCTTAGTCTTTCAGTAAGGTCAAAAAGATTGGTAAAATCTGTTCACTTGTATTCTTCTTACCGATAATTGGACATAATGCCAAGACTGAGGAGGCTAGAGCGTCTTTAAGTTTAATTATCGAATAGGTTACTTCTAACAAATGCATTTGCGTCAGACTGTATGGTTTTCAAAAGAGGAATTAATTTATTTAGAATATCTTCTGGATCCATTAGACCACTGACTCTTTCAATTTTCAATGCTGCAATTGATTTCATTTCAGGTTCAGCATCTTAAAGGAACTTGAGATGGTAATTTTAGAAATTCTTTCTATAACCTTCTTTAGTTACAGCTTCACCTATCTTTATTATATTCAATATTCTTACTTCAGCCAATTTATCACAAAAGTAGAATCTGACTCTCCATGATTGATCTTCAGCCAGTTATTTAAACATATTAAGAACAAGGTTTTGTTATTTTTGGAAGAAAGGTGTTTTACTCGATTGTATTAATGCATCTACAATGTACATTCTAATGAAGTCTTGTTCGTCTTTAATGAAGGAATTCAATATGTTTTGGATGAAGGTTTCGTTTATCAATGGGAAATGTTTAACCAAATCCTAAATTTTGAAAAAATTAATACTTGAAAATACATGGATGTGAATTTTCTAACTTGAGGAATTTGATCCTAAGACATTTTGAGTATGATATTTATTAAGTCGTTCTGATTATTCTATGAAACTTGATTAAAGATTGCTGGAATTAAAATTGCAACTGCATTCTTGGCCATGTAATAATCGCTATCATTTAATCTCTTTATAATTCCAATCGATAATTCCTCTACTTTCTTTTAGTCTGGAAGTTGAGTTAGACATTTTTTGATTTGATTGGCAGCCTTCATAAGTAATTATATTACCTTTTCTCTTACTGAAGCATCTTCCACTCTGCATAAGGCTTCAAATGTAGGCAGTAGAACTTATGCTTAACCTCCTACAAGCTCTACAAAATTTCTTGATAATGAATCTACTAATTCGATCAATACTTCATCGTCATCATCCAGCAATTCTACATTAGATATTAGCATACCTTAGATGAACGGAATGAGTTCATTTTTTGTTCTATCTGGACCAATTGTACTAGCAATTAAATCTAAATGCTTGACTGAATGAATCCTTTTTCGTATGTCATCACTTTTTAGTTCATCAATAATCAAATTTATTGACATTCCAGTCGTATTTTCGATTTTGGGCATCTTTTAATTAATTTATTAAATACACTATTTTTTCTTTCGATTTTTATTTTAAATATTAACCGTTGATATGTAATAAGGCTAAGTCAAAGCTATTGGTAATTACAGTTACAACCTCAAGCATTGTTTGGGAGAAGGTGCCTACGGTAAAGTATACTAAGGACTTGATACAACCAGTAATTTAAAGGTGGCTATCAAAAAACTTGATTTACGTAATTTTGAAAGAGATAATTATCTTAAACAATCAATCATATAAGAAATCGAAATTCTAAAGAAATTCAATCATAAAAACATAGTCAAATTTATAGATTTGATTTCCACTCAAAGAAGTCTCTACATCATAACAGAATTTTGTAAAGATGGAGACCTAAGAGAAATCATGAGTAGAAAAAAATACAACGAGTAAGATGCTTGGAAAATCATGAAATAAATCATCCAAGGATTCCGTGAACTAGTATCCAATGCTATCATTCATAGAGACTTAAAACCAGCAAATATTCTTAGTCATGAAGGAGTATTCAAAATAGCTGACTTTGGATTCGCTAAATATGTTGACAATTTTAGTAATCAATTGCTAAGATCATGTGTTGGATCTCCACTCTACATGGCTCCTTAAATTTTAGCAAGAAAACCCTATTCTACCAAATGTGATATTTGGTCTCTTGGTGTCATATTTTACGAGATGGTCTTTACTGATGTTCCTTGGAAAGGCAGAGACGAAAGAGATTTATTGAAGAATATTTTAAGTGTTCCTGTCTCAATCAAAAAAGGATTTCTGACATCCAAATCTGAAGAATTCTTAAGGAAAACATTAACAATTGAAGAAAATGATAGAATATCATGGGAAAAAGTATTTGAAATGTTTGAAGTTTTCAATCTTCCCTCTGATCAGAGAATTCAAACTTCTCCTAATCTAAATATTAGAGTAAATAATCATTAGAATTCATCAAATAATGAAAAGGAAAGAAAGAAATCTATATTCTAAGCTCCATCATAATCACCTATGCATTAAGCATCTGCTCCTGTTTAACCAATTGCAGTCTAACCTTAAACTCCTTCTATTAAGAATCTAAGAAATGAGATTATTTTTAGGAATTTTGTATTGACAACTGAATTATTCCCAAGATACACATCTAACAAAAATAGCGTTGTAGAAAAACTTATGATTTGCTTGAGTAAAACTAATATGGCAATGCAAAATAGTTTATATACCTTAGCAAATCAGATCATGGTCCCAGCAATAAAGAAAGATCATGATTAGTATGTATAATTTCATTCAGATTTAATTGAAACTTTACAAAGAAACGGGTAATTGCAGCATTGTGATAGAGAATTAGATGTAAATTCAAAGGATTAGAATTGCACTGATACCGAATGCGATAAGTTAAATATAACCTTAACTACATTAATTAAATAATTATGGTATTAATTTATAGATTATTTAGTTAAGAAATGCTTGAGGAACACAAGAGAGCTCCTTCTAGACCTATCATGTTATTATTAGAAAATCTAGTGGATATAATTATAATTCACAAAAAAGTCCAAAGATGTGTGGAGATAGATTATGATTAACTAAATGCTGAGAAGGCTGAAGAGGATGACCCAAGGAAAATCATGGATACTGTTATAGAAAAGCTTAGGCATGCTTGATTTATTTTTCAATATTTTTTCTACCGATAATCATTGCAGTTATTGTAACTAATTGCTGAAATATTATAATATAACTTTTTTTGTTGTAATTAATTGTAATCAAAAATTTACAAATTAATATAATATAACAAATTTTAAATTAAGAATTATTCGTTTTAAGAAGTAATCGATGATTAGAATCCAAAAAACTCCTTTTTATAGTAATTCATTTTTCTTTTTTATTTTAAACTTATAATTATCACATAATGTCATTCAAGATTTAACTTTATTTACTTTTATTATTAATATAATAAATCCTAGATGGGTAGCAATTGTTCATCCAATTAATAAGTTTCAGAAAGAAGTACAATCATGAGATAAGATTCATTTTTTGATAATGGCAGAATTGCAAAACCTCAAATGGATAGTATGATAGGAGCAAGTTAATTGACATAAATGGAAATCCCAAATGCTTAATTGAGATCCCCGACTAAACCTAACATATCCAAACAAAATGAAATTAAATCTTTAGTTAGAGTTCCTTCAGAAGAAAGCTTATTTCAAAAAGAATTTATCTAAATTAAAGAAAGCAAAAAATAAACCAATCCTAAGTCTGAAACAGCTATTCAACCTAAATTACAGATCAATTTGCAAGTTTAAAAATAACGATATCGTTAATAAAACCAATAAGAAAGCCCTAAATTTTAATCATCTACTAAAAAAAAAAGGTTATAAGAAAAAAGCCAATCTCATTCGCCTCTCTAAAATCAATAGGTTCCAAAGGAGAAATCAAAGAAAAATAGAGAATCTCTAAAAAATTCTCATAGGCATATCGAGAAAATAGCTCCAAAAAGAAAATACTCTGATTTACCTGAGAAAAAAGATAAAGTTTAATAAGTTAGAAGAAAGATAAGCGATATTTGCGATGATCATGCATACATTATTGGATTAGATAGTCCTACTAAATTTAGGTCGTTAACTCCAAATTCAATTTTAAAAAGAAAAGAATCGGAAATTGAAACCAATTCTCCTCAAAAAAAGTAAGTCAGATTCAAGGATTAAAGATAAAAAAATCTTATTTGTACCTGATTCGATAAATATATATATATAGATATTTTAATTCATGCATTAAATTATGGAAGTTTATTAATTGTTATTTCTAATTCATTGCAATGAATTTAAACTAGATCATTATCTTTACTTTTTCTATATTCAATGAGTGTTGATTCTTTAAAATTTTAAGACTCCATTTAGTACAAATCTAAATCAATGATTAGAATAGTATATAAGCACAATAACTTTGATTAGATCCAATCCCTCTCTGAGAACTAGTTATTCTGTAAATTACCAGCTTAGGCTTTAGTTAGAGAGGACTTAATCTTCGGATATAATTAGGTATATAGATATTTTTATGTTTAAATCTTTGTGCTAGTCTTGATATTTAAATTTAGTTATGGCCCTAACTTCTATTAAGATACATCTTCCATTGTGATAAGATAGCTACAAGCCTTCTCCAAATAGAGTTAAAATTCCTACTCTACATTATCATTTTATTATGTTATAGTAGCTTACAGTTATTAATACTATTGAGTTGCTTTAAATGCGATGAAATCTGGTAAATCAAATATATTCTTTTCCTGTTATACATCTTGAAGAAGAAGTCTTCTAATTACATATCCTCTCTAATCGTTATTTGTATTAATACTTTATAAACTAAGGTAAGTGGAACAATCCATTATTTGCCTTATGACATTAACTTTTGATTCAAGTCATTAACAGTGAGAATAATATATTCTATAATTGATAAATAATGAAAATATCTAATATAGATAAATTAATACTTTTTTATATAATCAGCAAACTTTACGTTTTATTAAATTTGATTATCCTAATTTCTATTTAATTAATCTGAAGGATTTAAAAATTTCGGATCCTAGAAATCCAAAATTTCTAAATTTTAAGCATTTTATTAATATTAATCATTATTTCCTTATTTATCTTTTTAATCTAAATTAGGTTTCTGTGTTATTATTTGATAGTCCTAAAAAGGTCTTTTGATGAATTCTTATTTTTTACCTTAAACCTATTAATTATTCTATTGAGTCTAAATTGTATTTTAATTAGAGTTAGCTTAATCCTATAATAATAAAACTTCAATTTTATCATCTTCCTTTTTATTTAATTATCCATGAGCAGGTGTTTTTAACTTATTTTGTTTCAAAACCTTTTATTATTTATTTTAATAATCAGATTATTCTTCCATATCTATATTTATGGTTTCTTTTAATTATGAATTAGACATATTTATAAAAGGAGATTTAAAATTATCTTGATTAATTTGTGCATTTGGGATTTGAGTATTATAAATTTTTTCAGTTTAGTTTGAATTTGGAACATTTAAATATGATAAATTATTTATTTGTTAGTTAGGTTGATTTCTCGTTGAGATATCATTGTTTGAATGTTTTACAATTTTTTAAGCATTTGCTACATGATTCATAACAGGTTTATTTACAATTATATCAGGTATTTGAGATCCATCAGACATAAATGGAGAATTTTTCTCTAATTTTTGTACTTATTAAGTTTTACTAGAGTCTCTACTTAGAACTGGCTATTACAACTTTTGTTGAGAGAGTACAGACTTTTAATAAAAGAAATAATTTTAGGTTTTATTGTTCGAGATTACACTTTATTAAGAGTATCTTTATCCATTACCATTTTAATAAAATGATTGCTAGGTAACATTATCCTTATTTATATTAGAGGCAGATTATTTTTTATTTTATAGATTTTTAGTCATAGTTGCTGATGCAAAATCATAGGATGAGCATTTATAATTGGAAATTGGAATTTATCTTTTTTATTTTTAAATGGCTGCTCTGACGGATTCATTATGAATTGAATCTTATTAATTATAAGCTTGGTAGTTTTATTATTTAATAGCCCTTTATGATGAATGAAAACTAGTTGTGTTATTTGAAGGAATGATAGTATTTGTAAAATCTATTACACTAGAACTATGTTTCTTCACCTATTTTTTTGAATAAAACTATCTCCACTAGCCGACTTCTTAAAATGTGGGTCTTTGAGATGGATCCAATTTAACCATTTTGAGGATTGATTCTAAAATATCATAGCTTAAGTGATTATTTTCTGCTTCTTATTTGATATAATAATCAATTTAATACTAATCCTTGCATTAATAGATTTTATCAGTCATGTATTTTGGGCAGTTAAGATTTAATAACAATAAACCAAAGAGATAGGTTTTAGTTTTTGTTGTGAATTCGAAATCTCTGTATTTTTTATTTACAAAATCACTTATTCCATAATCCAAAACAAATATCTAACCATCATATGTAAAAATGAAATCGGGGTCGAAATCTAAATTCCCATCTAAAATGGAATATTTTTGATACAATTGTTAATAAAGGGATTTCAATGACTCAATTTTTATCTATTATTCCAAATTTATCCAAAAAGCACTATCTAAATAAGAAATTAGTATTGCTTCCTTAGATTCTATTTTCTCAAACACAAAGTCCAACTGTTTTTGTCTAAAACTTATTTAGTCAATCATTTCTTAGGTTAAATATTATCTTGGAAATATGTGCAACAGATAAACTTATCCATTTTGATGTCTTCCTCGATATAGCTGTTAATATGGAGATAATTTATTTATAGGCAATTCAATTTCATAAGAACTGATATTCATTTTAGATGTATTTATTTAACTAATAATTTTTATTAATTTAGGGATTTATAATGATTTTATCATAATGTTTAATTTTATTCAATATTTTCTAAAATATTGGGGTAAAGCCTCTTGTGAGCATCAATTGCCCAAACATAATCTAAATGAGCATAATCATTTATTATTTTTATCTAAAGAGTGGATGGGTCAAATAATGGGATGGTTTTTTGAAGATCTTTTTCATCAGCAATAACATCTTTGGATCCAATATAAAAATATTTTGGTATTTTTAATTAACAAAGATTTTCAACATTATATTTTGGAGGAACAGATTAACCATATTCAGTGATATTTCTGGATCTACCATAATCAAAATATGAAAAGGTTCCATTTCTATAGAATTACATCCTAACTCAATAACCAAATACTTTTACCATTAAACTAATGTTTTTGTAGATGTACCCCCAGGTTCATGTGACACCATAAATCCAAACTTCTTAAGGTCTATTTTGTTTTATAATGGATATCCACAAATCAGATTGGTAATAGAGAACAAGAATTTTCTATAGATCCAAGGAATCATATCACAAAGTGCTCCAATTTTTAAATTGAAGCAATCATCAAAAACAAAAAAGTAAGGTATGCCAATTAATCTGGTAAATTCAAATATCCATGTCTTTACAGCAAATTAAAGAAATACTGATTTCTATTATAATAATATTATATTAAATACTGAATTCTTAATATAAATAACAGGTCCCAAGGCAATAAAGCATTTCAGATTTTCTTAGAAATCAATATTATTTGACAAGTATGCAAATGCTTAAGTTGAACCTTAGGAATGACCTATGTAAATTACCTTCTCCTTTTAAGAAGCTCTCTTTACATGGTTTACGATTGCTTTGAAATCGTATTTCTATATATCATCAAAACTGAAATTCCAATATTATTTATTGTATTGAACTCCTGGAATCTTGCTGTGTCCCATAGAATATTTATTTCCTCTATTATTGGTCAGCCAAACATCATAACCTTTATCTGCTAAGATATAAGGTAGAGTTTGTTCATTAGTGTTGTTAATAAACCAAGACCATGAACTATCAAGCAAGCCATGTTGGAGTACACTAAGGATATATATATGATATATTTACATAGGACATTGATATTCCTTGTTAATTGTTTTATACAATCTCCAGGCTGTGAGAATGTATCCATCTTCTGTTAAGATTTGATGAATTTCCAAATTATATCCTTTCTCTGTAATCATGTCAGCTTTAAAAATAATGTAGAATAATACTTGCTGATGTGTATACTCCTGGATAAGGTCGTAACTCATTGACCTTGATTCTGACTTGATTTATGAAATTTTTATTTCTTATTTCACAATCTCTTACAAATAGTGAAAGGATAAAATCTGTGAATTCGATTGTTGAATAAGTGAAATAGTACAAAAAGGATAGTCCAAAGCCAAGTAATGGTTTTATAATCCAAACAAATAAGTTAAAGAAAACTATTTGAATTAGATTTAATAACATAATATTATTAAAATTAAAAAAAAATAAATTCTTCAGAAGCATGCTTGCATTTATTCAATTCATTATGAATATTCTTAGAATTCTTATTACAATTGAAAAATAAGATCATTAATAATTCATATTTGAAAAAGAGGAAAACCTAGATATTATTAATTTAAATTCAATTACTCTCTAATAATTATATAACTGATTTCAATTCTTAAATTGAAGGATTTAACCATCTTCTCCATATAGGATTATTTAATAATAATAATAAAAAAGTGAGAGGATCATACCTTAGAATTAGAAACTATGTTAAAATACGATAATTTAATATATGATATGATTATTCTAACAAATCATTTTCTAAGGGCTTAGAAGATCTTCAATTTATCTAATTTACCATGTTATCTCAATTTTTGAACGTGAGTACCATAGTATTATAATTCATCCTAAATTATTAATTTATGGTATTACATTAGCCTTATATTTGAGATAGTCAGATCTGAAATAGTTAGTGAATCCCCATTTGGCTGAGACAACAATCTTTTATCTTCCTGGGAACTTGTTCTTTCCTCTTCTCAAAGCTTCCATAGCATGATTGATTGAAGCATCCTTGCATCTCAAAGAGTAGAGAATGCTGCCAATTTTGACTCTGGCGCATAAACCATTTGGTTTACCGAAGGCACCTCTCATACCGGTTTAAAGTCTATCTGCACCAGCACATGAAAGCATTTTGTTGATTCTGAGTACGTGCCATGGGTGGACTCTGCATCTAAGATGGAATGCGTCTTTTCCGACTTTCTTAATCATATATTTGTTGATGGCAACTCTGCATGCTTCTAAGGCTTCTGATGAGATTTATTCCTTTTCATCTGAAACAATGTGGATGGCAGCCTAATTCATATTAATTATTCAATACTGGGAATTCGTCAACGTTGGCCTTCTTTCTTCCGACATCATAGATTCTAATTTTAGCATCTGGCACACCTCTGTTGTATCTGGATTTGGGGAATGGTTTACCATTACTCACTCTGTAGCATCTTGCTGGTCTTCTGCCCATTTTTATTTAAAAAAATATAAAAGATTAAAAATTTTTTTGAAATCGATCAACCACTTTCTCATTTATATTTATATTATATCCATAAATCCAAATTTCGAAACGAATCTAAAATCTCCTTAAAATTCTGTAGATTATAATAATCATTGAGGTGAAAGAACGTTATTATATGATTCTCCGAGCATCAAAAGTATTCATTTCATTTAAGATATCTTCAAAAAAACTAAAAACTTATATAATTTGTAATTTTGATGATCAAAGTAAATGATATCAACAATTAGATGTCAATATCAATATCAGTTTTTACTTTAAACATTGTTATATTCTTTACAAATCTATATAGGATATAGATTTTAATGGATAAAATGAATAGAAATTTAAATAGAAAATGTAAATAACAAATAAAATTGACTAAAATGAAAGATATTAATCATCACTTAATTATGTAATCAAGTAATTGATCTAATTACATTTGAGCTACATTGAACTCTCTTAAATTCGACTATTCGGATGCATCAACCAAATATTCAAGTAAATACTTGAGCTCCAAATCATCCACATTATCATTCCATTCTAAGATTGGAATTCCGTTGTCTATCTGAAGTCCAAAAGAATGGACTAGATTATCAACGAATAAAGTCTTATTAAGATCTAAATCGGTAATAATTCTTAAATCTTTAATAAAGAATCCATTTTTGGTTTCCATGCAGTTAGTTCTGTTGAGAATCCCACTAATATACTGTCTTTTGGGATCAAGATAGTTTACAATAGCGGATGCGTACTATTATGAAGATGCTGTGTAGATGTAGACAGTATAAAATTGTGATAGTTCTTACAAAAAATATTAGGTATATGGTCTAATATTGATACCAATCTAGGATAATGAAATATATTTACTTCTGTTTCGCTGCCATCATCATTTATCTAGTTAATTTTGACTTACGAGTTATCTTTTGAGAGACTGGCGTGAACAAGGGTTTCATCAAGATCCAAAAAGATTGTATTCAATATTTAGGGATTATTTCTATTAAGAGAAATCTTTTTCTTTTCAATAAATTAATCAGATGGACCTTTTAAACATCTTTTTGAATATATTAGACCTCTCTGAGTTATACGTAAGTGTTTATCGAAGGTCTCTTCTGATATGGTTGGATTGAAGACAAGGTGTCGAAATGGATGATCAATTAGTTTGTCCTATTTGGATTCTCCAACCTTTTAAAAATTTCTCATTGAAATAGGCTTGGATTTGATTTATTTCAGTTTTGGGTTCACTTTTATTTTTTCCTCAATCTTTTTCAATTGCTCTTCCATTGCTTTTGTCTAGTCACCGATTACCAGGGCCGATTGAATTTGATGTTATTAGCTCTCCTTGTCTATTATTTCTGGTTCTTCGTCTTTATCTCCTTCATTCACTGTTATTATTCTTTAAGTACTGAATCTAGATAATTTTGGAACTACAATGATAATGAGAGGAATTACTTTTAACTTATTTCATAGATTCTTGTTTTTGTGAACTTTTACAAGTTTGATCGTTTTCGGGTGAAAAATTAGTAGGAGACATCCCTTATAATGGTTTTGGCTTAGGCTTTGGGGTAAAATCAGATGACAATGCCGTATCCCTATCATCTTCACTTTAAAAAGACAGTTTTGATCCAGGTGAAGATCGAAAATATAATGATTTAGGACTGGGCCTCATGTTTAAAAGCTAATCCATTAAAATAATTGATTAATTATTGAATAATTCATAAAAATGTAAAATCGGATTTAAATTTAAGGCAAACAAAAAATAAACTCCATGTTGCATCATGATAAAAAAATAATTAAATATTATGAATTTAAGTTTATCAATAAATAATTTATATATGAATAGTATAAAGAGTATATAAATTTAAGTAAAATACTATTACAGACATTGTACTTTAATAATTGATATATTTATCCAATTATAATTACTAATTGAGTAATAATGTTGAACATCCATCTTCCTTCTCTATAGCGCTTAAAATCCTGTAATTATGATATTCGTTGGAGTGTCATTTAATAGAATCAAATTAAATGAAGTTTTTCTTAAATATAAATTTAAATTGGGTATTTATAATAATAATTTATTTTTAAATTAGTTCAATAGAAACTAAAATTTTAGTTGACCTTATATTATTCAAAATCTCCATCAATTCAATCAATGAACCCTCTTTAATTAATTTATATCAAAATATGTTCAAAACTCCAACTTATTTGCCTTAACATCTTCTTTCATAAGGTATATATTGTAATTTACAAATGTGAAGTTGAAGGTGCTAGAGGGCGTAATGAGAAAAGAAAAGCAATAGATCATTATTCTTATGCTATCGACCAAGAAATAGGTAAAGGATTCAGTAGCAGAGTTTATAAAGGAAGAGATGAAAGAACCTTATAGAATGTAGCTATTAAAGTATAAAAATATCTTCGTATTAGGTGATCGACATGAAGTAACAGATACACACACAATTATTAAAAAATGAGATCAGAGCGTTGAAATCATTCAGTCACAAGAATATCCTTAAGCTTTTTGATGTATATTAAACAGAAAATAACACATATATCATCACAGAATTCTGTGATTCGGTATTTCCTGATTTTATGAAGGGAGATCTAGAAAAATTTTTAAGGAAAAATTTGAAAATCAAAGAACCAGAAGCTATTAGAATATTATAGGCAATTGTTCATGCAATAAATGAAATAAATCTTAAAGGATTTATCCACAGAGACATTAAACCAGCTAATATTCTCTTAAGTGGGAATGAACCAAAATTAGCTGATTTTGGATTTGCTATACCTATTTGGTAAGCGAGGATTTAGTAAAGAAATATCAATGTAGGCACTCCTCTATATATGTCGCCATAAGCATTAGGAGATTATGACTATTCTGAAAAAGGGGATGTATGGGCTGTAGGAGTAGTGTATTTTGAGATGCTTTTTGGTAAAAAGTTGTTAAATTTAATTTAGGTAGAACCCCTTTTAATGCTCAATCAGAAGCAGCATTATTATCTAATATACTGAATTAACAATTAATCATACCTTAGACACCATCAGTTTCAGAGTTGTCAAAAGATTTCATTAAAAAATGCTTATAAAAAGATGATTATTTAAGATTCAATGTGAAAGATATGTTTGAACATCAAATTATATAATCTAAACATTTCTATAGTTTTTTGTAGGAAGATCCTTTCTAAGAAATTACAAACATTACTTCATCCATTAACACTTTAGTAAAAAAGAATAAAAGAAGCTAAACTCAATATTTCAAAAGAATTTCAACCAAAGATTATAGCACTCTTTAGATTGATTTATAAGAATAGAATGAAAAATGCTAAGTTTAAAAGGAAGTAAGTTCAAGATCATCTAGTTAAAATTAGATGTAATTGCAATCATAAAAAATGAAGCATTCTTCAAATACTTCATATCAATAAACTAATAATAACATTAGGAGGCAATAAAATTCCTAATTAAGTGCTGAATTTAAGGCTAACAATGAAATTCTGTTATTTTATTTAAACTATTGTCGATACTTATTTAAGTTTTCATTACATTTAGCCAATTCTAAATTTTTTTAATTTGAATATCGAGATAAGATTTTGCTAATCTTAGGGAAATGTATAGTCATAAAAATCTGCCAATTATCTTAACTCATGGATAAAGAAAATAAACTGGATAATTATTTTTCGCTTTTGGATTATGATAAGTACAAAGAAAGTGAATAATTTAACGAATTTTGTTCAGCAATTTCTGAATATTAATTAAAATATATGAAGCACTTTTAGAATACCTTGGTATAAGCTCTTAGAAATAGTAAATAGTATTTTCTTAAAATAAGATTTTCAAATCGATCCAATTATAGGTTCTTCTTGTAATGATTGTCTAAATGAGAGTAATACTGTATATGAGATTGCTATGTATTATATAGACATGGGTCTTAATAGGCTGCTATTGAATTTACACTAACTAACAGGATAGAGATCATCGGATAGCAAAAGAAATTCTGATGTAAAAATTGAATAATTTTAGCCATAATAAATTTTATTTATTGTCGAAGGGTTGAACAACTGTAAGGAATTAATCTTGATGATTTAGTAATGCAAATAAGATTACGGAAAATTCTATGATAGATTTTCAATTGATAGAATAATAGGACAGAGAGTAGATCCAATTAATTATAAGTTAACCGAATAATAAATTTAGAATTAATTTTGAAATATATAATATCTTTTATAAAAAGGCTATGAAATTATCAATATGATGAAATATAGATTGAATTAATTGTGAATTATGTAGATAATAAAAATTTTTATCATTATTTTTCTGTAAGTTCAATTTCACTATTCTCCTCTTTTTCAGTTGGATAACTCCTAATTTAACGAAGAATTGATTTAAATTACAAGAACTACATATTATATTATTGTGTTACTTCGTCAAAAGATGAATAATGATTTCGCTAATCTTAACTTCTAAATAGTGTGATCCAATTAAAATATTTATCGTTAATGAATTTAAATAAGTATCTAAATAAGATGATTTAAATATTACGTGACAACACAACCAAAAGAGGATAACAAAAGAGACCCAAAATATTCTTTCAAAGTAAGTTTAGATAAGTTAAAAATAAAATTACAATGTTCCCTAAATATAAAATAAATATCTTCTTACACCACAAGATATTGCATCACAAATATTAACACAAGCTAAATGATTAACTTTGTTCTTTCTCTTTTGTTATTTGAAATGCATATATCAGTTTTGCGAATTTTATGAGAAATCAATAAATTGAAGATCTGAAGGTATACAAAAGTATTAAATAGTAGGGTATGTGATTTCAAGTCAAAGTGATAGCAATTCAAGCCGTTTTTCATTGCAATGTACTTTTAAGTTGAGAGTTAAATCATAAACAAAACCAGCAATTGATAGATTATTTATGAAATGATATTTCTCCACATATTGGATGTAATCAAATGGTATCTCTCGTTTTATTATCTTTCGTATAATCTTCTACTGGCTATGGAATTAAAATGTAAATTTACGTATTTCTGTGGCATACATGAAGAAAGCTGTAAAATCAACAATGAATGTGATCCATAATAATTAGGTCTAATTAAAATAGTGGAAGATGCTAAAGGTTTGTAGGATGGATAAGGATAAGAGAAGAGCTATTTTAAATTAAATGAATTTTCTAACTGCATCAAAAATGTTCCTTCCCCAATCTATTGAATAAATAACAGAAGAAAAGTTATCATCTAAAATGGAGACACTAACCATATAATTATACTGTTGAATTATTTTTGAGTTCTGACAGAAACCAACATCAGCAAGTCGATAAAATGCAGGTTCATCACTATGACTGAAGACTCCAACAACGTAATTCAATTCCTTTAATCCTTGTATGATGGCCAATTTCTCATCTAGACTTGCTCTAACTAGAACTCTCAACTCAGCAGCAACCTAAGCGAAGGCATCCATATCACCGATTTTTGGTATAATTTGACCATCTTATTTTTTGTAAGTGATTCCTTTTACTAAATCATTTAAAATCTTTCCAGTCATTACCTTCTTGGAGTCCTTCTGATGCTAATAGTTCATTGGTAATATTCCACATTTCTTACTTAAGGATATTGAACATTCTAGACTCTCATTCGTTATCATTCTCACTATAACTCCTGCTTCTTTGCATTATTAAATTGACCTTTACACTCCCTATCTTATTTCATCCTCTAAAGCTAGTAATGCCACGAAGATCAATTGTTTCTCCATCTATTTTTCAGACAGTTACTTAGGATTTAGATTGTTCTCTATGGTTTTATAGGCTAAACACAAGGGTCTGTAACTTTCTTCACCAAATTTCTTGATTTAATTGTAGATTTACTGTCTGTATTACTCAGTTAATCTTTAAGATATGAATTATAAAATACTTTTGAACTTCACCCTTGCAGTTTATAAAGTCTGTGCAATTTTCTAAAATAATATCTGGAGCTCCCTTAGTGTATAATATATATTTATTTTATAATTAAATTAGCACACTCATCATTTTTCTATCAGAATTAAATTTAAAATATTATACAATTTAATTTTAATAACTTTTCCTTATAGTAGTATAATCTTATCCTAATTCATGACAATATTCAAGTAGAGCACAATCGATTTCATTTCCAAATTTTTCAAAAACAGTAATATCATTAGATCTATAGCTAATTTTTGGATTGGCTGTTGAATTCAAACAAATATTCTCTTGGATTAATTGAATGGTTGAATATCTTAGTTTTTTAATATCGAATTTCATTAACAGTTATTCCTCAGCAAATATCTGTACCAATCTTGTATTCCCATTAGTTAATATCTAACTTTTACTTGTGCAAATATTATTGATTCTGCCCAATATTTCACAGGAACTCGGTCTTTGAAATTTGATGCGATCTCTTTTCATTCTCTTTTAGTTATACTGAAGATAAGTGGATACAAATTTCTATAGATTGTCATTCATCACCATTAACAATAGCAAGATGGAAATCTAACTTTACTTTATAATTGAATGAATGGAATCCACTAAATCAAAAGAGTATTCATAAATCGAAATATGATAACAATAATTAATAAATTGAATTACCAAAGGAATGATTGCTAACACAAAGAATAGTTTAATTAATTATTATTGTAAATAATTTAATCTTTCTTAAAGAGGCGTTGTGTATTCATGTTACAAATTCAAATCACATTTTTTCATATGATAAGTATTGACTCCCACTGCCAAAACTAATAATTATCCATTGCCTTATATGACTTTAGAACCTGAACGTACAAATGGTAGTTTGTTAGTATTGGTATCAAAAAGCAAGGTTTAGTTCGATTAATTGGGTATAAGAATGCCATCTACTTCAATCAGCTGATCTTCTCCAAAGATGAGGATGTCTCCGACTACAATTTAGTCAGATGAAATATTAATGAGTCTATCTTTTCTCTTTAATTTAACTTTGCTGTTTTGAAATTGGCGTAAATTATTGAGCAGTTCCTGATTATCAGTTTTAAATATTCTTATTAGCAGTTGCAATAAGGAGAATACCAGAATAAATAATGATTCCATTCTTTCCTATAATATTTTGTTTAGGTACATTTTTAGAGGCAGTAAACATCATAGATAATGCTAATTTAGTTAGAGTGAGAGCAAAGAAGATTTGATGCCACTTATTCTTGATGATTTGAATGACTAACTATTAAATTTAGACAATATTTAAACTTGATATCTAATAGTTTGTGAATCATGTATTTTATGTGTGCCAAACCTATTATAATTCAAGATCTTTACTGCTTCTTTCGTTTGTTTAGATCGAAATGATTTGAAGAGTCGAGTCCCATCTTGAAATAAGAATAATGCATTCAATACCTGCAGATCGGTGTCCAACATTTTCGATAGAGAAGTTGCTGTATATGAGGTGTTTTAAGAACTTATGATTTAGAATAAATCATTAGGAGTGATTGTAAAGTTGTGTAATAATGGTTATTTGTCCATTTATTATTATTTTTAATGTACTTTTTAATAAATTATTAATCACTTCTTCTTTCTTTCGACTCCGAGTGTTTAACCTCCTCTACCAGTGGTTTTGGTGTGTTGTCCTCTGACTCTCAATCCCCAATGATGTCTCAAACCACGATTACACCTTAACTTAATTTAATTGAAATACTTGATTTTCTTCATTCTTTCTAAATCTTCTCTTAATTTGGTTTCCAATTCGTTTGTAGTGACTTAATAATTCTTGCCATCCTTGAAATCTCTTTGTCTATTCAAAAACCATCTTGGAATGTTGTAAGCCTCTGGGGATTTGATGACTTCTGTGATTTTGTGAGCTTCATCATCAGTCAATTCACCAGCTCTCTTTGAGAGATCAAGACGGAGAACCTATAGGATGAATAAACTCACATCAAATACCTTGCAAATTTAGATAGCAAATCTTCTGCCGATACCCTTGATACTTCTAATACCATAAGCAAGTCTTTATTTTCCATCAACGTTTGTGTTCAATATACGAATAATGTGTCTGAATGAATCAGCCTTTTCCAACACCAAAGACATTTATTTGTATAAAAGATTTAATTTAATTTAAAATTTTAATGGCTGCTCGATTGCATGCAAATATTGCTTCCCAGAAACTCATTCCTTTCTTCTCTTTCTCTTTTTCATAAACTAACAACATATATCAATTGATCCCATCACCCATTCTTAGTCGCCTTCATGAAACACAAAGCCTACTTATTCTACACTATTGAAACCAGATCTAAGTAAAGAAAAAAAGATAAGTTTCCCTTTCTTAATGTAAAATAAATAATCAATTATATGCTTGCTAATTTTAAGAAATCATAATTCTCCTAGAAATCCCTTATCTTATTTATTTTCATTTATTATACTTCAGAATTCAATTCAATAACATTGCACAATGATATAATCTTAAAAAAAGAGATAATTATTAAGATGAATTTTAATTATAATATCTTCATTTTCCTCCGAACTTTATCTTTTATAAGAGGTAGTCACATAGAGCAATTGGTATTCTGCTTTTGACTTCCTCCAAGGAAACCCACCTCTCAATGCCTTCTTCGTGTATATAGATCCAGAATTCAATTCTACCTTCATTTTTCCTTAAGGATTTCACATAACCCTTTTCTGAACTTCTCTCCTTATGAGGAGTCAGCTTGGGTTTTTCAACTTCCATCATCTAATTAAGTTGTTCTTCAACTATTTTCATAGTTTTTGACTCAATCTTTTCAGAAGACTTCGAATTCTTTTTGTAATGTTCTTCCAATTCCCATTGATTTACTAGTGATAGCATTTCTGGTGTGAGTTCAATCATAGGTTCATAAGTAATTGAACCTGTATTCCATTGGATTTTGTATTCAATCCTTTCCTCTACTTTTTTTTTTAAAACTTAAACAGGGTGTTTAATTTGCATATATTAAATAATAACAGATATATCGATTATATATATAAATTATATATAACAGACAAAAATAATCGAGAATGCACAAGGACTTTAATTACGCAATCGAAATTATGGAGATAGAGAAAATAAAATTGCATGAACAAATTGATTATCTTTAGTAATAGATATAGCAATTGACGAATGAGTATAGTGATAAGATCTTAGAAAAGGATGAAGAATTAGTTACAGCCTTTCTTAAAATGCAACAAGCAGAAAAACTGAATAACGAATTAATTTCAAAATTACAGTCAACCAAAAAAAATGAAGAATAGCTAAATAATGCAAATTATAATTTCATCACCCTACAAAGGAAATTGGATCATCAAATTTAGGAAAATTAAAAACTAGAATAAAAGGTCAAATTGCTATCGGAATAGAGCATGCAATTCCAATAAAAATGGCAACGAGTATCTATTCAATTAAAGCAATAAACAACTCAAAAAGTAAGTGCTAGAACTATAGAATAATAATTAAGTCTCAAACAAGATGAGTGCTAGTAACTTAAAGAGAAACTAGTTCAATATCAACTAGAATTAACGATTGTCAAACAGAGTGATTAAGAGTACAAACAATCGATTCATTAAAAAATGTAGGTACTTTATTAGGAATTGAGGGAAGCCTAATAGAAATTACAACAAAATCAATATATTTCTTAACAACACAAACAAGAATGTTAGTAATGCGAATACTTTAGAAATGAAACTGAATAATTGAAGTAAATCATCAATCAAGATCAAATCTCACAAGAATAAAATAGAATCAACAGTCAGATTGTATTATATTTTACATTATCAATAGAATCAACAATAGCATTAGCAAATGAAAGAATACCAAAACAAAATTATGGAGTTGGAGTATGAAAATTAAAACTTAAAGCAGTAGATCTAACTTCCTGAATCTATTAGCAATCTCAAAAGCAACGATTGTCTCAACATCAAATCCATCATCAATCATCCTCTATACATTAAGATGACTAAATTGGTTGAGTAATTGACTAATCAGACTTAACAAGAACTGTTTAGGAAATCATTGAATGAGCTAGGATTAGAAATTGAAAAACGAGAAAACAAAGAACAATAACTATAGGAGTGTAGAACCATGTATGATAGATTGCTGATCAAATACTATGCATTACAAAAGAGTATCAATAAGATTGAAGAGAATAGCAATGCTAATTACTATGCAACTTAATAAATTACTTCATCGAAATAATAGACTCTTCAGAAGAAGACGAATTAGTTGGATTCCTTTTTATAAGAATAGGAGACAACTAAATAAATGAAATAATCAATATTTTCCAATACCCCAAAACAGAGAGTAAATAACAAACTAAATTTAAGTTTAGATAGTTGTTAATTTAAAAAATGATTCTTATTTATAAATAATATTCATATTGCTTGTTTTTTCCAAAATTTAACGAATAATTATTTAATATTTAATATGCAATATTGTTAGATTCACAATCCTCAATTCTAATAAACCTAATATCAATCAACATCATAACAGCAATAACTGTTACCTTAGCATGTCATACTCATAAATAAATATAAAAACAAAAAAAAAGCATACAAAGGTATTATTATATTTGATTGTAGAGTCTCTAAATGATCTAAGGAATTAGATGAAAGGAATTTTTGATAAGCAATTGCACTAAGAGTAGGAATTAACTCAACTAAAAACTTAATATCATTTGGAAAAAGAGTAATGGTAATAAGAAAAGAAGATCTTGAATTCGATGTTACCATAAAAGGACTTGAATTTCAACGGATTATAGAAGGAGAAGAAGTCTTACAAGGAAAAGAAATAAAAACTCAAACATGAATTGGATCAATATAAATAACACTGTGAAATTTAAGATGGAAAATTACAGTAAATTTTACTTGAAAACTCAAAATTAAAAGCAATTTTAAATGGGAGAGACCAAGAATGTCTGGCTCTGTAAGAAGAAGTCGAATACTACTAAAAGAGATTAATTTAATTGTAAAGATAGTGATGATAAGAATATCTAATTATGTATAACATCATTTTTGTTGTTTATTTTAAAAAAATCGTTACAATTTTTCTTCAATATCCTTATCCAACATTAAATTGTTTTTTATTTGAGTAATTTCCACTGCTTACACTTGTGCTTATGTTTATTACTGATGATCATCCTCTATTTCTGTCTCCAATCTTATATCATCTATAAATTAGACATTATCAGTGAATATAATCATGTCATCTTATTGTTCCCTTCTGATCCAAGGAGCTTCAGGTTTATTTTCAACAGACAAAGGCTAAACATAGGAGAATAATGGATTACCCCAATATTTTAAATTAACTATTTATCAAATACGATTGATAATGATGGAGGTGATAACTTTGGCAAGCTAAAAGATAGTCTAATTTTCAATCCGTCTATAAATATAATAGGCACTTAGAAACAAATAATATTTTCTTTAGGTTCATCGTACAAACAAATCACTCTCTGATAGTCAATAGGATGTTAATCCTTCATTAAGATCTATTCGATGTGCATCAACAGAATTTATAATCCCTCCTATTTAGCTTCATTAATGTTCTCAATCAATTGTTTACAAATCTCTTTAGCTTTTTTAAATTATTTTAAAATAACTAAGCAAATTAGTTCATTAAATTTGATCTCTAAGATCTCCAATAAATCAGCATCTTCCTCATCTTCAGTTACTTCAAACTATTCCTCATCAGTAAATAAATCTGTTTAGCTTCCTCTTTGTCTCAGTCGTTTTTCAGTAATTTAAAGTTCCTTTTGACTTTTGGCCATTTAGAAATCCTTTAATGCTTCTTCGTATTTCTCCAAATGAAAATGAAAAGCCCCTCGAAAAATATAAACGTGGAACTATTAAAATAACCTTCCCTTTCCTCTGGTTAATTAGGTTAAATTGTTCACAGCTTTATTTAAATTAGTTTTAAATTCCATTTATTCACTTTCACTTTCTTCATTGAAATAAATTTGTTGATCATCTTTAAAGACCAATCTCAAAGCTGATAAAATATCTTTATCGAATTCAGCAGTTTGATCTTTAGTCAATTTATAGAGTCTACTGACATCTTCTTAGCATAGGCCTAAGTCACTTAAAATCAAATAGCATTCTGATCTCAATTGTAATAATTTTGGGTTATTTTTGAAATCTTTATTATTAGAGTATGCTTTAATTGCATCTTCAATGGCAGCATTTGCAAATAAGAAATTGCCAGCCCACACATGCATTCTTGGATCATCTTATAATATATGAATACATTATTGTAAATCCTAGAATGCAGAGTTCGAATCTCCACTTAAAAAATGACATTTCGCTCTATTTAAATATGCATCAGCAAAATTTTCATCCAATGTTAAACAGATACTAAAATCATTTAGAGAATGTTAATATTCTTTTAGAATTCCATACACCATTCCTCTAAAATAAAAATACTTAGCCACATTGTCTTCTGATTTTTGAATAGCACTTTCAATATCCACCAAGGCCTCGTTGGCTTGTCCTAAAAAGCATTTTACTATAGATCTAACATAATATAAGTTGGCATTTTAGTCATTCAAACTCTATGCCTTATCTAACAACTCCAATCCCTTTCTAATATCCTTATATTAATCACTTTTTTTTTTAAAGGCTTAATTTATTAATGTTACTCCTTAATAGAAGGTAGGTTCCATTTTTTTTTAGAATATCTTTTACGCCCTTTAAAAGAATTCCATGCCAGCATTAAATTACCCAGCTTAAATCTTTAAGATTCCTTCACATAGGAATTTATTATAATGAATACTAGGTTCAGCAGGTTAAATGTCTAATAAATACTTATAATCCTCCAAAGCCTTTTGATGTTTGGACAAACAAAAATGGCCATAAGCTCTATAAGCATAAAACAACGGTTTCAGAAAATCATTTAATTGATGATGATTCTAAATTTCTTGGAAGTTGTTTAAACTCTCTTAAAACTTGCGTTTCATCAAATGTATGACAGCCTATGATCAATGTATGTAATACCTCAGTGAATAGTCTAAACTTCTCCAAATAGCTTTTTTCGGTATCTAACAGGGCTGATCTATTTAAAGTATGGAAGGCTGCATAAAAATCTCTTTATTCAATCTTCATCTTGGCAATTTCATAGAGTGATTTAGTGACAGCTTTTTTAGAGTTGTTATGCTTGATAGCTTACTCGAAACATAAGAGGGCTTCAGTAGGATTCTCTAGAATGTATAGTTTAAGTACTTGTTTTTAATTTACATAATCCTTTAAAATAATAAGCCTCAGAGTTGATAGGATCAGTTTCTATAAGTTTACTCAAATCTTTAGCACATTCATCATATTATTAACTCTCATACAGAGTAATGGCTTTCTTTAGTAATGCAGCATTCCCAACTGCTTACTCACAATTTATGGCTTTCTAATAATAGGATATGGCTTCCTTATATTAATTTTAGATCCTCAAACAATCAGCCTTACCCAAATACCCTAATCCTTTTTGAGGACTTAGTTATATTGCCATATTAAAATCTGATTCGGCTTTCTCAATTTAATTGAGTTTTGTGAAGAGCTTACCTCTGTAAATGAAGGCATCATAATATCTCGAGAATAACTAAATGACTTTATTTAGAATTGAGATTGCTGAATCCAATTCATTAATCTTCTTATGAGATATTGCCAATAGCAAATAGATGTTCTTTCTATGTGTGGCATCCTGTTAAACTACATATTAGAATTCTGCTATTGCTTTCTAATAGAGTTGCTTTCCGAGATAACCAATGCCCAGAAAGTAATGTCCTTCCAATATTCTGAAATCAGTTTCGATACATTTTTTTAATTGTCTAAAATTATTCAATTTGATACTCGATAGCGTCTTCAATTTGCTTTTCTCTTAATAATTATTTTCCCTTCTCTAAGAATTTGATAGCTCTGGGATTATAATCATCCAAAGGCTTGGTGGTATCACTCTAAAATCCGCTATGATCCTAATAACCTTTAATGAGATTGTTCTCAAAACTCAAATCCACTGTTTGCTATCCATCCATGCTGTTATTAATGTTTGATTGTTTCTTCTATCCTGTTAAAGAGAGTTTCTGCTGATTGGGAAGGTACCAATTCTGTATTTAATTATTGATTGGCTTTTGTCTAGTCTACTTCTTCCTATCATGATAATAAACTTCTACGTGACTTTGCAAAAACTATCATTAGGCTTTGCATTATTGAACAATATATTAAACAGTAAATTTTGAGCCTTCTTTTCTTGACTAAAATTGGAGTTCTGTCTCTTTTTATGATGTTACTCCAGACTTTCCCCACTTGAAATATTAAAGGAAGTTTATCTGGATGGATAAGGTTACGATGATTTTTTATAATGAGGAGTTGGATTTTCTGACACAAAGTGTTCGCCATGTGACTTTGTAGGAGAAAAAGGTTATTTTGGAAAGAATGATCCCATTTGGTTCTTAACTGATTGTGGAGGCTTGTTTGGCCTATATTACATAAATTTTGAATTTTTAATATATTCCCTTAAGCATTTTATTAATTTATTAACTGATAATGATATTTAGTGGATCACTCAGAACTACAACTCCAGAATAAAAGTCTTAAATACGCACCAAAAAACATTTTGAAGTCAAGCACGATTTAGAAGACCAACTATTATCACTCAAAATATTTAAACAATTAGAACATCATTTAAAGCATTAAAACCAAAAAGCACATTTCCCCTATTTCCAAAGTTGAAAATGTCAATAATAGCAGGTTGAGAAGATCAACATCTCCCTTATAAAATAGTTAATTAGATAGGAATTTGGTACCCAAAATTGATAATGCTCCTAAAACACCCTAAAAATCAAGACTTTATGCTAATTTATTTAATAATCAGTGTTCGTTTGAAAACATTTGTTTACAATAATGTCTCAATTGTAAATCCAACAACAAAGAGAATTTGCGTATATAAGAATCACCAATCAAGATGACCCAATCTTTGTTTCAGCAATCAAGAACACTTAAACTCTGTTTAACATAGTAAAGGGAACTACTTTAAAAAATGAAGAGAACTACTATATATAATGATAGATACATATATATATATACTTTTCACAATTGTTCATAGTTGTTTTTAGATTTAATAAAATTTTATTTACATATAATTATTGACACAATTATTAAAATAAATATAGTTATAAATAAGATCTTCTCTCAGATTTTCTTTAGAATAATTATAAAAAAATAAAATTGATAATAAAATTGATCACATGTTTAACAATCAATTAACATTTGATTCACTTAGATTTTTTATCAATTTATTAAAATATTCTTAATTACATGATGACTTGACGTTCCACAGATTTGTTATTTTATGCTATAGATAATCTATTAACACTTGGTTGATTTCTTGTTGAATTTAATTAAATTTTATAAAATCTGCATTTTTTTGTAAGATTGCAGTCATCCTGCGGACTTTTTGAAACTCTGTTAAGTGCTGTTACAGTAAGGCTCAAAAGTAGATGTCAATGTTTCATCTTCACTTAATAATTCGGGATCAAATGTTTTATTCTTTAAAGATTAGGAATCAGATTGAAAGGTTTCATTCTTTGGAGAAAATAAAGTGAATGTGGCTCTAGTTTTATTGATTTCAGATTCAAGATTTTGTATTTTGGATTTTAACTCAGTAATGGATTCTGACTCTTTTTTGTGGCATAGTTTATTGAATTATTTTTTATACTCGTTTTCGAGTGACAAATTTTCTATAATCTATTGTTATTGAATGTTGATAGTCTGCAACTGTTGGATAGTCTAGGCATTGATTTATAGTTAGAAATTCTTCTCCTGGATTTCGTTGGTCAAATGGTTGGTCTGTTTATTCAAAAGTGCAATTTAATTTATTTAAGATTCGATTTCCTTTCTTTAATGGTCGACTTACAATTGTAATTGGGAAATTTAGTGAAGTAGATTCTTTTATTAAGTATTCTTATTAATCTTCTCTTTATTCAAGATTTCTTGCGGATCAAATTTATTGAAAGCATTCAGGTATAAATTTGCCCTCGGTTAGACTGCAGTTTATTCTTGGGGTTGGGTCTTTTTCAAGATTTTCATGACTTAATCCTTTCTTATGGAACTCTCTTATTTGGTCTATCTCGCTGATTGTTAAGATAGCGAAGAAACTGTAATATCTGGCACTGGAATGCAATCTATAGCTTTGATCAAATCGCGATTCGACTATTGAGAGTATAAGCGATTGTTACTGTTATATATTCATCCATTGTTAAATTATTTTAAATTTAATATGCTTAACGAAAAAGTCATAGGAGAATATGTTTATTTAGTATCCGATGAATGCAAAGTCGGAGTCGGTTAATTCAGCCACGTCTACAAAGGATATCACGAGAAGACCAAGAAGCAAGTGGCAATCAAGCAGATTGACAAAAAACAAATCAAAGGTATTTTTGAATAGATGCTCCGAAACGAAATCAATATACTAAAGCAACTGAATCATCAATACATCCTGAAGATGTATGCTTATTATGAAACATCCAACAATTTTTATATCATCACAGAATTTTGTGAGACAGGTAAACAACTAATCAATAATCCATAGACGTTCTTTAAATCTTAAAAAACCAAGGTTCTTTGCCTGAAGAAAAAGTAATTGCTTATGTTTTGCAGATTAGTGAAGCATTGAAGTACTTAAATTCAAAAAGTAAACTTTCATTTCTTAATTATAGAAATCATTCACAGAGATATCAAGCCATCCAACATCCTAATCCATGAAGGGGAAGTGAGACTGGCTGATTTTGGTTTTGCAGTTCATCAAGACAAAGTCGGAATTGAGGACAGACAATTTTAGATTGGATCTCCCTTGTATATGTCCCCAGAAACCTTATTAAAAAATTAATACAACCACAAAACGGACTTATGGTCTTTGGGTGTCCTCTATTTCGAAATGATTTTTGGTATCTCCTATCCTTTTATTATACAGGCGTTGTTCCTTTCTTCTCAATTGAGATGGATGACCTACTCAGAAAATTACAACAATATCAATAGGATTATATATTGACATTCAAATACCCAGTTTCAGAAGCTTCTACTGAAGCAATAAGAAATCTCCTAGCATACGACCCATCTCATAGGTGTGAAATTAGAAATTTGGAACTAATACTCAAAAATTATTATAGTAATAGAGCTGCTGGAGATGCTAGCATTCATTCATAAAAACGAACTATTACTCCTGATAAAAGAAAGAAAGATTCCCCTAATTAAAGTCCGGAAAACAGAAGCAAAGCACAGCCTATTAAAAAGGAACTAGTAAAAGTAAGTTGCTCTGCTAAGTGTTTTGATAAAAATTCTACCTATTTTACCAAAAATAAACCTAATAAAGAGGATGATTAATAAAATTCAAAGAGAGAGGAAAATCTAGGAACAGACAGAAAAGATAACGAAGCCATCCATCAAATCTCGGGTATTAGATTACATGACTTAACAGTATATAATGAAAAAGTAACACTGGAGAATATGAGTAATGAAGACTTTTTAGCATTTCTCATTAAGAAATTAGAATCTGTTAAAAGATAGGATCCAAGTTAAAATATATAAATTAACGAGTGCCAATTATTGTTAGTATGAATTTTTTACATATAAGTATTAATACTACGGGAAAGATCAGAATATACTCTAAGGTTTGAAAAATAAGGGAACATCTAGTTGAATATATAAATTGTTCGTTGAAACGTATTTCTATATTTAAACAACATATAAATTGTAATTTCTAACATAATTTGGGCAGATAAATCTAATTATTTTCCTATTTCAAAACTCATACAAAGACTTTAACATCAATAAATCTATTAGTTATGTTTTAAATATAATTCATGTATTCATTCTGCTATTGATAACTCAAAAAGGATTTAGGAAAGCAAAGGCGTAACAGTTTCATCAGATGCAGCCACAAAAAATAATTCCCTAACATAAAAATTAACATATTTACTTTTCAAAAATAAGCAAATATTATTTTGCTGCAGGAGCCTACGAAATATTATTGAGGGTGATTGCTGCTAGTTTGACATGTTTTTCATTTATTTTATCCTAATTACTTTTTTATTCTTATGATTTCTGAGAATTGCTCTTAATTTGACCAGTGCTCAAAATGGCAACAAGTCTTTATAGTATTTTAGGATGCTTAGCTATGGATAACCTAGTTGCCATTTTTAAATCACTTAAATAACAGAAGAACTCCAACACAATTTCTCTTAATTCTTAATTCTAATAGATTAGCAATCTCGCTAATTGATCTATATATTCTCCGATGGCTCCTTCTATAATTGATTCATTATCAGAAATGGATATCAGATTTCTGAAGGTTTCTGTGACTAAACCTATGTCTTCATATGATTCCCCATTAAGAATTTCTATTAATTTTTACATAAAAGCATCCATGAAGATTGATTAACTTCACTGATGAACTGTACGTTTGGATAAGACTGAAAATGTTTCCAATGCAGATTTAGATAATTCTTAATCAGCGCCAGACAAGAGAATTTAATAAAAAAAGGATAGTAATTTATCTTGTTTTATAAAGCAGGCTTCATTAGATCTAATCATAGCTAAATTTCTCAAAGCCACAAACAAGGTTCTCAATTTTTCCAAATGTTTACATTCTGACTTTTTTTCATAATTCCCTTAGATCAAATCGATATATTTTTTCTAGTAGATTAACTCACTTGGTTTAACCATTTCTGTCATTTGATCATTCATAATTACTGATATATGAGAATTATAATTTTCCAAAGCATTCTGATTTTTGATTAAGTCAACTTGAACTTGCATAGATTTTCGCTATTAGTATCCTAAATTTTCTAATTATTGTTATCCTACTGATTAAAGACAAGTTTTAAAAGAGTATGATTTATTTAAGTAACTAATTTATTTAATAGTATCTTCAATGTATGTAGTAATAGTATCAAGTAATTGTGGATACTGATCAATAAGAAAGGTTTGCTAGAATGATTAACATTAATTGTTATACTGAGTAATTGCAAGAATACATTAATAAATTATTAATGGCGAAAGTAAGTTCATCGTCAATTCTGCTTTCAAAAGCAAGGATAATTCTTTTTGACTTCACTGGCTTATGCTTGTATTTTAGATTTCTTAATGAAAAATATGGTCTCTGCCTTTTCCACCTTGGCATAGTTTAAATTCAAAAGAGCACTTAGAGGTTATCCACTGAATTCCATTTAGTGTTGTCTGTCTTCAGCTTCTGCACTTTGAAATAGATAGTAATATTACACATAGCCAGCCTATTGATTTTCTTCCTCATATCCTATTTTCGTTTTTTTTCTATTGGAACTCATTTCTTCATCATATATATAGCCCATCCTCTTTTACCAAAGAAGAGCTATTATTTATTCATATGCCAAAAGCAATTTCTAATAATGATTTCTTAAAGGTAAATGAGGCTGAAGTACATGTGGCTGGAAACGAGAATTGATCTACAATTTCCTTTTAAGATCAAAATTAAAAATTTACTTTCCATAATTTATTTGCTGATACAACTTTTAAGGCCTCCTCTTTTTGTGACTGCTTTGTATAGCTTGAAAACTTCCAGTTCTCGCCCACCAATTTGAGGTATTTTGACCGATACACCTCTCTGTTCCCAAAATTTTTGCAATTGCTAAATGAATACTTTCTCTTCTTCCCGCTCGTCCATTTATTATTTTATTTTATATAAAATATATATAAATATAAAAATTTATTGTAAACCTCTTTCAAAATCTATAAATCATTTTTCACTGCAGTTTACTTTACCTTTTAGTATTTAAAAACATCTACGATTAAGAAATGTAAACAAAATATACTAAATAAATACATATTAATTTTAACCGAAAAATAAATAACCAAAAATTATGAAATGCATACAAAAACCGAGTCAAGTCTCTTTAGTTAATAGACAGTTCTCTGTTCAAAAGGATATAGCGAATTTTTCAATGTAATCTCCAGATAAATAAATCCATTGTGTTAAAACATAATCACAAGCTAAAATATTAACATATGGCCCTTCGCCTTATATGTAATCGCCTCTGTTAGATGTAAAATACATTAACCAAAACAATATCACCATTTAACCATCTCCCCCTTAAAAATTAGAGAACTCTTCTCAATATAAACTTAACACAAAGACTCTAAGTCAAAATTTTGATGTTCTCAAACCATCTAATTAATCAGACACATTAAAATAATAAAATGATGTGAAACCATATTATGGAACAAGTAAGTAGGAATATCATAAAACGCATGGAAACTATTAGAGTGACAGAAATAAAGACACTACTACATCAGAAAGAAGAAGCAATACTTTAAACAAAGAGGCAACAATCATTGAAAGCAAAGAAAATTACGGATTGACTACAAAATCTCCAATTACAGATAATCATCTTGCTGTGGGAAATAGTAGGCTTTCATCTCAAAATCATGGATTTTTGTAATTGAAACCAAAAATATCAACAGAAATAGCTAAGATTTCTGGGTAATTAAGAGATTTGATGTCAAGTGTTTAAAAAATGGCTACTAATGGAAAATTACCTGATAATATTAATGATAAAATGATTGAGATATTAGCTACTTTTAGAAAATTTGAAGAAATATCTCATGTTGAGCCTAACGAAAATGAATCTAAAACATTAAACATGGCAGAAGATTATAATAAACTAAAGCCAATACTTGAGCAGTTATAAAGTAAAATGACTGCTTTAGTCTAAGAGAATTAAAAAGTATTTGAACATTATTAATCTTGTAGCTGAATAAGAATTTGATAGAACAAGAGCAAAAGGTTATTGAAGAATAAAGTAAAAGACAACTAGCAGAAGACAAAGCAAATTAAACAAATAAGGAATTCAATAGAGTATTTGAATGTTTACAAATAAATTAAAAAGAAAATGAAGAACTTAAGATGAAATTACAATAAAAAGATGCTTTTAACAATTAAAAGATTCATTAAAGCATAACCAAAAATGAAGATGTACAGGATTATAAATAGAAGAATTTGTAACTATAAAAAGACTTGGAATTATTGGAAAGTAGGTATAAATAGTTATTGGCTGAGAAAGCGAATTCAAAAGAATTACCAAAATCACCTTTAATGATGAAATCAATTCATTCAAGTACATCAAAATAATAGGAATAGTTGGAACTTAAACTATTATGATTGCGAATTGAAAATGATAATTTAAAAGCAGAAATCGCTCACAATTAGGTTGATGCTAAGGTGATTGATAGTAAGAATGAAATGATCTAAAAGTTGGATGAAAAAATTAAATCAATAATAAAGGAGAAAGAAATTTCTTAAGAATAATAGTTTTAGATTTACCATAACTTAGAAACTCAAAATGAATAATTGAAAAAGACTCTATTAGTTAAGGAAAATGAGATTTCCACTTAATTGAAGTTGAAAAATGAAATGGAAAGAGAACTAAAAAGTTAGATAAATAATCATGCTCAACAATTGAAAATGTTGGATGATAAACTATTGACATCCAAATAAGATTATCAAAAATTGTTGGATGAATTTAAATCTATGGATATGCGAAAGAATAAAATATAGGAGGAATATAAAATAAATTAGCAAAGGCTTGATAAATTAAACTAAGATATTTAGTTATAAAGTTAGGAATTAAAAAAAACTCTTGATAATAATTAAACTTTAAATTTAAAAAATGATTAAATGAATCAACAATTGTCTTAGTTAAATAAAGTATAATAATAACTACTGCAATAAATAGAAGGATAGAAGTAAACTGAAACTGCTTTAAGGATGGAATGCGACAGATTAAACAAAATGAATTAAGCAACTCAATAAGATATGAAGTATCAAGTCACAGAATTAAAAGAAATGGTTTAATTACAAGGAAGAAGAACTCAAGAGAAAGAGAATTAATTAAATGAATTACTTGAAGAGATGAAGGATATGAAGGATTAATATGAGATATAAAAGAAGGTGAGTTAAGAAAGCATTAGTGATTTGGAGAGAAGACTAAAGAATTCAAAACTATAAAATGAAGAACTGTTACAAATAAAAGAATAAGAGATTATAGACTTCAAATTAACCATGGAATAATAATTGCAAATGCTGGATAAAAGAAATGCATTATCATCCTATGATTTTGATTAAAGGGAACAATAACTTTAAGTTGAAATTCAAAGTAAAAATGAATAGATAGAGGGGTTAAAGGTAGAACTAGAAAAGATCAGAAGCCAGAATTTTAATGCCTAAGAAGAACTCTTAAAAAATGGAATTTCATAAAACTAAAATTAAGCCACAATAAGTAATTTGAGAAATGAATTAAATTAATCAAAATAAGAATAATAGCACTTGAATGAGATGTTGAAGAAAAGAAGGGAAGAAACAGAGCAATTACATTAAAGTTTAGAGGAAATGAGAAAAGAATAATAAAACAAAAAGTAACAACAGGAGGATACTCGAAGTAATTAATAATTTAATTTTATATAGGATCTATATTGAGATAGTAGGATCTTTAAATTACAAATGAAAATCTTTAAAGAGATAATTTAACTCTTTCTTAGAAAGTCAATGCGTTGTAAAATGATAATAATAGGAAACAGAGGGAGTTGATTGAGAAAAATGATGAATTCTTAAATATTAAAAGGAAATACGATGAAACAGTATAAAATTTAGAAAGATTGGAGAAGAGATGGGGCGAAAAGATTGATTAACATAGAAGAACTTGATTTATATATTAGTTATCAATAAATTGATCAAATTTCTAATTTTTCAAATAATTCTGCGTTATAGATTTGATTCCATGATGCTGGAAATGATTAATTTTGCAAATATTATTAAATAATTTTTAACTATTGTTTTAATTTGTTTGTATTGTTTGTTTTGATTCCAAATTATTCAGAAAGTTTCTTAAGAATTGTGATATCTTTTAGATCCTCGAAACTCTACAAGACATCTGATTTGTAACTAAAATAGTCAAACAGTTCTCTCTTGGTTTTGATTTAATTTTCTTGTTTCTCTGGTATGTATTCTTAGTAGTCATTAAATTGATAAAAAATTTCTTAGTTAGTAATTGACTCTTCTTGGATAGGTTCATTGGGCATTTTAAACACCATATGGGGTAGCTCTGGTTAATCACTATATTAGTAAAATGTATTGAACTTAATTGATAATTCTCTTAATTTGTCTTCAATCAATTGCTTTTTCCTTTCACACTCGGCAATTTGCTTAGAAAGATGTGTGTGTTCATTTCTCAATTGTTGGACAAGTTCTTATGAGTCCTTGACTGAAAGTATAAAATTTTCGCCTTGTTTTTTGTATTTAAATAATTTTGAAGACATTATTAAAAAATAAATGCTATAAGCGAACCTCAATTTATAAGAACTTAGATTAGAAAAGGATGACGATTAATTATTTTACGATTTAAATTAAGTTAATTCTCAAAACTTGGATGAAGAGGCTGAACAATCTGATGATACAGAAGATGACTTTCTGGATTGTTTTAGATGTAATTAACTATTGAGTATTGATAGATTCGGTGATTATTTCGCCGATTCGACAGTAATCCAAACCTTAAACTTTGTAGCCACAATTTAATTAAGATTACTAAATAAATCCTTTATGCATAAAACTCGATGCAAGAACGACTTTAATGCTGAAGAATATCCCTCTTGAGTATAGTCTAAAGGATTTGATAATGGAAGTCAATAGTTTTGTCAAAGGAAAGTATAACTATTTATATATGCCATATGATTAGATTGTAAACTTTATTATTCTAATTAAGAAAAATTGTAACATAGGCTACGCCTTCATTAACTTAATTACACCAAATGATGTTGAATATTTCTATCAAAAATTTGATTAAAAGAAATGGAAACTCAACCCAGATAAAATATGTACTCTTCGCTATGCAAAGAATTAATTAAGTAATTATTGATAACTTATTTAATATTATATTTTTCATTTAAATTTCATTGTAAATCCTATTGACACATATAAATTATGCTATGTTGCATATGAAGTAAATCCAAAATTAATATTCGACATCAATGGTTATCTATTTGATAAAATAAAATGAAAACAAAAGTTATTATTTAAAAATTTAATTAACTACTAAATGGAAAAAGAATAGACATTTGTCCTAATCAAACCAGATGGAGTTCAGAGAAGAATCATAGGGAGAATAATTCAGAGATTTGAAGATAAAGGATTTTCTATGGTTGCCATGAAGATGCTCATCCCAAATCAAGAATTGTTACAGAAGCATTACGAAGAACTAATGTTCAAACCCTTCTTCCCTTGTTTGATCTGTTACATGCTATCAGGACCAGTTATTGCTATGATTTGGCAAGGAAAAGATGGTATTGTATATTTCAAATAAATAAGTTGTTAGGTAAATACGATCCATGCTTGGAGAAGGCAGAAACCCTGTTGAATAGAAACCAGGCACAATTAGAGCTGATTATGCACTTGAACTATAAAGAAATTTAATTCATGGTAGTGATTCTTGCGAGTCAGCTTAAAAAGAGATCAATTTGTGGTTTAATTAGAAGGAAATAGTAGATTGGAAGCCTTCTGATTTAAATTGGGTATGTGAATGATTACTTTCAAAACTTTCATTTTTAATTTTATCATAAATGCAAAAATCTTAACTGATCAGAGTATTGAGTGATTCAAATAAATCCCTAAATCCTTTTGCTATGTCAAGACAATCAAGCCAAGAGACACCAACAAATCAAGGAAATACTAGTTAAAGTTAGACATCTGAGAAAGAAATTGCACGTTTGACTAGATTGGTGGGGTCATTAAAAAAAGAAAACGAATCCTTGCTACTCAAAATTAAGTAGTTTGAAGAGATAGATTACAAAGGCAAAATCTAAACTCTAGAATAAAAAAACAAATAGTTAGAATCATAAATAGATACTTTTAAAAAATTACCAATCGATTAAATCAAGACCTTAATTGATGATAATGAAAGATTAACGAGCATAGTTGAAAATTAGTCAACCAAAATTAAGACACTTTTAACATAAATTGATGATTTAAAGGATTCCTCATTTCATAATGAAGGAAAAAATGAAATCATTATTGCCATGATATAAGTAAGGATTTCAATTAAATTAAAGGAACTTGAAAATCAGAAACTGTACGTCTAAGATGAATACAAGAGATAACAAATTATGAATAAGGAAAAATAAACCCTCTACCTTGAGTTATAAATGGCAAAACAATAAATTAAGGATCTAAATCAAACCATTGAGAAAATAAAGATGATCAACTTGGAGAGCAGTGAACCTTGTGACCTACTTCATTAGGATTATCTGAAAAGCCATGAGGCAGTCTTAGCTTTCGTTAAAAATTAATACTGACTGACTGATATTTCATCAGAATTAAAGATTATATACTAAAAATTATATATTTATATATATTATTACAAGAAAATGAGTAAAGTTTCTAGGTTTAGTAATATAAAAAATGAGATGGAAAAATAACAGCATTTAGACAAAATCAACCAGAAATCCAAAAAGTAATAGGCTGTTTTCAATAATCCTTTTTTTAAATAACAAGATGATCAAGAAGAACAAGAGAACATTATAGAGAGCAAAATTTAATAGTTATAAGATGTGCAAGTGGTGATTCCCAAAGAACTGAACTTATAAATACAACATAAAGTGAAAAGTCATATCATTGATCATAAATTGAAGAACAATTATGATTATGTTAGATTAAAATATATTATTCGTATTTGGAGAGAGCAATCAATAAAATTGAAGATATCAGAGGAGTAGGTCAAATAGCAATTATTCAAGGCAGCTAAAGAAAACATGATTGATGATATGATTAAAAATTAAAAATATGAAAAGCTGAGATAGCAGCAAGAATAAGAAAAAATCATTGAAGCTTAGGAGGATGAAAAGTCTTAGATGTTAGAGTTAGAGGAAAGAGTAAAATAAAAGAAACAAACTGGGACAGCTAAGCCTGAACAATAGATGGCTGCTTAAAGTCAAGTAGATTCATTTGAACAAAAGAATGATTTATTCAAAATGCCAGATTAGGACCTAATACAATATATTCCATATTGCACAGACATATATTTAGGTAAAGATTGAATCTTCTATTTACTAAAATACAATATTTAATAAATTTTTAATTAATTGATTATATTTTATGTTGTAAACCAATTCCAATAAGCTAAATAACTTAGAGAAACTTATCAAACTTCTCTCAAAATCCAATAGAGATTTTAATGAGAATGAAATCATTCTCTAATTATTATTATCATATCAATATTTTAAATATTTTTATGATATCCTTATTCAACATTTACCATTGGATCGCATCATATTAGTATTGATTGTAAATAATTAGATGATGGATTCATTAAAATTAGAAACTTTTAAAGAAAACTCTCTAATATTTCAAGAGAAGGAACCTTCGAACTCCAAGATTTATTTAATCTTGTCTGGTTCAGTCTATTTGCTAAGAAATAAACCCTTGCAATAGTTTCAATTTAATTCCACAAAGTATTAATAACTCTATTAAAGTTCCAACTATTATAATAAATATGGTTTTATCGTTAGGGAATTGAAAGCCGGAGATGGTTTTGGCGATAAAAGTTTCTTGACTAATTAGCCAAGGTCGTTATCGGCGATATCAAATGAAAAATCACAATTATTGATTTTGGATAATTCGTTTTTAAAGGGATTCGAGTCGGCAATTAATTAGTCATAACACAAAGCGAAAACCTTAATCTTTAACTTTTTTCCATCTGTAATTATTTATGCAAGCTTAGATTAAGTTAAATTATTCTAATGCCAGACTTGAGTCTATCTTTTATAGTTTTTAAGTAAAAATCATATAGATCTTTTTCAATAGAGCATTTATTTAGCACGTGATGAGATACTGTTTGAGGAAGGTAGTAAAGGAAATGAAATTTATATTTTGTAACAAGGAAACTGTATGATTCTAAAGAAGTTCCAGAATGAAAATATTTCAATTGCAATTCAAGATAATAATTGTTTATTTGGAGAAGAGATATTTTTTAGTGAAAAATATGATTACACTATTAAAGTTTAATCCCTTTAATCGTGTTTTCTAAAAATAAAGATTTAAGATTTTGTAACTTTTCTCCCAGAGGAATGCAAAAAAGTGTTGAAATCACATTATGACACCCATAAAAATGATAGATTTCGTTTATATCAGTTGGCTGTTGAAAGATATCAAAAATAATTAGAGGCTCAAAGATTAAAATTAGAGTAAGACTTAAATTGAATATTCTAGATCCAAGCAGTCTCAAAAATTACAAAAATAATTAAAGATGTAAAATTATTCATAGAGTGAAACAGAGTTGTAGATGAGATTTGATAAGGACATCTCAAATTTTAGAAATTTTATATCTGTCAGAACTAGTTCTCTCTATTTCAATTCAACCAGAGGGTTCTAGGCTTAAAAATTTAACAATTATTCTCCCTCCTTTATAATAGATTAGTAATATAAGTTACTAAAGGAACCATTAAATCCAATCAATAGTCCTTTAGATTTTGGCAAGGGAGAGGCTGAAGAAATGAGAAAAAGAACTTAAGTGCAATTGTGTGTAATGAGTATGGAAAAAATCAATTATTTGAATTAATTCAAGTCACCCAAGGTGCATTAATTGAAAAATAAATTTTTAAAGACTTTTAAATAACAATAAAGGAAATCAGTTTCATAGATGTCAATTAGCACAGCATTGACTCCAAAGAAAAGATTGAGTTATTTTTCACCAGAGGCGTCAATGATGAGTTTGGCTAATTTTTGATTTTAAATATATTTTTATATATAAATATTAATCAGAGTTGTTTAGCCTTATGCTTATTAAGATATCCTTTAATCTTCCCACGAAAAAAAATGTATCCTAAAAATCCAAAAGTTGAGATAACAGTCCATATATTTGATCTGTATATTCCTAGCATCTTATGACTGTAATTATCATTATCAAATTCAATCTAATCCTTGACTTTCTTCATGGTGGCACATAATTAAAACACTCTTTATTTGGCCTATGATTTTGCCAGCATCAAGAATTCCTAATTAATTCAGAATGCAAATTACCAAAAGTGGAATTTCTTGGATTCCTTTGGATGCTAGTGTATAGATAACTTTATCACAGGCAGAACAATATATCTTTTATGTTATTTTTCTGTATGTTTCATTTTGGATATTTTCCATCAAATTGCTACTAAAATAGAAATCAAATAGAGCTTTTTTATCATCATAAACAGTTTCAATTTTTTTGATTGACTCAATAATGTTCTCAAAGGTTTAATTATACAAGGTCCCTTAATAGACCCTATTTAAAAATAATAAAGCCAGACATGTAAAATCAACAATCATATTCCATTCTAAAATGGGATCTTAAAAGAATGCATGCAATACTGGAATTAAATCAAAGTCTAGAAATACAGAAGACAAATTCATATACAAGTATATGAAGTAAAGGAAAACAAAAGCTATTTAAGCCTCATTATAATCCATCCAATCATTATCTATTAATAGAGTTAATCTTCTCATATTATCCCAAGATTCTAAACTCAAATTACAACTAAAGTCTAATTTATAATCTGAATTGTAAGGCAAATCATCCGGAATTTCATCCTTACCACTATCATTTTCGTCTTCAATTTAATCTTGAGCTTTATTTGGAATGATCATTGTCTACAGGACATTCAATATGTATCTCTTCCCTTAGATATCATTACATTTGATTAAATCAATCAGTAAAATGATCATGTTTAAATACATCCCTAAAAAGCATAGAAAGAAGATAAATTCGATCTCTTGAGTCTCATCTGACTATGATAACAGATACAGTGGGAAACTCCCCTTGGCCAGCAATACAGCTAAGTAAATCAAAAGAATAGAAGCTGGTTCTTTTTCTTATTTCACTTTGATATAATCATAATGAGGCCATAGGAAATTGTCAATTGCATGTCTGTAACCACGAAAGCCTAGTACTCTTAGTTCCTTTAGAATTTTCAATTTGTTTGCCGGTTATTCAAATTGCTTCCTCTCAAATGGAATATCAGGTTATCCCTATAGAATTTTACGTGCTCTTTCAATAAGTTCAATTATGGAATGATCACTTAATGATATGATATCATCTATTGCACAAATGCCTGGGTCAGAATCAAGGGCAATATAGTAAAGTGTACTATCTATATTTTCCGTTTCCATTGCATCTCTAATCTATTTATATAAATTTTCTTGCTTCAATTCTTCCTATTTCTCAGGAGATAGGTTTTGTTGTAATAATTTTTAATACAATCTCCCAAGACCTAACTTACTCATGTTTGCATCAGATATTAGAAAATCAAAATCCATTTCTTTTCGATCTATTGAAATTGTTAAAACATATGAGGACATTAAAATTTGAGATTGTAAAAATATTAGACAGGATATTGCCCAATCTTCATAGTTAATTGTCTATTTGTATCTTAAAGCTACTAGGACATACATCATCAAAATTGATAATGCCATTGCGAGATCACAAGTGAAGAACATTATTGCCTTTAAAGCCTAAAACAATATCTATTTGAAAATTACTTGAATAATTCTGAAGAATCTAATGCTTTTTGCAATTTATCCTAGGTACAAATAAAGCAATTTCAAAGTAAAAACTGGCAAGGCAATTGTGGCATTGAATAAATAAAGGATTACAAAACATCGATAAGGTCTCCATTCAATGCTTCTTACATCTAAATTTTCAAATAGAATCTCTTTCTTGTCCTCTCTTAGCCTATCTGTGTGATTTGGAGTACTCATTAATTAAGTACTTTATTCAAAATAATAATTTTATTTTTTCTAATCTCTTTTAGTGATCAAATTATCATAAAATAGTCAATCATTTTTTGGTTATTGTTGGAGAACACAATAAAAATATTGAAATAGAGAATATTTATTTTGAACAAATCTTGAGGTTAACAGGACGAAGGTTATTATTAAAATCAAAACATTAAAAATAATTTTCTTCTCTCTTTTATTTTTAAGACTTCTTATAAATTACTTTTTCATTGCAGATATTATTCAGTAATATGATTGTCGATTAAAAAAAAGAATTAATTATTCTTTATAAATTAAGGTAATTAAATACTTAAAATTCTACTAATTAAGAACTGGTGAATCCTTAATAAATTTAACATTCTTTGCTATTTTGTAGTCACTTTACTTAGTTCAGATATTAACTTAATTTGAATAGGAATAACAATATAAGAAAATATTGACCTTGTATAATTGCATAATTTATAAATAAAAAAATTTAACGGATGATTTCTTTTATGGTAATGTCAAATATTTTATCTGATCAAATGAAGCAATAATATAAAAGCAAATCTGTGTTTTGGAGGCAAGAAAAAGAAAAATTACTTTAAACATTACAACCAAAACTAAATAACTAATAACAATAAAGATCAAGAACAAGTTAAAGAAATAGTAAGTATCGCTATCTTGTTGAATCACTCTATCATTAGGATACTCCTGAAAATAACAAATCTATTTACAATTAATTCTAATAATAAAGGAGTTCTCAATTTCAACATCAATAACAATAAAGTTCTTCAAAAAACAAAAAAAATGATGAACTAAGCTTTTCAACAATTATGAATAAATATTACAAATAGTTAGAAGGATCTAATACTAAATAACACATATATGATCCTTTTGCTGAACAGATAATTGAATCCTTTTAAGAACTAAAAAATAAGAAATCTGTGAAAATAAAAGAATTAGAAGAATGCGCATCTGACAACTATTAAATAAGTAATAGCGGACGAAAACCAAATATCATTAATAAAATAAATCAAATTCGAGAATTTTTAGATCAATAATTAAGTCCAAAATAGGAAGATCCAAACAAAGAAGGCTAAATAAATAATTAAAAATGCTCAAATGCTGACATTAGTACTAGAATCTTTAGATATAAATCAGTTGAATCTAAATAATTTTTAGATTAAAGTTAGAGGAACTCAATACCAAAAGTTAATGAGGACATTAATAAAAGACGATCTTCAAAAAGCTGCACTACATTAGATGTTGGCATTTAAGTTTCATTGATAGGTGAAATTGAATCCAAATAAAATGTATAATTAGGAGCAAGTGATCATGATAATAAACAAAATTGTAATCAAGAATTTAAAGTATCTTTAAAAGATGTATTAAAAGAATAGATTTAATAAACATTTTCATAATAATCATAAAATTTTTAATCTCTTGTTTCTTAATATTAACTACCTTAATAGTAAAAATAACTATCCGAGCAACATTCAGAAAGAAGCAGCAGAAGAAGTCAATTTTAAGAGAGCAATAGATCCTTCATCAACAATGAGGAAAGATAAAATTCATTTATTAAAGAAGCTGATTGCAGTAAGGCTGGAACTAATTTATAAATTGAAGAAAATCTAAAGTAGATTTCGTAAAGGGCTAAAAATAATTAGGAGGATCATTCATATTAATAAGAAAGATTATCTCATAGGTCTAATATCAATTGTTTAATTATTAATCCAGAGAAATTCTCTATAAAATAAAATTAGGATCACTAAATAACAACTAGTTAATAAAATTAATAAAGTTTAGGTAATTCTAAGTTTAGCCTAAAGAATAAGGAAAATTTTGAAGAGAATAATACTATTACGAATTCTGAAGTCAAATTAGAACAGGAGGAACCAAAATTAAAAGAAATTTAAACGATAAAGCAACGAAATTTAATTTAAATTCCTAAAATAATAAATAGTTTGAATTTCTAAAAATTAGATACACATAATGATTTCTTAGGATAGTTAACCTCAGTTGATACTAATCGATTTAAATAAGATCTATAATAAATTTTAGAAGAGGAAAATTCTACTAATGCCTTAAGGGTTAAAGAAAAATAACAATCAATTGATTTACCTTTAACTAGTAATCGATCATCATTGTCTTTTACTGACCCTATGATCATGTAATAGACAAATCAACTTCAAAATGTAGAAGAGTCAGATGTTGCATAGACAGATTAAAGGATTATTGATAATGCTACAGTATTTACAGATGGCAATTTATAATATTCTGAAGACACACCAAAATTAAGAGTAACAACTTCATTAAGCAACAATAACTTAGATGAAGGAAAATATTAGGGAAATTCTTAGTTAAAAAGTGAAATATAATTATAGGTCACTAAGCCAGAATCAAAGTATTAACAAAAATTATTATCATCAAATGAATTAAACTGTATGAATTCCTACTCATTTGAGTAATGGCTTTAATAAAATGAATTTAACAAGAAAGTTTGTAATTAAAATTTACATTCTTAACACTTTTAAAAATAAAAATGTGATCATAGTACTTAAATTAATAAAGTTGATTCAGATTCAGATGAAGAAATATAATTTATAAAACAAAAATAATAATAATTTCAATTAAACTAAGGTATTACCCAACTTGTTAGAAACATTTCCTCAATTTTGAAAATTAGAAAGATCAAATCTTTTTATGAAATTCGTGAATTTTCAATATCAGAATCTTAAAAGCTCTAATAATAATAATAATCATAATCATCAACATAATAATAATTTTATAATTTTCAATTTGAATCGCCATATCAATCTTAAACCTCTTGTAATACCCTCTCTACATAATTAGTATAAAAGTAACAATTGAATCAATCATAACAATCACCAAAATATTAATTAGACCTAAAATCTTTAAACTAGACTTCAAGAGAATAAGCTGCTTGTGAAAAAATATCGAGTTTACTTAAGATAATCAAAGAGGAAACTGGGTCTGATACCTTAAGATTGATACAAAATAAATAGTCACAGCTTTCTAAAAGTAAGCGAAAAGAGAAAAAGTCAGAAACCACTACTTTTTCTTAAAAATGTGATTATAAAACAAAGAATAATACTCCATCCCCAAAATATTAATCAGTATAGCTCCCAGTGGAACAAATAAATGATAGAATCAAAGTAAACTTAATTTAGGATTTAGAGTTAGAGTCTCCAAAATAAAAACATACAGAACATGCTGAATTAAATGATAATAGTAAAAATTGTAAATTATATTTAGTTCCAATTGCAGAACCAATGGAATTTTAGGAAGTTTAAGTAATTGAAAAGTAAAAGAGAGAAATTAGAGAAAATAATTGGTCTAATAATTGTAGCAATATTCTAAGCAATCAATGTGGTGAATCCAAAAACTTTTATGTTTTATCTAATCATATAGCTAATTAAAAGGCAAAAATTGCAAGGAAGTTTTAATAGATCCATTATAAATCGGTTGGTTAATCTACTTCCAGGAAAGAAAATATATAATTTTGATTACTAATTTATATTTTATGATATTATTTTTATAATTTTTAATTGAAATTTATTTAAGTCTACTGAATTTTGAACTATTTATACTATTTAGCATTTATATATTTAGAATAATTATAATAGAAGATAATTAATAGCATGAATAGATAATATATATATTGGGCATTTTAATCTTAAGAATCAACATAAAAATGAGTAAATAACAAAAAAAAAACAATAAAAAAAATCATTCAGGTGAAGATTTGAACAAAAAAAAAATAGCTAAAATATATGATGACAATCTAGTTAAAAATGATGAGGAGGACTAAGATTTTGAAATGGATTCTAAAATTGAGGAGGATGATGAAATTGAGTAAGACGGTATTTATAAAACCTTATGTCATTAGGTGAATAGACATCTTAACATTCTAGTATAGATATTAATGCATATTTATAACAGAGAAACTAAATTCCTGATACAGATGAAGATGAAGAAGATGTTTAATAAAATTAAAAGTAGCAATCAACAAAAAAAAATAATAAGACTCAAAAATCTAAGAAAAAAATTTAATAAAAAGATTTTGAGGACGAGGATGATGATAGTAGTAGTGAAGAAGATGAGATTGATGATGAAGATGTTGAAGAACCAAAACCTAAAAAAAGAGTTTAAATATAATAAATCAAAAAAAAACAAATAGTTAAAAAGTCAAAATGATATTTTCTAAATAAGAAATGACATTATCAAATAATAATTAATATCAATTATTTTCATTATTTTTTGATTATTTACTGGATTAATATGAAGTATGATAGATTTTAATCTTTTTTTGAGTGTAAAAAATGAATAAAATTTGATTCTGAATTATGTAAACTAAATATATTTTGATTTAAGATAACGATATTTTTTTAAATAAAAAATAAAGTGTTGAAAAATGAGCTTAGATATTTATAAAATTATGAGGTATTGTCATTATAAATGAGTAGATGAAGCATGTGGAAGAATAATTCATAAAAAAACACAGAACAGAATGTGTCTAATTTATAAAAGAATATCCAAAAATTATTTTAAATTGATATGTTATATCATTTGTATCTCTTTGGAGTATCATATATTCTGCTTTGAACAAAGTTGCTTTATGTTGTAAACTCATATTCTAAAGCTCTATCTCTAGCTCTTCTTTCTAATTCAGCTTCTAATTCTAATCTTTCTAATCTCTCTTTGCTTCTCTATCTTTCATATTCTAATTCTCTTTCTACTCTCTCTAATTGTCTGCTTCTCTCAAGTACCTTTCTTTCATTTTCTAATTACTCAATTCTCAATTAAGACTTTCTCAACTACTCTACTCTTTCTCTGCTTTATCTCAGTTCTTCCAATGCTCTTTGTTATTCTCTGCTTTACCTCAGAGCCTCAATTTACTCAAGTCTTTCTCTGCTTTTTCTTAGATCTTCTAATCTCTCTTGACTTCTTCTTAACTCAATTTCTTCCTTTTGTTTCTTTAATTATTCTAATCTCTCCTAACTGGTTCTTAATTCTTCTACTTTTCTTCTTTGTTTTTGTAATTCTTCAATTCTACTTCTTGATTTTCTGAGTTCTTCAATCTTTTCTTAATTCTTTCTCTCCTATTCTAATTGTTCCAATCTTTCTCTACTCTTCCTCAAATCCTCAAGTCTTTCTCTGCTTTTTTTTAATTCATCAATTTAGGCTTATCTTTCTCTGCTTTTCTTTAATTCTTCTAATTCTTCCATTCTCTATCTACTTCTTTTTAATTCCTCTAATTAACTTAATCTTTCTCGACTCTTCTTTAAGTCCTCTAATCTTTCTCTGCTTCTTCTAAGATCATCTAATCTTTCTCTACTTCTTCTTAAGTCGTCTAGTTACTCAATTCTTTCTCTACTTCTCTTCAAATCCTACATATACTCCAATCTTTCTCTGCTTCTTCTGAGGTCTTCTACTCTCTCTCTACTTTTCTTTAAATCTTCTAAGACTTCTCTTTCTCTTTCGATTTAAATGATTCTCTCTCTACTTCTTCTCAATTCATTAGCTATTTATCTCTCTTATTGGAAGAAATCTGGAACAAAGGTTAAAGCCTCTAATAATTCCGAGTATGATATTCTTCCATCCTCATCTGAATCAACTACTCTGAAAAAGGCTGTCAATTCATCAAATGACAATTTAGCTCCATTTTGTCTTAGAAAATCTTAGAGACTATTAATTTATTATAATTTATTACGTATCAATGGTAATATATCCCAAATATACTTAATCAATGCATCTAAATGCGTCTAGAGATGTGAAGTCAGCGCTAGTTGTTAATATTTCTTAGGCAGCTGTTATTGAACTAAATTATAGTTGATATCATTACTTATAGTTTTAAATTTCCTATTAGAATACTCTAGAAAGCCCCCACTCTACTTCTGTTGGTAACAACATATTGACTTCAATGTAATAACTGTCTCTAAGTGATGCAATTTGTCTCAATCTCGAGTCTTCTTTTGGCAGTATGGCTTTAACGAAGCTAATCACATAACAAAAATAAAATACTCAGGATAAGTGATTCTTCCATCCCTATTGAGATCGAGTCTCCTAAAGAGATAATCAGATTGGGCCTTGGTTGGATAAATTTTATTATCTGCCAAGAACTCTACTATGTCAGAAACAGTTAATTCTCCTGTTCTAAGTTGATCCAATCTTCTGAAGGCAGTATATGGTTCGAACATTTTTTGTTCTGCTAACACTTAACGCACCATCTCTGTTTTCTTTTCACCTTCTGCGATTGTGATGATTAAGTTTGCCAATCTTCCTTGTGTTCTTGCTGAAAGGTACATGATTAAATAAAATTTATTTGCAAATAAATAAAATTAAAATCCAAAAGAAAAAAACCAATTTATACTCATCATTTATTCTAATTAGGTAATGAATTTATAATCCTATTAATTTAAAATGCTTAAATATTAAAATTTTATGTTCAAAAAGACTTTTCATATTTTTACATCTCTTTCATCTTCTATTTTGAATCCCTCCACCTTCTATAATCAAACAAATAAATATTGATGAAGTTTTTCATAGAATTGACATTTTTAGTGTGTTTTAATATAGCTCTTTTGCTGAGGCTTAGATTTTGCATTATTTACTTAATATCTATATAGATTTCATTGAATTAGATGTCATATCCATTTAACTTTATCATTTCTCTAGATATATTTAAAAAGAAAATTAACATAATCTATTCCCATTCACATTTTAAACATCAAAGCTTAAGAATCAATTTATATTGAAGCATTATTATACAAGGATTAGAACATTTTCTACTTAGGACCTAAAATAAATCTTTTTCTTCTCTAATCATTAAGTTTATCCATCAAATATGTAAATAATTTGGTAGGGATTCTTAAAATGATTGATATCGATATTAATACACATCTATGCTTAAATTTAAAAAATAAGGACAATACAATTAAAATTAACTGCTTTCATTTTTAAGAAAAATTATAATAAAATGAAAATAAAATTCACTTAAATTTTGAATCTAATCTAATGATCAATTTGATAGGTTATCTACACATGTAAGTATATTTCCATAGATTTCATCACTTATATTATTAATAATTTTGTTAATTTATCATAATCATTACAACAACTTTTAATGAAACCCCTTAAACAAACAACATTTTACTATATGATAATTAAAAACACTGCATAAACTATTTTTAAAATGAACTTAAATTTATGAAACATAATTTCAGAACATTTTAACTGTTTTTCAGTTTCATTTTAAAGATCGAGCAAATAAAATTAAAATGATCCTTTTTTTGATGGATTGTAATAAAAATTGATTACCTTTTGGTCAGATAAATATGGAAAGAAGTACAACATAATATATATAAGGTTATGATGAAGCAATATAATGGCAGTAGAAAAATTATAAAGATAATTATAAAAAATCCTTTTATACTTCATACATACTTTACTTAATGGTCATTGAGACACAGATAGGTAATTTTGCTTAAATGTAAATCTAATGGAGAGTAATTGAAATATATTGTTTAATAATAATTTATTAAATAAAGAAAATTAATGTCATCCAAAGGTCATGACCGTCAAAAGATTTTGAGCAAAGAGCAAAATGTGGGCCTTACAAAAGAGTAGTATGAAAAAAAATATTTATTTCATCGTTTAAAAGAAAGATTTTTACATAGCTAGGATTTATCACTAGAAACAATTACTCCAGAGGGACATGAAAACATTTATTTACCAATGGATATTCAAACTCCGACTTAAGCAGATGGTTTAAGTTATGAGGATGAATAGGCTCTTAGGATGCACGGTGCTTAAATTTGTTTCCAAGCCTGCAATCACTTAAAATTACCATTAACAACAGCCATTACAAGCTTAGTAATATTTCATAGATTTTTTGCTAAGTATTGCAAGTGATGTCAAAATATTTAGGAATTCTTTCGTGGATTTTGATTACCGCGAAATTTCAATGGCTTCATTGTATTTGGCAGGCAAGGTTGAAGAAACATTACTGAAAACATGGTATATAGCAGGTGCATTCAGCTCTGTTTTCCAAAAACAAAAATAAGCTCCATTGTAAAATTAGTATTAATATCAAGGGACATCATAATTAAATAAGAAAAACTAATTCTTAAGGAACTCGGATTTGAATTATTTAGAGTTTCAGATCATCCGCATAAGTTCATAGAATCATTTTATCATTTTATTAAGGTCGATAAGCAGGTAGCTCAAAAGGCTTGGTATTACTTGAACGATTCATACATGACTGATTTATGCGTACATTTTCCACCTTAAGTTATTGCAGCAGGAGCTTTGTATTTAGCATTGAGGGTCTGTAATCATCCCATGCCCACTTAACCATGGTGGATTCTATTAGAAGCTACTTTAGCATAAGTAGAGTAGGTAGCTGCCACCATATATAATATTTATGAATTCGAAAAGTTGGACTTTAGATAAGCAAGAAGAATCTTAGCAAAAGCCAATAGAGTAGCTTATGTAATTTAACATAGCGAAATCTATGGCTTGCCTGAAAAGATTGAAAGACCTTTAGAAACAAAAAAATAGAATTCTCTATAACCATTCTAATAATAATCTTAATAGCCTTAATAAATTCAATAAGAGTCTTCACAAAATAATAAAGAGAAATAAGAGCCTTCACCTAATAATAAAGAAAAAAAAAGTATTAAAAAAAAAAGTAAATCTAAGGAAAAAAAGAGCAAAGACAAAAAGAATAAATCTGAAAAAAAGAAAAACAAGGATAAGGATAAAGAGAAAGAGAAGAAAAAAGAAGAGAAAAAAAAGAAAAAGAAGTAAATATATAATTACTATTTATTAGAAGTAGATCTAGAAGCAAATCTAATGATAAAAAGTTATCAAAGAAATAAAAGAAGAAAGAGAAGGAAAAAGAGAAGGAAAGTTAAAGAGAAAAAGAAAGAGAGAGAGAACGAGAAAAAGAAAATGAGAAGGATAAAGATAAAGAAATAAAAGATTACATTGTAGAGAAAGATAATTAAAAATAGGATTAGGAGAATACCTTCAGTCGATCAAAATTCAACAAAAGAATAAGATCAATAATTAGATAGAGGTATGATTAAATCCAATATGGAGATTGAGAATGAAAATGAACAAACTAAAAACAACAACAATAACTAGTAATAAAATTTAACAGGTAACGAATAAATTAGAGATGACAATATCCACCAAAACTCACTGGCAAATCAAGAGTCTTTGCTCTAGGCATAACAGACTAACCAAGATGATTAATAGCAAAATATTGTACCTATAGATGACTAATCGAAAGTGTAATTGCCTTTATAGAGTAAATAGGATTTCATTGCTCAAATGAAGGCATTACTAAAAACATAATAACTACAGAAAACTGATGATGTTGAAAAGAAAGATAATGAAGTTGAGAACATTCAAATTGAAAAGTAATCTCCAAATGAATAGGATTCCGAAGAGGACCAACAACTTAATGCAATTAAATTAAAAAGTAAAGTTAATAATTAATTGTGTAGTTTTAGCTATAAAAAAGGAATGAATAATGAGCTCTGTTATATTAATTCAAAGAATTCGCTTAAGGTTATTTTTCTGTAATTTTCTATCAATATCTTTCTTTACGACTTCCAAAGAACCATCATCAAGTTCTTTAATTAAAGAAAGCACAGCACAAAGTATATTTTCATTTCTTTCAATATTCTTATTATTATTATTAAAGCTATTTTATTAATTTGAATTGATCTCAGGAGTTGCAGGCCTTTATTATTCTTGCTAATTGAAAATAAATGGTTATTTCTTAGGAGACTCTTTTAAACTAGATTTTGGTCGATTCAAGATATTGCTATTCTAAGTTTATTCTTCGAAATCATCTTCTAAAATATTGACAGATTATGCATTCTATCTATCTTCATTGGTAATTGTAGTATTATCAAGTTTGACTAGGTTTGGGAGATATTTGACTACAATTTCTCTGTAACTAGGATGATCTGCACAAGGATTATCTATAGTAATTTTTGAAATGAGTACCTTACAACCACAAAACTCTTAAATTAGGTAAATGTACTAAATATCTCAATTCTTTTATATCACTGACACAATTTTTTCTTAGATAAAGTTCTTGTAACTTTTGGCAACACCCTATATCTTTGAGAGTTGAAATTTTATTCACAGATAATGAAAGCACTTCCAAATTTGGTAATTGTCTTAATGCTTTCAAATCATCAATGTCATTTCCCCATAAATTTAGATTTTTAATTTGGAATAGTTGATCATTTTTTGTTTTTTGGGCTATAAGCTCTGCTGTTAACGGTTTACCCATTTGAAATTATTATATTATATTAATTCTAATTAAAATCCTAATTTAGGGATTGTATTTATCAAATAAATATAAGTTCAGGTAAATCAGCGCCTTTGGTTTCAACAGGACATGTCGGACATTTAAATTTTTATTTGTTTGCGATCATTTTATGCGCTGATAATTTAGAAATGACATGGCCACACTTTAACAACACTGGAGGATTATCAGTATTTGTGACTTCTCTAGAAACAGGACATACAAAGAATGAATGATATTTATAATCCTTTCCAATTTCAATATCTATAGGGATATCATTTGTAAGAACTTCAGAAGATCTATCTTTTTTATTATTTCTAATATAATACTTCTTGTGATTTAGTTATATTTAATTAATTTAGGCATTGCTAAACAGCCAGCTGAAAACACAGTTCTAATTTCTGATTTAATCAGAATATCTAGAATCATTTTTTTAAATACTTTAAGATTTCGAAGCGACTTCTAAAAATAGATTCAGAATTCTAGGCCAATTTCTTTCATCATCATATAAATAATAGTATTTTGTATTTTCTAGATTTGGCCATAAAAGAACTGAATATGTAATTAGGCAAATTTCGTATAATCTACCTTGAGCTTATTCTTAAAATGAATCACTATTTCTCATAAAATTAACCGCTGCATTAATACCTTCAGTTTATACTAATTATATGACCTAGAAGCATAAAATATAGAAATACTCTTTATTTCAACAGTTCATAAAGTAGATTACTAGGAGACCTTTTATGTCTTTTTTCTGCCCATAGGATAGCAGACTCTAGTTTCCTCTCTTTAAGATCCTTTACTATGGTCTAGATTTCAGCAAAGAATTAATGAAAATGCGATTCTTCTGAACCTGATTCTTTAACTAATAGCTCATAGGCCTCAAACTCTCCATCTCTCAGAAGATGATTCTTGATTAGCTTAATTTATAATTGTAATTGTTTACTTCTGTCAACACTCTCGAATCCAATTCAACATGTTCTTGGCCATATTATAAATTTTTTTTAAATAATTTATCCATGTTTTTACCCATCTTCGAAAAATAAGCATAGCATTCATTATATGTTTATTTAATTTTTGTTAATGGTTTTTAATTCTTTCTTAATCAATATCAATACTTGTAATTTGTCTTTTAATTAAGAGAAGTCATTGTTTATTTTTGCCTCTTCAATTTCTGCTATGATTTGATCTAACTAACCATTTATTATTTTATTGGAAATCCTAGTTTTTTTTTTTATTCTCTCCAAGTCCTTTAACAAAGAGCTCCCTTCTTGTTGTGTGGAATTCATAAATAATAAAAACTAAAATCAATTATACTATAATTATTAATTTTTATAATTTTCATTAAACCTTAACATTTCAATATATCTCTTTTATAATTTAAAGTTTCACTATAATTTTATAATAACCAATTTAGTTTAACTATTAGTATAGTATCAAATAGATAATTAATTAATGATTCTAATGTGGTGATTATATAAATTCGTATAGTAATAAGGGAATTAAAATTTTACTTATAAAACTATCTAATCATAGAGAACTTCTAATGAATGTATAAAAAGATTGAAATTTAAGAGCTCTTATTTAATAATTTGAGTAAAATAATTGATATATTAACTTTAAATTTTACACCAATATAATGAGAACAAGCTTAGCTCTTCGTTTAAGAAATTCCATTGATAATACTCAAATATATCGTGATAGCAAATACTCAGTGCATGTAAATACTTAAGATCCTGTCCTAAGTCCTAGAAAGTCTGTTGATAAAACTACCATTCATTAGATATATAAAATAACTTAACCACTTCAAATCAAAAATAAAACAATAAAATTCAACAGGGATGTCAGTGGATATAACATTAACTACAACAGTTCAGTTGATGTAAGTATGGAAGAATTGAAGAAAATAAAAACATTAGAAAAAAGTTTATATTACATTTAAGAGAATCGATAAATGGCGGATAATAAAATCTATATTGGAAAAGTTCTTAAAGAGGTTCTGTAAATATTATAACTATTCTTTTAGAACCCTATTTAGAATAGCTCTAATTTAGAAAAATAACCCAAAAGATATTCTCTTCCCGTTTTGACCAAGAAATAATCACCTCAGCATAATAACTCTGATAAAATCAAAGTACCTATGTTGCCAGTGATTGCTGAAAATGCAAATGCAAATGCAAAATAAAATAACTTTAGTATCGAAAAATGTTTAGAGGACCTTAACAAAATAAAAAGCGGTGGACACAAAGAGCATCCCAAATCAACAGAAAGAATTTTAGACTTATTATTACTTAACACTTGTGATCTAAAAAAGATTTTTAGAAATTAGAACCAAAAGAACAAAAGAAAAATAATTGTGTAAAGTAAAGTGCCATAAGACTTTTTCAATATCTTAAAAAACTTCTGATTATAATTTAAGCATATATCAATAATTATCAATTATAACTTATGCTCCAAATTTCTAATCTCTCTATTATAAATTTGTTATTTTTTGACAGCACTTCGTTATCAAATGTTTCACAATGACAGCTATATCCATTAGATATATCGGAATTAACAAATAAACCATATTTATCTCCACAGCCTACAGCTAATCCATCAGTATCACATAGTGTAATATAGTTATTTATATGAGTCCATTTATAAACCGCTATATCTGAACTGTTTTTGAAAGTGAAGAGAAAAGATTCACCATTTCCATAAAATTTTCCATAACTATTCTTGATTCCATCAGATAGATATGCTCCAAATAAATAGGAGTCTAAATCCCTTACCAAAACAACTGATGGAAGTTTATTTTCAGTTCTTCTCATTAGAGTTAAAATTGACGAACCATGTTGAATAGAGGAATAAATACACTACCATTTTTAACCTTTAAATAGAAAAGGTAAATGGGAAGAAATACTTATGAATTTGTCTCTTGTTATAATTTCTGATTTGGATTCCAGTTATGTTAATTAAGAATCCCTACAGATGACCTCTAAATATAAAAAATCTCTATACATTTTGGTTGTTCTATATTTTATATTTATATTTATCCATTCATTTCAAAATGATATGGAATGATTGTTTTTTAATCATAATAGTCTGTTGTGCTTTAACTAATTTAGCTTTCCATTCCTGAATTATTGCAATACTCTTGCAATTTCTGATTAATTAAATTTAAAAATTCATCGATACGATTATCTTCCAGTAATTTCAAAACAACAATCTTTTATTTCTTTGTTTAAGCAATAATAGTGATAACATTATTTTTGTTTAATGCAACATTCTTTTGAAAAAACTATGATAATTCTTATTATTCTACTAAAACTATATGTTTCAGTAGAATTTAAAGGTGCAAATTGTCAATATCTCTAATTTAAGCATGGAGTATTATTTCATCATTCTACCTGCAATGTTTTTCAGGCTCAAATGACACAAATGATGATGTTATCGTAAATGAGCCTTTAATAGCTCCAATTTGAGTTATGTAAAGGGCTGAGTAATTAGAGGGTTCTTCTTTGCTCGGATTCTATTCTAAAGGATTCTCCAGAGCATGTTTTATAGGTATCTTTAATGTCATTCCAGGATATATAGAATTTTCAGATAAATTGTTTAATCTTAAAATTTAGATCGCACTAATCAATATGAATTCAGAAAATTACCTAATTTCAAATTTCAGCTCCAGCCCGAAAATAGAATCATTCATCTCCACTTTATAATAAATAAAGTTCTCTTATTAAGGTTGGTAATTATCTAAATATTCTTTTGGTAAATTTGTAGGATTCCCTTCCATTTCAACTTACTTAATGTCTAACTCATACTCAGGACAATCTTTTCCAGCATATTCAATATTAATGATGTCATAATCAGCAGAATCGGAATTTGACTAATTTCTAGCTGCGATTTAATAAAAGTCCATAATTTTTAATATTATATATCATTTTTGGGCTAATTCTTATTTCAATTAAATTGAAAATTCATCTGTCAAATCTTCATCATCCCAATCCTCTCTCCATTACTTAATATCAATTTTCAAATCATGATTCACTTCCAAATCTATAATTTTTCATACACAGATAGCTACCCTCTTATTCGAATTCTTCAAAATCGTCATCATCTTCATCAAAAATTTTTTGTACTTGTTGTGGTTGTTAAGCAGGCCCTTTCTCTTCTTCTATTTTATTTGACATTTTATTTAAAAAAATTAATTAAATAATTATACTAATCAGAGAAATAATAAATAAAATAAATCCATAACAAAAATAACTAGAGGTTTGATTTATTGTTATATTTATACTTTTAAATATATGTATCTAATAATAATAAACTTAATAGCAATAACTTAAAACCAACTATTATTATTAATACCTAAATATTTATTATACTTAATTCTACTTATTCAGGGTATATATAAATAACAATTTCAAACACTTAATCGTTTCTTCATAATTAAATCATCTAAACAATTTAATTAAGTTAAATTTTAGGCAAAATCAAATTATCAATTTATGCTGTATATGCTTCAATTGCAGCAGCTATTATCCACAATTATATATTTCCATTCAAGAAATAATTTGCTAAAGAGCATCCAATTATAAAACTTAATGTTCCTTCAATTGATCTTTAATTTTGGTATTTTAGTTTTCCAAATTTAGATCCAATAATAGCAGCAAATGAATCTCCTACTCCTAAAATTATAATTCTATTTAATTCATATTAAAATATACCCAATAAATTTATTTGTGCTACTAAAAAATACTGAATGTGACACACCCATCAATAAATATATTTGAGTTATTATTAATTGTTCTGAATCTCTTTTGTCACAAAATGATAGCAAATATTTAGAATACTTGTTGAGAATCTCAATATCATTTCTATAATATTGTCTTAATCCCTCAAAGACAATGAAAAACCAAATAAATACTGCCAGGGCCAATTTAGTGTAATTACTATTCAAATAAATTCCTAAAAAAATAATCAAAAATATCTAGAAATGAAATAGTTTTCTTTAAATAATTTTCTGCAAATTTAGATAACTTATTGGAATGACCAACATAAGTCCAAGAAATTATAAAAAGAAGTATTTCCCAAATTCATATGTAAATATCTCATTTATTAAAATTGCTAAACTATGTCCTCGATATTATAGGTAATAGTAGATTGAAAAGAAGTTTATTTTAAAAATTGCTATGAATGTAAACCAAAATGCGAGTTCTTTTATGGGGACTTGATGGATGAGTACAATCAATATAAAAGATAATATTGATAACATTAAAACTAACTCTGATAAGTATTCAAACATATGTTATCCATTAAACTAATAGTATTCTACTATATATTAAGATAATGCATATGATTCGCAAAATGTTAGCATTTTTGGATATTATTACACCAATACATGCATAAATAATATGCTTATGAATTCTCTCAAAATTAGATGTGGCTAAGGATACATTATGAAAAAGCCAAATGTTATAAGTATCTATTGGATTCCCAAATTGAACTTTGTTTTCTTATTAATATTTTGCAGTGGATTACTCCTGTAAAATTAGTGATCCGCTTTATAAGCAAAATATAGCATTAAACTTCTGTATAAGATTAGTTTATAGGAAGGATTTAGGATAAGAAATAGTATTTCCAAAATTCCTTAGGAATAAACTAATTAAAAGTTCATAATTAAAAAATTAAATAAATGAATATTAACGAAAAAATTGAAAGACTATAGAAAGAAATAAGCGATTTGAAACTAAAAAAGAAATACCAAGAGTTACCAGAAGATGCCAATAGCTTGTTTTATAACACTCAAAAATATTTGTTTTTTAAAAAGCAACAAATTAAACCAATTACACAAAAACCATCTAATAAGGGGTTTTCTCTATCAAAAGCTGTTTTTGGATGATTTCTATTTATTTATTGAATTAATCATATTTATTTTCTTTTCATCATCAACTTGATTATAAACATTATTATTAGTTTATTCAAAATAATTCTTTTTACAAGTAGATATATTTATGATTATATTCTTGCACAAATTTGATATATATCAATCGAAATCTTTATATTCTGGATCTCCTTTTTTATATTCGTTAGAAAAATTAATTTCAATATTCTGTTTACATGCTTAACTGGCCTCAGTGATCTCTTTCAATAACTATAAATATATTTCAATTCAACTTACTTATTCCTCTGTTAATACTTCTTCCTATTATATTATTGTTTATTATTATTCAAGAGATTTTTTATATTAATTGTATGATCTTTCAATCACACTCCAAAGCATCATAACCAACATACTACCAAACATAACAGCAATTTCTGGACCAATAGATTTTCTTAATAATTCTTCGACGTTTGCTCTAAATATGAAAATAATATGTACTAAATAACCAATTTGTAATCATCAAGACCATGAACCAATCCTTCTGATACTTCATATGTAGTTTCTCCAATCATTTTATAAAATTGACTTACCATAGCATCACTAAATTTTTCAACACTATTTGTATAGTCTTTTTCAATAATCATAAAAAATTATTTTATGTGCTTAACAAGAGCTTCAGAAGCTGTTATTCTTGGTTCGAATCCTTCAATTACTAAATGTTGTTGATTTCCTTTAGGAACTACTGTAGATAAAAATGAATTTGCAAGTTTTTCGATTAATTCAATTTTTCCTTCAAATTTTCCAATTAAATTATGTAGATTCTCCTTGATGTTTCCTTGCAATCCATCTAAGAATGAATAATTGCCTGAGACCTAAGCAGCCATTACGTCTCCTACTTTGACTTAAGAAAATATTTATAAAATTTCTATCTCACCATCTTCCATTTTATTTGCATAATTTTGCATCATGAGTTCCTATAAAGTCATTGTAAAGAAATTAGCGCCTCCTTATTAACCTCCAAAGCCAAGATTTCCAAGTAAACCTGACATCATTGATTAGGCTTATTGAGGATTGGGTTAATTATTCTGTGACTATTAATGTTATTATTCGTTTGCTTATGGCTATTATTATTGTTATGGAGATTAGAATTACTATTGGGGTTAATATTATTATTATTCTAAATTTATCAAATTGCTTTATAATAAAAAAATAAATACTTGACTAAATTATTGATAGCATTTAAAGGATTGTTATTTTATTATTGATCTCCTTCTTAATTTGATTCTAATTCACTCCCCGCATCAATTTCCAAAACTTAGGCATCAATAATAATTTAATCTCCCTGTTATTCTACTTATATCTATTGTGAATTATTTTATTATATGTTTGGATTTTGTGAAAATTAATTTAATAGTTGTCCTAAAGAGCTTAATAAGTTTTATTAAGTTTATTATTATGGTTATTATGGTTGTTATTATTATTATTATTATTATTATTGTTATTATTATTATTATTACTATTGATTTTATTATTATTAAGTTTATTGTTATTATGGATTTCTAGTTATATGGGAATGTTATATATTGATAATTCCATGATTATGGTGAGGATTTTATAATAATTATGAAGGGACTTATAGTGAAAATTAGCCTGGAGCATTTCCAAGATCTATATATCTAAGTAGAGCAGAAAACAAATCTCCAGTCATTTTATTCATTGCCTGCATGATAGTTGAGGAGTCTCTAGTTAATTACATTGTTTCTCTTCTTTCATTTTCAGAAGTCAAAAAGGGTTCCCTCATTAACAGGTCTGATACTCTTTGCAATATTGGTAGAGTTCTCTAAATAAGAAAACATAATTAATGAAGATAATGACCTAAAACAGTAACATTGTTTCTATGTTCAGTCATCTATGGTAATTAGAATTGTAATCCAAGGAATTATGACTGATAAAAATTACCTAAAAAGTTATTCAATTATTAAATTTATTCTTAAGGAAGATGTATTCCAACCGCAGATTAGTTATTTGGTAAAAGAGTCACTTATTAAAATTATGGTTAACTTTATTATTGTGCCGTTTATGGTTATTGTCTAGGGTCAGGCTAATTTGGCTAAGTTTGTTATTGTTATTATTAAGATTATTATTATTATGATGATTATGATTATTATTATTATGTTTGTTGAGTTGGTTGAGCTTATTATTATTATTATTATTATGAAGACCTTGTCATTTGTGGACCAAACATTTGTAGAATATTAGCTAAATCTGGGGGCATAAAGGGCTAACCATCTAATAGAGATATAAATAATTGACTTACCTCCTGCTCCAATATGTATTTATGTAGTTGTTTGTATGCCAGGCATAAATTACATCCTCTATTATTACTATTAAGTTTAATTTTAATTTGGTTATTGTTGAGGTTATTGGGGATTAGTAATGGCCATCAAATGAATTGTTTGATCATCCTCCTTAACTAATGCATAGATATTGTTAAATACTTATTTCATTTAATTTTTGATTATCTAGAAGAGCCTTTCCCAAAAAGATCAATCTTTGTCTATCTATTGGAACTTAAGATTTAGTAAAAATTTCTTTTTTTAAGTCTGCGATCGAAATCTAAGTTTATTTTAATATTTGTAATACTTCTTGTGGCACTTCAAGCTCAAACACTTATTGAGAAATGGTTTTGACTTTTAATTTTCTCTTCTAATTAATATCCATATTTCTATATAATAATTTTAATAATAGGTATTTTGTAAATTAAAATTCAAAGAAAGCCTAAGTGTTAATATATATAGAATTATATTTAATCATCTATAGATACAAACTGTAAATTCAATTAGAATTGTTTCATCATGAATACCTATTCTTCAAGACTTCTGATCTTGGTTAATGCTTATCATACGATGTGTCTACTCTAGCCGTATTAGAAAGTATGTTCTTATTTTACTGTTGATTGATAGATTTAGCTACATATCTTTAATAATATTTTGGATTGTTTATTTCTTTCAAAGGCAATATCAATGAAGCCATTTATTTGCTCACAGGAGAAATGTTCATCTTATGATGATGCTCATTTCTATTGCTCCAGTTCTAAGTATCTGTTTAGAGAGGCTTTATGGGAAGCTTCCTATAAGTAGTTCCAATCATGCATTCTTAAGGATCAATAAAATCATTTATTGATTTTTTCAATTCTCTTGTGTTAAGTTAAAAATAAGCTAAGTTTGGTAACCTGTCTTTTGCCATTTATAATGTATAGAACCAACATAAACTATTTGCAGAAGGTTAAACCTAATTCAACTTTTATAACAAATCGCTAGTTATGTATTGACTCATTTTTTCAGGAATACCATTTAAAGTGATTTTAGAGTTGATGGGAAGCAAATCACAAAGTTTCATGAAATTTTCACAATTATCTTCATTCTAAAGTACAATACATAAAAATATGCAAGAAACCTTACGAAGAAGAAGGCTATTTTTTTCATTCAAATTCTTCAATATTTTCTATAAGTCTTCTTAATTGAAGGATTCGAAAATTTAACGTTATATAGAAGGGTTGTTATTCATGTATTCAATCAATCTAAGCATTGACTCAATCAAAGAGTCCACATCTTATTCAGAATGCTTCTTTAAATTCAGCATGTAGAAAATTAAATTTATTTATATAGTTTATTCATTAGTTAGTTAAGAATTTGCATAAACATATTAAAAAGAGTATTATGATAATGTTGATAATATGATATAATTTCAATCTATACTAAAGTTTAAATTTTTTGAACTTATTTTAGGGAGTCTTTTAGAAGCTGAATTGCATCTCTAAGCTTAATAAGGATAACCATGCTGTCTTTAACCAAGTAAATCTACTCCTAATATGCCTTGAACCTTCTTAACCTTTTATTACAATGACATTAGATCCTATTAAGGTCTTATATCCAATAATTAAGCTAAGTAAAATTAATTATAATCATACTTTTTCCAACTACTAATAATGGATAACGATTTGATTCCTATAATTTTGAGTCACTGAATATCTCATCCCCAGTTTTTTCTACTTTGTTTGTTTTTTCTAAAGTTGCATATGGACTTTTATCATAAGTTTTATTAGTCTCCCCATAATTTCGATCGACAGATGATATTTAAGTTCTTTATTCTTTTGGATCTTATTTTTCTGTTATCAATTTCTCTACTCTTTCTGGACTTTTATTTGGAGATACATTTATTTGTTATGTTGAATTTGATTGTTCTGCAATTAAGATAACTTAGGAATAAGATTATGAATGCCTACGGGAGTCTTGAATAGTTTAATATTAATCATTCTCTGTAAGCTAGATTGATTTATGTATTTAAGTATATATCTATGAAATATATCTAAATAAATTGTCAATGACTAATAACTAATCCTTTGTACTTTATTTCTAATTTTATTGAGGCATTCCATCCTTTTTTTGATATAACCTTTAATGAACCTATTAGCCTTTTAAAAAATTATTTAATTTTTCTTTAGTCTAATTACAAGCTTCGGCCTTATTATTTATTTCCTATTCTAAAAAGGTTGTCTTTTCTTGAATGAGATTAAATTATTTTTCAAATTAGCTTGTAAGCTTTTCCATCATGTCTTAATCTTCTTATCTATATTAGGTGAGCATTTTTTATTCTGAACTATTCAAACAAAATTGTATATAGCTATTCATTGAATCAAGCCCAGATTGAATTTAAGATTAAATATTTTCTTACTTCTATTGTATTTTATAGAACTCGCCTTGTATAGTTTATTCTAGTTAATCAAATTATTACTTCAATTATGTACTCTGAGTAGTTATTCTAAAATGATGAGGAAACATTACCCTTTAGTTTGCATTTAAACGGTTTCCTTAAATATTTAGTTTTTTTAAGAAATTTCATTGATCTATTAGGTGAACTACTTCTCAAATTCTATTGTAGAATTTTTAGTAAGCATAATAGCACTTTAAAGCTCTTCAACTACCCTTTCTGACTTTCGAAGATAAGTTGAAAAGTTTTATATTTAGTAATATTATTATTGAACTTTCTCATCAGTCCATTTTTGAATCTCTTCAATTTTTTGTTTTAGTAGATCATCAATTAATTTAATAGCCTTTTCGACCAATGTTTGTTGAAGCAATTGATTATTTATTAAATTGTTCTATATGGTACTTACTATAAATTTATCGTTGGCCTTTAATTCAAATTTTTTATCCAATTTATCTACTAATTAATCCATCTACATAAATTTATTGAACATTTCTTCTCTCTTTTTAATTTCTTCCTCATGTTACAATAATTTTTACTCTTCAATTCCTTTTATTTTATTAATAAGACTTGCTTCATGCTCCATAAAAATTTCTTCCACTCTTTAATCCAACTTCTCCTGGATAGTGTTTATGCTCTAACAATAGAATCATTATATACAGAAGTGTTCTGAGTTTATTGACTAATTATGTGATTTATCTTTTCGTTTAACGAAGCAATTTCATCTTTTGAATAAAGCATATATAAATTTGTATTTGTTGACAATTGCTTTAAATCAGTCTGAAGGTTATTAATTCTAATTTCTTAAGAAGCATTTTAAATAGCACTCATAAGTTTAATCAATATTATTTATGAATTATAAACTTAATTCGATAAAATATATTAAAGTATCAAAAATATCGTATTAAAAAAAAATAAATTAGCTAATTTAAATGTATTTTCTAATTAATGGTATATTGATATTATGAATTATTAAAGTGAAATATTCATAACATGAATGGTTCCTAAAAATAATGGAAAGTATTAATCTTAGGAATCAATAAAACAATCTAATTCTATTTTTACACATTATATTGTTCAGATAACTATTAAAAAAGTAATTTCAATGTTTTTAATTCATTTATAATTTTATTTATTAATAAATCTGATTTAACAGTCTGAGTTATTTTTATGAAAGTCTTAGGAAATTGAATTTGTAAGAGGCAAAAAATAATACTCTAATAAATTATAGATAAATTATAATCTGTTATCATTTAATCCTATTTTGGGTCTTATTCTTAAGTTACTTTTTATCGGAACTTACACTTATATTTGATCCCTGTTAGATAGAAATAATCTGAGCTTCTTTCAAGTTTTTGGCTTTTCCTCCATATATGTTGCGTTCTTTTTCTGAATTTTTATATTAGTGTGCATTATTATAATTTTCATCACTTTTAATGTTAGATACATTAATAGTTTCAAGAGCATAGGTCTTCTTTATCCAAGGTTTAGATTATGAGCCATCAATTTCTTCTGATTATTGAGCAATGTAGGAAAATTATTGATCATTTATAGGATTGTTTGGTTGTTCTAAAGTTTCAATTTCTATTGATTCCTCCTTCTCAATTTGTTCATCAAATATTAAGATTTTTACTATAGGGGTAGGTTTGAATAAATGAGGAGGACCGTTTAATTTATATTGTTTGTTGGTTATTAATTTCAGTTCGTCTCTTGATTTTTAAGACGCTTGAAAACAAAAAGATGACCCCATAATTGGAAAAGTTTATTAAATTAATTTAAAACCAATGAAAATACTAAATACTTAATGATTGAGAACATCAAGTATCAAAAAAGAATGATACAATTATATTCATAAGTACTTTAACCTGAAATTTCATAAAAATGGACAAAATACATAAATTGATAAAATTAATATCGAAAGTGCTGATACCTTAACAGTAAAAGAACTAGGTAAAGAAAGAAATAATTTCAACTAATAGATTGTTGCTTAGGATGATAGAACAATGATTAATGATCGAAATCCAAACTCTTAAGAATTATTAATTGGTAATAAGAATTAAATATCTGAATTGGATATCAAGGAGATATTAAAAAATAATTATCATCTAATAGGTTAAGTTTATCAAACATATAGCAGTTAATGTTTTTCTATAAATATTGCGCCAACATTATTTGCAAACCTATTATCAATTCCATCCAGACCTTATCCCCAGTCATACCCAGTGGCATAGGCCAAAAAATAACCATCTGGAGACACTTGACTAGCAATAACGGGAGCATCAAATGGGATGGTGGTAATTTTGTTTTTCTTTTTTAAATCCCAAAAAATTATTGTACTGTCCGAAGAACTTGTGCTAACCCAATCATAAGATCGACTGTTAAATTGAAATGAATTAACAGCGTAATATGTATTAATTTTTTCTGTTTTAAATGACGTTTTTAAATCTTCTTCTCTTTTGTGACACTTATATACAATTCTATTTAAGGCTTCTAATCTATCAGTCAATTCTACCACCGCTCCTCTTCCATCAACTGAGCAATATCCCATTTACTTTGAATTATGGGAAATAGCTAATGCACTAATTTATGATCGATTCCCCAATTTAGAATCTTCTATTTCGAAAATATTTCTAGATACAGTGCTATTTAAAGAGCCTCGAATTTTATCCCATGAAAACCATTTGATTTTGCAATCCACATCAGCATAAGCGAACATCCTTTCATTTTGATCCTGTTCACCTACTGTAGGAATACTAGTTAAATTTAGTTCATAAATAGGAGATGGCTTCATTCCCATAGTATTCTACTTAAGCGACCATAATCTTAACTTCTTATCAAAACCCAAAGAAACCAATGCTTACAAGTCATCATTCCAAAATACTTATCTTGCTGGGCAATCATCATGATATCCCAAGATTATATTCTGACCTGTTTTTATATCGTACACCCTAACTGTATTATCAGCCAAAGCCGCAAATATCATTGTCATGTCTCTTTTCCAACTAATTGAAAGTACTCTAGATATAAGATTATGGACTTACGGTTCTTAGCAATCAATTACGCTTTTAAAGTCAAGAGCTATTTAAGTCTGAATGCCATGTTGACTAAGAATTGAATAGAAGCGTATATAGCCATCCCATGCTCCAGTAGCAAATATATCATTATTTCCGAATCTAATTTCTGAGACTGAATCCATTAAATTATCATTTGTAATTCTTGGAGTCTTATAATAATTATTAGTTGTGATTACTTGTATTGTATGCATCATTGTTCTTGTATATTTCACTAAATTTATAGCAAAAATATATTAATTTGTAAATTAAAATAAAAAACTCTTTTCATGGTAAAAATTCAGTCACAGTTTTTATTCATCATCTACTTCGTAAATTGCTTGTTATTTTTAATTATATTTAGAACAAGTAAAATTTTTCTTTATTACATCTGGTTAGATGAATCTTGGACTATTGTTGAAATTCATTCTTCCTGAATCAGGAGATTAAGTATCTGGAGTCAGATGCTCGAATTCCTAAGTAGAAAACTTCTTTAGAACACTTTTCTTAGGTAATTCAGTTGGAGAACCTTCTACTAATGCTAGATTTTTAGTTTTTGCTTATTGAACAAATCTAGGACTATTAATGGACGGCAGTTTGATAGTCACTCTTTCATCTTCCACAATGTCTTCTTCCTTTTACTTTGAGATTTGTTTAGTCTCAGGCAATTACAATTGATCAGACTTTTCTAATTTAAATGTTAGAGTTTGCCAAGGCTTAGAGGTATTAGTTAATGTTTTTTTTTATGTCTAAAATTTAACCTTTCTATCTTCATAAGTATTTGTAAAAAATGGGTGTTCTAAAGCTTATTATGCAGTAATCCTATTTTTTGGGTCAATCTAAAGCATTTAATAGATCAAATCCATGGCTGTTTAAGGTGTTTAATAGATACTGAGAGTATCTAAATTTAGTATGCATTTTTTATTCAATTTCAAGATTTCTTGATAGTCATTTCCTGGAAACAAATCTTTGGATGTAATTCTAGTTATATTTATAAAATAAACTACAATTTATAAAATATGCAACCCACACTAAACATATCACAAATTTTGTCGTATTTTATTGAATGATTTTTCATGTTTGCTATTTCAGGTGCTACATACCCAGGAGTACCACATTTAGGAAATGTATAGTTAGTTACTTTTGTACTTGTTGCCAATCCGAAATCAACTATTCTTAATCCTTTGATATCATTTTAATTCTTGAACATGATGTTTTCTGGTTTTAAATCTCGATGCATAATGTTTAAGGAATGCATATATTCCACTCCAGTTAATATTTACTTTATTTATCTAGTAAAATACCATCATTATCACTTTTATCTCAACCCATCCTAGCTGTATAATTCCTTTTGTAATCATGTCGTGAAGAGAAGATCCTTTCAAGTATTCCAATATGAGATAAAACGTGTTCTCTCCTTCATACACTTCTTCTAATTTCACTATGCTTTCATGTTTGAGTGCTGCCATCAACTTTATTTCATTAAATAGGGCTTCCTAATCTCACATATATATGTACAAATCCACCATCTTCTTTCAAATATCGTTTCTCTACATTTTTAGATGCAAATTACTAATTTGTACATTTATCTGTCACTAAATAGACCTTTTACTAGAAAATTACTTTTACCCTTGAAGAACCTCCTCTTCCCAATTGTTTGATGAGTTAGTAGTAGTCACTCACATTCCGATACATCACCTTATTCCTTAACAAGATCTTTAATTGCTTCAGTCCCTCGTTATCTCCATTGAAATATTTAACTTCTCCTTTGTATTCCAATCCAACCTGCTGATAATTTGATTTTTCCTATTGCCAATATACTTTTGTATCGAGATTTAACCTAAAAATATACTTTGGTTATTAGGAATTTAGCTCCTTTAAAAATAAATTTATCTATTTACTTAAGCTAAAATTAAGTATTCTTCAAATAAGAACAAAAAGTAAGTGATATCTTTAAGAAAATGCTTCCTTAAACAGATCATTTTAAATATTGAATTTTCATAATCGAATTATTGGGTTTGGTCCATTCTTACTACAAATTTATATTATTTTAAACACAAATTAATGAATAGTAATTTAAAATCACAATCTTAATATTAATTAATAATTAATAATTATTTCAATGAATTCCAAATCACTCATATTTAGATTTCCAATGACTTACGATTAATCAAAGGCCTTATTAGAGCAATCGAAATGTGATGAAGAATTCTTCAGGACCATCATAGGTTTGAGCCTGTAATTGAAACAATTCGTGAATGAAGATGACATCCAATCTTTGACTAATTTTTTTAATCAAAATGCAGGAATGATCCCCTTCTTAAGAATATTCATTGATGAATCATTTGAATAGGCTGTTTTATATCGATATGAAGAGATAATACGATATTTCATCAACAATAGCTATTAAGTTACAGATAACAAAATTCTAATAACTTTATTACAAACCAGCAGGTTTTTGAAGCATGATCCACCAATCGAAGTCCTAGAGTTATTATTAAAAGATGGGAATGTAAAACCTGATGAAGGCACCGATGATAAATTTAGAACACCACTCCATTTAGCTTGTAAATACGGCATTGTTGACTTTATAAAGTATGCTATCAAATTTATGAATCAGAATTTTAATCGAGAATGGTGCAGATATAAATGCAATTGACAAAAAAAAGTTTACTCCCCTAATGCACTTATAAAAGAAGATGTAAAAATAAGAGGGACTAGATGCAATCGAAAAGTATATGTATTAGAAGGGAGCAGAAACTTATGTTACATCTATATTTTGATATTAAAGTATAAATAATTTTAAATTACCCAATATATATGGCAGTGCAAATCCTCTGCTTTTGATTCTACTTGCTTCACATATGGCAGATTAGGTTTTACAAATATTATTATTATAAATATTAAATGAATCAAGAAGAATAAGAAATTTAGGAAAATAAGATTGAAGATCTTAGAAATAATGAAGAATTTTAACAATTCTGCGATCATGTCTAATAAATTCAAGAAAACCTAAATGAATATATAACAAAATAATCAGGAAATTAGAGCGAAGAAAACTAAAGGCTTCATTTATAACTCTAAGAGAACTTTGAAATAATAAAACAGAAAATAGCTGCTCTAAGAAGATGTGAAGTGGTTGAAGATTAAGAGGAATTAAAAAAAATGATAGATGAAGTGACAAAAATAGTTTAATAGACAAATGAACCATTTCAATAAATCTGTAAATAATAGCTTTATATATAGAATACGAAGGAGATGATTTCAATGGATTAGAATTAGAATTTACCTAACCAAAGAGAATTAAGGGACTAAAAAATGCACAGGAAAGAAAACAGGAAAGGAAAAGAGCTAGAATATAAAAATCAAAACAAGCATTCTAAATATTTAAAAAATACATTATTGTTTCCTTGATAGCATTTTAAAAGTTTATAAAAGACCCAGAAAACATAGCCAAATTATTTGTGATAGCTGTGAGTTGTTTTTTTGTGAGTTCATTTTTGCAAATCCCAGACATGAGCAAACGACATAGCTTATATATACTTGAATGGTTAGCTTACAATAGATGTGCTAGAGTTGTTTTAATCAGTGGATCATTTTGTTTTGTATCATTAACATGGTATATCATTTTGTTGATTTGGATTGGATTTATGGGATTGAATGAGACTAAGGGAAAACTGAATACGCTTATCCATGAGTGCAATCCAATACTGTAATTAACATTAATGTTTATGACTGATAACGACTTGATAAACAATAAATTGGATCTTGCCATTTGGTTTTGTTACTTATTTCAATACTCTACTTATAGAGTATATTATATACATTCGGTAAACATCATTAAAAAGATATTGTCAACATTAACATCACAGAATTTCAATAGGGTGTATCAATTCTAATAAATTTACATCTTTTCATTAATAATATTAGCAATGAACTTCCTGATTACATTTTTTGGTATTTTGATGCTCCACAAAGTTGGAATTTACGCACTAAGTTTATTATTCTATGGTGGAGTTCAAACGTTCATCGAATATTCTCAATTAATATTGATTTGTAAGAAATTGCAATAAAAATATACTTACTTTATAAACAACAACATAGAATAATTAACAGAACCTTAATTTTATGAAGAAATAATTCCAGACATTCTTTATTAAATAGTAAAATTTCTAAATAGTTCATAATTGATTGTAAATTATTTTAGGACAATAAACTTTCATATATTTTTACATCTTTGGCTTTTCTAAATATTTTCAGATTTACAAAGTATATGATTAATATAATTTAGGTTCATTGTCATCCCTGAAAAAGAATATAGATTAGTTAATAAAATATAAAAGAATCCAGTAACATTTAGATTCCTTATTTCCAAGAGTCTTGGATATTCAAGAGGATGAAATATGCATAATATGTCATGAAGAATTGATCTTAGCTAGATCTTTGCCTTGCCAACATAAGTTTCATTTAAAGTGTTTGTTTGGATGGCTGAAGGCTCAATAGCAATGCCCAATTTGCAGAGCAGAAGTTCCAATTGAATTGGAATAACCATAATAGATCTTTAGTAAGATACTTAGTTTCTTAACACAATTTAATATTTCAAATTTCGCATTTTTATTCTACGTCAATAGTGGAAGACAGTAAGACTTGTAATTGACAGAATGGGAGGAACAGGCTTTATTAGGATAGGAATTATTACAATAACAGCAACAATTACAATAATAATAAAGAGACTAAGAATAAATGTAATAATTACAATAGGAAAGGTAATAACTATAATAATAACTACAATACTAATAATAGTTTTTATAGTAATAATAAATCTTACTTCAATAATAGTAATATTAGCAGCAATAATAATAAACTTAAGACTAGAAATAAATTAGTGAAATTACAGAGAATCCTGAAAATGTTATAAAATAAAATCCAGGTTAGGAATCATAAGAAGATAAATAATTTATTTAAGATGCTTTTGAAAAGAGAGACCCAATAGTTTAATATAATTAGGAATAGGAGGAAAAGGAAAAAGTAGATTAAGAAGAAGGAGAGTAAAATAGAGAGTAACAAATAGAGTAAGAAGGAGATTAAGATAAAGATTAAGAAGGTGATTAAAATTAAGAGTAAAAATAAGAAGGTGATTAAGATAAAGAGTAAAAATAAGAAGGTGATTAAGATAAAGAGTAAAAGTATGAGGGGGATTAAGATAAAGAGTAAAAATAAGAAGGGGATTAAGATAAAGAGTTAAAGGGAGAGTAAAATGAAGAGTAAAATTAACTCAAAGAGAATTAAGAAGAATAATAATTGATTAATTAAAACAAAGAACTAGAAAAATAGTAAGAAGTTAAAGTATTTGAAAATCAAAGTTAAGAAACAGAGCAGATTATATAAAAAGAAATTGAAAATGTTGATTTTACTGAATGATAAATAAAATATATGTATTAAAATAAAATAAGTGTTATTTCACATCATGATTACTAATACTATTGACCCATGTCATATCCTTCTCGATTAACAGGTTCTCCAAACCCTTATATATCATTTTATAAGGCATTTTTCTTTACTCTGTATCTTGAATATAAGTAAGCCAACAATATAGACAAGACAATTAAAAGCACAATGAATCCCATCATTATGGAGGCCAAAGATTCAGTATTGTATATGAATCCATCACCATTGTTTATTTTAAGATTGAATTAATCTACATATTAGCATAAAATTAATTAAGGAGGAATGCCTGTCAGTTTCTCCTTTTATGGACAATGAGTTGCATTAATACTTAATTTGTAATCAAAAGATCTTCCTATAGATCTATTACTTCTTGGGTTGCATCTGATGTAAGGATTTTCAATAATATATGGCATATAGACAATTGATTAAGAAGTAATGCCAATTAAGAATGAGTTTGTAATATTGTAATTAAAGTTGTTTGTAATATTAAGAGCTCCTTTGTCTACATCATAGAAATCCATGGTTATTAGACTTGGTATAAAAACATATTCTTCATAAAAGGAATTCTGTCTCTCCTAATATAGATTATCCTTCTATGTGAAAACAAAGGTTGGTTCAAATTGCTCGAAAATGCCAGTTCTAATTATTCTATGTTCATCCTTTCCTCTTAAAATGGTGAATTCAGGTAAGATATCAATTTCAGAATAGATACCTGTCAAATAATGAACTTTCACTTTAAACCAATCATTTTGATATAAGCCTATTTCAACAAGAGAGCTGATTACTCCTCTTTCTTATAATACTAAGATAAAACTGTTGTTATGTTCTGCTAAAGTAGTGCCATGAGATATTGCAATAAAACCTAAATCAGTGTCTAATTAAGCTGCAAACCCAGAAGAATTAGTTGTAACAATAAATCTTGTGATCCCACTTAATTGATCAAGGACATACATGTACTTTTCATTTTCGTATCCTCCAAATACCACATCAACTATCTTAATATTGGTTATTTTATTATAAATAGTGGTTGAATTCATATTCCCAATTAAAGTGAGTTCACCATTTTCTTCATATTGATAAATGTCTAATCCCTCAACTCCGATTGGAACAAACACATGCCAACCAAACACCTTTACTTGACCTAAATAATTGTTATCATTTTCAAATCCTTAATTAGTAATATTCCTCAGAACAAATGAGCTTAAATTGTCATAGTTCACCTTTCCTCCCAGTATTTAATTTCTATAGATTAGATAAATGTATTGTGTTTAATCAGTGTATATAATTTATGGTGGTTCAATTATTTTTGCCCATTAACGAAGATGTTGGAATGAGTGGTTGGCTTCCAATTGAATTTCGTGTCCTACAATGTTAGATGTGTTTTTGTTGACTTTATAGAGTAATAATTGATTTTAGCTTGTCACAATGGCAAATGCTTTTTTAATATGTACCATATTCAACAAAACAGGAATGTTTAGTAGTAATTCTGGATCGTTACTTTCTAAGTTAGGCATTTCGAATATTTTTTAACTATATTATGAGTAATCACCAAATTATATTGATCCTTGTTTGACTAAGCAAGAGCTTCCCTTCTATTCTGATTCCAATTTAGCATCAATCACATACTTTGCTTATGGATAGTCTCTAATATTTAATTACTATGTCACAACTATGTTGACATCCTCTGATTCAGAAATTTTATTGAATAGAACATGAGTTGTAAGATTAGTTAGTTATTTTGCTAAAACTGTTTATAACAAAATAAATATCATTATTTTTATTAATTCAAATTTTATGAGTACACTCTTTGTTAAGTGCATACAATGTAATTAAAGACCTGCAACAATCAAATGTCAATAGTGCAAATTAGGATAAACGGTCAGATTGTGTTACAATTGCGATCTAGCAGTCCATAATAAATAAGCGCCAATTGATTAATAGCACAAAAAAGAAATCATTCCATACTAAGGTGAGTATTGAAATCTCATTAAAAATAGAAATGTATTCAAAAGCTCCACAACATTCAAGTGCGATCAATCTAGGGAACAAAAATGATTAACTAATTCAATCGAAAAAATAATAGCCTTATCAATAACAATCGTCTAAAGCTCCTATTACAATTAAATAAGAACCTCCTCAACTTGCTTAGAAGCCAATACAAAATGTTGTTAGAGTAGCACAACAATAACCACAAAAAGAAATCAATTTTTCTAGTCAAAGATAGAATAATAAAATAAAGAATGAACCCAAAGAGGAGGATTATCAAAATAGTTCTTAAAAAAATTCAGTAATTCATTTAAGCTTAGATTTTAGGATTCAAAAAATTAATCTCTCATCAACTAATTAAGAGAAGAGAAAGAATAGAGTTAACAATTATAAAGGGAGTTAAAACAAACTTAAGATTATTTGAATTAAGTGAATAAAGAAGTCGAGAAAAAAATGTAAATTTATCTATTGATATATAAAGAAAACAATCCTAATAAGATTTGGAGAAAAAACTGAATGATTTAAAAAAAGAAGGCGAAGAAGAAAAAAAGAAAACACAAACACTTACAGCTGATGTCAAGAAACTAAAAGATTAGTTAAAGAATGCAGAAACATAAACATAAAAAAAATTAGATTAATAAAAAAAATAATATGAAATCTAAATGTAAGAATTGGAATAAGTGATTCTGGAGAAATAATAGTAAATTGATGAAATCGCTTAAGAGTTTTAGAATTACAATTTAGAAGAAATCTAAGCAAAAATGGAAGAAATGGCGAATGATATAAATATGAAGGATTAATTAATTGATTAATTGTAGTCTTCATTATAAAATGGGGAGGGAAATCTTAGAGATGATTAAAATCCAGAGAAAGAGGATATTGTATAAGAAATATAATAGAAGGATCAAGAAATTAAGAAGCTAGAAGAACTAATTGAAAACTTCAAATAATTGTATCAGCACATGTTGGATGAAAAATAAGTGATTATGGAAGAGAATGAAAAATTAGCTAATGAAAATGATTAATTCAGAGAAATTTTCAGTGTACTTTGATATCTAATTTAGTAAAATCTACATTTGTTCGGAATTGACCCTAATCAATTAGAAGAAGAAGGAGAAGGAGAGGGAGAGGATAGAGAAGAAAGAGAGGAAGGAGAAGATGGAGAAGATGGGTATCAATAAGAGGAAGGTATATATTTAATCCAATTAATGAGATAATTGAGGAAGATGAGACCAATAAGGGGTTTTGATATTTAAAAAGATCATTTTCCAAATATCACATAAGTATTAAACCACTATCTTTTTTGTTTAATAGAATTCATCTTTTAAAGTTAATTCTTCATTTGTTTATTTCTTTCTACATCTATTAAATTTTAATTGTAATCGTAATTATATTAAATTTTAAATGAAATTAAAATCAGCAATAGTATTCCTAGACTATTCTCTGAAACCTAGAGTATTTTAATTAGAAAGATATGCTATAAAAAAACTAGAAAAACCAGATGGCTACAAATTAATTTATTTTAAAGAATTTGAAAAAGCATAATAATTTGCAAGCTAAGTTCAATAATTAATAGAATTGAAACAAGTTCAACAATTATAGTAAATGATGATTTCTGATATCAAATTAATAAAAGAAAGAAGGTATCATCTCTCTATAATTGCTTAGTGAAAAAGATGGAGAAATTAGAGAGATTAGTGTTGAATAATAATAATCATAAAATGATGTCGAAAAGAATAAATAAGCTGAAAATACAATAATATCAAATTGTTAACTAGACAACATTAAGGTGAAACAAGTTAATAACTAATTTTAAAAGTATGAAATTAAACAGAAGGATTCCTACGATATTTTGGATGATATTGATGGGGAACTTAAATGTTCATCTCTTAGTATCGAGAGATTAGTGAATTTGGAGATACTAGATTTAAAATTTGAGAATCTCTTACATTATTATCCAAGAAATACTTTAAAAATTATTCCAATTTAACCTGATAATTTATACACGCTTTATTTTGATGGTGCAAGTAAATCTAATCCTGGTCCTGCAGGTGCTGGAGTAGCATTATTTGATAAAATGCAATAAATTAAAGAAATAACGTAACCTTTAGGAAAGCAAACAAATAATGTAGCTGAATTTTTGGCATTGTTTCTTGGAATAAGATATACTCTGAACTTAGGAATTAATTATTTAGAATGTTTTGGGGATAGTAAAGTATTGAGATCATTAATTATTAGCTTATAATTGATGGCATGAATAATAAGATAAATTTTAAGCAGCAACATTTAGAAGACATAAGAGTAGCAATCTATGATTATGCATAATTATTTAAAATGGTTAGATACACTCATATCTCAAGAAATTAGAATGAAATTGCAGATAAATTGGCATCAGCTGCTGCTTTGTAGTCTAAAAAATATGAGTTATGAGTTTTATTAATTTAGTTTATAATTAAAAAAAAGTAATAAATTTCCTCACGATTTCTATTTTGCTATTATCAGAATTCATTAAATTCAGGACTAGCTTCTCCCTATTTTAACTATATTTTGATTTTAAACCAAATTTAAATAAAAAATACAAAAAGTGAATAGCCTAAAAATAAATCAATAAATTTTAAAGATATATCAAAATGAAAGAACTAATTGTTGAGTTTTCAATTGGTAATTTGAAAGATTAAACAAAAATTCATTAAAATTCTTGGATTTTACCTTTGGCTTTATTCATTTTCGATAAATCAAGATATGAAGAAAATGCTTGTAATTTTAAATAAAAAAACTAAAATTAGAGTTAATTAACAACAAAAAGTAAATTTACAACTTATAAAATATGTATATTTGATATATCAGAATAATACTACTGAAATAAAGAGATTTAAAGCGATTAATAAATTTCCATAAGAGTTATCAACCTATATTATTATAAAATGCTTACTGGACAATACATGCAAGATGATCCATTCCAAAAGCAAGAATTTAAACTACAAGATGAGGGAGTCGTGTAAGTAGAACAGGCAATATACTAACAATTTCCATTTATCCATGAACATTCATAAGATGCCATTCTTTTGCATTCATATTACTATTAATGATGATAGTAAATACACTTTCCATATCAGAACATTTCAAGTTACTCAAACTCTCACATTATTTCTTCTTTTAAATACAATAGGGTATAGAATTGCAATCATCATTATCCAAAGATAATCTATTGCAAGTTTAAAATTTAAGACAGCTCTAAGTTTATGAATTCCAAAAACATTATATTCCTGTAGGAGTGATTCCATTACATTTGTCTTATGTCGCATAATTGCAGTCCTCATAGGGAAGACAATATCCATCATTTGCGGTACATCCAAATATTTGATTGCAAATTTGTTTATCTGTATAATAATTACACTATTATCCATCATGACATTTATTCAAATACCAAGCGCATTAAGGAACAATACAATTCGATTAAATAGCTATATCGGTACAATTAGGCTGATAACAATTTTTTCCATTCCAATTGCACCCTTAATATTATTAACAATATTGAGGTTGAGTAAAATTGGAACATTAACAGTATTCTAAGCCTGAGACTATTTCTATAATAAACACTAAAGAAATTAGTTTTTTCATATATACAAATTTATATAATATAGATTAGTTATCATTGATAATATTGTATATTTTGGTTTCTACACTTTGATATACTTCTAGTTTGATTTTTTAGAATAATATTGTTATTATTAAAGAATCAAGCAGATAAATATTGTCTTAGATATAAGACTTTAATTAAATAGATAATTGTGCATTTTTAGAATTTAAGAGATGACATGAGTATATATATGGAGTTCATGATAACTTTTTAATATTATGGTTAATTTCCTATTTTACAGAGTAAGATTGAATTGGAGACTTGGATCTCAAAGTTTGAATTCCTTCCTCATTCCAATCTTCTTTCATCAAATGGAAATTCCCATTATAATTCAAAGAAAAGAAAAATTTGGAATAAAATTAATGTTATTTTTTGGAATCAATATTAGATTGTAACTGATTCGTTCTACAATTATGAAATAAATACATTAATTTATACTTGATGTTTCTTTAGATATATCATTTAAACAAATTCATTCAATCAAATATCTATTTTCTTTACTTGGTAAACCTGTTTAAGGTCTTGATGCGTATGAGATAATATGAGAGACTGACTTGCCTCTTCTGCTTGGTTCAACCTACTTAGTTTCTATATTTTGAGATTAGTTTTGACTCATGCTTTAACTTGCTATAATAAATTAAATTATACCTTTCTTTCTTAAATAGAATGGAGGTAATTGGGCTATCTTGTTTTCTTGTCTTAAACTCGTTTAAAAGAATCTATTGTTTTTGTTATTAAACACCAAGATCTATCTTTAGATTTGGGATATAGACTGGTTAATTGAAAATCTCTTAATCTTAGATTTAAGTGGTTTAGAGTTATCCATGAGTGACTGGTCATTATTGTCGAAAGAAGATTGCCGTTACAATTTCGCATTATCCAATGAGCTTACATTATCATACTGGATTGTTTAAAGCTTCGATGGTATTTATTTGTTGTCATAAATGTATTTGTAATCTTATGGTCTGATCGGGAAATTGTAAATGATGCATCCAGCATTTAATTCTTTTTTTAGATTAGGAAATTTGCGAGATTGTATTGTATTGAGACTTTGGAGCTTCTCAACAACTTCTAAATCTAGGATGCCTTTGATTCGTTTTTCAGATTCATTCTCGACTTTAGTCTTGGATTTATGGATAATGGTGTTTTTTATCATATAGAATTATAAATAATTATAATATCTGTGATGTAAATTATACTAAATATATATATGTATGTCAACCATTTTAGCTATTATAATTAAGGCAAATACCTTGAACTTCTTGATGAATGAGAAACATTTGCACTTTCACTGGATGATTTAGGACTCTCACTTCTTTAATGACGAGGTTTCCTTTGGTTTCTACTTCTCCTTCTCGATTTTGATGAAGAATCTGAGGACTTAGAAGAAGATGTTGATCTTCTCTTTTTGGTGTCTCTTCTCGACCTTCAATAAAGATTCGAACATATAAATACTTTCTTGTAACACTTGGAGTTCGTGACTTTGGACAATCCTTCCTTAAATGGCCCTTCTGATAGCATCTGTAACATGTGTCACGTAAATCGCCTAAACTCTACTTTATCACCAACCTTCTTTGCAATCATTCGCCCAATGACCTTTACGCCCACAATTGAAACACACATCTCTGGCTGTTGGTCCATTTGCTCCTAAATGTCGATTATCTTATCATCAATCTATCAAAGTCGTCCTACCTCTTGATTTAACAGTGATACGATCACCACCAATTCGCTTGCCATCCATTTACGATATTGCTTTCTTAGCATCATCACGACCTTCGAACTCAATAAAGGCATGTGTGCTTCGTAAATCAATATCCTTGATTTTCCCATATCTCTAGAACTCTTTCTGTAAATCCTCCCTTGAAGTTTTTTATCCCAATCTGCCAACATATATTTGTCGACTCATTTAAATACTTAAATTATTATTTATGTTGAATATTTAAATTTTTAAGCATCTCGATTATCATAGATCAGTATATTTAGATTCTTATAAGAATTTTCCCATTGAAAAGGATAGTCGTTTAGAGAAGAAACTACTTTTTTATCATGTTAATTTTTATACCAAAAAATGTATCATATTAAGAAATAATAATTGAGTGAAAGAATATTAGATATTATAATTATTCTGTGTTACCTAATAAGTCCTATACTATCAAAGAATTATTGAATACAATCAAGTTTAATGTATTTTAATACTCTGAGAAGAAACTTAAGAATATTAAATTGATAATTCCACTATCTAACTTCAAATCTTCTTTTATTTACAAATAAATTTATAAATCTTCAAACTTTAACTTCATAATCATTCTAAATAATTTTCATTCTACTATTAATAAAAATAATCAATTTATAAATAAAATTCTTCCTAGCTTCTACTAAATTTTTATTAAAATAAAGTACTTAAATGCAATTTGATAGAATTCTGTTTTCTTGAAAGACAACAACATTAACTCACAATTAAATTTCATTCATACTTTATTTTTCTTTCGTAATTGAATTTCATATTTAAGGTATTTTTATAGTTTCTACAATTCAAACAATAAGAATAATAAAAAGCAAATTATCTTAATTTATTAAAAATATATACCTATGTCTAACAACAATCATTCTGACGACGAAGAGATGTTTGTAATGATTATCATGGTAACTCTAGCTTGTGGGCAAAATTTAAGCATAAAAAGTGGAAATTGAGTCTCTCTAAAAATAATTAAGAGTTTAAGAATTTCAATTTAAACAACAGATATTGGAAGTATTTCTTATATTGATCATAAGCTTACAAATGAACTCGAGAGAGAGAGGAAGAGAACAGGTGAATTGGAGAATGAGATAAACACCTAAATTAGTTCAATTGGATAAGGTGAAATTCAATCATTTGCTACTTAGCTCGAATAGAAGTTGTCAGAAGCTGAGAATAAGTTATTAGAATATAAAGCTAGTGAAGTTTAAAATGTGAATAAATTTATAGTTGAAATTGCAAAAAGAAATTTAGAGTTTAAAAAGAAGGCCTGACAATGAAGAAATAGATGAATTGAAATAATAGTTAGTGAAAATGGAGGAAACAGCTATTGCATTAATTGTTGAAAAAGAGAAAATTATATAGGATCTAAAAAGTCAACTTGAATGTTCAACATAAATCGAAGAGACTTTCCATGATTAAGTCCATAGTTCTGATGTAGATGATGAAAAGGATATTAAAATTTAAAATTTAAAATAATTAGTATAGGAATTAAATTAGAAAATAGAATAAGACTAATTGCATTTTGATGAAAGATTAATGAAATTAGAGCATGAAATTACTGAACGTGTCTTGGATAGCATAAGTCATCAAATTAATGAATCAAAATCCGTAGAATAAGACTTACTTCATTAGATTAATCTATATGAGGAGAAAATAAAGAATTAAGATAAGCTATTAGTTAATTAGGAGAAATTATTATAATAGGTTAAGGACGAAAAGTATAAGGAGGTTAGTTTTTATGAAGGAAGACATGCTGAGATGCAAAAGAAATTATCATCTGCATTGTAATAAGTATTAAAAAGTGATAAAAAATCTGAAGATGCATTTAAGCAATTTACTAATTTGCAGAGAGAGAAAACAATTCTTTCAAAATAAAGAGATGAATAAGTGAAATTAAACGTTAAATTAGAGAATAACATAAGAAAATAGATCTAAGATATGGATGAACTTAGACAATATAATAATAGCTCTTAATAATAAATTGACGATTTAGAATAATAAGTTAATCATTTAGAATAATAATTGCAAGAAACCAAGTTTTATTATGAAGAATAATTATAAATGCAGAAGATTCATATACCTAGTGAACGATTACCTTCATAATAGGAAGAATAAGGATAGGGAGGAAATCTCTTAAGTGAATTACTAACTGAAGAAATTTCAATGGAAAAACCTCATAATACTTAACAGAGTGAAGATAGTTTTCATCAATAAATTCCATAAACGCCTTAGTCTAAAAATGGTTTAGTACATATGTTTGGATCATCCAGAATCTCAAATACAGGTGTAAATACAAAAAGAAGATACCAAGAAATTGAATAATTAAAAATAGAAATACATACTATTAAACATGAAAATGAGTAAAATATACTTATTATATAATTAGATAATTGGCAGAAGAAATAGAAAACTATGAACATTTGGTTGGTGTCTTATAATAAGAGATAAAAGCATAATTATTAGAAATTTAGAACCTAAGAAAAGGAAAACTTGATTATTCATAAGAAAGAGATTTGAGAATAGACTAGGAATAATTAAAATAATCATTACACAAACTTGAAACACATTTTATTACTGCCAAGTTAAGTTGGGCTGAAGAGGTAAATTTCTTAAAATCAGAAGTAAAAAGAGCTGAAAAATAGGCATAAGAAAGCACTTTATTATATAATTAAATATTGACTGAAAAGGAGTATTTCTAATCTAAGTTGAAGAAACTTGAAACTTAAATTGCAAAGAAAGAAAAAAAGAATTAAACTACTTAAAACGCTCCTTTAAGTCCTCTTAAAGAAGATGATTAAACAGTGAAAAAAAAAGGATTTTTATCATATTTCGGAAAATGAAATATAAAATTTTGTTGATAATATATTAAAATTTAGAAATTTGAATTAATTTTCATCCATTTAAGTAATATTTAAGGAACAAAATGGTATATATTTTAATAATATTCAATTTGAGAAGATTAAATTTAAATGTTTTTATTATATTTTGATTAATTAAGGTTAAATTATATGGATTTTGTCAGCTCCTAATGTTGATTCTAATAAAAAGTGGAAAGTAAGTCATAAACTCAAGTATTGATCCATTTTTATATAAGGTCTAAAATTTAGAAATATATAATAATTAATAAATAAATATATATATAATTATATATACACAATGAATTAGCCACCTTATAAATTAGACCCAGATTCAACAGAAAGGATAATAAAGGATTTGTTGATTTATAAAGATGCTTAATTAAAAGTCATCCTTAAAAAATATATTGAAATTACAGCACCATAAGAAACATTAAGTGAAGAAAAATTGTAAATTAATCGACTAAATAAAAAGACAATAATTAGCTACTGAATTTTAAAAAGAAATAGCTGTTTATGAATTTTAAATAGCAAAGGCATCTAGATAGCTGGAAGCATAAAATTTTGATAGGGAACAAAATTAAGAATTAAATAAGTCAATAAGTAATTACCATGTTGAGTTTCTTAGTTGAAGGCATAAAGTAAACCGATTTAGAAATAGAAAATTTGAAAAGTGTTTATTAGATTGAAGAATAAATAAAAATTAATAGATAGCATTATGAAAATTTATCAAAACAAATAAGCAGTTATGAGAATGTTAGCAATGTTGTTAAAAATATTGAAGTGGCTACAAAGAATATAGAGCAATTAAAAATTCAGCATAAGTAAGCAGCAGAATTAATCAAAATTAAAGAAAAATAATTATTTATGATGGTATCTATAGTATTATAAATATTAAAGTTGCATCTAATGTAAGATTTAATTGAGGTCAAGTATGAATAATGAAGTATGGTTATTTTGTTTTGAATATTATAAAATTAAATGAATTATAAAATATAGAAAGTTAAATGAAATTAACCGATTTAATGAAATTTTGCTTCAAATACTAAATTTATGAAGATTATTCAATAATTATTTTAGGTTAGGAAATGGACAAGTTGAGTTCAAAGTTAGACAAATTTTACACTGATTGTTACGACTATGAAAACGAAATAAGAAACAAGGAAGCCAACAGCCAGGCTGATCTAAATACATCTTTGGAAGAATAATTTAAAGATCTTGAAATTAGGAATTGTCAAAATTAAAGTTCCGAATATGAAGACTGAGTACCAAAAACCATTGATTGATGATTGTTTTGGATATAATAATGTATTAGAACTTTCAAAAACATTTTTTTTAAGTTACAATTTTTGTTTAAATTCCTTTATTAATAGAATTAGATAACTAGAGCATTCTAAATAGCTATCTTTTGGCAGGATATCCTTAATTCACATATAACAAACTATGTTAAATGAATGGATACAAGAATTCTTCTAAATTTTAAAGATTGTGCCCAAATTGAATAAATCAATTTCACAAGAGTTACTTGAAAAAGAAAATTATTGTATGAATTGATTTTATCTCAACATCATCAAATTTAAGGATATGAGGATGTTTAATGGGAATTTACCAGGAACAAGAATTCCATCTATTAAATGATTTAATCAATCCTCAAATTGAATTGAAAAATAATAACGTTTTTATTTGTAATCTTCTATTCAAAACAATTGGATTATAACTAGGATGGCATTCTTCTAATCACTTTAAATGAGAAAATTCCAGATATCAAATCCAAATTTTGGAATCTCATTATGTAAGTTTCAAATTTTATTTTATTTTTTCATGTAACTGTCAGCATACAATCTACTTCACAAAACCAATTGATTTTGAGTAATCCTCAATTTTAGATAGACAAGAGTCACTTAATTGAAAATATTTAATATAAAACTTATTATACATCTATAATCCATATTTCTTTTATGCTTTAAATCTCAAATGGTGCAATATATGAAAATCTACTTAGACTGAATTATATGGTAATCGTTTTGTGTAAATTTATAAACTATATTTCTTTAACTTAAAGTTATGGGTTTTTTTAAAAGTCAACTAACCTTCTAGCAACCTCAATTTACAAACATACAATTATATTATAATACTTTGGATATTTTTAATTGTTTAAATTTTCAAAAATTTTAACATATAGTTCACATACTCAACTTGATCATTGTTATTATTATAATCACACTAGTCAGATTTTATATCGAATCTGATAGATGTAATTAAGCTAATATTTTTGCCAAAGACAATTAACTTACCTATTTTTAATAGAATTTTTTTTTAATTTTATAACTGATAATATATTGTCCATTTCAAAGTATCATAATTCTATAAACAGCTTTATTTTCTTATAATTTTACTCTGTTAACTTCAAACCATTTTTCTTCTTTCGATATTGGCTTAGAAATTAATTTAATTTTGATGCAAATCAACTCTTAAAATATTGCTCTAATTTCAATATGAGGTTTGATTTTGCTTGTATCATTCTCTTTTTTCATTTTCTGAGGCATTTCCTTTATTTAATGCGTCTTCTTCTAGCTCCGTTGCTTTTTATTCTTTATGTACTTTTTAGTTTTGTTAAATTATTTTTTCAATCTATGGCCATCGAGTTATATATTTTTATTTTTTGTCATCCACTTTGTATATTTTTTTTGACTAAAAATTTCATCATAGACTGAAAATTAGGACTAAAATCCTGAACAACAATGCTATTTATAGAAATTTTGATCTATAATTATCCTAGTGTTAAAAAGGAATTTGTTATGAATGTTATTAAGGGTGTAACTTCTAGTCAGAATTACCTATCCAGATGATATTACTGTTGAGATCTAATTGTCTTAATATATTAAACTCATGGGCTTTAGAGTTTATAATTTGATAAATTAAAGAATATCATATGTGATTATTTTGATTTATTATTCATTTCCAATGTGAAAAGCAGCCTGGACAACTGAAGACCCATTTATGATCTTTTATCGCTTAACTTTGCCCACTCTCATGCCCAGGTCCATCTCGTTTTCCTGCTTTCATAAAAGTATCGAACATAGATCCGCAAGTGTTGGGGTAGACAGCCTGCGTAGTATTGCGCTGCCTGATTTGTTCTTATAATTTGAAACCTTCTTAAGGAACTTTAAAATCACTAATAGTACAGGCTCCGACCTATGTTATTTTAGATTATTAAAATAATAGAATTTTATCATATAAACCAACCTGTTTTAATATGACGTAATAAAGGAATAATTAAAGTTTATAACAATATACTTGCAATACGAAGAGATCAACTCAAGAATAGATCATGAATGTTTAATAATATTAAATCATCATATAAGTCTAACTTTCTACTTATTTTATTGTTCTTATTCCTTTTTCTTAAGATGATTCTAATATTCATCAATAACTTTCTGCATGTGTTTTAATTTTTACTAAAATAAGTAAACTATAGAGAAATACTTCTAATTGTTCTAATTCAACTTTTAATTAATCAATATTTTTCTTTCTATTGCTGTAATCTTGAATTAATTCAGGACGATTCACAATTCTATATAAATATTGTAGATGTACCCTGTCTATTGCTTTAATTTAAGGTTTTCAGTTCTTAATTTATCTTTGGATTCTTTTTATTCTCCTAAGTTTTTACGTAATGCCTCAAGTTCATCCTTTTTTTTTTCTAAATTTAATGATAAATTGTAATACAATTAATTTTTTCTTGATCCTAGAACTTTGCTTTGACATAGCCTAATTTCTCTCTAGTGTGAGTTAACATTTAAACTGTTTTGGTATTCTTATTTTTCAATTTATGAAGATCTTCATTTCTTTCCTCAATTTTTTCATTTAGAGTTTGATTTTCTATCTTTAATTATTCAAAGTCAATTAAATGTAATCCCTCTGCTAGTTCTTCTTTCTTTTTTAATTACTTTTGATTTTTAGCTAAAGTATTTTTCAATCTTAATGTGTCAAGTCTTAATTCTTATAAAGTCTTATTTTTAGCTGATTCTTATTCTTCCCATTCTGATATTCTAACTTCTGGTATAGGTTTATCAGTTCTAGAGTAGGCAGCTTTGCGTGCAACTTCTCTCTTCAAATCCATGAAGGCCTATCTAATTTCATTACATTTTTTTGATTTTTCATCCAATTTAGACTGCAATTCCTATGCCATTTAGTTGTATCTATCTTAAGTTTATTGTAAATCCAATCTAATTTAATGAACATGTGCTAAGGTATTTAAATATTTGTGTTCATTCATGGTCATTTCTCCAGTTTTATCAGCATAAACTTCTTATTTATTTCTAATTTATTTAATTTTTGATTGTAAATTGACATTGTGATCATAAAGTTCATCATGTTGTCTTTGTGCTTCAGCAATAGCAATTTCCAATTCTTCTTTAATATCCTTATTGGATAGTTATTATTCTTTGGGCATTTGGAACTTGTGAATAAACTCATCTTCCTTTTGTTTTTGATTTTCATCTTATGATAAATTATCTTTATTCTCATCACTATTTTATTCATCTAATTATTAGATGGGAGTATCTTATATATTTTATTAGGCTTATTCTTCTTATTAATGAGATTGTTATGCCTCTTATTCTTCATGAGCGTATCTTGGATCAGGGTAGAAGATGACTGGAATTCTGAGCTTCAATTCAATATGTTTTAAGTTCAACTTTTCTCTTGTGCTTTTCTTGTAAGGAATGGATTCTGGTGTATTTCTAGTATACAAATCAATGTATTATCTGATATCATATGTGCATGGCTATCCTTGATTTCCTATTTTAGCAATGAAACATTTAGTTTATCTATCAAATTCAATATGTTCAGGCCCTATCTTATTGTTTTCATTTTTATCAGGCACTTTACCGGAGTCACTAGTAAATGGCAATATTTGTAAGGCATAAACACCAACTAAGTCTTCAAGCATCTTTCCATGGACCAATATGCTTCCATCGTTGCTGTCTTCAATTTTAGTAACACATAAGTCTTTATGACTTACAATATACACAATAGCCACTTAGTTGTCATCACAGGAGACACCAATGGAAATGTGATTCATTTCATTTGAGAGCAATATTTTTCTGTCGTCTTCAACTTCAAAGAAGAGATAACCCATTTCCATGAAATAATCATATATGACTTATGCATCAGGTATGGTGTCTTCTTCGAATTTGGAGACAATGTAGATCAATTTAAGATCATCCAATTTCTTTTCATTATACTTATAAAATTCGATTCTAATTTAAATAAATCAAATAATTGTTACAATTTCTTAAATTCAGCATCGCTATGATCATTATCAAGTAAGTGAGAAGCATATCTTTCTGCTACGATGGCAGGCATCAATTCTATATATAATTAATTCAGTTTCTTCTCTCTTCTAATTCGATTCACATTCTCTAATAAATCCCTTTTAACTTTTCTTAAGATTTCGTCTGGATCATATTCATCATTTTGTTCTCTTCTTCCTGGACTGTGTCTTGATTCTTCAGCATAATCTTGTTAAAATTGGGATGAACTTCCCATTCCTTAGTTCATTTAATTTTAGTATTGATCTCCTTCCTCCTCTTCATTTTCCTCATTTCCACCTTCTTCTTCATCTTCCTCCTCTTAATAATATTATCCTAGATCGATATCGATAACTGTTATTTACCATGCATCTCCATATATAATTTTTTCTATGCATCTGTCATATTTTCGAAATCGATTTCTTCCTCGTCTCCCTCCTCATCTCCATATTGGTCCTCATCATCGTATTATTAATCACCTTAATCACTCATTTTTATTATTTAGATTTATTAATATTATCTCAACTATTAATAAAAATGTCATCAACAGGCAACTTGAATGATAAATTCGATACTAGCTTCGTGTATCTCTTCAAATACATAATCATAGGAGATATGGGTAAAGAATGATGATAATTGTTAAGCTGTTGGTAAGAGTTGCCTTTTGATGCAATTTATAGACAAAAGATTCCGATCAAAGCATGATGTCACCATAGGAGTTGAATTTGGAGCTAGAATCATCCGAATCTAAAATGTTGCTCTGAAATTGTCCATTTGGGATACAGTATCTAAATCATATTATTATTGAGGCAGGTTAGGAGTCCTTTCGATCAATTACTAGATCTTATTATCGATCCTCTGCTGCTGCCATTATTGTCTATGACATAACAAAGTAATCACTCAGATCTAATCATAATTAGGAGAAATTCTTTTGAAAATGTTGTGAAATGGCTTGATGATGCAAGAGAAAATGGCAATAAGCAAATCACATTTTTATTGGTAGGAAACAAAAATGATCTAGAATAAGAGTAACGCTGTTCTCATTATTATCATAGACGTCAAGTCCCATTTGAAGAAGCCAAACAATTTGCTTAAGACAATGAAATTGGGTTTATGGAAACAAGTGCCAAGACCAATTACAATGTAGACTAAGTATTATTCCATATTAATCAAACTCAATAGATGTTCACTAAATTGGCAGAAATCATTCTATTTAAAATACAAAAAGGAATTATAGACCCTAAAAATGAAGTTAAAATCATTACTATTAATAGAGTTTTGGGGTTCGGGTAGGAAGTGAGTATCAAAAGTATCTTGCATCATAATAAAATGATTCCAAATAAGAAGAAAAAGAGAAGAATCAAAAAATAGATCCTTAATTTGAGGGAAAATATGTTTAACTAAATGATCCTGCGATTGAAACTAAAAAACAAAAAAACACATCTTGTTGTTGAATTAAGTTATTTTTTAAAGAAATTACATCTGTTTAATATAATTATATCATTTGTGGGATTATTCTGGATTAATCATTAATTTTCCATCTTCCCAATCACATTCAGTAACAACTTTATCGCAAGTAGTGACAGAGCCTTTTCCTTCCCTCTTATTATTTCTAAAATGTCCTTCATATCTTGATTTGTCAGGATATGTCATAATTCCGTAGCCTTCCATGAGGTCATCATGAAATTGCCCTTCAATTATAAAATAGAATACCTTCATACTCGACTCCATCTGGTAAATGTAATTTACCATTTCCATTCATCATACTCTTTTTCCATTGGCCAACATAGTGAGTTCCATCTGGCCATTTGAATGTGCCTTGTCCTTCAATTTCCCCATGCACATATTCCCCATTATATTCTGATTTGTCAGCAAATTTAATTAAGCCTTTGCCATGTTTTTGTCCCTTATGAAATTCTCCATCATAGATAGTACCGTCTGGATGTTCCTCCACTCCTTTTCCATGAGGCAATCGATCTAAGCAATCTCCAGAATATTGGACTCCATTATGGTATATCCTTACACCAATTTACTCTGTTCCTAGCTGAAAATATTAACAGATTTTACATAGAGATCTTTATTAGGGAAATAGATGGCACCATCCTCTAATATACCATTTCTCCATTGTCCCTCTAAATAGGTTGAATCGCTTCTCAACATTTATCCGTATCCGAACTATACACCTCTTTTCCATTAACCTTTATAGATGGTTCCATCTTTTATATAAGTAGGCAGCATTCGATATTCATTTGAGATCTAATTGTTGATTTTTCTATAGGCGACATCTGGTAAGGTTGGAATTTTAAATTCTTCATCGAACTGAGTCCAATCCTTTGGCTTGTCTTCTTCAAGCATTTATTTTTCTTCATTAACCTTTTGTCGAGCAACTTTATTTCTGAATGCACATTGTATTGCTACTGCACTCCTCTCTTCACTTTCTTTTATCTTTGATTCATCGACGATAGGTTTTTGAGGTTTGATTGGTTCCTCGGGGGGTTTAGGTACTTAGGGTTCATTTTAGACTGGCGGTTCAATTGCTTTACCTGGAGTGTATATTTTAATATCATCTTCGGGTTGTTATTATTGTTGACAATGATTTCCCATCTGTTAATTTATAGAAATTCAAAATTATTTTCACTTAAAATCACAACCTGTTAAATATCTTAATATCTTAATAAATTTATTATAGTTCTAAAATGATTAACAAATTATGTTCGAATTCAAGTCTCTATAGAATTAAACTCACTTAAAAAATTTGCAATGTTATAATAACATATTTTAATATAATGAATTAAAGGGAGATTGCCAAAGAAGTCTTAGCGGTTTCATTGCACATTGCGGATGCAGATAAATTCAACTTTGAAGATTCTAAAAAGAGAATGCAATTGTTAACAGAATCCGTCTTGAAAACAAGTATGTGTTTGATGTTGACGTAGATCTATTGAGATAGAAACCCAATAAAAATTGCAATCAGACTGTTGACCTTGAGTTTTAACAAATTGATAATTTAAAAGACTTGCTACCTCATTTAGCAGAATGCAGCAATTTGCGTGAAGTATTATGATAATGCATCAATCAAGTTAATTTTGCATGGTAATCGTTTACATACCTTACCTGAAGATCTCTCAACCTTGAGTACCGTTGAAACTTTGGACATATCCAACAATCTCTTTGATGATGTAATCACTTATACAATTTATAGATTATTCCCATAATCAAAGCCTTGCAAACTATGCCCAAATTGTTACACCTTCACATAGGATTGAGAGACAACAATGAAGAAAAGTATGTGATCCAACACTTACCCAATCTAATTACCCTCAACAATAGAAGACTCAAGTTTTTTGATCAACTTGACAGTGATAGACCTTCTGAAAGACAATCTGCAAGATCGGAAAAATCCTACTAAAGCGAAGTCACCTTCAATTAGGAGGACGTAGACAATGTGGAAGTACATCATTATCTTATTAAGTTAAAAGAACCTTTTTAATCAAATTTGTAACATTGAAAATAATCCCAATCAACAAAAGTCACATGCTCCACAATTGACTGATCATGTCAAAGATGTAATGACGGATTTTTCCACCAAAGTCCAATAGACTCACTCCAAACACTTCCTTGATACACACATACTCAAAGTAAATCTTACGTATTCTACCTAGGCAAAATACGATCTATACGAAATCTGTTTCAGAGAATTAATTGACTATTTTCGCAATAATAACAATAAACTTGAATAAGTCTTAAAAACCTTGTAACAAGAGCATTCCAATATTTTTAATGATCTAACCAATATCATATACAATCTCAGAGACTATAAAAAGATCTAAAAAGAGAATCAGGAATTTGACTAACTCATCTTGAATAGTGATATTGTCAAATCTTAAATTAAAGAAATTCAACTCCTCAAAGAAGAACGTGATCGTCTCTTCATTGACAAAAATAAACTCTAATAATCCAAGGACTAATAATATGAGTTGCTTCATCCTTTACAATTATAAGTCAAAACATTGTAATGCAGTGTTTAGAGATTGGAATAAGAAAAAGAAAATCTCAATAATAATATTTCCTAATTAGAATATTAATTTGCTTAGTAATAACAAATACAGAGATCTAATAGAGGTAGTTCCAAATAAATTCAATCAGCCAATCAATCATTTTAGGATATGCACTCTTTTTCTAATTTTTAAACTCAACAAGTGGTCATGTTAGTTAAAGGAACCCAAACTGACAATCAGCGATTTTTTGAAAAGGAAAGCCAAACAATAGATTAAGAAGATAATGTAATCTTTACTAAATCCATTGATATGCAATCCTTTCAATAAGAACTTGAAGATTTATAATGTTAAAATGAGTAACTTCAATAAGAAAACAAAAAATACTTAGAAATGATAATCAGAAGATCCAAGGTAGAAAAATCATCCAATATCATGTCTGATATCAGTTATAAGTAAACTGAAAGCCCAAGCATCATTGAAAAAAAGAGATACAAAACCTTATCGGAATTTCACCTTCTTGTTCAACCCTAATCATTTCGACCCTTAACTTTAAAATAACTCAAAGATATCATTCAGGATATCTATGAAAGCAAAACAAAACACGATATTCGACAAAATGAAAATAAATTACCCTTAGAGACTATTGAACAACATATGTACACGTATTTATATTGTAAATATGGATTAAAAGTATTTTACATTTATCATTTGTAGAATTTAGCTTTGGAGTGGGTTGCTTGCATTATTAATGCAATCTAAAAGTATATTGCTGAAGACAATGATGTTGCTGTATTTGCATTAATGCTTAAAAATAATATTGATGAAGATTTCAGATTATTGCAATCTTAGCGCAAATAAAATATTGAATATATAATCTAGGTAACTATATTGATCTAAAGGATTAGACCATTTTATAAGCCAAGTTTAAAACCAAGCACGTATTAGAGATTAAGGAAATGGTTAAATAAAAAGTAGCCGGTTAAATAACTCAACAGGAAGTAATTGAAATTTTGAAATGTTGTCTTCCAGAAGAGGAGAAAGAAATCATACTTAGCTAATTAAAGATGCATTAAATTAAAGCTGTTGCCAGTGTAAGCCCAATAAAAAAAGTCAATTAAAAAGAACAGAGAAGACCCAGTGCTTAAAAGGAACCTATAAAATATGAGTTTTCTGTCTTTATCAAACTAATTCTTGAATACTTTATGAGTCTTCATCAATAATACTTAGCCAATTTGTGCATAGTATTTAAGTCAGTTGACCATGATAAGGATGGAATTCTCAATCAAGTAGTTATTACATTTAATTGTTTATAGTAATAATTCTTTAAATTGACTGAAAGCATCAAGCCTAATTTACAGAATGAAGAGTATTCTAACTTATATGAAATTCTTGATCCATTTAAAAATGATAAAATAACATTTTCATAAATTGTAAGAGTGTTCAAAAATCCATAATTTCATAACAAGAATGTTGATCTAATATAATAGATATGTATAATTTGAATAATTTCTTGGCCATTTTTTATGATTTATTTATTATACCAGATTTTGATTTCAATACCTCAGATTACATAGTGAAGAATTAATATAATTATTCATTCAATTAGTTTAAATTACTGATTTAATTGTGTTTTAAGATAATAAAATACATTGAATTTATTTGTTTTATCAATAATAATCTGAATCTTTGTCGCTTACAGTAGAAATTATAGCTCTTGGACTATCCATGTTCTTTTATGGTTTACTTCCAACTTTTTAAACTGTTTATGTTTTAACCACTTACATTTTTCTTTTTTTTAAACTTTCAATTTCAGTTTCTTTCATGGTACATTCTTCTTCGCATTCATGATATAAGTTGTTGAGTTCTTTAAACTTTTTTTTCCATTCTTCTAATTCCTTTTGATATTTATTAAGTTCTGTTGAATTTTCTTCAGTTATTTCAATATATTTCTCTTCTAATTCTTAACTTCTAATTTTTAATCTAGTAATTTCTTCATCTTTATTTTTTAGAATAGCTTCAAGTTTTTGAACATCATTTTCTAACTCTAATTTTTTACCCACATTATCTACCTTCAATGTCCTTTTATCTGTCATTGTATAATTCCCTCTGTTAAGTTGTTCTTATAAATGTTGTATTTCTCTGTTATACATTATCTCCTTTGCTTTCCAAGGTCTTAAAATCTCCTCCACACTTTTGAGTTAATAAGGTCTTTGTCTATGATGATATTCATGCATGTAATTTTATGGCATAGATATTGAAGTTTAGATCTTTGAAATAGATGTTGGCATATCTTAAATTTAGTTTTAATAATTCCTATTTGTAGGTTAATTACTTTAAAAAGGGAAACCCTTCTAAAATACAATATTTTTTGTGATTTCCTGAATATCAATAAAGTATGATTACTTGTCTGGGTACATTGTGATCTAGAACAATGGGATCAGATCCATTATTCATTACAAGTGTTTAAGGCTTATTTGTAATTGGATCCCATGCACTCAAAGTCTACTTGCCATTATATTCATTTCTAGCCGAAAGTGGTTGACTGAATCCCACCCCATATCTATCTGTCAATGCTTTCCTGTCGTCATTTAATTGACGTAACTCCTATAATTCTCTCATTGTGAGCATCTGTTTTATATTGTTGAATAAAAACTTAAATAAATTTATTCGTGTTTTAATTATGAAAAAAAAATAACTAATTTGTCATCTACCTTCTCCTTCACTTTGATATTAATTTTGGATTGCAACTATCTAAACGATCTACTATTACTGCTCCTTCTTTATTTTGCTAAGACTATTTGCTCTAATAATTTACTTTCCATAGATTTGTTTCATTTAATTCCACTTTTTAAGAATCCAGTACAAATCTTCTTTCAATAGAACAGAATTCTCCGATTAGATTGAAATATATTTCACATAATTCTCTTCTTTTTGGAATCCATTTCCAAAATGAATTTAGACTATCAACCATTAAATGATGTAAATTCATAGCAGCAACTGAATTCAATTAAAATCAAGTTCTATCACCACTAATTGACGAAAAGTGTCAATCAAAAATTGAAGTAAAAATAGAGTCAATTTTATGATTTAAGAATTATATTCAAAAATATTTAGAATCATGGTTCGCTTGATTTGATTACTTCACTTAACTCCAAAATTTTGTTCAATATATTTCTATCATTCAATCCATTACTATTAAATTAATTTATATCATTAATGAATATGTTTTAATAATAATTTAGAAATCAGAAGTCTAGATTAATAATATAATTTTAAAAGTATACTTTATATTTACACCTATTTTCTTTTTTTCCTTACTAAAAAATATTTACTATAATTTAAATTATTATTATATGAGTAAAATGCAGAGTGGAAAAAATGGATTAAATTCTAGAAAACTTGATAAATCAGAATTCTAAGAAAATAAAACTTAAGAAGAATTATTGTAATAATAGCAAAAAGTCTCCAAAGTTATTCAGGGTGCCATTTTAAATAAATAATAATAGAAATGAACTTATTATTTTTTTAAAGTTTATACAATTTTATATATTTATTTTAAATAATTTCATAGAATCTTGCTATGTAAATGCTCGTAGGAAAGAATGGGGAAATATATGATGACTTGGCTTATATTCCAAACTATTAAAAGAAAGATAATAAGAAGGATAATAAGAATAGCTAAAAATAAGTTTAATAATAGGCAAATGAGTAGGACAAAAAGTAGAATGATTAAGTAAAATAAGTGATAAAGGATGCCATTTAGGACAAAGACAAATAAAAATGATATAGGATTAAATACATCATATAATTTTAACATTATATCCATTATGGAATTTTAAATTAATATGTACAAATTAAAATCTTTATTCAATAAAATATAACTGTGCCAGGTTTAACTTCTGGTTATTTTCCTTATATCATTTTGATGATCTTTTTATACAGAGTAGTTGCTTAGGATTTGATGTCGAAAATTAATGAAAATAGTAGAATGAAACTAAAACTAGCAATATGAATCCAGCCAATCATGATGTAATCATCTATTGACAATTCTAGCTACAATCGATAAGCATAAGTCAAAAATAATAAGGTGTTAAAAGCCAACAATGACTCAGCAACTAATGTTTTATAGTATTCTTAAATATTTTCAAGTGGTTTCTAGACAAATACATATAGGAGAAACACAGTTTAAACTAATCCTATTGTGATTGTTTATAAGGGACCGTTTTGTCCCATATAAACAATTAAGAATATAAAAACTTATTTTTTTAATAGCAAAATAGTGTTATATTAAGTAATCCAGATGTTAGAAGAATCTGCTACTCCTTCAAATAGAGCAGAATATTATTCGATTTTTTTAGTTGTTACTTTCTTTGTGAATGAAAGTTATTTAGTGAACATATAAGTAAAAAATAGTAGTTACAATGCACAAACAACTAAAGCAGCATAAGAGTTCACTTTGAGTACAGTGTTATCTGTATTAAAATTGTTGAGTTAGATAAATACAGAGAAACTGATATCATAATAATTTGACATTATCATTTTGATAATTGCACTAAAATAAAATGCTTTATAGCTTTTTTTTAAGAGTCTTCTAAAAATATAGATGAATTTAATTGGGTAATAGCCAAAATTAGCTAGTTGATATGGTCCTAATTAATAAAGAAACAATGTTAAACTTTTGGCAATTACATATCCAGAGAATAAACCCAAAAAGCAAAAGATTGAACTTTGGAAATTCAAATAGAAGTACCCATTAATTTCATCTTATTTAAATTTATTTGAAGTTTCCACAACATACTACTCTTCTCCATCAGCAAAATCAAAAAGAGTACTGATTCCTGTGAATTCCATTAATGGTTAAATAGAAATTAGTTTAAAAACTTCAAAATAAATATTAAGATTTGTGGGAAATTGAATGTTGATGTACTTTATATAGGATAGATATTGAAGTAAATCCATTAAGTTCCAAAATATTTCAAAAGACCCAGTTATAACACAGAAAGCAGATAAAGTTATTAAAAAATAGATGACAATGCTTAAAAATGACTTTGCATTTTAAGAATTGTCTATTTACGATTAGGAAAGTACAATTGGAGTTTGTAATCTGATTTCTTTTTCATTATCTGGAATAATAATGTAATATTGAGTGACTAAAGCACTTGAGTTAAGTTTAACAATAAGAATAGGATCATCAACATTTTCATAAAACTTAACGGTTGCTATAGCTTCAATATCATCTACTTAGTCAAATTGAGGAGGCACTCTAAACTCAAAAGTAACTTCGTATTATTCAAATAAGAGATTTGTAATGTTGCCTTCAAAGTAATGATCAGCAGTGTAGTTTTCATTATATTAAAGCTTCATAGGCTAATTAAAAGTAATAGAAACCATTTCAACACTTTCTGGATTCTGATTGAGAGAGTTGAGTTTCATATCTGGAGTGATAGAATAAATACATGTGCTGGTTAGAAATTATGTATTTAAGCATACCCAATCAGTTTCAACTTTGCAACTCTCTGAACAGCCATCTCGATTTTCAAGATTGCCATCATCACAGTCTTCTTCAACAAGAACTCCATCTCCACATAATGATACACAATAGTTATTTTACAGTTGTCTTCCTTGATCACATAGATTGCATATTCCTTCAATGCAATCAACACAATACTAATCACAAACTAAACTGCAATCTTTGCAAAAACTATCTGTATTCTTTCCACTATCACATTATTCATTTCCTACGATCAATCCATCTCCACAATATGGAACACAGAGATGATTTTCAATAACCCATCCTAATTCATCACATCTATAACACATGCCTTAAATACATTCTCCACAAATTTCTTAACATTAGAAATCACAATCAAAACAGCCATCAAATGGAACTGAATTCCCATCATCACATAATTCATATGGTTTCACAACTATTCCATCACCACACTATGTTGAACAACGTTAATCCAACAGTACCCAACCATTAGTATTGCATTCCTCACAAATCCCTTTATTACAATTAGTACACTCTACCTAACATTGATATTCACATTCAAAGCACCCATCATATGGAATATTATTACCATCATCACATTATTCATTATCAACTATTATTGAATCTCCACAAACTGGAACACACTTAAAATCTTCTAGTAACCATCCCAATGTATTGCACTCCTAACAGACACCTTAAACACAATCGGTGCATGGTTATTCACATTCATAGTAACATTCAAAACAACCATCATATCTAATATCATTTCCATCATCACAAAATTCATTACCTGCAACTATATTATCTCCACAAATAGGTTCACATCTAAAATTGACTTTGCTGATTTACCATCCAATTTTACTACATTTGAAACACATTCCTTCTTGACATATTTCACATTCCTCATCACAAGAGTAATCACAATTGTAACACCCATCAAATGCCTCAAAGTTTCCATCATCGCATTTTTCATTCTTAGTAGATAATGAATTACCACAATTTTCAATGCAACCAAAATCTTTATTAACATATCCTATCATACAATCATAGCAATGATTGAATTTACAATCCTAACATTCCTCTTAACATTGGAATTGACAATTGTGACATCCATCGAATGGTTAATCATTTCCATCATCACATTATTCTTAGTCAACAATTATTCTATCACCACAAATAGGTTAACATTCATAGTTGTCCATTAAATACCCAACTTTACATTATTAGCATCCTCCTCTTGTGCATAAAGTACAACTGGATCCACAATTGTATTTACAATTTGAACAAAAGGAATCTAAGATTTATTCATTCTCATCGCATTGTTCATTGCCAACAACCAAACCATCTCCACAGATCTCAACACATTTATTATCAACTAAGGTATATCCTATTTCACAATATTAACAAAATCCAAAATCGCACTATGAACAATTAAAATCGCATTGAAATACACACTTATTGCAAGAATCATGCATCAATGTATTCTTATCATCACATTATTCATTTCCAACAATAACTTTATCACCACATATAGGATAGCAAAGATTATCTGATAAATTTAATTACCAGTTTTACTTACAGAAAATACAATAACCTTTGTAACATACAGAACATGAATCCTAACATTCATATTACTATTAATAGCATCCATCCATAGGAGTGTTATTACCATCATCACAATATTCAGTTTTTGATTTAATCAGACCATCATCCAATGTAATATCACATTTATATTCTGATAAATTTAACTCCCATCCAAGAGTATTACATTAATAACATTTTCCATATCTACAATCAGTGCAAGAAGTCTAGCATTTAAATTAACATTAATAACATCCATCAAATTCAACAAAATTGTTATCATCACATTCTTCATAAGCTACAACTGAAAAATCTCCACAAATAGGTATGCATTGTTTAGTGGCTGATACATATGTGAATCCAGGAATGCATTAAAGACAAATTCCATTGGAACAGTATTTACAATATTCAGAACAGTTCAATTAACACATGTCACATCTATCAAATGGATCATAATTTGAATCATCACATTGTTCAACTCCTGGAACCAGAATTCCATCTCCACAAATAGGTTCACAACTAACTCCAGTCAAATACCAACCATTATTTTCATCACATTGATAACAAATGCCAAATACACAGTTGGTACAGTGATCATAACATTCAAATTTACATTCATAACAACCATCAAATGGATAAATATTACCATCATCACATTCTTCATTTCCAATAATAATGGAATCTCCACAATTATTAATACATCTATGGATAGATTCAATAAGAATGTAATGGTCTTTACAGTCATAACATTCTCCATTTGTGCAATCGTTGCAACTCTCTTGACAAACAAATTTACATTGATGACAACCATCAAATGGATTACTATTGCCATCATCACAATCTTCTCCGTCTACAACTATCTGATCTCCACAAATAGGATGACATTGTAGATTATATCCATCATCATAATACCCATCAATACATAAACATTAATATTTCTTGATTGATCTATAATATTCGGATACACAAGTATAGCATTATGTATTTAAAGATCCAAGACAAGTTTCACAATATCTATTACATGCTTAAATTATAACTATATATTATTACATATGCAATTTGTGCCTGACAAATAGGATGAAGGATAACATTAGCATTCTCCTTAGTCTAATAAAAATTTATTAGTATTAGAGAATTCGCATTTTGTACAAACTGAATCGCTTTAGCATTCTTAACATCCTAATTAAGTGCAGGATTAACAAGAATAAACTTCAGTGGCACTGTTGAAACTTAAGTATTAATTTGTGTTACAAGATCTTGTCAAACTATATCCAGTGTATCCAGAATCACAATCTGAGATGGCTGGACCATGACATACATTACAAAAAGGAGCACACTTATTTATATGATAAAAGTACATAGTGAACAACAACAAAATAATCTGATACATATATAAAAGCATCTTCTGGAGAACCCTAATTAGTATTTCCTGCCAAGACTATGTCTAATTAAGAGGAAGTATGAGTTTATTCTAAGTAATAATAATGAGCAGTGGTCTCTTTCTTGGAATCTCCTATGTAATTATTGGTCCCTGTATTTGGATTTGTTATTTGTGAAGATTGATAGGAATGAATCTTATAGGAAAACCATCCATTCATCTCATCTCCATATGTCACGTTAAGTCTAGAACTTATCTTATAATGCGGTTTTAACGAGGTAAATGTTTTTTGAAACTTTCCCACTTGCCACACTAAAACACCTCCTAAGACAGATTTTTCAGGGACAAAAGAATAAATTGATCCAGTAAATGAAGTTTTAATGGTACCAGCCAAATCAGTAAAATTATCAATTATTGATGACACTTACTCAAATGTAGTGTTCATATCATAAAATGCTTTTATCAAATATCTACTATCTAATAATATAGATATAGATATTACTTGTAATAATATCCTCATAATCCTAACAAGTTCCATTGGCCAACAAAGTGGAGTGAATTGGACATTGATCAACACATGTACCTCTGTATAAATTGAATCCTGAATCACAAATCAAACACCTAGAGTACGTTTCACATGATGTACAGTTACTTTAACATAGACCATAATCAATTGTAACATTTTTGAATGCCCAATATTCACTCTATAAAATAGGTATTGCCTGAAACTGAAGAGTAGGAGTAGTTGTGTATGTCTTAAGGACTGCTTCAATTCTCAATAGGTCGTAGCTATTCCCTGAACAACTCGAACTACTAAACTTATTCAATCTAGCATTCTAAATAGTGTAATTGGTGGCTGTCTTCAAAATTATAGCTTGTGAATAGGAATCTACTGTTATTCGCAATGACGAACCAGTCTGCCAACCAAACAAATAGAAGGATGCTCTTATTCTTAAGAATGTTAACCCTTTATGTTGAGCCAATTTTAAATACATCATTTCATAATTTGAAAATCTGCCAATCACATCATCACTGCCACATTGAGCGAGCTTATTTGTATTGGACGGATAAAAAGGATCTAACACATACACCCATGGATCATAGGGTAGAAAGTTGCCATTACTGATAGTAGTTGAAGTGAAATAACTGATCTTTGATTTGATCCCTAATTAAATTCGAAATCTTACTTGGATCAAACTAACAGTATTTGGAATCATCTGCTAGATAATAATCTCTAGGACATTCTTATACGCAACCTGTCAATAATTAAACGTATGAATTGGATTCATCGCACTTACAGATTCCTCCTTGTAATACACCTTAATAGCAGGTTAAGCAATCGTTTATAGTGGCTCCTGAACAAGATGCACATGTAAAATGACAGGTATTTGCATATATTAATATATTTCTTAATCCGACTCTCATTAAATCGTCTTGATAGATATAACAATATGAAACATCAAACACAGACTTCTGGTGATTTATGGCATCCAAAATAATGGTTTTTATTTCTACTCTTGTTTCGTCTAATCCTCCACAGCTACCGCCTCCACAATCGTTTTTACATACTTTGTCATACCTCTATATATTTGATTCTTAATATAATCTAGAAAATATGGTAGTAGTTCCTCCTGAGTCGATTAATGATATTTTAAACTAAGAATTAGAGCTTGCCTTAGCTCGAATGTAATAGGCATCAGTGATGATTCGAAGCTGAAAATGAGGATAATAAAATTCTTTCTCCATTCTTGTTCGATCATCTTTCAAACGCATGAAATCCAACTGATTTGTTTAGCATTGTCTTATTGATGATCCCTATACTGAGTTGTCGGTGCAGGTTTTCTTAAATTCCCAACCTTACATGCCTGATAAATTCTCTGAATAAAATGCACTCTCTATAAGCCTCCATTCTGAATGAGCAATCCGTAATAATAATACTATTGAGAAATGTATGTTCAACATTACTATAACTAATTTGATATATATTTTAGTAAATGAATTTGATCAAGGAAGTTTATTTAATATATTATGTCATCACGTAATGTAATCATACATCTACTGATTGCATGATTAGCATAATTAGCATTTCATTTTTCATCGAGAATTAACCTACACCATCACCCAATTTCATGTATGTGAGCCTAGAACGATCCTCTTCAATTTAGTATGATTTTAAGAATCAAGAATTATTAGTCTAAATGCTTAAATGTAATAAAAGTTTTATTACTCCATAATAAGTAATATCGAAAGCTAGAAATTTCTAAATATTATATTTTCCAAACTAACAAAGACCATATATATATATTTAAATATTATAAACCATCTATTATATTTATTTAGATAATGTACTCATATTCATTTAGATTACTTTGTTGTAGTCGTCGTAGTGATTACTTAGCTACCCTAATAATTAAGATATCCATTAAATATACTTTAGTTCCAGCTCCTCCTTATTTTTTAATGTGATCCAACTCAGCTTCAGTTAACATTAATTTTTCCTATTAATCGTGAAATTGAGCATTTAAAGCCAAAAATTTATCCTTCCAACTCTTCAACTCCTTTCTAACAGTTTCAACTCTTTGTTCAATGATCTCCTCCTATTCATCCTACATACCGTCCATTTCATTATTGAGTTCTTCAATTTGGCCTTCTAATTCCTTTATCTTTTCATCCTTCTCATGCACTTAATCCTTAAAGAAGTTCAATTAGGATAATAGTTGGGAATTCTCCTATCTATATCTTTCCATTTATAAAATTGAATCCTGTAATTAACTCTCTAAATCAGATATCCTCTTTAAATAAAGCTTCAATTATTCGGAATCGTCATTGGCTATTAAATTGCTATTGATTGATTTATACCAACAGGAACTTGAGAAGCAAGCAAAGCCTTCAATCTTTCGATTTCTTTGTCTTGTTATTCAATTTTCTTTTTTAACTCAGCAGTATTATCAGTACAGACATGATTTTTCAATTACTCTTAAATAACATTATTTTAGATATTACATTTCAATTTTTCCAATTCACTAAGATTGTCATTATACTTTTATAATAAATCTTCATAATCCTCCTTAGTCTTATACAATTCTAGTTGGAGTTGAGAGATCTGTCTTTCCAAATCTTCAGTGTCTGCACCAGCTCTTAATTCAAGCACAGGTTCTTGGAAATAACATTTAAAAATAACCTGGAGCCTAAATAACTGGCTATGGTTTTTGTTTTTAGAGTTCTCTTAATTGCTTTTCAAGGTCCTCGACTTTTTTTCTCCAAATGTCATCATACTATTCCAAATCGACCACATGAATTGGTCTTTGCTATAAGTGAACATTTAAATTGATTTAGTACTCTCACAATTTATGGTTATGGTTATTACACTTGGATCAGAGATTAATACATAGGTGTTGTTGCGATCAGTGGTACTGATTAAACCGAATAGTTTCTAACCATTAATTTTATATTACAAGGGCACCAAAGGAGCGGGTGATATTTAGACGAATCCAGAATGTCTCATTTAGCAATTAGAGTTTAGAAATAAAATATATTATTAAATATACGTTTTATCAATATCGAATATAAGTACTTCTAAGTAATAAATGGATCAAACCCATGGCTATTTGAGTGTTTCCTCATCAACCATAAATTGATTTTTGACCATCCGAATACCTTGATAATAATTGGATAATTTTGGTTATTTTTAATAAGAAATATAATTAATTATTAATTAATGGACGCAGACATATTCAGAGAGATGTTTCCTTCAGATTATATCAAAAGATTTCTGGAGAAAAATGTTAGAATAGACGGGAGATAATTTAAATAGCCCAGATAGATTGTTATTGAATTTGGAGAGGGATTAACTAATTATTAATATGCAGATTGCTTTATTTCAGTCAAACACGTAATTAGAGAGATAGAGTTAAAGGAAGTGGATCTAAATTAGTGCATTAGTATTAGTATGTAATGAGACTAAGGATTATCGATTATTATGGATAATCAGGAGGAATTAAGCAATATAGATAAGGTCAGAATCGAAAAGCATTACCTAAATTAAATATACGATGTCGTACTCCAGATTGTGGATCCTTAAAGATTGAGAAATCAGAATGGCAAAGTCTAATAAATTGAATTATATATCAGAGTTGCTGGGGCTGATGGATCATTATTGTCCCATCTGATCAACTGTGTTTCGTTTTCCTTATAGCAAAGTAAATTTGAGAGATTAAATATCTTAGTTAAACATTTCGAGACTTAAAATTCAATAGTGTACAAGGAGATCAAATGTTAAACCTTTGCCGTGTTTGAAGATCAAATATTTACAGACCCCTCTGATTTTGAGGAGAAGAATTCTTCAGTTATTTCAGTGATCCACATTTAAGGAGATGAGCAGTTCATACTTAAGAAGCACGATGGCAAACCACTGAATTATAATTTAATATAATAAGTTATTTAATTATTTTGAGTAATTAAAAAATTCTTTTTACAAATAAAATAGTATAAAAATGTAAATATTAATCCTGCAAATTTGATTTAATCTTATATATTTATTAATTCAAGAGAGTGATAATGGGAAATGAATGTAAACAATGCACAACAGATGTTCAATCTGTGGGTTTTCAATCGTAGCACAATGTCATAACTTAATCCCACCAATATAGTTTTGGAATGAATTGCATTGATCATGATCTTAATTTTGAGTACTCCAGCCTTGATGTTCCTACTGTTCCATAATTTGGGTTTGAATAACAAAAAATTAAAGCTGATCTTTTCCCTCCTCAAGCCTTAAGAGTGGCATCCGAAGATTCAAATATGTCTTTCTTTGACCTTGAAGAAACTGTAGAGTAGCAAATCAACTCACCAAATAACTGCGCTATTTAGCTCTAGAAGAATTCAAGTCAAGAGGAAAATTCGATTGTTTAGTATACAACGAAAATGAAATAGACGGCTGGAAGCAATTTGGCAACTTCTTTAGAAGTCCATATTCAATAATAATAAACATCTCAGAGATCAATTCAGAAATAAAGATAACTATTTTGGGATTCCAGAACAGTAAATAAGGAATTACAATAAAATAAAAAAGCAAACTAAACCTTCATATCTTAATTAGAATACTTTGATTAATTGTGTTCCTCAAGGAAAGAAAAAACTATGGTTTACATCCCATTAGAGTTGAATAAGAATAGAGACAATAAGAAACAAATGAAGCAAAGTGAAAAAAATTTAAATCTTAATTAAAAAATATAGGATGAATTTCTTCAATAGAAAATTAATGAACATTACAACATATAGTAAAGTAAATTTCCTAATTGTGAGTGACAATCCTTTGAATTTAAATACAGAATGATATATATAACTAAAACAATTACATAAAGAATCAATTATATACTACTTTATTTTAAGAATTATCTTTACACAATTCCATCCAGCATTAAATTCTAGATGATATACATTTTTTAGATAATGTCATTATTGGTATTCTAAACATCATTTATAATCAATTCTTTCTCAGGGTATTGGAAAAATTTCTTCATTTTATTAATTAATTTAGATATATCCCAGTAATTAGCTATTATTTTTTCCTTAAATTTTATCATATAAATTGCGAGTGATATGATTAAATTATATTTAAATTTTTATAAATAATGCAACAATAGGAAAAATAACAGGAATCCAGTGATGAGGAAATAGAAGTGTAAGGCGAAGAAAAATAATAGCAACAATAATAACAGCAACTCAATGTTGTATAGAAGTAAACCCAATACAATCAATAATTGTTGGATAAATTGAATAAACCACATTAATTTTGGGAAACACAGCCTATGCCAAATATTAATGAGTTGGAATCCTTAAAGGCTGGTCCTATTTAAGAGGGAATTTTAGCTGATGTTAGAAAGGATCCCTATAGTTTAATCTCTAAATTTGAATGGTGTAATGTCGATTTGAGAAATGATGAACAAGCCTAACAAGTATTCCTATTTCTTTAATTTAGGTATATACATTGTTGAAAGAAAACTACGTCGAAGATGATGATAACATGTTTAGATTCGATTACTCAATTGACTTTCTGAGATGGGCGTTGTTGCCTCCAGGACAACACCCCGATTGGATTGTGGGGGTTAAGGTAAATTAAAAGCTGGTTGGATTTATTACTGGAATCCCAGTTACATTACATATTGAGAATTAGTAAACAAAAGTTAAGATGACAGAAATCAACTTCCTATGTGTTCACAAAAAAATCAGAGCAAACAGATTGGCTCCAGTTTTGATCAAAGAAATTACAAGAAGAGTCCACATTAAAAACATGTGGCAAGCAGTCTATACAGCTGGAATAGTTGTACCCACTCCAATTTCCTAAACAAGATACTATCACAGAAGCTTGAATGCCAAGAAATTAATTGAAGTTGGATTTTCATCTCTTTCTGCAAGACAAACCATTGCAAGATAATAAAAACTCTACAAATTGCCTGAAGAGCCAAAAACCTAAGGATTGAGACCTATGAAAAAAAAAGATGTAGCTTAAGTTACTAAATTATTAAATGAATATTTGAAGTAATTTAAATCTTTTTATTTTAGATAATTCAAATTGTATTTTAAATATACTGAAGATGAAGTCAAGCATTGGTTTTTACCAAGAAAGGATGTAATAAGCACATACGTTGTTGAAAAAGAACAAGGAGTGGTTACAGATTTCTTATCTTTTTATAATCTTCCAAGTTAGGTGATTAAAAATCCAAAACACACACATTTAAGAGTAATATATCATTTCGATATCATCAAAGGCTGCCTACTCGTATTATAATGTGGCTACTTAAACTCCAATTGTATAATTAATGTATGACGCATTGATCCTAGCAAAAAATGAAGGTTATGATGTATTCAATGCTTTGGACATTATGGAAAATGAAAAGTTTTTGAAAGTATCTGTTTTGATAATGTTAGGAATTAATGTTCTGTCCAGGTGATGGGTAATTGAATTATTATCTATACAATTGGAAATTGGAGAGTAATATGCTTAAACCAGAAGAAATAGGAATTGTTCTTGTATGAGTATTAAATAATATACAAATATAAAATTCAATGTCTGATGCATATAGAAGTAATTTAGAAAGAATTTAAGGATTGATCTAATAATTAAGATCTGACATACAGAAAAGGGAATAAAAGTTTAATGCCAACCAACCTGTTGGAATAATCGACGGAGAAATCAGAGGACTCATCTCTAAGATAGGTATCCGGATTTCATTATATATTCAAAGAAAGAGAAATAGAATTGTTGAAATCCCTTATTGAGAGGCAAAACTAAAATTAAGAAATATTGTAGAAAGAAGGAGAAACAAGAAAAAATAAATTATTGGAATTGTAGAATGTAGCTGCGGAATTAAAACAAACTTTTGACAAATCTTTGAGATCTAAACAGGATTAATTATTTGACAATAGGTCTAATGGGGGTAAGCAATATAAAGACACAGAGACATTATAACAAATGGATAATAAATAATTGCATTCAAATTAGAAACAATTACAAAAAGAGTAAGAATAGAAACTTGACGTATGCATAGATTAATTGGATACTCTCAAAGTGTAAAGTAAAAACATTGGGAATACTGTGGACGAATAAAATAGATTGCTTGGAGAGATTGAAAAAGATATGGACAAAACAAATAAGGAAATGATCAATGTAAATGGAAAATTGAAAAAGTTTCTAAACTCATCATCCTACTGTTGCCTATATCTATTTATAGCATTGGAATTAGTTGGATTAGTAATGATTATTCTTTTTGTATGAATAAATAAAAATTAAATCATGCACTTTAACAGGTCTATTATAAATTTAGGTATTAATCATTAACGCTTTATATCGGATTCTGTTTTAATTCATAGAAATTGAATAAACTTATAGCGAATTAACCCATAATTTTTATTATTTTATTAAAAAATCGTTTTTACAAATGAATAAGTCGTTCTTATTCTTATAAGTAATAATTTGCTTGTCAGTTGCAGTTAATATGTAATTTTGAATTGTTGATTATAAGCCAAAATGACTAGAAATTCTTAGAACCTGAAAAAAAGAAGGTAATTCATATTCAATTACAAGAAAGAGAAACCAAGGTCTAAGATAAATAAGACTTCTATAAACTAGTTGCTATGAATCAAGATAAATTAAGTGAGTCTTCCTTTGCCTAAACACAGCAATCAGGTCCTGAATATATGAGAATGCATAATTACAAAAATATTCAATACACTGCTGACTTAGGAATAGGCTAACCTGGAAACACATTCAAAGTTGTATTAGATACAGGAAGTGCTAACTTATGGATCGATTCAAATAGATGTTAAGAGGAAGGCTGCATGAGACACAAACAATATAATCACGAGGACAGTCACTCGTTTTTGCCTTTGAATTAAGAATTGAATGTTGAATTTGGAAGTGGTGATTTGAAAGGAGTTGTGAATGCTGATACTGTTTATTTTGGTGAAGTTACATTACCAAGATAAAATTTGGCAGAGATTACAAGTGAAAATGGAGCAATCTTTAGAGATCTTGACTTCGATGGTATTCTTGGTTTGGCCTATCCAAAAATGGCACCAAAGAATTTCAATCCAGTTTTTGATAATCTCATGGATTAAAGAGTTTTGGAGAGAAACTAATTTTCATTCTATTTTGCTAAAGATGCAAATGACATTGCTCATAGTGAATTTACTTTGGGAGGTTACAATCCAGCCCATGTAGATGGAGATATTCATTATCATGATGTTATTGACAAGTACTATTGGATGATTAAAGCTGATAATATTTTGGTAGATAACAAAGATATTGGTTTATGTCATGGATCTTGCAGACTTATTGTTGATACTGGAACATCAATCATGAGTGGACCCTTTGATGATTTGGGTACCTTGTTGAGAACCTTGAATGTAAAATCTCATTGCCATGAAATCAATACTTTACCTACAATTACATTTAAGATTGATGATGTTGATTATACATTGGAACCTGAAGAATATGTCAAGCCTACTAATTTTGATGCAGCCTAATTGACAGAAGTTAATGAGGGAGATGATTTATGTAATTTCTAATTTAATTCTTATAGAGGCATTAATTGAAGTTAACAACTGGGATTGTATAGCAGCCTTCATGCCTTTAGATATTTAATAACCTCAAGGACCTGCTTGGATTTTAGGAGACGTCTTCCTTAGAAAATATTACAGCATATACGATAGAGACAATGATTAAGTTGGTTTCGCTAAAGCTAAAAAATGATTTATTAATACATAAAATAAAAATTTGCTTAATAAAATACTTGATACCCGTAGGAGTTCTCCTGTCATATATTCATAATTAGATCACTTCGAATAAAGTTAGAAATTTATTAATAAATATTGGAGATGATGGTTGGAATTCTACAATTAAAATTTAAGACTTGTTATGTTTTATATTAATAGGATTTATGGAAGTTTAGATTATTTGAGAATGTCAGCCATTTATTTGGATTAAATTGACAATCTAATTGAATATACAATCAAAGTATATTTTTAAGTATTTATCAAAAAATATCCTGAAATATTAATAATGATGCTAGAGTCTCAGATATCAAATGGTAATAAAAAAGAAAATGGAAACTTAATTATCTAGATTCTCTTATTAAATATAGGCTATTTTATTTATTTTCAAAGTATTTTATAAGTTTTCATTCTTCAAAGTAAATAACTTATGTCAATCTTATTCAAATTAAGAATGTTTATAAATTAGGTTTCAATCATCAAATTACAAGAATAATACGAGAAGGGTATCAATTTTACTTGGATCTAATTTTGATAATAAGGGATGGAAGGGAAGTTTACTTTTCTGAACAGCAATATTTATTAATTTCAGATGAAGGAATTTATTGTAATTATTGTAAATAGCTTAAAAATTGAAATTTAATACTTAATTAAGAATATTCATAAAAAACATATATAGAATTTATTGGATTTAATATTGAATTTATAAAGATAATAGATTAATTTAATTGATATTAATTAATTGATTTAATAATAAAATTAACAAATATTCAATGAGCAAAGAGGAATAGAGTCAATAAAATGAATAGCCATATAAAAGGCAAAGAAGACCAAGGTAACACACCAATGAAGAGGAATCTAATTAATTTTGGAAAAACAATTAATATTTTGCTCAAGGGTAAATTGACGAGGGTGATGATGAAGATTCGGAAGAATATTATCCATAGTAATCTTCTGCATCTGAAGAAATTTCAAAAGAAAATGATACAGGTGACTATATAGATTCTTTGGATTAATGGTAAGATTGTTCAGATTCAAAAGTATAATTAAAATAATAGTAAGAATCGCCATCCAAAAGCTTTATCAAACTAATGAGAAAAAATCTAGAGCAATTCTCTACAATGAGAGGAGTGCATACATAAGTTGATATTGCTACTCTGCCTCGTTTAGGTGAGACATCTTACGTTTATTTTAATGAAGAGTAGAAATTTAAAACTGAATTTCAAGATGTTCTAAATAGATTCTATAAATCTATTCCCTATTCTAAGAAAATTAAAAGGGAAGATGATTAAGTTAAATGCAAAACTGAGTTTCACGGTGACTTATTTGATTTCGAAGATAAAAGATATTTTATTGATATTGAAATTTAGTAATTGCAAAGAATTTTGAAATTATACAAAACACAAAAGTTTGATTCCTACCTTGCTTATCGTAAACTCACAAGAGATTAAAATTTGGATTTTTAATAATCAATTCAGAAATAATTAGATTTATTAAGATAAAAGAAAAGATAAATGGATGCCTAATTGGAAGAAGAGAAAAGATGTTTCAATCTATCAATTGATTAATAATACATATTAAAATTGAAAGAATACACTAAATGTTTGACGCCTCGATATTTTCAAAGCTAAAGTAATCTGAAGTATGAACAACTGTTATTAAATGAGAATCCACTCTTCCAAATATATCCATTTGATAAATAGCCTTAATGGCTTCTTTAATATCAGGAAACCTATAAAATTTTCAATTAGAAATTTTAATTACTTTAAGCTCCTCTTTATTTTTATAGTTTTTAAGATGCAAATGCTTTAAAGATAGCTTCTCATCTCATTTTGAAATCCATAAAGTAATTGGAATAAGTATCCAAAAATAAGTTTATTGCCAAAATATTTGTTGATCTGATCAACGCTCTCTTTAATATTGACATTCCTGAAGCAGATCTGTTATTTAATACTGAGCTGTTGAACGAAGAAATTATCCACATCTTGACTACTTAAGATAAGTAAAACCTATTGAATTAACCTGAATAATATAAGCCATTTCCTACTCCTGATGACCCTGGAGTTCAAACTAAAACTAAATTGAGGTTTTATCCAAACTTCAAAATTGAAGAATATGCCCTTTATGGAAGACCTGTGTTTGAATTCTCAATGAGATATTTGTATGAAATCTATCTAAGAATATAAAGCATAACATAAATATCAACTAAAATAACATACAAAAATATAGAATATACGATTGGAAATTTAATTATGGAATGTTGCTATAAGTATTTAGAGGATGAGATTACATATGCAGCTTGGCTTACAATTTGCAAATCAATATTTAATGAACAGGATTCGATTTAATTTTAATCTCTAATTTTATTGGTTTAAATGTTTCGAAGATTATTTTATTAGTATGATGAATGGACAGTAGAATTATTAATCAATTGGATTTATAAGGTGTTGGGTGATGATAGTAAAATTGTGAATGATGATGTACAAATATCGAATGTGAGTGTTAAAGATATCTTGTCGAAATCTAAGAACAACGCAGAATTATCAAATGCCAAGATGACTAGAGTACAGACAGTAGATGGGTTGATGATCATTCATGTTTTTGAGTTTTCATAATTGTATTGAAGAATATAAATTTATATGTAATTTAACAATAATTTTTAACATTAATTAAATTGTTAACTATTCAAAATTCATATGCTTAATCAATAAAGATATTCTCCAGTATCCCTATTATGATTTATGTAAGGTCAATTAATCAAGATACCAAAAATCAAATGATAATCTTGGATTTTAGTACATTTTAAGTCACTACATAAATGAATAAACGTGAATTGGCAGAGTTCAGAAAGGAAGTTAGAAATAACATTTTACATCGAGAACCATTCGTTGAACCTCAAGAAAAGCCAAGTCTCTATTTAGGAAAATGGGGAAAACCTGATAGACCAACCCTGTAAGAAATCTTAATATTTAGCGAACCATTAAGTTAAAGGAGAACACCAAATAGCAAAATTCCAGGAGGGTTGAATTTCGATGAAATATTGTAATATATATTTTAATATTTAATAGTAGTTCAAAACGATTTGAACCTTAATCTAAAGCAGTACCCTTAAGCAAATTATACCAAGCTGATAAAGGCCCTTAGAGATAGTATAAGGCGGATTCGTTTTTTGATAACTCCTTTAGTAAACCCTCAAGAGTGAATACTTTAGGCTCTGGATACAAAGAATCTCCATAAAAATCACAATAAAGGTTGGAGAGATTTAAGAGTTGGGATAATATATTAGATGTTCAATTGAAACTGTAAAACAAGGCAATCAGCAATACAGTGCTTGGAGAATAGCCAGGATTTTACAAATATATCAATGAAACAAAACAAGGACTCTTTGATTAACACTATGCTCCTGCACTGACAGTTAAAAACAAAGGCAGCAGTAGAGATCTTAGTTAGTTCTAAAACATCTACAGTGTAACTCCTAGATAAAATTAATCACGACATCTATCACCTTAGTTTACAAATAAAAACTTAGAGAAAATTCCATTAACAGATATCGTTAGAATGACTTCACATTTTTCTTCGTTGTCCTCATAAGAAGTTAAGAAGGTTTCCTCTGGGTACTTTTAAGAACTCATTAATTTATAATAATCCTTGCAAAGAATGATTAGAATGGGAACCAACAATTATTGAATTATTAAATATTATTACTATTGATTTGGAAAAGTTTAATTTCATCATAATTATTGACTTTTTTATTATATCTCTTATGATCTAGATAACAAAGTTTCCTAGCTTTACACTCCATATTAGACAAATGGAGTATTTATATAATACTGAGGAATATATGGCATAGGTAATTAAGTAGGGAAATAGTACATCATTTTGTATGGTTGTGCTGTACTATAAATTAATGGATAGTGAGCATAGCAGCTCTGTGAAAGATTGAGACTCTCTTATAGTTGATCCAATTTAGCAACTTAATCTTAATCTGCTTCTTACTTAACTTGACTTTAGTGGTTTGAGAGCTCTTCCTTTACAATATATTGATTCTGCATCGACCCCAATTTATCTTTTACTTGTGATTAACCTACACATTAGGGAATTAGCTTACTGAAGTGTTGTTTGTTGTTATCCTCAATTGATGTCATTTACAACCTAACTTTTTCTTTATCCAAATATTCATTTTCATCCTCATTGTCATTTTTCATCTTATATTCATCCTATTTAATATTTGGCAATTTCTTTTATAAATTAAAATATTACTGTAATTCTTTTACGTATTTTTAGTTTGTCTATTGTCCTTTTGGCTGTTCTCCTCTGTTTATTATTTGTAGTTTCTTCCTGAATGGACTTCTATAACTCATTATTAGTTTTAGGAACCACATAATAGGGGTTCTCAATATTAAAATAACGCTTTCGAATGTACGAATAATATCTATTTTTTATTATGTTTTCCTAGAAATAACCATTTTTCATACAGGTCTTCCTTGTAATAATTTGGATATCTTGCACCATTTGGACCCAAAGTTTTTATAGCCCTCTACTATAATCATATCTTCTTCTGTTGTAAAAGGTTCTGAATTTATTTCTGGATTCAATTTATTTACAAATCTTTCCCTAACTTACTTACTAGTGCGATTAGGTATGCATTTGGCTATTTAAACCCAATTTTTCTTATGCACCTGGACTAACTTGAGTAGTAGCTAGTCTTCCTTGTCAGTCCATGGTTTGCGAATATTGTACTTGAATAAGAAATAACATAAGTACATTATAGGGTTTGATTCTTTTCCATCTCTATGCACATTGGGAAGGATTACGATTTTGTAATGCCTATGCCACTAATAGCCAATTTGTGCTATGTAATTTTATGGCCTATTTGAGTTAATTGTCTTCTTTGAGTGACCAAGCTCTTCTTGTTTGGCTACTATTTTTTTAAAGTTCGTTGTTATCGCAGATATTCGAATGCACTTGATTCACAGAAGGTTTATCATCTGGTTCAAAAGATTGGGCTTAGTCCATTATATTTATTTAATATTAATTCAAAAATCAATGAACACAATCTCTGCTAACAAAATTTCCATAAGACACGAAAATATTGTTACAATCTTCAACATAGCTTAACTATTTAAATAGTTAATTACTGTTCTACTTCAAATAATTCTAAATTTAAAATAGCTAACAAAAGGTTAAGTTGAAAAGTAATGTTAAGTTTAGACCAAACTCTTTTATTAATTCTTCAACTGAATCCAAATCTGAGCCGAAAGGGCTCTGAATGAAAGTATCCCATATTTAATTTAAAGTATATACCCTTGGTTATTAATTGTGACAATCCGTAGGAAAATTATCAACTACATTATTTATTCATATAAATTGTCAACTGATACCTTACTGCTAGACAAATTAGGATTCTATTGAGAATTCTATCTACCAATTGACTAATTATTAGAAATTTCTACCGATATTCAATGATCTAACTTAATAAAATATGGTATTTTCATTTATAAGCCCTGTATGCTTGATTCTAATTTGAATACTGAGTGTAGCATCAAATGAATTTTAGTTGTAATGGCACTTATTCCATTATGAAATTTAAACTAATAAAGGTGGAGAACAGAAGAATATTTTCAAACGCATCATAAAACTAAGCTAACTTTCTTTAATTACTAAAAAATATTGATGACTAACCATAAATTGATCTGCTGATTTTGTTTTTAAAAAAAAATAATAATGGGAAATAAGGAAACTCATTGAATATAATTTAAAAATAATTGCGTTTTTTGCTCAAACCATATTGGATTGTGGATTTAATTTGAATGAAATACTAAGTGGAGTAATTCGTATGCAGTTATAGCAAATTTTGAGGATGCTTACTGAATGAATCAACTTGTGATTAATTTTGTAAAAAACGCAATTATGCTAAAGAATGACGATATTAATATATTATTCATATATTAATTAAATTGATGGCTGCAATTTCAACATTGAGATTCATCGGTAAATTTATATTTTCACATTCGAATCCCAAGGATCCAAAATATGGTAAGGTTGTGCATCCATTATTTTGCTTTCTGATAAGTTCAGTGAGTTACATGTATGGAAGCATAAAACTGGAAAGTTAAAATAAAGAGGGAATAGAAGATGTAATTGAAATTTTAAATTAGTTTTAAGAATCACAAAATACAAGAAACTTAATTGCATTAGGAATCCTATTCTATGTGTTGCTAATTGTAATTGCTAGATTCGGTTAAGCAAAATTCACAATATTTTATGAATTAATGTGGGCTTGCAATTTGAGTTTAATTAGTTCTGCATATGCATTCTGGAAGTATAATCGATGAATAATTAGAAATAAACCATTGATATTGGCAGCCAGCATGATATTGGTGTCTATCGATTAAGTGTTGTGGTACGTGGATTTATTGGCATATTCTTTATTTAAAGTTTGGCCTATTGGAGTGGCAAAGTATTTGAATTAATTCCATCTATGTAGATATTTGACATGGCCATCAACTACGAAGTTGAGATTGCTAACCTCCTTTCATCATATATTTTATTTGCCACTCTGCTTGTACTTCCTAAGAAATCAGTAAGGAATCCCAATGTCAGCATGGCAAATAAGCATAGGCATGAGCACAATTCTGACTATAGTTTCAAGGTTTGATCTATAATGTATATTCTAGACTATTGACTCCGAAATCAATAATGTTGAAGGGACAGAAAGAAGAAATCTATTTGAATTTAAACTTATCAAGACAATTGTGGAAAGACATCCCGTTTAAAATCTTAACTATAGCTGATGACAAACCATGGTACTTGGCTTTACCTTTTTTGAGTTTTATGTGGAATTCTGGCAATTATATTCTTGGGTATCAATTATTAAACAGAATATCGAAATATATGAATTAATGATGAATATTATGATTTGTAATTTATTATTAATTTTATATACAATATTTAGAAATCCAGATATTATTTGTCTATTAGTACTATGATTTTTTGATAAATACAACCATAAATAATAAAAGAGAAATGATGAGTGATTCAGATTCAGATGACTATGAAGTCAATAATTTCATCCAATCATTTAATAACAAATAAAGAAAAGAGGGAATCGATCATTTTAATCCTTACAAATAGAATGGTTCTATGATGGATGACAAATACGGAAAACAATATCACAACATACAGGACAAGTTCAATCCTAAATATCCATTAATGAATGGAAAGGACTTTGATCACAGAATCGAAAAAAAGAAGATTAATTCATATTGGACTATTGGTGAAGATGTACTTCTCTTGTAATTGGTTGAACGCTTCAAAACAGAAGATTGGAAACTCATCTCAGATAAGATAAAAACCAAGGATCATATCGAATGTTCAAGAAGGTACACAATGATAAGAGAACCAGAAGAATTCGAAGATGAAGAAGAAGAAATTGATTTAACTTGGACACCAAAAGAAGATTCCCTCTTAATTTTTGCATATCGCAAACATAAAGGAAATTGGGTTAAGATTTAATAAAGATTTCCCCATAGAGACAGACCGTCACTTTAAAAAAGATGGTCTGAAATTGCCTTCATCTAACAATAAGCACCTACCATCTTCTGGGACATTGAAAGAGACACACGGATTATTTCTAATTTCTTGAATTCTGCTAAATATAATGATATTGCTTCGGATTTAAGTATTCAAGAGGAATCAATTGAAAATAGATTCCATTTCATGGTTGCCAAATTGAGTGGCTAACTAGAAAAAAAAGGAGTTAAAGTAGAATTGCCCAAAAAGGTATTCGATTCCGTTTAATTTACTGAAGCTTAAGGATAATTAGCACTGCAAACTAAGTAATAAACTGTCGATATTCCAAATGAGTAACATCAACATTAATAAAGTGACAAATTTACTATTGATAATATTTTGAATGATTAAAAACATTAGGAAACTAATGGTGGAATAAATAGTAAGATAGAAAATCAAACCAAGTTTGAATTGCCTGTTCAACAAACACAAATTTTGACTCATTTCAACGATTAGATTAAAGTGAATGATGAATAAATAACTTAAAACAATCACTAAGATACTTAACAGACATAAGAAGAATAAAAATTAGTAGAACAAAAGGAAAGATTATTGATAAACGACACCCTGTTAATGATGAAAAAAAGCTTAGAACAATAGAATTAGCATTTTGATTCCTTGTATGATATCAAAGACTTATTATTGTAAAATGTAATATGATTGAGCCTTATTCATTTTGATCTATTAAATATTTTTAATTCATACATCGCAACAACATATACATGAATGTCTTACTATAACATTTTTTATGTTTAATTTATTTTTCAATAATAAAATTATATAAAATGTGGAACTTCACACCTGCAAGTAAAATTTGTTAGGTTAAATCCTAAATGAAAGTATTAAATATTAATTACTCCTTAGTCCTATGACTAACATTTAAACAGCGTTAGAAATGCAAAATCTATTGTCAAAACTAATAGTCCATATAAACCTTATTTTTTGTCAGTCTGCTCTAGACACTAAAATAAATATGAGTATGCTTTATTATTATTTACTTATGATTTAGAGGTAAAAAGAAATAAATCAATGCAATTCTATACTAATTAGCAAGATTGTTAATATTGATTTAAAATAAGGAGAATTAAATAAGTCAAAATTGAGATAAAAATTCAAATTGAATTCTAGCAGGTTATCAACTAGAAGAAGCCAAAATTTATCAATAGATTTCGAAAATATTGTAAATATATATAATTATTAAAGAAACTGTATGATAGGATATAATCAGCCAAAACTTCATATAATAAAAAGTAATAACTTAGGCATAGTTCTGAATACGAACGATATAGCAAAAATATTTCTTAAAATGCCAGTAATTATTATTCTTTATTCAAATTTAGGAAGGTATTCAAATGCTAATATTTCAAATTAAACATTATCGAAGTCCTTTGAATCTAAATCTAGAAGGGTTAAAGATAGATCCTCTTCTAATACTAACTAGCATCAATACTCAGATTATAGTAATAGCCATCCTGATAATTAAGTTATTTAATTTTTATTTTGATTTAAAAATGGCTTATTAAATATATTGTTTATAGCATAGAATGGAAGTAGAAAGTCATTTGCATATGGAATTATAAAATGTTATAATATATCCTTCCTTAAAAAGAGAATGATGTAATGAAATAAATTGTTTTGATAATTAAAATTAATAAAATTAAGTTCTGTTTTTTTTATCTAAAATGCATAAGAATTTAATAAATCTATATTCAAAATTAAAAAGCTAATAATTTTTTGATACACCATAGTCTACAATTGCCATCTTGGTTTTCATCATAGAAATTAAGTAGGATGTGGATCTTTATTTATATTATCTAATTATCTGTAAATGAACTAGAAAGAATTTGAGATATTGTTTCAAAAGTATCAAAATTGCAACAAAATTACTCGTTTTTACCATTTAATTTCAATTATATTTGTAGTTCTAAGTATTTTAAAGATATACTTTGCTCTTCTTTTATTTAAGATATCTATGAAAGATCTGAATGGTTAATTTCACATTAATTCTCGGTTTCTAATTCAGCCTCACTAACATGTTACTCTGGAATAAATTAATTTAATTATTCTTATGTTTATTTATCTTTTTCTTTAGTTTGTTCGATACTCATTTATTACTAAACAATTTTGGCCTTTATTTCGTTAGTTGTTGTATTTTCTAGTTTTAATTTTAATTTTTCAGCCTTTTTAGAAATTTTAGTAATTTTTTTCTTTGTTTGTACATAATGAGAAATAAGAGTTGCTGTTTCATTATTTTTTTCAAGGGATTTAACTCTAAAATAGATTTTTTTCGTCTATTAGTAAATGTACTTGATGATAAATAATAACTACAAATAAATTTGTATTATATTGAGTGTTTTTGGTAGTAGATAGCTAGTTTAATTATAAATTTACTTGAAATTTTACATTATAACTGATATCCCAAAGAATAATGAAGAAATTATATTAAGTTTATTCTTCCAATCTATTAAGAATAATATTAATATTCCAACTGCCAAATTTATCATCTAGATAGATATCAGAATCAATTACTTTATTAGTGGGAAATATTGAAGCTAGTGAAGGATGTTACATCATCAAGTTAGAATCATTAAATTCAAAGGGTTGATTTTCATATATTTGTAATAGTGAATTCAAAGTGAGTATTGAAACAACGATTCTACTGGATGAGTGAGACATTAATTAAATAATATAAGTATTGAGAACCAATTATTAGAAATTTGAGATTTATCGAATTAAATCAATAAAATAATAAAATGAATCAAAGAGTTTGTTTGCATGAACACGAACCCCCCATAAAATCATTGTTTAATTTTTCATCCTTTATAATAATATTGTTTTATATGTGCGTCAAAAATTTAGTATTATAAACAAAAAGTACAATATATTTGCATATCTATTGGCAATTGATTAAGAAGCTAATTTTGCACAAGGCTAATTATTTGGCCAATAAACATCGTCAATCAGAACCACTTAATCTTCATCTCCTTTATTTCTTTGTTGAGCCTCTATCCATTTATTTAAAGTTTAGGATATGGTTTTGCCAGATTTCTCAGGGATTGACCAATTGATAGAAAACGAGGCAGAATTCAGAAAAAGGCTAAAAACAAATTTTAATAAAATCTAAGAATACCAATTAGAGATACAACTTGGAGCAAATGATCCCATTCTCCTATTCGCTGATGTTTTGTTCTTGATTGTTGATTAAAATTAAGAGTAAGCAAAGTCAATATAATCTTTCTCAATAGTCGAACAGTAACTTAAAGTCCTATCTTTGATGCATTCTATTTTTAAATAATCTTATAAGAACGCAGCATCATACAAAGATTAAATTATAAAGACAGGTTTAGTAATATGGTTTAACAAATTTTAAAAATAAAAACACTTCCAGCTTTAATTTGGATAATTTTTAGCGCAACTGTCAATAGGAACTTCAGATTCAACATTAACTACGTAGTTCATTATTTTTAAGGATTATTTTAGCAATTCACTCCCATCTATAGAGTGCATATCAATAAGTATTCCAGAATCCGCAATACAAAGTAAAGACACACTGATTGGTATCATTTAAGTAATATGTTAGGACCATTATAAAGCAGCGACTGCCCCAATTGAGCATCCAGACAAAATAATAACTTCAGAACTTTACAATTGAGTACTATACTTTGCAATAACACTTTTGATAATTAATTCACCACGAAAATAGATCTGCTTTTATTAGTAATTAACAACGTCTTATCTATAGCCTTAATGACCTAAAATAATCAACAAATTTTCTTAACCAGTCCCATCGCAAGAATTTATATATATGATGTTCCAATTATAAAAGTTGATATTTTAACTTTAATTTTAAGATAATAAACCATCGAAATCAAATGACAGAGCTCTATTCAATGAACTTCCATATTATGTCCCCTGTCTTAATAGGAGTAAAATTTACTTAATAATCGCATTTCTAAAATATTCATCTTCACTGCTGCCTAATATAAGACTATATTATATAAATATGTTAATACTCTCCTCCTTCAAAATGGATCAAAAACTTATTTTTACCTTCCATGTATCCTTTCTGAAAATAAAAGGACTAGAATATCTAATAAAAGCCTTACACCTAGTGATCCATCAAGACATAATGCTTGATCATTATTTACATATTGTAATTCAAGCGAATAACAGCATTACAGTAACATTACACCCATGAAAAACATTAATTAATTTAATTAAATTATACGCGTAATTTATTTATCTGATTGTTGTATCTTTAAAATAGATTTACATTCATTAAGCATGACACTCAAAAATAAAATCAGTTATAAAGTTAAGTTCAAGGAATCTTTCGCAGATAATGTTACTAAATATTCATACATAATTAGCTTCTTAATTTTATTTCAATCTTTAGTGTCTAAACTTGAATTATTAAAGCCTTCTAATTTCAATTTAATTATTTAAGTTGGATTTACATTCCAATATATTGATTGATCTATTCAGATTTCTAAATAAATTGTTATACAAGAAAGAGACTTATCTAAGCTCTTAAGGATTATTAAATGGAAAATATAGATTTTATACTAGCATCAAAATATTCTTAATTTAGATGAGAGATTATAATGATCTTATAAAAATTATCTTTTATTATAATAATATTAAATAAATTATCCATCATAATCGGTATTGATCTTGGCTATGATTAATTATAAATCATTTTTGTCTAGTGTTTTATTATATCATTTAATTATATAAATTTGTTAAAGCCTTCAATTAATTCAGTTTTAATAAATACATTTTCTTATTTTAATATTTGATGTAATCTTCAATTTTGAACAATAAGATGAATATGATAGCTATGTGATGGGAATAGGGATGAGAAATCAAATTTAGAATCACGATATCAAAACATAAAATTGATATCTCACGTTTCTAGCTGTGTATTTATAGTGTTATTAGAATATATATAAGTGATAAAACTTTTAATTATGATGAATAAGCATAGCTAGCAATAACGATTAAATTTGCAATTTTAATGTACATAATTCATCCATTCATCTTAATCTTCTAGCTTCTCTTTCGCATTCCATAAGCTCTAAGGTGTCTCCCTTTCTAACTGGACCCATAACATTTCTAATTAATGTTCTTTATTATCCAACCAATTAAACTTTAACTTATGTAATACCACCTCTAGATCCTATACAATTTATTATAAATTTTGTTACCTGTTCTTCCGATAATTTCAATAACAGTTGCTCTAGTTCCTTCAACTCTGTCTTTAGTGGAGTCCATAGTTTTGTTTGTTAATTTTTAATTAAATGATTTTAGAATTTATGATCAAATGCATTCATTATATATTAATTATATAAGAATTAAAAAAAGAGTTGGAAATGGATCAACAGAATGTAATCTCCAAAATGAAGAGGAAATTTCTAATTATTTCTTATATTTTAATGAGACTTGCAGACTTATATTTTAAGATTTAATTTATTAAAAATGTCAGAAACTTCAATTTCTCCACTTGACTTCTATGAGCTTAAACACGTTAGAACTATAAAAGATAACACATAAGCCCAAAGGATTCAAAAGAAAAAAACTCTATTGTATTAGAATAAAGAGATGTTAGAAAAGGAATATTAGATTTTAAATCAAAGCTGCAATTGTTCTGACTGTGGCAAAGGCAGCAAATATTTCGAGATCATTAAAAAACAATATCCTTTTAAGGAATCAAGGTATTAGTATATAAAATCAAAAGATGGCAGAAACGAAAAAGAATATTAAAGAGATTTAAAGCTGTAATTAACGCAATAATCTTCATCCTCACATATAAAATGGAAGCAATTAAGAAGTTCAGAAAGAGAATGCATCTTCTAAAGGCTGTTCGAAATTTGACAACTCTAAGAAAGCCTTAGCCAATTGTTCCAGCCCATTTACAACCTCAACCTGTCCTTCTAATTCCTTAATCACATCAGTCACAAAGGTACCATAATTATTAAATCCTTAAAGAGTAAAAACAGCTTCTGATTTTCATGATCCTTTCTATCCTTAAATTTTAAGTCATGGTAAAGAGCCAAGAAAAAGTCAAATAACCTAGTATATGACAAAAATGTTAAAAGATACCAATCCCAAATTAGAAGTTTATCTTAAACCTTTGAGCATTTTTAATCGTAAGTCATTTCAGTCATCAAATGCTAAATCGATAACCTAAACTTCATTTTCGCCTCATACTCACTCTCATTTTTAATCAGGTTTATTACCGCAAAGTCATTTTCATAAAGACTCAATTAAATAAATTAGCAAAGATTACTACAAATTGAACAATAAAGATCTATTAAAACTAATAGATTCGATGAAAGTTAAACATAGGTTGATTAAATGTAAAAAATGATTATAAGATAAAATATTTGTTAAGTTGATTATTTTAATTCAAATGGAGATCCTTTCAATTGGTGGTCAAGGTTTCCTTCATGTTGAATATATTTTATATTAATTGGATATTGAAAATATTTTAATTAATAGTTAGTAATTTTCTAATTTAAGAAATAGTACAGTGTTTAGAAAATATAAGAATAAATATAATTAATCAAAATAGGATACCAATCTCAGGCTTAATGATTCCATCATAAAAGCAAAAATACTAAAATTTTAAAGTGTTTTTATTCACATTTTCATTGTAATCATATTTGGTTTCTACCATTCTCTATATACTCAGCTGGGCTTACCATATACATTACCAAGGATTATTTAATATAGTTTTTTAAAAGATTTTATCTTGACTTATAAATTCTACCTACTTAAATTATTATATTACAATCCTAAGTTGAATTATAACTAGTGTAATTTTCTCTCATTTTTGCAATTGATGAGATAACTATTTAGACTCCCTTCTTTTCTTTGAGTAAGGCCAAGAGCTATTGAAGTTCTTGCAATTAATTTTCAATTACATTCATCTGTGCTGTTTGATATAGTAGAGAACTCAGTCCATCAATTATTATTAAATTATAATCTATTAATCATAGTTGTATTATTACGTTATTCTTGACTCTCTATTAGAATGGAGAGTAATATAAATAATTCTTTAGGTTATCTCATTTTGATTACTTTAAATTTTTAGTTTGAATATTCTTCATGAATGCTAATATAGAGAATTGGGATATTTTTTTAAGACATAGTCTCAGCCATGTCTCTTAATATTTGGGACTTAAAACTTAGTGAGGGTCCAATTATTTCTAAAGTCCAAGCTGCTGGCATTAAGTAGTCATTTAATTATTTAAACTTGGTGAATTCTAACGGAATAGGTTATGCAGGTTTCTACAGTTGATTGATTTCAAGATTCTTCTTCTTTGTGATTAGATGATATAAATAATCTTTCTCTTGATATAAGATATCTGATGTTTGTGTGTCCAGAAAAAGCTTTTTATCAAACAGAGCTAGTTACTAATCTAATCATAAATGAGTAAAATTACAATTTGAAGCCCCAATTCTATTTAATATAGATTCTAGGGTTTAGAAATTAAATCCGTCTTAATCCATTAATTATTAACGAATTTATTTAGTAAAAAATGGATCAAGTTTGCCAATTACTCAGAAATCAGACCAGAAATATTTAGAACATAGAAGGAAACAAAGAATCACTTTCATATAGAAGAATTAACTCCCCTGGACTTCCTAATTCATCTCTGAGGTCAAGCTGCAAGGGAGATAAAAAACGATTAGAAATTGGATTGATCACTGATAGAAAATTAAGTGAAAGTCCAAATTTCGATAGGATGTTTTCAACTGGAAAGTTTAAATTATAATAGTAGAAGAATAGTGTAGTTGACATTCCATAACCTTAATCTAAAGTTCCAAAGATGGAACCTCCGGTGAAGAGAAATTTGAGAATGATTGAAAAGCTGGAATCCGATAAGCTTTGTTTAAAGATATATATATCTGAGGAAGATTAAAATTAATTAATATTCACAGGGATTAGTAAAGAGAAACTGCAATCGCCCAAATAAAATAAAAAGGCATTAATCAAAAATTTGCAATAGTTATTTTAGAAAGGCATCAAAGATTAAAACAAATACATGAAATTAGAATCTTTAGAGAAGCATGTAAACCTTGAGAATCCACAATACTATGGACTCTTAAAAAACAATAATAACAATTCTAGCGAGAGAGTTATTACTCAAAATAATGAAAGCAAATCAAATTTAGATAGATCACTATCTATTTCGACCATATAGGAATACAAATCGAATACATCCAGCAAAATTAATAAGGACATCGAACCTTTAGAATTTGGAACAAACAAATCAAAAAATTAGTATTAAACTCATTCAAACTCGAAATTTTAAAAGGCATAACCATTTGGGACATATAATTTAACAATAAATTTGAAACAGAAATAGAAAGACTGCAAAACATCATCTTAAAATAAAAAGGGACCTTCCCCTTCTTTCTCATAATAACGAAATTCCCAATAAAAATGTATAAATAAAATGAAATCAAATGCAAAATCATTACATGTATGAGTGTCACTCTTGATAGAATGAAGTTCATTTTTCAATCATTTACATATTAATTATTTAATTTTATAATTTACTTTTAGTAATGATTACTTAAATGCCAAATTACTTTTGAGTATTATTTATAAATCAAAGATCTAATCAATCATTTTAGTAATTTAACCATTGAGTTCAATAAATCCCTATTGAAAATTGTGCTTTCTTTTTCATACTTTTAAATCCATTGATGTTACATAATTTGATATATAGATGGTCTCTTTTTCGGATCTTTTTAAACCAAAATTTTAACAAAGGTCTTAAACTCTTCACTCAAATAATTGGGAAATTCAAAATTACTATAGATTATTTTATTCATAGTATCTTCTTTTTTTTTTTCATAAAAAGGAGTTTCCCCGGTGCAAAGTTCATAAGCTAAAATACCAATAGCCCAAATATCAACAGTGTGATCATAATCTCTGCCTGCTGCAATTTCTGGAGACATATAATCGACAGTGCCGCAAAAGGATTGTCTTACTTAATTAGTAGGGTTATATGTTGATAAACCCATATCTGCAATTTTCAATAAGGAATGTGTAATTAGAATATTTTCTGGTTTGATATCTCGATGAATAATGTTTTTGCTATGCATATAACCAATACCTTCAATGATTTACCTTATATAGCCTGAAACTGTTTGTTCTGTGAATTTCTTTTTAGGTTGTTTCTTTAATAATTTAAATAATTCCCCATCAGTAGCATATTCTAATATTAGGACTACTTTAGACCATTCTTAGAAGTATCCATAAAGCTTAAGGATATTAGGATGGTCCATATAGCCTTATAGTTTAATTTCATTTGATAATTATTTTTCCATGCCATATTTCTATAAAATTGCTTTTGGAATAACTTTCAAAGCAACAATTACCTTAGTTTATTTATCCTGTGCTTAATATACATCACTAAACTTGCCCTTTCCCAAAAATTTACAAATTTAAAAACGTTCGCTTATTGTTGAATAGACAGGTGCTAAAATTTGAGCTTGCTTTACCAAATTCGTAGGCTTTTTAAGCGGAGATTCACCCTACGAAGGCAGACGAGTCTCTTCCTTGATTTATTCTTCTTCAACTTAAAATGCAGGTATTATATGTCTATTCCCTATTTCCTTATTCATCTGACCTATTGTAAATGTTAATCTTGTTTGCATATTTTTTATGTTATTATCAATGCTCGAGCATTTTTCTACAATATTCTACCAATCTTTGTCAATAGATAATATAAATCCAATTTTATCCTAATTATTCATATATTTTATATTTATTATGTTAGCCTAGAATAAATTTGATTTTGATACAAAAAGTGAATTTAGTGAAATATTGAAACATTTTTCTCAATTTCCTGTAAATTAGAGAAATTTTAATGCAGTTGTATAAAATTTCTTGTCTTAAATTTTGATAAAATGTTATATAAAAGTCACATTTGAGCTTAGCTATTCTATTCTGAGCATTATTATATTTAAATAGGTGTGAATTATATAAGTAGGTGAAATAGGTAAAAGTTTCTTTTGCGTAATCTATTGATATTAGTAAAGATATAATTATATTTTAAATTGCAATATGAAATTAGAATAAGTTAGAAGGTTTGACATCATGAATGAAGTTTGTTTACTAATAAAATGAGACGAAATCTTTTTAAGATATTTTATAAAAAGTAAAAAAGGTTTAAATATATTTATAAATGTTTATTAGAAAAAGTCCATTATTTCTAGATTAGATATTGAAATACTTTAAAGAAATATATAGATCATCTAATTATGCAAGCTGAAGTGAATAAATATTAAATTATAATAATATATTATACATTTTCATTTTTTCACCTATTCAGGCTTTTCCTTTTTCTTAAAAGTGATTTCATTAATGATAGCATATTTAAGAGGATCTTAGTCGAATGACTAAAACCATTCAGATATATCCTCTGTACCTACTCTGTAGCATGAGCCTAATTAAATGCTATAGTTGATCAGATTTCTCCATCTTTCATTGCATGATATTTTATAGATATCACATACAACTATTAAGGTTTACCTGCATCTAGATAAACTCACATTCATTCTTCTTGCATCACTCAGAAATCCTACTCCCTTTTTTGGGTTTTTTTGATTTTCGCTAATAAACTTGGATCTAACACTCGAAAAGATGATGACATCTTTTTCTCTTCCTTAGAACCCATCCACTGTTTTAACTTCAACGTTTTCTTCATTCATTTTTTTTAATTATTTAGATATCAACCACACTTACTGACTGTAAGGACTTACAATACCTAAATTATTCATATTAAAAGTAGGAAATTTATTTTTCATATCCTTATATAGCTCAGTCACTACTTTAGCTTCCATCTCATTGCAATAGGAATTTCTAGTGAAATTCTCATAACCTTTAACATGTAACACAACAACAGGACTGTATGTATAATAATCATAAAACTTTGGTGTTCCTATCAATCTTTCCAAATATTCATAATCATTTAATTCACTACCATAAAATGTTGTCGAAATGAATTTAGAGATTTTAGCATGCATACGATATTAGGTCTATTATAAAGATTAAAACATACTTTTAGTAGATGGACATTTGCTCCTTGTTTTTACAATCTCTCAAATAAGCTTTAGTCATATTTGTATTTTCCACAGATAGAACTAAATATAGTGGCAGGTAATTAATTAGGATCACCAATTAAAATTAATCTTCTGCACCCATATTGCAAAGGTATCAATGTTGAGATTTCCACTGCTTAAGCTGCTTCATCTATAATGACTGTGTCAAATTTAAGCTCGGATAATGCAAGCACATTAGAACCACTTGACGACAGAGTTCCAAATATTACTTTAGCTTAATTTAGAATTTCTTTTTTCACTTTGTCTGTATCTTAATTTTATTATTCATACACTCTTTATTAAACCAAACATTCTAAGGAAACCTTAGATAAGGTGGGGTCAAAATTTTCACCTATTCTTACTATTGGGACATCAGCTCTCTGACCAGTATCATCCAAAAGTCCTTCTTCAAGTACTTTCCTAATTATTTCATCTACAGAGGCATTTGAAGGACCACATACTAAAATCTTATTAGGAATTTTTGCTTAAGAATAATCACTTTTGTAGATTGGTTATGGCTTCTCTTTCTAGAAATCTGAAAGTCTATTAGTAAAATAATTTGATATATCCTATTCTACATCATCAAAGATATGATCTCTCCAATCATCGTAATCTAAAGATTTCCAAGGTTATGGATATTCTTGATTAAATTCCTATTCTATTTCCAAGCTTGTTTTTTAGACCAAATTTAATTCAGGTCTTTCTTATTTAGATTGCAATAACACACTCAGAGTGCCAAGAACCGTTTTAGTCTTACCTGTACCTGGAGGTCCTTAGATTAAAGTGATTCCATGTGTTTTTAATGTTTACTATATTGCTTCATATTGACTCGAATTATAAATAGAGTGCAATTTTTAATCAAGTTTATATGGGATTGTGAAATAAGAGTTCACTTTTGGTTGAGCTTCTAAGGACAAAAGAATTGATTTAAGCATCAACTCACCAAATTTATGAAGTGCTCTAAATTCCCTTTCTAATGTTGATAAACCAGTCACCTTTCTAATAAAAAAGTTTTTGAGAGATTTTTGGTTAGGATTTTATTAATTTATTATCATGTTTTTTTCAAATAGAGCTGCAATTGGTTCAAAGTTATTCTAAACATTTACTCGTATAATATCTTAATTATTTTCTATAAGTCCCAATAAACATTGATCACCTTATTTATAAGGGCTGCATGATATTAAGATTAGATCTCTAAAATTTAATTGATCTTTTTATCCAATTAGTTAGAAATCTAATTTGGTGAATTCATCTTTTTTATGCTTATCAAACTTATATTCTACATCAGGGTATGTCTAAAAAATTGTGAATATCAAATACTTCTGTTTGGAATGATTTAACAATGTTTGCTTTTACTTCTTCATAGAAAAGGGGTTTCCAAATCTTTTAATATTCACTTTCATCGCCAAATGAAATTGGTATTTTACACAAATAATCAGACTCAATTTATTCATCTTTGGGCACTTCCAGTTGATTAAGCTTTGATGACTCTAATATTTTATTGAAATCTAGTTCCAAAATAAAATGCTAAAATTTATGCAAGTCCATGAATATTAAATAATTTTATTTCTTTCTTAATATAAGTTTTTGAAAATAAAGAAAGAGTAATTTATCATATAAAATTCCAATATTCTTGTGATTAGATATATATATTTTATATTCATACTCTCTATCTAGTCAATAATACCATATAATTTTAAATTAAATAAAAATGAATATATTATGAATAAGTTATTTCTTCTCAAAGTTATTAATATTTTTGCTTTATAATTTATAAATGGGCAATTGTCAATGTAGGAAATACTTTGATTCAGACTAAGGGTCTTACAACAATAATCATCAAGAGATAATCATAAATGATGAATTTCATAACAATAGTAAGGAAGATTTTGCAAAAGAATTGTTCATTAAAATAAAAACTTGGCAACAGGAATCTTTCTCTTTGTTCGATTATGAGAGCCAGACTCACTTAAAGGAATAAAATATTGAGGTATGCGGATTTATAATAATAAGATAAGATAAGGAGGATATTTAATAAAAAATAATAACGAAGTGCAATGGATAGATGATGACATTGATTGGAATAAATGTGTGATCAAATAGCATCAAATACTATTCAGAGTTGAAAAAATTAATGGAGTTTTTACAATAATAAATAAAAGGGGAGAATGCAAATAGAATTTAGAAGATGATAAACAAGAATTAACAACAAAGTACTTAGGAGAAGGCAATAGGGATTTTTAATAGTCTGAAAACTTGGATTAGTTGGAAGGGGAAGAATTTCAACAGTCACAGGATTGGATAAACAAAATAGATCAACATAATTACAAATTAAATCAAAGCCAAAGAACCAATACTAAATTATTAGAGAAGGGCAGTAGATTATGGTTGGTAGTTAGATCCATCTAATCAATGTTTAGTAATAGCGGAATAAAACTAAAATAAGGCGATGTGATTAAATTGGGAAGAGTTAAATTAAAAATTAGGGAAATTCAGTTAAATTAAAGGAAATAAATGTATATAATTAATTTATTAAACAATATAGATGTGATTTAGATTCGTCAAGATCTAGCTAATCAGATGCTATTTCATGTAGAGTTTGCTGCAGTAGCTAAGATAGTGTATAAAATCCCTTAATAAACCCATGCAAATGCACAGGATCAATCAAATATATCCATCTGAATTGTTTAAAGAAGTGGTTAAAACTGAAATTTTAAACAAAACATAGTAATCATTGTATGATCTACATGTGGAAAAACTTAGAGTGTGAAATATGCAAGTTTAATTATCCTCCAGTTTTTAAGAGTGATCAACATATAGTTGATTTGGTTGAGCTAAGCAAACCCACAGAACAAGCTTATGTGTTGATGGAAATTATTTAAAAACGCTAAGTAATTATTATATATACATCTTTAAGGATATGAGAGTTGACAAAACAAATTAAGACTCTTCTTGGGCTTAATGCAATGGAGTTTACATAGTTACTTTTGATAATAATAGCGATGATAAAGTTGCTAAAACCAAAGAATTGTAAATTGGAAGAGCTAATGAAACTGAAATTAGAATTAATGATATTTCTGTTAGTAGAAATCATGGAACTCTAAAATTAAACGAGGGAGAAGTATATTTAACTGACAATAAATCAAAATTTGGATCCTTGATTTTAATGTAATAAAAAGTGATACCATTAATCAACGAATTGAATGGAATTGAAATCTAGGTTGGGAGAAGCGTTTTGTAATTCAATTTTGGAAAAGATGAATAAAGAACACCTCCTTCAAAATAATGTTTGAATTCTAATCTTTTTGAGTAATTAATTTCATTCTAATAGAAGTAAAATTATAGGAAGAGACTTAGAAGATGAAGATCTACTTTATAATTGATGACCTTTTTTATTCTTTTTCAATTTTACAATAACATATATGTTTTGATTCATTTCTTAAATAAACTCTTGAAATCTGAATTAGATTTTGGTTTAAAATCTTATACCTCCTCTATTTCTATCTATTCTTCCTTTTTTCTCATCATTTTCTTCTCCTTTTTCTAAATCTCTAGTCTTCTACCTTTAAATTCAATGCCATTTAAATCCAAAGCTAACTTCAAATGCTTTTATTTCTCAAATTCAATAAAAGCAAATCCCTTAGGCTTTCCTTATTCATTTTTTGGAATCTCAATTTAAGTAATATTCATTCCATCAAAGATTTATCTGACTAAAAATCAATACTAAATATTTACTTTCAATTTCTCTAACTTTAAAAGGTAAATTTTTAATTATAATAGAGTTATTCTAATGATTTTATTTGATTTTTTCAAGAGAATCTGAAAGCTTAACAAAATATTTCCTTCCATCTATGTAAGGGTCTTAATTTAAAAGTTCTAATCCATTTTATTTATCCTCTTCTTCATTGTATTCTATATATGCATATCCCCTAGGCTTTCCTTTGGAATCCTTCACTATTCTAATCTATTTAACACCTTCTCCAGCCTTTGCTGCTAATTATTATTCAGTAATGCTATATGGTAAATTGTCTAAATAAAGTGTTAACTTGTCATCCTAATATAATTTTGGGGGTTTAGAAATTGCAGCGTATAGTTTCTCCCCGCCAACCATCTTATTATTAAGTATATTAACTGCTTATTGAGCATCTTCATCACTTGTAAAATCTACATAAGCAAAGCCTTTTGAAACCTAGTTTTTATCTTTGACTATTCTACATTCCAATGCCCCACAATTAGGAATCAAAGCAATTACTTCGTTTGCTGTCAATTCTTTTGGCAAATACTTTATGAATATTGTCTTTGAACTATCAGTAAAGACCTTTGGTGCTTTGTCTTCTTCATTTAGTTCTTTACTTTATTTTCTATTATTGTTTTTCTATCCTTTTCTCTCTTCTTATTATTATTCCTATTATTCTTCTTCTTCCTGTTAGATCAACTCATCATTATCCTCTATAGTTTCTAGAACACCTTATAATTTCTCTTCTGCTTTCTATACTTCCTCAACATTACCAAATAGTGTTTCAAAGTTAAGCAAATCTTCTGATGCTGTAATCTTATCTTCCAAGCATAATTCAACTGCTCTCTTTAATATACCTCTTAATCTATCTCTTTATTAAATATTAAGTATTGGTAAGCTAATTTAAGAATAATAGTAATCTTTCCAGTAAGAATTATTGTCCCAAACCAATTAAACACATTTTTCAAATGCTGCTCTTGAATTTAATTTATTATCAAATAAATAACATTCAACTTTTGCTAATTCATTATAAATCTTAGCCTTTTATTAATCAGAATATGATTTCTTTTCTGCTAATTAATTGAACAATTCTCTAATTGTTGTTTATCTTTCATCTAATTTTTCTGTCAAAGTTAAATATTATCTAGTATATCGATAAATAAATTCAAGAGAAAATTTAAATAAATCCTCATTTTAAACATAATTTTATGCAAATAAGAAATCTTACTCAAATTCTTCATCATCCTTATTTAATTATTCTAAAGTTCTTAAATACAAAATATAGATTTGAAAAGGTTAAGCTTAAAATCTAATTAAATTCTTGAGTTATTTCTATAGAACATGAGGATTTTATTGTAATCTCAAAATTTCAATATATTTTTCTTGTAGAGGGATCAAAAGAGAGTCAGAGAACTAAAAGTTTTCAGACTTCTATCTTAAGTAAAAATATTTTTCATAAAAATTTATGAATTTTGGGAATTCAATTAATTTTTCATCTAATACCTATTCCAATTATTTAAAGAAATTTAGAATTTCTTATTCGTCCTAACTATTGCAAACCTTTTTGTACTGCTGTTCTAAATTATCCAATTATTAAATTTTTTATATTGTGCTTTAATAATTTTTTTATGCTTTTTCTAAATTCTATTTATTTGTTTCCAATTACTCATATTGAAGCCAAAATTTATCTAAACCTTACATTGAGATTTTAAATACTCTTTAGAAGATTTGACTTATTTAATTTCTCACTTATATCCTATATATTATTCATTATAAATACTTCTCTTTTTCATTTCCACCTTCTAGTAATTGATTTTCAAAACTAAGGTAAGATTAAAAAAAGTATTAAGCCTCTTCAAAATCAAAACAAAATTGCACTAAAAGCTTTTCAAATAAAAGTTCTCCTTTCTTCCTTTGAAATTTGTTTTTAACAATGTAAGCTGCTAATTCTTTTCCCAATTTAATATCTCCATTTAATTATAAATATTATACAATAAAGATTATCCAGTCCCTTCTAAAATATTTTCAATAGAGTAGAAGCATCAACAAATTATTCTTCCAATTTAGATAATAATTCAATTAAGAAATCTTCATTAAGATTATGATGCTCTTAAGCTAATAAAATGCAATCACTAAGTTTATCATCATTATTATCTGCAGCCTATTTTAATAAGTCAAATGTTGCTTGCTATTCTCGAATGTTTGTTTGTATTGAATTATAGATATCTGATGCTTCTATCATTGAATTAAATATTATTTATTAATTATATAATTGCAAATTCGATATTATCTACAAATTTACACTTAGATGTCAATTAATACATCAAGATTTACAATAATTCTTTCTATTTTGTATAGTCCCCTATCACATTTTCAAGACATTCTATATTTATCCTGTCTATTTTCTATCCTTTAAAAACCCTTATTTTACAACTATTTTTAATTGGCTTCATTTAAAATAACCTCTTTAATTGTAATTATAATTTTCCAAAATTTCATTTTGTTCATTGATATTGAAATATTTTTTAGTTGTAACTTCATCAAAACTTTTGATTATCCTTTAAAACTGGTTAATTACAAATGATCCATAATTATTATTGATTAGTATATTTTCATTATATAGAAATAAATATTTAGGAATTCATTGTAAGAACATAATTGGTCTCAAGAATGTAATAATCTATCAAAATAAAATTATATAAAATATTTATGTTAATTATAGTAAAATATTTATTTATATAATCTACTCATCCATGAAGAGTTCTGCTCAACCCTAAATTCTTATTAGTCCAATTCCAAAATAGTAATTAACAGAGGAAGATGATGAATTACCTAATCCAATGTTGGATTCAATTATATCATAGAAATCTCAATCATCATATCCTGGCCTTGGAAGATAGATAAAATTAAAATTAAACTCAAGCTCAAACAGAAGTGACAAAAGAAAAGATCCTTTTAAATCGAATTATTAAGTCAGAAATATAAGCTAAGAATGCAAAAATGGGACAACTAAAAATCAATACAAATAAATTGATAGTTTATTCCCCTTATTAAAATTAGTTTAGTTGAATTAAAGACAAAATAAAACTGAATGTTTTAATGGAGAAGAAGTGACAATTGATCAAAAAGTATACTTTATTAAAACTAATGAAATTCTAAATATTTTTCAAAAGGCTGCTGAAGGATTTACTATAGCGTATGAAGAAGTAGAAGGTTATTAAGGTAAAAGCATGAACTAGAGCGTTTCAATTTCAGAAAAAATGATGAAATCTATGAAAGCAATAAAAACCTTTAAGAAAGCAAAAAATAAAATTAAATCATTTATTTTAGTTTCTGAAGTTTCAAAATATAATGAAGAAGAGATTAAATATAAATAGCAAGTAGATAAAATAAATCTATTTTTTAATGACAATTCAATTATTTAAAAAAGTGATCATCAATTAGGAGAGTAAATCATTAAAACTAAGTAATAGTCTTTAAAGAAAGAGTAAATTGGTCAATCATAGTTTTTATATTTAGAAAAGGCAGAGCCTTCGAATCACTAAGCACCAAAAAGATTTTCTAATTTTATTGAAAACTCTAAAACTATTTTAAAAAGAACATCATATGTAGTTGGAGTATTTTTATTAATTTTCGTTATGGCATATATTAAAACTGTAAATGGTGAACCAAATAATATTGAAGATTTGTGAATGTTATTATGTATCTATATATGTTTCTAAAAAAGTAGAACTACATTTATTTAAATTATTAATAAATAACATAAATAGTTCGTTAATTATGAATACTCTTAATAGTATGACAAATCCTTATAACATGCCTTCTACACCATATGGCGGGATTTTAGATGTAGATGGATGTAGAATGCTTGCTAGAAAGATATTCTCAACATATGATCGTAAAAATACTTTAATAATCTCAATAGTTAGTAATAAAGGGTATATCGATGTTGTCGATATTGGATCTATGTTTACTGATGCGTATAGATCGTAAAATATTATTACAAAACCTAAAGTTAATGAAACTAATGGATTTATGAGAGCCATTAACAGTAAATTTATTATCATTATTTCTTAGAGGCTGGTTAAAATCGATTAACTTTGTAGGATATTGAGTAATATTGTTTAAAGAAGTTTTGTGGTACTCCATATAATTTTAAGCAATAATAATCAGTGAATAAGTAATATTTTTTAAATAGTTTAGATAACCAAATTATATTGAAGAACGCTTAGAAGTAGCAAGAACATTATTCAAAAAACTTGACGCAGATGGATCAGGCTATATCACAGAGGATGAAGTCTATGAAATTATTAGAGAAACCTATAGATAAATGGGTATATTTATATTCAAGAATAGGAATGAAATATGAGCCAACAGCTGATGATGTGAGAAGTTGGATTCACATGACTGATTCTGATGGAGATGGAAAAGTTACTTTAGAAGATTATGAAAATTTAGTTTTGAAATCTTTACAATAGCAAGCTATCTCATATAATTTAAGTTGATTTTATTTATTATTATTATTATTATTATTATTATTATTATTATTATTATTATTATTATTATTATTATTATTATTATTATTATTATTATTATTATTATCATTCTAGAGAATTATTAATAAATCTTAATTCTTATACAATCAAATTACAAACTTTATATATCTAATTAACTGAAAAATAGAAAAATTAAGCTAAGTAAGCATTATTAGAAATTATAATTTAAGTAAGAGATTTATGCAAAATGGAATCAAGAAAAAAATAAAAATGAATTATTGTATTCAATTGAAATTTTAGGAAATTATTTGAGCTTAAAATTAACTAGTATTGCTTATTTATTGAATTTATTATATATATCAATTAACAAAGAGAAGTAAATTAAATTATCGAATTAAATATAATTTTTCTATTCTTCAAGGTATTAATTTTTTTCATTAAATTATTTAATAATTAAACTCTCTTCTGTCTTTTTTCTATTTATGAGAAGAGATTTAAATAATTCTTAAAATTAGTAAACACTAGAAAACATACAACCTGTAGGAACTACGTAAAAAGCATTTAATATTTCAAAGATTTAGATATGAATAAGCCTTTGAGTTATTGAGTTAAGCATTGCTTTCAAATTCTATCTATGCAATTGCTGTATTGATTTTAAGTTTTGAACTTGCGTACAATGGAAATATGTTATGCGTGATCTATTGCATTTATTCAAAATTAGTCTTATAAATTATCCATCAAATATACTTTTATAGAGCATTTGCTAATATGAATATGTAAGAGCACATTATTTATGATTATTTTTTAAGAAAGTACAATCAAGCTATTATGAGATTATTGTCACACTTTTTTGAAGGATGCTATATTTTAGCACTAAATATGTATGTTATCACTCGTACAAGTGAGTTATTGCTATTTTCAAACATATTCCCTGTGATAAATATTTTTATTTCATTAATAGTCAAGATTAATGAGGGAAATTAGTTTTTTAAAGAATCAGTGCAATAAATCAATTTGTTTTATGTATTTAGAAATATTTGTATTTTGCTAATATCTATATTTTTCAGTTTAAAAATAGAGGGATATTTTGAAATTGAGTGGTTATACACATTATGGATGTTGTGGCTGTTATTTAGTCTCTCAGCATCAATTGTTTTGTATTACATTTTTGTTGTATTGGCATTATGCATTCAAGTTATTTTAGAATAAAGCAATCGTTAAAAATACTTGGGTTTATTATTATAAATTATAATTAGTGATAACAAATGTTTGGATATTAATATTCATGCTATCTTGTTCCTCAATGTTTCTAATGATACCAATATTGGTGTTGAATTACAATTATGGAAATTATAATTTAGCCATTTAAGTGGATAGAATAATCTTAATTGTCAACTAAATTATTTTCACTTATTTTACTGTAAAATTTAAGCCAGAATTGATATCTGCATTATAAATGTTCTTATCTCTTAATGATTCTGTAAATCCTCTCAATACTTTGGCCACTCAATAAGTAGATGCATAGCTTCAGCAGTTTAATAAGCAGGATTTTATTGAGAGTTAAGTTTCGGAAGCATAAATGCAAATTCCAAAAGTAGTAAAAAGAATTTCGAAAACTTATTTTGGATTCGATGACCTAAATTCGGATAAAAAAAGTGAAACTAAACTATAAGAATAAAATAAAAAACCCACTCATCAGAGAGCTTTATCATCTCAAATTTAAAAAAACACAGAACAAATCAATGAAAAGATTAAACTTGCATCGATGATGAATTTTAAAATAATTGAAAACCAAAAAATGGATGAATTGAAAGGAACTTCCATATTACATGATAAATAAGTAGTATAATTGATTCTAATTTCTTATTAGGATTAACCAAGATCAATTTCATTGTCATCCATCAACTAGTGTTGCATTTGCTTTGATAATGAACCAGATGCCTTGTTTATGTAATGTGGACATGGTGGAGTATGTTATCATTGCGCTTTGGATATGTGGAAAAATAAAGATGAATGCTATTTATGTAGAAAGGTATTGATGAGAATATATAATAATGTTAGAAAATAGAAAGAGTATTATAGATTTAAGTTTGTGATAATGAGAAAAATATATACTAGGTAGTTGGAGCAACAGAATTGAATTCAAAATTGAAAAAAAGACATAAAATTAGTTAATAACATGATTAATGATGAGTTACTATTAAAAATTATTAATTTGAATCAATTTCTTTTTTTCTTACCTGTTCCTGCTCTTATATGCTTTTCTGCAATGTCTCTGAGTTGAGCTTTGGAAAATTGCTATTCCGAGAGTTCAGTGTCCTTAAATTTATCAACTAATATAAATCAAATTAGATTATTACGTATTCTTTGTAATAATTCATCATTTGGATTATCTCCTTGATTATTTCCATCATCTAACTTGGTAAAATTAGATTGTTTAGCCTAATTTAATAATAATAATACATCTTTCTTCATAAAGTTATGACGAGGATTTTATGCTATATCTTGCATTTGCAAAATATCATTTGTTCTTATTTCAATGACACCCAATACTTTTAATAGTTTATCTTCATCCATTTCTTTAAAACTCTTATTATATAGAAATTTAATTTTACAAATTTAGGTCCTAATAATTAACTGTATTCCTTTAAATTACAGCCAATACGTTCAAACATAATTGGAATACTGATCATCAACTCTTTAAGAATTTTCGATATTTCGTATAACTTTTCTTGCAATTTCTCTTATTTTGCTTTTATTTTGACTAATTTTTCCTCGAATTACAATTTCTATTTGTATTTTTAATCAGCCATAATTTTTTAATCTCTGTTTTCTAATTCTTATTTCTCCATTAATAATAATTTATTTTATTTTTACAGCATTTCCAATTCATCAGATTATTCATAAATATATTTAAAAGCCCCATAATTTTGTTCTTCCTATTCCACAAAAATATTAACAATTTCATCAATTTATTCTGATTTAGTTTAATTGTATAATTATTTTAAAGTTTAATCATAAGTTTAAACTTCGGATTGTAAATCCACTAAAGCTTATTATTCTTATTAATTTTATTATGCTTTTTATTCTCTTTCTAATATTTTTTTCTTTTTCTTATCAGCCATTTCATTAATATGTAATATTTCATATTTTAAATCTTCAGCATCAGCATCCTCTTCAGATCCACTATACCTTTCATAACTATCACTTCTATGCTTCTATTTTTTATAATTATCAGTTTCTTTTTTGCCTCTACTTTTCTCCCTAGATTTAGATTAATGTTCAGGAGATTTGGATTCTTTAAATTTATCATAAATGCTTTTAAATTCTTTGCCAAATTTTCTTTATTCTTAGGCTTCATTCCATCTTAATGATTTGATTGTATTCATTTCCTAATGTAAACTTTGGAATGCTTTTTCTTATTCCTGACTTCTATTAAGCATTTTCTCATGATGAGCAATCCAATCTTCTTATAGTTATTTGAGGATTTTTTTAAACATTTCCTTTTCCCTTCTCATTTTATTTATATCATTTTTAAGTTAAACTGTTTCATTTAGCATTTCATTCTCCTTTTAATATAAATAAGCAAGATTAAATTAAATGTCTATTTATTAATCACTTAATACTTTAAGGTTGTCTTCTCATTTTTAATTTTTTGTCCATTTGTGAATTTTATTGGTTTTACTTTTGATTTTTATTATCTCCCCATCTGCTCCCCCTCTCTTATTCATAAATTTGTCTTCTCTTCTTCTCTATCTCGTTTTCTTTCATCTGAATCTATTCCTTTAATTCATCTCTCTTCGCATGCAAGGTTTAGAGTTACTTATTTAGACTGGCCTCTTCTTCCTATTAATTTGTAATTTTAGTAAATGTTTGTGATTTTAAATCCTTCTCTTGACTTGATCGAAAACTACAATAATCGTATATAATTACGCATTCCCAGCAGTCTAAGTCCGCTTAAGATAAGCAACCTTATTCATCGATATTAATTAATTTAATTATAATTTATATAAACATTCCTTAAACAACAATCAACAATCTCAAGAATCACTCTTTAGAAAAGAACCAAGCTCCATCTCCTTTATGTTCCACTCCAACTAAACTAGCACACTAATACAGGGAAGTCAAAAGAGGCTTCTCATCACAATGATAAAGATCTCCAACTGCTTTTTTGAAATATATATTAGCTTCCTAAAATGATTTCCAATTTATATTACATTAGCATGATAATGTGGTAATTCACTGAATACGTGGTGTAAGACATGTGTTGTTCCAATCTCAAAATGTAAAGAGTCAATCCAAGCTGGATAATTTCTATCTATTGTACTCAAGGCACCTAAGACATTTGAAAATATAAATACCTTTCAACCAATTCCATGAAGTTGAATCATAATGTGGAATACTGATATCTGTGTGTTATAAGAATGTAATTATTGTCAACCACATATTAATTACTAAATATGGACCTATATAAAGAGCCATCACTTCAGCAAATGAGGTTGCCTGGGCCCACTTATATAAACCAAATATCACAAAACAAAGCCCTATGTTTGAGAGTGAAACCTTCACTAGCATTCTTGAAGGGAAGAGCTTGTTTGGAACTATAAAATGACTTGTAAATCCTCTTGAGGAACCTCCAGTTACACCTAAAAGCAAGTAAAGAGGCCATCCGAGAACCGTTACATTGAATATTTGAACTATTGAAAAAGACTCAACTCCAATGATATCCTTTATTTTTTAGTAAATTTTTCCCATTTTTGAGTTTAATACTACTGGACAAAAGGTTTCTCCTTCTGTTAGATGATTTGTTTTGGCATGATGCAATGCATGAGAATGTTACCAAGAAAAATATGGTACCAACAATATTTCGTGGAGGAAATATCCCAAAATATCATTCCACATCTTATTGTCTGAGAATGCTGAATGACCACATTCATGGCCTAAAACCCCTATTCATCCTAGATTTATTATATTTTACATATTCCCATTGCTACTGTGCCTAATAGAAAGTCAAACACGATCCAAATTGGAAGGGCATACCAAGTTAATGGAATATATCTATAACCAATATAAGCCAAAAGAGCAGTGCTTGATATTGCTTAAGCAACTGACACCAAAAACCTAGATTCACTTTTTTTAAATAATGATTCAGGTATAGCTTTGCGAATTTCTAAATTAGTATAAGAATTACATCCTATGTTTATCTGCTCTGGAGCTTTACTCATAAATCTAAGTTTTAATTTAATTTAAATTCTGACTAATATTTAATTCCTAAATAAACTAAATTTTATTGAAATTCACGATTTACAATCATAATTAGTATTATAAGGCAAATAACTGGTGTAATTTACAATTGTTCAAATTATTTTAGATATTCATACAACCTCGTGTCTATTGGCTTCTGTGAATGTTATGATAATAAATAATCAAACCAACATAATTGATCTAATTCTATTAGAGTATAGTAGTTGAAAAAGATAAATTTTATCGCAATATTATAGAGCATTAATAATTCAAATCAACAAAAGAACAAATTTAATATTTTATATTTAATTTTATTATTTCTATTATGAGTTAGAGATTGAACAGCATTATTAGGCAATTCTCAGTCAAACCTGCATAAATAAAGTAAATAGCTAAGAGGGTATTTCTTTATTTTGGATGCCTTTTCTTAGTCGTCAATGTATTGGAGTGGAAAATACTTTATCTTCCTAGCGTTGATGGATAATTCTCTCACAATAACTACCCTTATTTTAAATCACCCTAAGAAAGGTAAACTATTCATTTATATTGTAATAGAAATTTACCTTTCGAAGATATAGAAATCTAACATGATGGTGTTGAATTGAAAGGATGGTTTATAAAATAATAAAATTTTCAGACAGCTCCAACAGTAGTATTCTTCCATGAGAACGCTGGAAGTACATTTATTGGTTATTATTTAGACATTGGATGGAGGTTGGAATACGCTCATTAATATTATGATCGAGTAAAATGCAATTTTGTTATTGTTGCATATAGAGGTTACACTTATAGCACTGGCACTCCACACTAAAATGGCATTCAAAAAGATGCTAATGCTATTACTAATTATGTTTTTAACAATTTAAAGATTGATAAATCTAATGTTTTTGCACATGGAAGAAGTCTCGGAGGAGCTGTTGCTACTTATGCCTTTCATCAAAGATAAGAAAATGCTAAGCAAACAGGAGAGATGTAATATAAAGGTTTGATTATTGAAAACTCATTCACTCAAATCGCAGATGTGGTTTCAAATATGAATAGCCTTTTTAAAATTTTAAGTCCTTTTATTATGTTTAATACATGGAAGACAATTGATCTTGTGCCAAAGATTTAAAACCCAATCTTATTCATTTCATGTACAAAATTTATTCAAAATATAAGCTGGCCAAGATGAAGTTATTCCTCATTAATAAATGTTTAGACTTTCTTAAGCTGCACAGAATACAAGTTAAAAGTTTGATTATCACATTCCTCATGGAGATCATAACTCAAATTGGAATTATGATAGAAATGAATATTTTGGTACTATCCAAAAATTCATAAATTCAACATCTTAACTTTGAATCGAACATGAAATAATTTTTTTATTTGTGCAAAATTTAATAAATCATTTTTATTTTTTACTTATCTCACTTATTTGGCTACCTGGCTTATTACTAATTTAACTTTAATTTATTTTAGATTCACTTTTGAATTTATCCAATTAATCCTTTAAAAGTTATCTTTCCTTGGCTAATTTTAAGATATCTTCTTTATATTCATTGATTTCCTTTTATTTTTCTTTTAATTGATCCTAAAGTTTAGTTTTTTCTTATTTTAAGTAATCCTAAAACTACTTCTCTTTTTATAGACTCTATTGTATATCTTCTTATGAAATTAATAATTCTATTAAGTAATTTAAACATTTAAATACCTGTTAATTTTTTTTCCATATTTTAGACTTCCTTTTTCTACCTAGAAAGTGCTATTTGTAATTTCTGATTCTCTTGACTTTGCTTTTTAGTTTCTTCAATTGAATGCTTTTCTTATTCTCTTTCTAATTGAGCCTTAGCTTCATATTCTTCTCTTAATTTATCTTGTAATTATTTTATATCTTAAGCACATTCTAACCTAATACTTTAAGCAATGCTTTATTTGTCAAATTCAAGTTTTTTGACTTAATCCTCAAGATCTCTAAATCTCTTATCTTTATCGTTATCAGAATTGTTGAAAGATTGAGCCTTTTAAATTTTATCATTTGAATTACTCTTATTAATACTATAATTTGGTTTGTTATTAGGAGTATTACTATTTTGAGTTTTAGAAACATTTAATTTTTTTAATTTCTCTATCGTATTTTTTGCTTCCTTCAATTCTAATGATAATTGATTAATCTATTCATTTAAAATTTAATTAGTTTAATCTTGCTTTTTACTTGAAGAATTGTATTATTTGTTAGAGCTAGCTTGAGAATTAAGTCTTTATGATGGATCATCAGATTTAATAATAGATTGCAATTATTAATTTTCTGTTAACAATGTATTTAATTTAGCCATTAATTCTTAATTCTTTTGTTTAATTTCTAGATTTTCATTTTTTAAGACTAAAATTTCTTAGCTTCTTTTAGCAGCTAAAACTCCCAATGCTGCGTCAGATGACCATTTGGTTTCATTTTTTGGTATTTTTTATTTCAATTCTTCTATTTCATCTAATTGTTCTTGAACCTATTGTTTTAAAGTGATATTATCTTCTTTGATTTTATCTAATTTATGTAAATCAATTTCTATTTTTTAGATTCCTTTGACCAATTTCTGGTTTTCATAAATCAATTTTTCAATTTATTAGTCCTTTTAATTTTGAATTTAAGTAAAGGTATTCTGTTAATTTTTTGATTTTTATTTTTCCTACTTCATTTCTGCATTTTAATCATTAAGTTGATCAGTTAATTTTTAATTTGTTTATTCAAGGTGTCTTATAGTATTTTCTAAATCATTTATTTTTTATGTTAACAACTTTTGATTAGCAGAGGCTTTCGAAAGTTCTGAAACTTCTTGGGATGTTCTGCATGGACTCTGATTTACTTTATTCATCCTTAAAATTATATTGAAATAAAAATTTTATTAAATTATTCACAACAATTAATGAATTATCTATTTTAATTTTTGGTTTTCCTCGATGATTTAATTGATTTAAGGATCAATCACATTCTATGGTTGTTAGGTTGTAAAATTGAATGACAATTTAAACTTTTAGATTCTCTTTTTACAAATCATCAATTAATTAGATGTGTACTTAGCTTTCTTTAATGGTTTAGTCTGTAGCAATCTCTTGGATTTAAAAAGAATCTATTCCTCACTCTATAATTGATGCTCCTAGGGTCTTTTAACAACATATAGTTTTAGAGCTTGAAGTGTAACTATTTTCCTGGAGAGAGTAGTTTAATTGCCATCAACTTGCCAAATGAAAATCTAGCCATCGTCAGAATTACTAGTAATATAATTGTGACCGTCTTCAAAAAATAATTTAACACTTTTAATTTCACTTAAATGACCGATGAGTAATTTTCTTTTATTTATTTATGTGGTTGGTTGAATAGTATAATTAATTGATTATTGATTGTATTTAATTTAATAAATATTCTTATTAACGCATCCAACATAAGCGTAATCAAGATCAATATCTAATGCTAATGGTTCTGAATCTAATTATGTTTAAAATATTCTATTGGTTTAGATGATATACATACATTTGAGTCGTTGCAATATCGAAGATAATCAATTCTTTATCCTTGGAAACAGTAGCAAGTACATTTTTGAATACAAAGTCATTAATTGCAGAATTATTTCCAGTGAATACTTTAAAAGGCTTAGTTTTTAACAGAACAATATCATCCAAAAGAAATAAATTAACATCTAATTATTATCGTATTGTTTACTATTCTATAAGTCATCCACAACCAACAAATACTATTAATAATGATATACTTTGTTGATCTCCTTGGCTACAAAATCAAGAGTAGATTTCAATTCTTAAATTTATGTGTATATCCTAAAATCTTTGTTAGCATAAATGATGCCATAGATTGAATGGTATTCAAAGGCAAAAACAATAGAGGATTCTCCTCCTATATGTTATTTCCATAATTCAAGGCCTTAGTAATCGAAACAAGATAACATATTTTTGGATGAGAAAATCAGAATACTTTGATTGGAGAAGCACATGGTTTTGATGTCTGATTCTATGGTTTATAATATAGAGCTAGTCTTAGGATCTATTAGTTTTATAGCATTTGCGGTTTGAACAGCTATCAAATTAGTTGATGCATTGATTGCCATAGAATAATATTGTTTATATATATTTATATGATTTAATGCTAAATCTACATTTTTCATTATTACTATTATTTTTACAACATTTGTGGTGGAACGTTACCCATCATGCCTTAAGGAGGTTAAGCGAAAGCAGTCTTTCCTAATAAGTTGACAACTCCTGTTTCAATTGATTTCAATAATTCCATCATATCTGGGTCTTGGAATAATTCTAAGATTATAATTTAGTAATACATGGGTTTTCTAAATTAGAAATATAGTCTTCTTCCTCATAGCTATGTTCTTCAAATATCATATCTCCCATAACCAAATTCAAGACCATAGGCACCAATTGTCCAGATTCATAGGTAGTTGGTAATTTGTCAATCATATTTTTCAAGAAGTCTTGTTTCTCATTTAATAATTTGATTTAATATCTAATGATTTCTTTGGTGGCATTCATTTAGACCTATTTTTGTTTTGGCAACTTGTCCTTAATTCTTTATCTGGCTGAAGCCTGTAACATGAATACATGTTGACCCAATCCTCTTTCCATCAATAACATTTCACTTTATTCCAAGGTCTATTGGGAGATATCAATCTTTTTGCAGATTTCTTCTTGAGCCTTCATTAAAAGATTCTCGATTTCATTCACATAGTCCAACAATAATTAAACATATTTGGCTCCATCTGAATATAACACTTCTCTTCTGGCTTTTCTGTTCTCAAGGGTAATTCTAATGAATTCTGGTTCTGCCAAATCTACACTTCCTTCGACGATTTGAGTGTAGGTTTTTATGCTTATCATATTATTTGTGCTTGGAATATGCATTATTTGAATTTAAGAAGCAATCTCATTGAGTTTATCGCTCTTGAAAGTATAGTTTGCTAAAATATTAACTCTTATATTCATACATTTATCGTTTCCTTCACTTTTTAGTTAAATTTCTTATGTTTTAGCCTATTCCTAGGATTCCTTAGGTTTAAAGACTTCTAATTCTGCTAATTTTGAATCAAGCCATTCATTAGTCTCCTTTATTTTATCAGTTACTGATAAGTTGTTACCAACCCATGGCAAAACTATGCTATTCACCTATCCCTTTATAAGTGAAGGATTCAAGAGAATTTCTTCTTTGTCATTCTTGAATGCATATTAGGTGAGTGATTTCAATACAACAGGCTCAAGCTTTTTATCCTTTACCTTCTAAGCTAAATCTTTGGCATCATATTATCTTAAATTTTTGATGTTAATCAGAAACACTCTTTGTAATGAGTCTTTAAGAGTGTAGAGTCTTTCGAAAAGCTAATCAAAATGCTTCATAAGGTTAGTCTCTGTTTACTCTACAACTTCCCAGTTAACCCTAATGATTTATCTTTGTTATACATCTTCTCATCTCCCAAAGAGGCTAAGACTGTTTCGATATTAGCTGCCAAGTCTTCTACTGTAATAGACATTCAACCACAAATTAAATATTTAATTTATATTGCTTCTCCTATTTTGGCTAAATAATTCATAGTATCTTTATCATTATACTAAAATTACATTCTAATTAAGATCCTATCTTGAAGATCTAAATAATATTAATTTTATCATAACATCAAATTAATCATCTAAATTTATTGACAATCGATTTATACTTAATAATAATAAGGTGATATAAAATGTTTTATCAGAATTTGTTTAATGAAGGCAATCTAAAATTTCAGCATCAAAGGAAATTTATCTTATTTTAAAGAAAATAAATACATTTACTATCTTAATTCGTATGAATTTAAAAAGTCTTTTCTAAATTAATTATGAAGTTCATAAAATAACAGAGCGATTAATAAAAGTCTTATTGATTTTTAAAATCTAGGAATTTAATACTTTATTTATTTAAAATATTATGTCTAATTATAGTCTGATGCTTAAGTATATAATCATAGGAGATACAGGTATTAGAATCAATATACAACAGGTGTTGGAAAATCCTGTATAGTTTTACAATTGATTGAAAATTAAATTAGATAAGAACATGATGCAACAATAGGCGTTGAGTTTGGAGCTAAAATTATCAAAGTTAATAGCATGAACATCAAACTTTAAATATGGGACACAGCAGGACAAGAAAATTTTAGATCGATAATCAGGAGCTATTATAGATCAGCTATCGGTATGCTTTAAAAATTATAATGAAGGAGCTCTGCTTGTTTATGATATAACGAAAAGAGATTCGTTTCACAATTTGTAGAGATGGATGGAAGAAATTAAAAATAATGGAAATGCAAATATGGTGATTACATTATGTGGGAATAAAGTTGATTTAGAATCCGAGTAATAGTTTCTTATTTATTTAGAGACGAGCAGTGACATATGAAGAAGGATGGTAGTTTGCATAATAACATTAATTGATATTTCTAGAAACATCAGCAAAATAAGGAATTAATGTACAATCTGCATTTTATTAATCCACACAGAGAATTTTGAATTAAATCGACGATGGAACAATAGTTCTTGGATAAGATGTAAGAATCATTATCATTTCATAGCCAGGAATTAAAATCGGTGGTTAATATAAAAAAAAGGAGAAGGATATAAAAAGTATCAACAATTACGAAGCAGCTGTTCAATTAAAGCCTGTAGAAACTCCAAATGGTATTAATAACTGTTGTTGATATTTATTCTTTATTTTATCTATATATTATTATAATATATTCCATATTATAATTAAAAAATATATAAACTATTAATAAATGAAATTCTAAACTTTAACAATCAATTAATCCTTAATCAAATTTTCAATTTCTTACATGCTGATTCACAAGCTTTTTCTTTTGCAACCCTCTCATGTTCGTGAGTAAATCTACCCACAATTTGACCATCTATTCTGATTTCATAACAGAATTATCCATTCTCTTGTTTAAAGGATTTGATATCCATGTGACCTTATTTGCTAGCAGAATATTGATGCACTCTATCAATGACATGATCATCAATATCATTTAAATAAGTGCATACAAAAGGAATAAATTTCAAGTAAACCTTTTTTAAAAACTTGCAAACTGGTTGCCATCCTCCATCCATAAATATGGCTCCTACAAGGGCTTCAAAAGTATCTGATAGCACTTTTGGAACTCGAACGAAATTTCCATTGTAATATGTAAACTTCTCATCTAATTTAACTGTTTCTATAAATTATAATATGGCAGTATCTTAGAAATTATGCATAATATTGTAACAAATAGCTATTTTGGACAAAAAGGAATTTGATAGTAAAACCATCTTAATCTTATATAAATTTGTTGGAGTAAACTTAAAGATTATCTAATTAAAACAGTTGCACATGATGTAACACTCCAAAACTGCATCTCCTATCAGTTCCAACATTTAATGTCCTCTCGTTGAAGGGGTATTTGAATTCAAAAGAAATTTATAATACAATTCTAATGGTAAATCAAGGTCCATATTTGAACCTTAAACTCTAAAAGACTCATATAGAATATATTTATTATGGAACTAGTACTCAATCACTTCAGTTTGTAAATAATTTAGATATTCCAATTAATTCTTTTAAAAATATTACTTTTCAGCTTCAGATAATTGTCTGACTGGATTTATTAAATCCTTGAAACTCATATAATTATGCATAATTGGAAATTGATATTACTGAACAATTGGTTTACGGGGATAATATTTATCTGTTGCTGGGTAATAAGAAACAGGATGTCTCAAATGCAAAAGAAATTTGTAAACATCATATAAGGAATCTTTATCTAAAAAGACTGTTGCTATTAGGGATTCAAAGATGTCTGCTAAAAAGGTCACGAGCATAGTCGCTGAAACTTATTTTATTGGTTCAGGTTAAATATGATTTGAATGTATGTTTTAAAGCACTGGACTAAACCATTTAGTTTAATGACCAAGTGATCTCACATAATGGAATAATCCGAAATATTAGTATTTAAATAGATGCTTTCCTATAAAATTATTATTCACTATTTATGATCTTTAATCCGATAATATGTTTTCATTCGTATTCTAAGGTCCTAAGCTGACTGAAACAGTAGCCAAATATTTTAATATTGAGTCTCCTAATGTCTCCAATAATTCATAATTAATATCTCTATTATAAGAAGCTCTACTTATGGCTCTTTATACTCTTAAATTAGGTTCGATACCTATCGAGTTTGCAAATTCACTTATGATAAACTATTACTCGAGTTCTAATAAAAAAGTTGGTAGCATTAAAAAATTATCATATTGATTAACAGTGAAAGGATAACGATATAAATTTGATATAGGCATTATGTGAGTTGATAAACTATTCAGTTCTAATTTTGGCTTACATGTATGTATCTTCAAATTTTATGATTTATTTTCAAGACTATTTATTTAATCCTCAGAATAAAATTACACTCTTTATATAGTTGTTACCTGCTTAAAAATAGCCAGAGCTGAATCTCTTTAATTAAATTAGTTTTGATAGGATCTTAGTTGTAAAATGGGATTGATATTCTCAGTTTTTGCTTTGAATTAATGCTCGTAAAAAAAATAACCAATAGTTTTTTTTAAGATGGTCTCATCAATACAATAATATTCCTTAAGCTGTTCTAAAGTAAATTTAGAGTTTTAAATTATAAGGTTAAAATACTCGTCGACAGTTTATTTCCAAGGTTATGATATTATTGCATAGATGCAATTTACTTACTGTGTTTTAGGAATATAAAATAATTAGTCAGCTATTCCTTGATCATCTAAGTTTAAATCTTTTAAACATAATCCATTAACTAATCCTTCTCTTTATTTTATAAACTCCTACATGAATTCATAATCAATTTAGTCATTTATTATAGGTACTATTAAATAATTTCTATATCCACCATTGATGAAGTTGTGGAAATTTATTGTATGAGCCTTGATATTTTTAGGTGATAGCATATACCAACTCATTTGTAATCTCACATTATAATCAAAAACTCTGCTAATTGAAACATAATCAAATACAATTTCTTAATTTACACTTTTAAACAAGACTTCTGTATATTCTGGCTGTGGACCGTCTATATGATATATTTTTATTGGCCTATAATTCTAAAGGATTGGCCTTGAAGTCACCAAACCAATATTAGTAGAAAGTATAGATAAATAGGCTTTGTCATTCTTATAAGATGCAGTAAAGCAATGAGGAATTTCATATTAGAAAGTATTTTTAATAAACCAATTATTGATTTCTTAGCATTCTGATTTCAGATCGCTCATTTTTCTAAATTATAATTATCAATCTGGTTTCATTGTCTTTATAAGGGAAAAAAAATTGCTTGATTATTATTTCAATTTTAATTAAATTAAAAATTTTATTGTAAGTCTTTAGTGAACTTTAAAATTTTGATATGCTGCTCAGATTGTATGAGTTTAGTTAAATGAGGTCAAATTATGATTTTGATTTTCATAAGCAATCCAAAGAGCTTTGTGTATTTCAATAACTAGATTAATTTATATTATGAGTTGGTCAAAATAATATATGGATTAAAATTAACATATAAATCATATTCACATAGATACATGATAAATTATCAATCAAACAATGATCCAGGGACATTTGCTCTTCTATTTGTTTATTTAGCTCTCTATTAGGAAGTTGGTTATTTTGGTATTTCAACTTATTTATCAAAAAATTATTAGAAATTAGTCGGATTACTAGTTTCAAAATATTCTTCTGCTCCCTAATAGTCAAAAAATGGGTTATTTGCTTAATTATTTTATTATTAATTCTATTATTAATTATGATTATTCTCTTATTTGTGTGCCAATCTTGGATGTGCAAATGTTGCTTAATTTTGTTATTTTTAGTGACTTTGTTTCTTTGGTGGAGGAGGATGGTAAGTGTTTTCTTGTATTTCATTATTAATAATATTTGAGTTTGGTTATTGTTGGTCTGTGTGCTCATTTTATTGCTTATCATGCGTAATTTTCTTTTCAATTTTATGTGGTATTTCATTATTTTAGATTTACTCTTCTTGGTGTTATTAAGATGAATTTGATAATTATTATTATGGCTATTGCTATTACTATTGTTATTGTTAATATTATTGCTTTTGCTATTGTTATTATTAATATTATTGCTATTATTATTATTATTATTATTATTATTATTACAATTGTTATTGTTATTATTATTGCTATTGTTATTATTATTGCTATTATAATAGTTATTGTTATTATTATTGTTATTATTATTGCTATTATTATTGCTATTGTTATTATTATTGCTAATATTATTGCTATTATAATTGTTACTGTTATTAATATTGTTATTGTTGTTGTTGTTATTATTGTTTTTGTTGTTGTTGTTATTGTTATTCTTAGTGTTATTATTATTATTTTAAGTGAGACTAATTTTCTATTGCTTATTATTACTCTTATATAGCATGATCATATTAATTTGTTATCTTATCAAATTATTCATTTTCTTCTTGCTCATCTTATTAACCTTCTTAATCATACTAATCCTGATCCTACTAGTCAAATTATTATTATTCATCTTAAGCACCTTACTCATCTTATGCATCTTGCACATCTTGAACTTATATTTAGTTATATCCAGTTTTCAGTTAAGTCGATCCAGAATCTGCATTTACAATTTAGCCTTGTAAATTTACCTCGTCTTCATTGGCCCAATATTATTGGTTTTACTATTAGACATGATGTTAATGTGGGGCAGGAGCTTCAACTACCTAGGTTTGGACGACTTATAATTAGGCATTTGCTTGAACTTAAATTGATTATTAGAATTATTAAACCCTAGGTAATTAAGGTGGCTATAATTTTGATAATAATCCTTATAAGATAGTAATTTAGTCATCCAAATTTGATTGGGTCTACTATATGCGATATTTATGAATAATATCCTTTCTTTATTATGTATTTGAATGCAATTTTTCAATGAAATGTTTTTCATTTTATTTTTCCATTTATTAAATTTCTTATAATTTTTAAAATTATTTTCTTTCATTCTAAATTTATTCTTTTAACTAATTAAGTTATTTAAACGAATTTTATTCTTAATTTTATAAAGATGTTCTCAAAAGCTAATTTTCATTTTGAAGTTATTGAATTTAAGTCTGATAACTCACGTGCTTTATTTATAAATCTTATATTGTTTTTAAATGATCTTATTAAAATTGAGTAATTGAATGTTACAGGTCTTTATTTTGTTTAATTAATTAATTGATTTATTTTTCATAATAAATATCTCTTTATTTTATCATTTATTCAAACACGGCAACATCAATTTATTAAGATTATTATTGTTGCAATTAAATGGTGAATTTTGGAGTTTATGTATTAAGATTTAAGGTTTCAATAAGCTCTTCTTACTATTTAACTATTTATTCATTTGAAAAATTTAATGTTTGTTTTTATGTTGAAATTGTTTGTTGTGGTTATTATTATTATTATTATTATTATTATTATAATTATTATTATTATTATTATTATTATTATTATTATTATTATTATTATTATTAATGTGAATTATTTTAAGATGTGATATTTTAGTGTTTTACTTATTAATCTTAGCTCTTTTATTAAGTTACAATTTCTTCTTTTTTTAATTGATGATGAGGAGCCTCAAATTAACTTTGAGTAGAATTAATTTATGAGGTAATTTCCTTTTCTTTAAATTCTTATTCATTTTGTTCTTAGAAGTTATGTATTTATTATATTATTGTTTCCTATTAGAAATCGCCATTTTATTATTGATCAAATTCATTATTATTTTGTTTTTCTGGTTGAGTCTGATGAATGTTCTCTTAAGAATCCTCTTTATTTTATTAGTTCAGAGTATTTTAAAATTACATTCCTGGCTTCTCTTCTTAATTATCTATTTAAGAGTTATTATGATTTTCTATTTGATTAAAGTTTTCTTGATTTTCAATATTGGAGTCTTATAATTCTTATAATTCTTCTGATTCTTCAGATCTCAATTGTTCTGCTAATTAATTCAATTTCTCTTGATTTTATTTTAAAGAATCAAAATTTGTTAAGTCTTCTTCTTCTAAGTTTTCATTTTCTACTTTTTAAAAATTCATTTAATTAGTTTATTATTATTGCACAAGTGGGGGAGGGACATTTTCATTTTTTTAAGGTTCAGCTTTTTATTATTTTGTTGGGACATTGGATGATAATTAATTATTTCCTTGTGTATTGAGGTTTTTATCTTATTATTATCTTTATTATTGTTATACTCCAAACTCTTCAGTTTAATTGTTAGAGAATTAAACTGGAGCCACTTATTTAGTTTTATTTGGAGGAGGAATTTATTGTTTTGGGGCTTACTTCTAAATTTAAGGATTCTAATCCTGAGGTTAAGCTTGTAAATTAAGTTCTTATTCTTAGTTGGGTGGTTGAGGTTCATTTTGGATTTGAGTATTTTAATTGTCAAATTTTGTCTAATCTTCTAATTATTATTGATTGACAATTTGCTATTAATTTTATGTAGTGGATTGTGGAATAGGAGGTGCAGCAACTTAATTTTTTACTGGTGGTATTCCTGAGGCAGGAGGTCTGGTAGGAGGACCTCTTTAAGGGACATTCTTTTTCATATTAGTTTAGGGTTGGGGGAGACCTCTTTATTCTTTCTGCAGGAATGCTTAAACGCTATCCTCACTTAGCTTCGACATATCTAATGACATTAACTCTTTTGGTGTTAGAATTTGTTCGACTAAGGCAGTTCTAATCAATTATCCTAGAATAGTATAATAAAGACACCTTTAGTTCCCTTCAAGCGCATTTTAACAGTATTAACTCTAGTTCTATAGTCTCTTGTATGATCACCTCCAGAAAGTGTGAATGCTTCTTATTCAAGAGATGTAGCTAATTATTCTGCAATCTAGGATGATATTTGATCTTCTTCTAATATTTTTTTGAATTCATTTTTCTGATTTTCACGTACCCTTCTGTCGTAATTAGTGTTTTCTACAGGTTTGACTTCTTCGAACAACATATTTAATGAACACGTATTTTTAATAAAATATCTTAAATTAAATTATTTATGTTACCATTTTTTCCTGTTCCAGGATTACAAGACCTAGAGATTCCTTTAGGAGCACAACAAGATTTCTATCCCAAAAGTTAAATTCAAGAACCTTAGGAAGCTAAGAAATTGTTCATAAAGAACCTTCCTCAAGAATTAACCAATGATAATGTTGAGAAACTTTTGAAGGTAAATTGAAATATGATAATTAGGAATGTGGTCAATTAGTATCATGGAAGCGATCAAAAGGTACTCCTTTTGGGTATGCTGAGTTTGAAAATATGGAAAGTGTATTAAAATGTTTGCGCCTTCTTAATGGTATGATTCTGAACTAGAAGGAGTTGCTTGTTAAGGGTGGAGAGAAAGCTTAGATGATGATAGATGGTTGGATGTACAAGAAGGAGACTGAATGGGAAGAGAGAAGAGCTAAATTAGAGGAGAAAGATAAATAAAAGGAGGAACATAGAGCATTATTTAAATTTACATCTTTTTAAGAGTACATTACTAGAGATGACGATAAAATAAAAAAGAAATTAGAAAAAATAATATCAGAATTAGAGGGCACTGTCACTAAAACTAAAAATGATAAGAAAAGAGAGGAGGAAAAGAAAGAACATCCAAGGGAGAGAGAAAGAGATGCCAAGAAGAATAACACTAGGACGGAATTAGAAAGAAAATATAGAGAGAAAATGGCAGAATGGAAAAAGAAGGAAGATGAAAGAGAGAGAGAAAGAAAAAAGGAAAAGGAGAGAGAGATAGATCGAGAGAAAAATTTCTAAAAATATCTTGAAAAAGAATTAGCTTATGACAGTGAATAAGAACGTAAATAAATTGGTAAGATTAAGATGAACGAAAGAAAGAAATTCAGGTAAAGGGAATTTGAGGAAGATGAAATCTTTAAAAAGAAAGAATTATTAAAGACACAAAAACCTCCTGAACCTGAACCACCTTAAATGGTAGTTATTATTTAAGAGCCACCCGAACCAGAGCCTTAGCAAACATAATAGTAATTGTTATAGCAATAAGTAATCATTCAATATTATATTTGATTTAAAACTAGCTATAGATGGAATAAGCAGAATAAATGTAATAAGAGAAATTATAAAAGGAAATTGACTTGAAGGAGGAGCTTAAATAAATATTTGCGACCATCCCAACAGAAAAAGAAGAACTATTCAATACTCAAATAAATTGGCAGCTGTTTGCCTAGGTATTAATTATATATTTAGTTAATCCCAAGTCTAACTTATTGGAGAAAAAGATCCGTCCATGGTTAAGAGAGAGGTGCATTGAATATTTATCTTAAGAGGAGAGAGTATTTATTGATGCCATCATCAAAAGATTATTTAATCGTGAGAAGCCATAAACAATTATAAATAAAGTTGTAAAGAAGGTCTTGGATGACGATAGTGAGCAATTTGTTATAAGAATGTGGAAGATGATCATCTTTGAATTGAGAAAATTAGAGAGAGGTCTGATATCTTGATGATTTATTAAATAATTTAATAGTTTTATGAAGTTCTTTAAAACAAATATTAATATATATTATATTTATGAATAATCCTAGTCCTTAAAAACTATAATAAATCGACATTGATAAAATATAGATACTCACAGATATTGATAAAACACATTAATCCACAGTATCCATTAACCTAATAAAATACGAATCGCAAATTATGGTCTAAAAAGTAATTATTAAACATGATATTAAAGAGCATCTTACTCAGCTCTTTACAGACTCAATAATAGATTTAGCATTTGCATAATGAAAGATAAGCTTTGCAGGAACTTGATTACCCATCAATTAATAAAATGTAATAAACTCTATATTACCATATTTTAGTATTGCTACTAAGAAGGATGACTTAAATATTCATTTATTTTTGAAATTCGAAAAAGGAATGCCATTACATAAATTATTAAGAAACGTGGGCAAAATTAATCAAAAATTTTCTACTCTATTTTTTATTCAAATTTTGATCACTTTTAATTATCTTCATGAAAATGGTTGGCTTTATAGGGATTTAAAGGCTTCTAACGTGATCATCACTTAGGAATTTAGAGTTAAACTGATTGATTTTGGAATGGCTAAAAAAATTGAGAAGGGTAGAACCTCATCATATTGTGGTACAATTCATTCAATGCCACCTGAAATTATAAAAAATGATGGATATGAATATGATTATTCTTTTGACATCTACACGATAGGCATTTTGTTTTATGAGATGTTAGTAGGAAAACCTCCTTTTGGATTGAATGTATAAGGCATAGAATAAAGAATTTTAGAAGGGATTAAAGAAGATTAATTATCAGTAATAGAGGACATTAAAATAAGAGAATTATTGAAGAACCTTTTATCGCATAATCCGAAACAAAGACCAAATTGTTAATAGTTATTGTAAGAAGATTTTATCATTTAAAATAATTATAATGAGATTAAAAAGTTTATGGAAAATGAGGAAGCAAATCTAAATAGTTATAAGTCTGATTTATATGATGAAGAGATATGTAATAGCTATTTATTATTCATAGATTTATATTGTACATAATTTGCTTTTAATGAAAACGATAACGATGATTTTGACTTTTGAATTTTTTTCTTGTGATTGGGCTTTATATAATCGAAAAATACTTATTTGTTAATTTCCAAAGTTATAAAAATATTTTGAAATAATTATAACACTGCAGGAAAATCTACAAAAATGTTTGTTTATCTTAATTAAATTTTATTATAGTATAATTTCTTAAACTTAAAACATTTTATAAATCTTTGAGATAATATAAAATCTCAACTATTTCTAGTTTTTATACAAACAAAACTGTAATCAGTATTCATGACAGATGCTGTAGAAAATTCATTTAGAATAAAAATAATTTATTTAATAAATAATATGAAGATCAATTAGTAGATAATTCAACAAAAGCCAACTGAATTTCTCCTCGTAAAAAATCTTCTTGAAATACTCCTAAGAAAGGGTGAGTTGATGATTTAAGGTTTCCTTTTTAATCTAGATTTAAATATATAATCTTCTATTTAAACATCTCTATAAGAGGTAAGAGGCAATTCATCCATTCTAGGCTTAATTGGTGAATCTCTCTATATACTCACATGCCTTTTTAATTATTTCGGGAAATTTTTCATCATTTTTTAATACTACTAATTCTCTAATATTTAATTAATAGATTCATTTGTTTCAGGATTCAGTGTTTTAAAAACATCTTATGTTCTTGTACCTTACCTGTTATTATCCATTACTTAAGCTGTGATAGGCTTAATCTTTTCAATTACTCTAATTAATTAGCAAAAATTAATACTTTTTGGTATGATGTGTTAGTGATTAAGAGACAATTAAGGATCTTTACGTTTTTTAAGGCTTGTTATTTTCATTTATATCCACATTATTAATTTGGATTTTCTCTGCTGTACTAAGCATTCTGGCAGTTTTGATTATCCATTAAGTTTCTTCAGCTTTTGACATTTTTAATCCAATTATATTGATAATTGAAATGTTTTTAGGGTTATCTTAGATAAGTTTTAGTTTTACTGACAGTAAAATGAACTTCCATCTCATTTATACATAATTTATGAAAGCTTTATATATAAACGGCTATTTTATGGCAAGTGTATTTAAAATACTCTTTCAAATCTAAACTATCTGAATATTCTTTTTCTTTATTCCATTATTTTTAACCTCGAAGTGAAGGATCTGTAAGAAACGACAGTTCATATGCTATATCATCAAATAGAAAATTGTCTTTTATGTATTTATATCTATGAATAAAATAATCTTTAGGATTTCTTTTATTAATTTCAATAGAATCTAAAGCTGACTTTTCATTGTAAAGATATAATTATAAATGAAGTAGATTATCAAATATAGCATTTGTTTTAGATAGAACTGATAATTAATGCAATTCGAATTTTCCAATTAAAGTTGTTTCACCGGTCTGATATCTTGCCATTAGAATACTTTATCCATTCAATAAATCAGAAATTTACTAAGGTAACTTGTATAAATACCTATTTTAATTTAGCAGTTACTGAATTACTATTTTCATGATACTAAGAAAATTTGATGGTAGGATGAACGCCTGCTTTGATTTGCTTAATTTAATTATTAATTTCAAACTCAATTTTTCTATCAAGAAGATATTTTTCCATTTCTGTATGAAAAAAGGATTTGTTTTTTATGCATTTGAAGCCATTATCATAAAATGCATAAAATACAAATTCTCTGTCTTTTAAAATAATTGTATCTAAAATGTTAATATTTATTGGTCTAACAGCTTCATCTTATTTCTATAACATTTGACTGATTGTAAGCAAATCATCTTTAAATCCACATATTGAAAACCTTCTTTGTCTTGGTTTGTTAATTATTATTTAACATTTCTTTTATTCTTCCGGTTCTTTTATTTCTTGCTATTTCTTATTGCAAATTTGACAAGAACATAAATCAGAACAACTCGTAATCGGGAAAGGAATTACTTCCATTTATTTCAGAGTTAAGTCGCAAAAGGAATCCCAACATTTAAGTCCACTTTATTTTTATTAAAATGACATAATTTATTATAGATATTAGTTTATAATTTACATCTATGTTAATTTAGTTAATTTTTATGTACATCATCTTAATACAAACATTAAACTACTTATTTAAAGATATGTATTGTATTTACTTTTTTAATGATTATATTGTTATAAATTTATGAACATTTAATTGGCATAAAAGGTTGTTAATTAATGGAGATTGTTTGTAGAAAAAAAAAGAGAGGTAAGAAGCATTCTTGTGACATAATATAAGCAAAGCTATTTAAAAGTTTATTATTCATATAAGGAATTTAAGAAAAGGAAATTTTAATAATACATAATTACTAATGCTTCCAAACTCATTTACAAAGCATTAAAAATCAATTTATAAAGAGTTCAAAATCTCAAGCAATTTATCTAACAAAATAAAATAAAGCGATTTTATATTTTAAAATAATAGGATAACTTATTCTGTAAGATTACAAATTTATAATCCCAAAATGCAATAATAAAAACAATAAGACCTCCAAAATATGCTAAATGTGAGCATAAGAATCTAATACCTTTGATTTTTAGAAGTGTTAAAAATGCTGTTATTTTGTTTAACTTCCACTATATGCAAAAGTATTATGGAGAGACTACTATGGATAAAGACATGATAAAGAATGAGTTTTTATATTATTTTACTAATTATGTTACAGTTAAACGGCCATAGAAATTATACTAACTTACTGCTCCAGAATATGAAAGATATAAACATGTACTTTAAAAAGTAGATAAATTTTAATCTGAAGAATACACGTTATTAAATTATGTAGAATTATAAAATATTAACGTGCTAAAAAAGATATATATACATAACAGAAAGAATAAGGATTAATAATTATAACTATATTTTGATTATTAATTAAAAGAAATTGGAGCAGCCTGCAAAATTTAAAAGTTTTTTAGAGGGAAAAAGAATCGAAAAAGAAAAGGAATGACATATTCTGTCATAGTTGGATTAATCAATTAATCTCGTGCAATATTTGTAATTCAGAAATGGTTTAGAAGGATAAGATAATTCCATAGAACCAACTTTTTTAAAGACATCTCCTTTTACATTTCCTAGATTCCTACAGAACATTTATATTTAGACATGGAAATTTATTAGAAAATAGAGCAAATAGTCTAAGATTAATAATATACCATTAAGTTTTTAGAATAATATAATACGGTATGCAATAATCTAATTTTAGATAGTTTCAGATAATGAAGCTGTAAGATTGACGTTTTTATCATCAAAGGCCCAATCCTTAAATTAATCAACTTACTAATAATCTATATCTTAGTTTGATAATGCCCCTATTAAAGTTGTTCCTTAATGGTTGATTAAATAGATTTAGATGGTTCCAATTTCCTAACAAAAGTTTATAGATTACTCTATAATTAAGTAGGAAATGAAAGGTTCTAAATGGAGTTGTAGAAATAGATAGTATTAAAAGAAATAATTTGAAAAATTAAATGATTTGACTTTTTAAAAGTAGTGTGATATTTATGGTTTGCTTCATTTGGGTGCCAAAATCTCTTTTGATCATATTTGCAAAAGAAGCTATATAAGATTTACTTACAAATCAACAAGTGAGGCAAGGTATAGGGCTTTGGCTTTAGCTCTTATTACTTATAAATTTAAATATAATGGAGTTAGCATTTAAATGTTAAATGATAACTTATGGGAAAGCCCTTATTAAAAACAAGAGTAGTTTCTCTAAAAATATTATTACAAAATTTAAAAAGCTTTTAAAATAGAATCATTAGAATTGGCATCCTCTAACTTGCAAAATTCACCATCAAACTGTTTAATTTTATGTAAAAATGAATTCCAAGCAGAACAATTTAAATTAAAATAAAATGAGATCCAGTTGCAATTTTATAATGAAACAAGCAAGATACCTTTAAGCTTTATTTGGATGAGCACTTAACAAATAATTAAAAAAGTGCCAATAAAAATTCAAAATCAATAACTAAGCTAAAATAATACTCTAAAATTGAGTTCTATTTTATAAAAGAGCTCAATTTTAGAAAATAGAAATGACAATGAGGAGGATCAACAATTTGAGTAGAGTATTTAAAGCAAATTTTATGTGTCCAATGAATTGTCTCCTACATCTCCAAAAAGAGAAGCAATTAATAAGTCTACTATCTTAGCTCTCAAATTTTCTATTTTATGCTTAGATAATCCAGATGTTCAATTTTAAGAACCAAAATTTAAGAGGAGAACCGAGTAAACCTACTTAGAGTTTGCAATGACAAGCAGATAAAGAACATAAAATAATCCTCTAAATAATTCTAAGGCAAATGGGCTTTATAATTTTTAGAGTAACAATGCTTAACTTTAAAAAAAAAAGAATAACTAAGATCTCGAAAATATTAGTGAAAATACTGAGTACTCGCATTTGTAAAGAAGATACAAAGAATTTATTTAGAATGAAAATAAAACAAAAGGGGAATCAATAAAGTCTTAGAAACAAAATGAAAAAATACTATTAAGTGAATTTTCAAATTTGATCAATAAAAAAGGAATAAAAGTCAAAAACAATATAATTTAAACCTAGAGAGCAAAGTCTATAGATAGACCGACAAAAAACAATATTTATTCATAATATAGTTAATCTGTGACAAAAAGAGAAGATTATAAGGATTATTCATTAGCGTTTCCTAAGATAGAATAAAAAAGCTCAAAAAAACAGAACTTAGATTCTAGACTATCAAATTACCAAAAATGCTGTAATTTTCCTGAAGATTAATATACAATGGCTAAAGATACTATAAAATTTTGATTCTTCATACAAATATTTAATTCAATTTGAATTATGGTATATGTGATTCTCCATCCAATTTTAGTATTTTTTTTCAAAATCTGATTTTTATGAATTATCTATTAATAATTAAAAATATTCCTATGCTGGAACATTCTTTTCATATTAATCTTTGATAGAATTAACACAAAGAAGAATAGTTTTTTTTTATGGGATTGTCTTTAAGGCATTAGTTTTAATATTTTTGTAGTTTTAACATATTGAGTTCTATTGCAATTCTTGAGCATATTCCAAAAATTGAGTTGAATTCTTGAAACTTAAAATTGAACTTCTGATTGAGATTAGCAATTAGCAATTAATAGATGACATAATGAAAATGCCTTTCTAAAAAATTATATCCCAAAAATTAAGACAAGCTTATTTTGGGATATTGTACAAATATAAAGTAAATATCCATTTGCATAACAAATAAGAATCGTCAATATCTAACTTCATATAATGATTGTACAATTGGACATCTTATTCTTTAAGAATCTCTTTAGTTACACTACAAATTAGTCTCATTAAAGGAAATTCAGTCATATAAATTGCATAAAGCATCCATTTTGAGCAATAAAACATCAGAAAAGAAGCAGACCAAGTTTCCTCAATATTTCCACCTGATTACATTAACATTAATGCTAAGATGAAATTCATTCCCTAAGTATACCCTATTCCCTTAAAAGTTGCTCCAACCAAATTTAACAATTAACTCAATAATTGGGAACTTTAAGATTCCAATTAAAAAAAGGGATGGCTAATCTTAAATTTTATAATACTTTGGAAAAGTTCTTTTCACATCTCTTTCAACTATTGATAATCTTTCAGTTTATCTAATTTTCATTGCCTTGTGTTTTTGTTTAATGTTACTATATAACAAAGTTTTCCAAACAAACCATCTTATTTATCCACCTCCTGCATATTCTAAAACTTCTGCAAAACGTTCAGGCTCGTTTTTATGTATTGCATATAAAGCTTTTTATAAATCACCAGGACCACCTGAAATTTGGCGGTCTGGATTCCCTACTAAACCATCCCAAAGTTAAATGCATATTTCTTAGTTTACAATTTCAGATTTATCAAAACAAACACCAATCTACAAATTATTTTCTCTATCAATTTTATTTTAAATCTAATAATATTTTCTCTTAAATACAATTGGCTTGATAGGAGCATATGGTTAGTCTTCAATTTCTGAATAATAAGTATTTTTTAAGGATTTACTTAACTTTTCATCTGTTTATTCGCTATTACAAATATTTCCCATATATAAACAAAATAATACAAATAAAATCAATTATCTATATATTCTAAATAAAGAACAATAAATTTTATACAAAGTATATATAGAATTATAAATTATTTGAATGAAGTTTGGTTTAACAAACAAGTGGTTAGAGTATAATAATTAAATGTTTTTATGTCTCCAACAAATATTAACTTATTATTTGAATAATAATATTAGAATGTTTTGAGAATCAGAAATTCATATTAATTCCTTAAAATTACTCATTATATATACAGAAAAAAATGCTGATAGAATTTTTAATTAAAGTTTTAAAGGCCAGATCAACAGAATTTATGGATTGGCTAATTTGATCACCAAACTAACCAATATATTAATGATAATCTATATTGCTCTTTAAATAATATTAAATATTAAATCAAATGGGGTGTGTAACAACAAAAAAGCAGCATACGGTTTAGATACCCAAGCATGTTTTAAACTAAAATTCCTAATTAATAGACGATGATGATCAACGTAATTACAATAGTGCTCCTTAAAGTCCTGCTTTAAGAAAAATTGTTTAAATAGATGCATTTACACCTGACGAAATAAAGGACTTTATCTTAGAGAGGAGAAAATAAAATTATAGTACTAATAGAATTGAGCTGATGAAAAAAAGTGGCAGATATACACCTACTCTTATCTATAAAAAGAGAAAACCTTCACCCTCCTAAAGGAGTTAAACAAAAATTACAATTTAATCACCAATCTATCCTACCCAAAAATGATATGACTATATTTATTTTGTAGTAGATATTGATATATTTTCTTATATTTTTTAGGATTTCAAATAAAATATATCCATTTTAAATTTTACATATTATATATTATAAGTCGGTTTTAATTAATTTAGGTAACTCTTTGTAATAATTTTTATTTTTATAATAATAATCAATGATTTTATAGCCTACTTCTTCTACTTTATTTCTTGAGACTTTATATCATCGATTTAAATTTCAATTCAAGATTTTAAATATTAAATTATTAAAATGTAAATCTATTTGATTTCATGATTTCTATTAAAGAGAGGATTTTTATAATTTAATTCAGACAGTTTCTTTATCAAATAAATAAATATAAAATATTAATTACATATTTAAGATAATATTATAATTTTTTTAAGAGTATGATATAAATTTTAGGACTATTCTATCGTTAATTATCAATTGATTATATATTATTATTGCAATTTCTAAGTGTTGAAATAAATATTTTATCTAACACACTTTTACTTTAAAATATTTACACTAAAAGCCAATAATTAGGTATTAAGTGTATTTCAAATTCTTAAATTAACATAATTATAATCAAAGCCCTAGAATTTGATGGAAAATAATTATTTCGAATTAACTGCATAATCTTAAAAAATACAGTCAAATTTAATTTTGAAGTATTTTTCTCAAAAAAATAAAAATTCTTGTTAATTCCAAAAAATGTACTAGTACATTAAAATTATATTTACCTTATGTCTGATTATTAGTAAAAGACTTTACGATTTCTTACTGTTTTCTAAGATTTACCTTGGACTCCTTATTATAGTTGATAAATTTCAGAAGTCGTAACTTTAAATAAAACCTGAAGTGTTTAAAACTTTTTTGTATAAATTATACGTTCTATCATTTTTATATTGTTGCAACATAATTATGATTTTCTATAAATGTTGCTTTATATATTTATCTGCATGGCAAATCACTAATAAGGAATAAAATACATATAATAATAGAAACATTCAATGAAAATTGGCCATACTCCATTTTTATATTTATACTTGAATAAATCCTCTGCAATTAAGGCAAAATATTCCCAAATCACATAAGAGGTCTGAAGATAGATTTCTAATCCTTGCCTTAATTTGACTACTTTAATATTTTTCCTTACAATAGCATATTTCATAAGTTATTTCATTATTGAAAATGTATTTGTAATTAGTGTTTCCTATAATCATTTCATAAGGTAGGCCAAAATCTATTCTATTTTTTATTTTTAAATCAAAACAATATTTATAGCCTGACTTCAACATGCCACTATTTAATTCTCTTTTCAGTTCAGCAGAAGATTACACTTTAAATTATGTAAATCAATAAAGATTATCAAATTTTATATAAACACCCTTAATCTAAAATAATTTTTACCATTGTCTCACTTTTAAAGATATGCGAAATGTATAATATAACAGAATTCATTTATCATTTCCTATGTCTTTAAAAAATAGTGAAATTCCACTTTCACAAAGACTAATATCTTTTGATGATTATTAGGTAGCATATTATTAAAATTGTTCCTATAATTTGCGCTTTATTTTTGAATATCTAAAACATAATTGGTAGCCTTTTATAAATTCCATTAGGTTTGTTTGAGAATTTCTCTTGTTCATAAGTTGTTTAATTGAATAATTCATCATAGATCTTGAATCATTATATCTTCTTGAGCTTAATTAGATCTTGATCTCATTAATTAAAAAATAGAAATAATCAATATTTATATTAAACTGTTTTTGAATGAATGCGAGGTTCAATCGTAGAATAAGGACTCTCATCTCTAGATCTACAGACATCAAGAGTGAGTTTTCTCTTTACTAACTCTAAATTGAAAACAGGTTGTTAATTTTTATTCTTTCTTTTTTTAAGTATAAAATCGTTTAATTGTTTGCATTGATTTTATTATTCGTATTGCTTCTTATGATGAAATATGTACTTTAATTTTATGAAAATAATCAGAAATGAGCTATTATTATTCCTTTAGCTATTCTTGAAGTTATTAGATTAATGCTTACTATTTTTAGGCATCTAAATTTGAAGTTATATTGAATCTCTTGATACATCGTTTTAGATTCAGATTTTCCTTTTTTAATTCAGCAATCTCCCTTTCATTTTCTAGAATTTTATTATCCCTATTATTAAATGTAATAATACTTGCTATTCTACTTTTTATTTTAGGGCTCTTTCAGCTTCTTATAAACTGGAAATCAAACTAGAATGATCTGGAATTTTTGGCATTACCAGTAAATTAGAATCAAAATCATCTTATTGTATTTTTAAACCTAAGTCTGAATTATACAATCGCAGACAAACAAAATAACTGCATAATCGATTAGCCTTTAATCTAAGCCTATTTGATAATGTTGTGAGGGATTCAATTTCTTATTCAAGTTCAAGTAGCAAATTTTAATCCACATTGTTTTGTTTTTGAAGTACCTCTTGTTTTTCTAGTTCTTATAATTTGGCCAATAACTATTGAATGATAGTTTCTTGGTCAAGAATGAGCTCATTTTTAGAATCTGCTTATTGTTAAAGTGCAATGGTTTTAGCTTTTTGATTTATAACTTCCTATTTATCTTTGAGAATGGAATCCTACAACTCCTCTTGCACTTATGAAATCATGGTTTAGATGGAATCTAAAAGCTAACCCTTTTTTTGTGTAAATTTGTTTTCGAATTATACTTTATTAGAAGCTTTGATTCTATATGCTTCCTGCATTATTTTAAATCAATTTAATTCATGAGTAAAAAAGCAGAAAAAAAGAAGTAGGAAAAAGTAATCGCAGACAGAACATTTGGACTAAAAAATAAAAATAAGAGCAAACAAGTTTAAAAGTATGTGAGATAAAAGTGATTTTTAGTTTCTGTAAAGGAGTTGCCCAATAAGTAAAATATAGTGGTGTTTCATTATCAAAATTGTAAACAGAGGAGTATGAGAAGAAGAAGTTAGAAAAATAATTGGAAGAAGATGAAAAATTGATTCAATCTTTGTATAAAACAGTTGAATAAGTGAAAGAAGATGAATCTGAAGAAGAAGTTGATCCCAAGTCAATATTGTGCGAATATTATAAATAAGGTAAAAAGTAATTAAATGGGTAGGTCTTTGTTAAAAGGGTAAGAAATGTATGTACTCTCATGATATGAGTCTGGAATAAAAGACAGCAATTCTTGATTTATATACTGATTAAAGATAATAATTGGCAGATGAATGGGATACTTGTTAGACATGGGATGAAAAGACATTGAAAGATGTAATTGAAGCCAATGAAAAGACTTATAAAAGGTATTTAGATGTATTAAATAAAATAGTTAAATTCCATCAGCTAAAGTGTGTGATTTTTTTTTGGATGCTTTAGAAAAAGGTAAATACGGGTGGAGATGGGTTTGTCCTAATGGTATGACCTGCCATTATAAACATTGTTTGCCACAAGGATATGTGTTTAAAAGGAAGGAAGAACTTAAATAAAAATATGATGGAGATATTGAAGAAGAAATTGATGAGGAAATTTAGAAGTTGTAAAAAGGAGGGACAAAAATTACTAAGGAGGTCTTTGAAAAATGGAAACTAGAAAGAGCTGAAAAAAAGAAACAGGAGGTTGAAAAATAAAAATTAGAAGAATAAAAGAAGAAGGGTTTAAATTATTTATTTAAATTTAGGTGCTAAATAAACAGGTGGAAATGCTTAAATGACTGGAAGAGCTCTTTTTGTTTATGACCCAACTTTATTCGTAGATGATGATGAAGCTGAAAACCAATATGAAAGAGAAGAGTAAATTGATGAGAATGATGAGGAAGATGAAGATGATAATGAGAACAGATAAAAATTATACGAAGGAGATCATAATCAATAATAAGATGAAGAGGAAGAAGATTAATAATTTAAGCAACAATAATCATGATATATGTTTATTGTAATATATTATTTCTAATTTAAGATCTTCAATCATATTTTATCAATACTTTTTAAATTAATAATTGCTCTTAAATTAAATTCATACAATGAATCAAGCAATATCTTTAATGCTATCTTCTTTCATTTCGAATCCCTTGCTCTATTATTATTGCAAAAGTGTTAAGAATTATTTAAGGTAATATCACTAGCCTTGAGATCATCATGCTTAACGAATGATTCTTGTACCTCTTACTATTCAAATTGTAATTTTGTCTAATTTAAAGTCAGTGTAATATTTTCTGGATGCTTGTAACTTGAATTTTAGTTGAGCTTCTTTTTCTTAGTACATTATAATAAGACTCTTCCAGTCTAAAATAGGACGATTGGTTGGGTTCCTTCATCAGAAATTTTAAGTAAATCTTGATCTTAGGCTAGAACATGTGTTCCAAATTTGCTTTTGTTATCTTGAATTCTAATTATGTAATCAGGTGTCTCAGGAGTATGTTTGCTTGTTGGAATTAATTTGAGAATAGCATGTGTTCTCGAAACAGATATGTCCCGTAATTTAAAATCACAATCTGGAATTCTACCCTATAAAATTACTAATTTAGAGTACAATTTTTAATTCAGTTTTTTCTCCGATCTCAACTACATATATCATAGCCTCTTTTGTTGTATCGTCATTTGTAATCTTGAAGGTGATATAGGATGATTTTGGCAATTTAAGAACTGAATATGTTTTATCTTAAAATTTGTAAATGCTCCTAAATGTGGCTTTACATATTTCAAAATCTAATCTCTTCCATAGATACTATATAGAATGCTCTTCATATTTAATTTTCAATTCTATTCGTACCCAACTTTATAGACACTCCAAATGTATGTATTTAACTGATCCTTCACACTTACATGGTCTTATCAAAGGATTAGTTTCAGTGGCTCTACTTGAAAAGCAGATTGTACAATTAAACACATCGTTTATTGTTTAAACTTCATCTTCCTATTCATCCTAATATTGTGTTGCCTCATCACAGGGTGTCATAAAAGAATATTCCAATAATTCCATTCTCACTCTTCCTAATTTTATTATGTCTCCTATTTTTAAATCTCTATGCTAATTATATAATTTAATTTATACTTCGATGGATGAAAATTAATTGCTTTCTAATTTCAATACCGCCCATAATTTATGATCCTGCTATTCAGATATACAATTTATATAGGCATCCTATTCATTCATCGTAATGTTCACCAATTCAGTTGAATTTTCAGCCTATTCCGTTTAGGTTAAAGCCACTAGTTCTTTGTCCACTGTTGCTATTAAAGCTAAAAGAGAATATCTTATCAAAATACATGAAAAATCAACTTCGATTTCTTTTACAAAATATGAATTGGAATCAAAGTCAAATAATTTATGCTAATTCTCTGGCCAAATTACTGCCACTATATGGACTCTAAATTAATAATATTTTCCTACTTGTACGGCATCAAAGTTCTGTTTATTTCATATCTTTTTACTTTTGATGGTGTGCAAGCTCTCATCTATTAATATATTTTTATTAATTAAATATTTTTGTTATTAAAGTAGGAATCCAATTAATAAACGCTACAGATCCCAAATAGATTGCTTATTCACTTCAATTTGTAATAAAATATTTTTAGAAGAATATATAATTTTACAAATAGTTTATAGCTCTCTAAATTTATAAGTCTCTTATTCCTAATACTTATATAGCTCTATAGAATATGCCTCATTTCTAATTTAGAATTAATTGTTAAGCTTTCCATGTTAATTGTTGTTCTGATTAGCATACAAAATAAAAGTGATTCATTCAGGTAAATGGCTCTGTTTATTTCAATTACAGATTTTCTTGGCTGATATCAATCATTTAAATATTCAGTAGAATTAAATTACTTCTGTATAACATCATGCAACTCTCATTTTTATTAAATAGATAAATGAAAATTATTATTAAGTCAAGAACTTTTTTAAGAACCTAATAATTTGGTATTTTATTTTTTCCACTTAAAAAAATGTAGAACAAATGAGAAAGAGTTTCTAAATAATTTTTGGAATTGATAGCCGTAAAGAAAAAAGAGAACCAATTATTTAAGAGAGAGTTTAACAAGAGTTTGTGTTTGATTCTTAAAAGAGTGAATAGCATTAAAACTAATTTTTAATGATGAATCTATAAAGAAAGAGAACTAACCAATATTTATATGCTTCAGAAAGATTAAGGTCAATTTATCAAATTAAAATATAATCTAATGGATTTGAAAAGATTCCTATCATAGCTTATCCAAAAGATAATACAGAAGTAATTGGATTATTTCAAGTCATGGAAAAAAGTAAATTTGAATTTGAATCATGCTAGATGGAATTAGTAAGATCATTTTCCTCATAAGGAGAGCCTCGATAGTGGATCATTATTTGGTGAAAAATTAGCTCAAAAAAGTGCAATTATAATGACTTGTGTTAGTAAGGAAGACTTTAGACCTTACTATGCTTAAGAACAGAGTCAGGATAATGATAATATCTAATCTTAGTCTTCATAACAGCATCATAAGAAAATAAAGTAGCCCAAAAAGCAATAAACTATTTTTGGCCTAAACAAATCTAAAGTAGAATTTATAAGAGAAGATAAAGAATAAAAATCTTAATATAATAATTCAGAATCTCACTTTAAAAGATTAGGCGGAATATTGGAGGATTATATTCTATTCTATTGCCCTCTTTTTTAAAAGATGAAAGTGTTCATAACAAAGTCGTTCAAGATAAAAGTTTTGAGGAAAAGATGTTCAATCTAATAATAAATTCTCAAAAATATCTAAATTGAATTTTCAAATTTGAACAAGATAAAATTTACTAATGATTTATATTTTGAGTTAAATGATTCATTCTAATAGATTGGTTTAAAAAAAACTAATTCTTAAATAAATTCTGATGATTAAACTAGTAGAAGGAAAATAACAAATACAAAATCAAATTAAATCAAATTCTGTAATGAAAAAAATCCATTCATCATCTGGGATGATGATAATCTTTCATTAAACAATAGATTTTCAACTCCTTGGTAGAGTTCAAACCTTATGAAAGTTTTTTTTAATGAATTTGATGATTATAATAGAATTTCTGAAAATATATAATTTGAAGATAATGGAAAATAATTGGAAAATCAAGAAAAAAGATGATCCTCTTCTATTGAATAATATGGAAATATCTCATTTGGTAATTGCGATCTCGATTTATCTAAAGATCAATAATTAAGAAAAAATGAAAAATGAGGAGGGCTCTCCTTAAATTTAATAGTTATTTGACACTTTTGTAAACTCAAAGTTTAATTTTGAAAATCATACTCCCATATCAAAAGAAAAAGCAATAAATAAATAACAACAAATAGATTTCTCAGAACGAACACCTGTATTTAAATAATAAGAAGTTAAAAACTAAACTTTCAACTAAGATAAAAATGATAAAACTTAAAGAGAATCACCATTTAGTCCAAAATCAAAAAATAATAAATTATTGGATAAAAAAAGAAGAGAATAGAAATTTTAAGGAATAAATAAAAAAAATCTTGCATTGGAATTTGATTCTCAAGAAAATTAATCTCCAAATAGATCTAAAAATAACTAATTATAAGTAATTCAATGATCATGTGTTTTGAATGTAAATAGCAAATTTGTATTATTACTATCAGTATGATGTGATTTTTTCTTTTATTACCATTGTTCTAATTCTACAATTTTTTAATCCTTTCTTGTTATTTATCTTTCAAATTATCTTTTTAATCTAGTTTCCTATTCTTCCAATTCAAATTCTAAAAATTAATTTAAATTATACACATTTATTGTTTTTAATCATTTAACTACTTTGAGAGAATTTCTTGAAATAATTTTTATTATTCCTTTAGATCAGTCTCTAATCTTTACACTTGCGACTCTAATGATTATATTTAGACTTTATCATTTTAAGAGGTTCTGAATTTATTTTAAGATATACTTTCTTAATTGAGTGTTTTCTTCTTCCAATATCTTGATTTTATTTCCATAATGCTATTCAATAGTTTTTAGTCTTTCGACGATATTAATAGAGGAACTTGCTTGATTTGGCGATGACACTCCTGAATTTATTGGACTGTTAACAACAATAGATTATTGTTATGGCTGATTCTTTTCAAAAGTTTATGTTTTTATTTATTGTCTGCTTCTAAAGATTCTATAGGAGTTGGCATTTTCTATAATATCAGACTTTTTTAAATGAGAATTCTCCAGATTCGAAACAGGTGTATATTGAATATTGTTAATAATTTCCTCTTACTATTTCGTAGGTTATTCTGAGTTGGCTATGGATTTCGGTAGTGTTCTTTTTATAGTATTTATATTTGATTCCTTAAGTAATTTTAGAATAGTTTCATCGAATTTGTGGAGATATGTATTCACCTATTCTAACTTCTTCATTTAAATTATTAATATATATTTAATTGATATCATTTTTCATTATTAGCTTCTTGAGTAGGCTTTTCATTCTTTGTTTAATCACCTTTCCTCCAATAATTATCTAAGGCCTATTCCATTTTGGATTTTCCTAAATAATAAAAGATGTGATATACTTTGTAGATCCTTGGCTATTTTATAAACATCTGAATTAATTCTATTCTTTCTTCCAGTTTTGATGAACCTTTATTTCTTTTCACCCTACCCAATTATAATAAGATTTACATTCTAATTATTTTATTTGAACCCAAATCTTCTTCTTCGCTATGTATTTTGTTATGTAAATCCTTATCCTTTTTAATTTCCTCTTCCTCTTTGAGGTCTTCCTCCTCTACTTTAATTTTGGTTTCTTGGTCTATTGTAACCTGAACTTTAATTTTAATTTGATGATCTCCTAAACTAATTATCTTTAAAGTTTCCTTGTTGATTATTGGACCTGTAATTATTATTTCTATTTCCTCTGAAATTTTAATTTCCTCCTCTGAATGGTCTGCTATTAGTATTTCCACCTCTCCTTTTCCAAGTCCCGCTAAATTATCTCATAAATAAATTATACGAATCAATTAATCGATTTTTCAAAACTATATATACATCAGGAATAAGAGATTTGTTTAGAACATACAAAAATTACAGACATTTCATAACAATCATAATTTAAACTTTTCCAATTGTTCCACCATCTATTATGTGTCAGTGACTGAAGACTTAAGTTTGATGATCCAATAACTTAGAAAGCTTTGTAATTCGCATTTCATTTGACAAAATCTTTATTCATAATTTTCATCTGGTTTCAATTTCTTCTTTTGAGTTTCATTAATCAACTCTTATGGCTAAGCCTTCTTTATTATCTTTATTTCAAATGTTTATTTATTTGGTTATTCTGTGCTAGGCTAAACAAAGGTCTAAGTTGGAATTGCATTTTGAGTGTTTTTATCAATTTACTATGTTTGAGAACTCTATTGCTATTCTGATATATTCTTTAATTATGAGGCCATTGCCACTTATTTATCCAGGTTTGCCACTCCTTTAGTATCCTCTATTATCTATAGCAATTATCTGATTTTTTCACTTTCAGATCTAAACACCGTTTGAGGCTTCACTTTTTTACAATACGCCCTTTTAATAGCTTTTTTTGGTTGATTCTGATCCATCTTTCGAATATAGTTTGATTAGACAACTTAAATAATATTTCATGCTATAACAAATTCCTAAATTGAAAAGGTAAAATAAAACAATGCTTTGTAAATTGCCTTTATATAATATTCAAAAATAAACATATTATTTGTTATAAATTTTGACTTTTGCAAAATTAAAAAAGAGTTAATACCCTCTGAGATCTTTAATAAAGAGGATAAAAAAGATATGATTAATATTATTAAATAAATATATTTCACTTTAAAATTTATCTAGGGGTGTTCAGGGTATTCAATTTAGCCAAAAGGAGATTTTTTTAATTGGCATCAACATGCACAGTTGTATTTTTATTTGCCAATAAGCTCACAATCAAATTTCTAATTATTAAGCAATAAATTACTTGTTTTATTGATTTACATGAAAAGTATTTGCTTTGAATTCCCTCTTTTAATTGAATCGTTATTTTTAGTATTAGATATTTCTAGTTGTTTTTGGTGATTCAATATGTTTTTAGAGACTCCTTAAAGAAGTATTACCAGTGATTGGTTTTGTATTCATTTAATTTCTTAATTCTAGTTTTACTTTAACTCTTTATTGTACTGTAATAATAATTAATTTTACATAAGGTTAAAATCTGAGCATGGTGGGTTTTGGGTGAATTACCAGTATTATCAGAGGTTTAAAAATTTTATATTAGATCGCTCTTTTTCTATAATAAATTCTAAAATTTATATTGTCTAGGTGTTTCACTGGTGGCTTTTTATTAATTTATAAGTGAATTAATATTTTTAAGTTTCTCATGTGTTATGAATTATTGCAATCTTTCTTCCTTTATAATGCATTGCTAATTATGGAATACTTATTGTAAATTAGGTTGTTTTTTCATTGAATTAGCATTTAAAACTGAAACAATTGCATTTATATCACTTTGTTAAGTTTGTGTCCTTTATTTTAACTCGGTAGTCAATTCATCCAAAACATTACCAACAACAACTCCTGATTCCTGGGATGATTTTGGAGAACTTTAGGATTCTTAAGGCTATTCTCCTACAATGCCTTTTGGAGTTCTGTTTGGATTTTATTGGTTTTCTTATTCAATGATATGTTGTATTTTATAGTACTCTAATTTTCTCCTTTGATTGTAAAATTCATTTAAAATGATAACAATTTATTCATTAACGGCCCACCTTGGAATATCCTTATGAAACTGCAAATGTAATGAGTTATGATTACCTTATAGAATTCAACTAAAATCTTAATCTTCTTTGGATATGATGATACCGTGTATAGTTTCTTACAGTGTTCGGCTTCTTCATCATATTATTACAAATCCTTTGAAAATTTGAATATACTATACTTTAAACCAAATTGTGGCCTTGGTTGGTTAGTTGATTATCAAATCATTAACTACTTTAGTGTAATAATAGTTTTGAGATTCAGCGTATTTATTATAAAGGGAGGAAGTGATCCTTTATGATAGAGAGACTTTCTTAAATAATAATCTAACAATGCTCTACCTTTCATTCTATACTTATCTTGATTTTTCCCATACAATACCTTTCTGCTTGGATTACAAATAAGGCATTCCATTTTGAAATAAATAATTTTAAATTAAATCAAATAACTTGCATAAAAATATATTAGTAAATAAGTTACTACTTAATTTTAATTGAATAAAATTATTAATAGAAGAAAAGCAGAATAAATAGCTGAAGTGAAAACCTAATAAAGCTTAGAATTAAGTATTTGACTATATGATTCTGATTGTGTTTTTGATTATATATTTATAATTTATATTTTTATACTCATCATATGAAAAGTATGTAATAATAAATAGATTTCTAATTTATTAATTTATGAAATAATCCCACCAGAATAGAATGCTCTACAAATTGCTTTAATCAAAGTCATTACGCAGTATGTTTTCTCCTGGCAAGGAATCGATCATAACGGATCCAAATAGAGTCAAGGAAAAATGTCTCAAACACAACTTGAAAGTATTGATACTAATAGAATAGGCTAGATTTAGTTACAACACTTAATAATTATGTGAAATATGTGCTATTGAGTGTGCATATGATCACCAACAATTATAGCATATAAAGAGTGGAATAATTTTGCATCCATTTTAAGAATTAAAGAGTGGAACGGCGAAAACAGAATTTGTGCAATTAAGTGAAAAAGTAAAAGAATTAAAAAATTGCAAATAAAAGTAAAGCATCTTAATGCAATTTACTAATTAGTTGGAATTGGTTTAAGCTAAAGTTCAATCATTATTTGAGTAGGTTAATGTAATTAATACATATGGAATAACAAGATTTTAGGAAATATAGATTAAACAAATTTGTAAAAAGCTGGAGTATAGATTATTAGAATTAACACGTAATAGACAATCAGTTTCAACTTACAATTATCATTAATTTTAAATAAAATTAAATAACTATTAAGATGATATATTATTAATGAAAAAGGATATTGAAGACAATTTAGAGAGCATCATAAATAAGATGGAAATAGTTCCATTAAATGAAATAATCCAAAAATATCAAATGAAATTAGACTTTTATGAGAGTGAATGCAATTAGACAAGACAATTATATTAATAAATATTGAATATGTTTTATATAGAATTATAGAGAATGAGTAAATAATGAATATAAATAATTTTATATGAATCATCAAAGATAATTCCAAAGTTTGAGAAGTGTCCCAGATGTCCAGGAAACTGATGAAGTGGAAGATCGAGTATTTTATCAGATGGTAGGGACAACACAATAAGAATCCCATTTAGTAGCAAATAGTGATCGCGCATCTATTGAAGAATGGATGAAATTACAACAAAGTCTAAAAGAAGAGCAATACAAAATGAGATAAGAAGATGAACTAAAAAACAAATTGTTAGATGAATTAAAGCAGGAAAGCAAGAATTATTACTAAACCTACATAAATGTATTGATGGAGAGCAATATGAATCAAGAGCATAAGACATTGGAAGAATCCACATCAAGGTTATTTAGGAATGCAGAAACCAACGTTAAATTGATATTTGAAAAACTATCAAATACAAAGGTATGTTCTGCCATATTCCAACATCACAATAATACAATTCGAACTACAGAAATCGAGACACTCATAAGAACATTCATAAATAGTATCTATGATAACATTGCGTGTGGATCTATGTGGAAATAGCCAATTTTGAAATTAATTAGTGAAATAATAACAACGGAAGTCAATAGATAAGAATTTCCTGAATTTTTGTGGGATAGAGAAGATACTTTGACTCAATTTATTATGAAGGAATTTACTAAAAGACCTGAAAATGTCAAATATACTAAAGTTATCTTCAAAAACTCTTTGATTCAAATCACAAAAGTTGATAAGTTTCTTGATTTAGACAAAAGGAAAATTGCAGACAAATTACGCGAAATTATGAAAGAAAAAGATAAAAAATAAAAAGAAGAAAAACAATCATTGAATTCTTCTGCTTTTATTGTTAAGCAAGTGCCCTTGATGTTAAATTCCTCTCAAAAATTACCTCAAAGATAAATACCAATCATTACACCTATCAGAAACATAGAAATGCCCTAATAAAATATGACACTCTATTATGCAAATTTAATTAAATAATATGATCAATCAAAGAAATCTAATATCAAAAATTCAAGAAGAAATTAAAACCAATTAGCTGAATTTTCATTAAAGGTGCTTCAATTTGGAGAAGAATAAAGGTAAGCCAAATTCTTAACCATGGAAAGGAGAAGTGTTGCTCCAATTCAAGAATCTCAGTCTGAATCTCCTATTCGAAAATTATCCAAAGTTTATAGCCACAGCAATAAATCTGATCAATATATGAATAATGAAATTAATAGTGTATTGATTGCTTGTATAGATAAATTTAAACAGCTTGTTAATAATATCATGGAAAACATCTTTAAGAATATCTACCTAATACCTTAAGGTATTCGTATCATTTGCAAAATGATTCAAATTACAATCTTAAAAAAGTTTCCAGATGCCACTGAATAACAAATCCAAGAAAATATCTTTAGCTTCTTATTTAATGTTTGGTTAATACCTCAATTAGTATTTCCAAAATAATATTCTTCTTTTAAATATATTCGTGAAGATCATGAAAATACAATTTAGCAGATTCATACGATTATTAAAAAAATGATTAGGAACCAAAAGTATAATGAGGATCCCCAATACAATAGATTAAATTAGTATATGTAAGATTTGCAGCCTTCTCTTAAAGATTATCTTCAAGAGATTTTAAATTTATGTCCTGATTCTGTTAATGCCATAATAAACGATACGAATAAAATAGATGGAATACTGTCTAATTGTGTTTGCATAGCTTTAGATGAAATTAAAAGTCTCTGTTAATTACTATAGGATATGAAGACTTTCAAAACAGAATCTTCAGATCTTTAAAAAGTCATTAATTAACTTGTAAGTTTGGCCACAAGAACTTTGGAAATTGATAGACACGAAAACATATTTAGACAACAACACAATCTATAAGCTTAATAATAAATTTATGCTCTTATTCTAAACTTCTCTATTCCCAATAATATTGTGTATTAAGAGTAGGTGCAACCTTTGAAGAAGATAAAAGATGAAAATTTGAGAAATTAAAGGAAACTTATAAATGCTTTAATGAAGTGTTTGATAGATATTTAAGATTTAGCTACGTCTACATCCGGAAATTAAGAAGAAGCTAGTCTTAAACGAGTACTTACTAATTTCGTTGATGTATATATTTATATTATACCTAAAGAAATACACTTATTTGGATGACAAAAAAACTGTATTCTAAATTAAGTATGTATTGGAATAGCTTAAGTTATAAAGTCAAGGGGAATTGTAAAGTAATTTAAAAAATATTTACTAAATTTTAAATTAGGAATTTCAAGAACGCTCAATGATGTTGACTGAACACATTCAATAAACGAAATATCAATTATTGAGTGCAAAGTATAATATTAAGAAAAATTATGAAGTGATGAGAGAGTCATTTGAATAATTAAGCCAAGAGAAACGATAAAAACAATTATATGAATTCATTGAAAAGACTCCCTTGGCTTTATGTGTCACATCACCAAAAACAAGGGAAGGCTTATTTTCAATGAAGGCTCACAAACTCAGAAATACTAACAACGAAGCTTTGGATGATCAGTAAATTTGGGTAGAACAATAGAGCGAGTGTATTCACAATGCAATTAATCTGGAATTCATTAAATAAATTGTTGGCGGTGCCAGTCCTAATGACTAGAAAAAGAATTCTGAATTTTCGAATTCTCATTGTTCTGATATCAAATAATTTATTGAAAACTTCTCCTCTCTTTAAGAAGTAAAGGAAGCAGTGATTTCTGGAGAAGATAAAGCTGGTGTGAAAAATGCATATTTTGAATTTATATAGGCTTTAGCAGCCTTTTTGAAAGGCAAGAATGAAATGAAAATAGATGAGATCTAAATGATGGATATGCTTGAGAAGTATGTCAGTAAGCGTGTTTATGATAAGTAATATTTAAGCATTATTGAAAATAGAGTCTATCCAAAGGAGAGAACATACAAAGACGCAGGTCTTTATTTTAGAATCAAATCTTTGGAATGGGTGGGCTATGATCATTTAGAAATAATTAAATAGAATAGAGTAGATGAAATGTGGGATTTAGCAGTTGAAGGTAATCACTATTCTCCAATGTTATATAGCTTTGTTGAACATCGATAATTGCAAGACTGCTGTAAATAAATTAGAAGCCATGATTTAATGTTCAAAAATCATGAATGACGTTCTTAAATTAACGTCATTGAAAGAGGAGGCTACCTCTGCAGATACTGTATTACCAATTCTTATTTACATTCTGATTAAAGCTGCTCCCTAAAGATTGCATAGCAACTTAAACTTTGTTTCACTATTTTTAGACAAAAGTAAAACTGTGAGTCAGTAAGGCTATTGTTTGACTTAATTACAATTGGCCATACAATGGTTAGAAGAAGTAGATCATAAACTATTGAAAATGGATTAGATGAACTTCCTTGAGTAATTCTTTTCTTTATTTATAGAACAATAACTAAAGCTGAGATTAGATATGGTATACATTATTTGAAGAGAAGAAATAGATCAGAGAGAATTTCAATGCCTTTAAATAAAATTTAAGCACTTATCAATTGATTTAAATTTCAAATTATAGATATTTAACTTAATAAATTTTAAAATATTCCATTAAAGAAAAAACTAGTAAAAATTGCTATTACTTATATCATTTTAATATGTAATTAATTTGTGATTGTTTTAATTATACTAATATTCTAACTCTATTCAATAACTGTAATTTTAAATAATAAAATTTATTTAACTAAAATAAATAACTATTTATATATATAAAATATTATTTTTATTTTATCAATCTTATTCTGATAATTAAATTAAGTATCCTTGATCCCATTTACCCTTAATAACTTATCCATCAGCAGTTGTAAATTCTCCTTCTCCGTGCACCATACCTTCTTCGAACTCACCAAAATATTGCTCTTGATTTGTAAGAATGAGTGTTCCTTGTCCATGCATTTTTCCTTACAAAAAGTTACCTTAAATGATTAGTATACTTATTATGTACCTTCATATGAAGCCCATCCATTGCCAATAGTTGTCATATTGTTCCAATCAATTGGTTCATTCAATTCTTCAGTTTGAAGATTAGTCAATCTTCCTTGGCCCTCATAAAGATTATCCTTCCAATAGCCTGCATAAACTTATTTGCCATCAGCATCTGTTAAAATACCAAATCCATTTCTAGTTTAAGGGGGATATCCTTATCCTCTATAAATATATCCGTCTTCATATTGCAATGCCAATTCTAGAATAATTTGAATTTAAATACCTTGAATATTTTCATCTTCCTCTTCAGCTTAAGGTTCATTGGCTTGGTTGGTTTAGCGACCTTTGCTACCGGAGTCGTCCATCTTATATTTTTTGATGATTTCTTCTGTACTTTTGAGAGCATTCTAATATCTCTTGTCTAAGTCTTCTTCTGGTTGAGATTATGGAACTTGGGCTTTTTTCTGAGGAGGGGGAGATTTTTGCTTTTCGTAATTCGGCTACGGAGGATGAGCATCTACGAAAATCAAATTTGAACTTACTCTTATTTGGCTGTTATGGTTTTTAAACTTGAGGTTGCTAAGCATTTCTCAGTCTCTCTTAAACTTATTCTAGAGTGAGAAACTGCCTTTAAGGTGACTACAGTTATGGAGCTGGTGATCTGGGAACTTATTGAGATTGCATGAGCACATTTCTTTGGGGTGAATGTGCTGCCTTCAATCTATCTGGAGATTGGAATGTTCTTTGAGGCGAAGCCATAATTTGACTCATCATTGGTTAGGGTTGATAGGCTTAAGGAATGATGGTCGAGGCATATGGATTGTATTGATAGGGTGGTGCATATCTCATCCTAGAGTAACCGTATTATGGAGCATATTAAACAGGAGGTCTCCATTGCTATGGTATTTATGGAAGTACACCATAGGGAGGGTATCTGTATTATGGATATACTTATGGGTAGAAGTGTTAAGGATAATACATTAAATTTAAAAACTTAATTAATGAAATAGATGAGAGATCGATCTTCTTCTGAAGAGTACGATTAAATTTTTGATGCCAAGAAGTAATCTCCAGCTTAGGAAAAGAAGGGCAAGAAATAGAGTTATACATTTGAAGATGGATAATATTTTTTTGATGTAAATATTGTTCTTTTAGAATATTTAAAGCTTACAACTTATAAAAGGGTCACAGTATCCAAATTCAAAGGAAACACAATGATCAGTTTGCGCGAGTATTTTGATAAAGATGGACAAATGTTGCCAACCAAAAAGGGAATCACATTATCAATGGAGAATTGGGAGAAATTCAAATAATATATCGGGGAGATTGATGAATGCATAAATAAATTAAAAAAATGAATTATGTTTCACGTAGTCCTTAAGTTCCCATCTATCAACAGATAAAGACGTTTGTGCAAGGTCTAGCCCAAAAGCGAAACCAGAAGGTAGTGTTAAATGAGGTTTAATCTCTCATTAATCAATTGGGCATACCTGGTGAATAGTATTTCCTGCTTCAACTCCTGGAAAGCATCGAAATACAGAAGGAGAAGCAATCACTCACTCAGAAAGGGTAATTCCTGGTGTAATGGCTCCAATAAGCCTCATCCAAATCCCACTTTATAGATTACTTCTGTGGTGTGGTTGAAGCAGTGTGTCCTTAATCCTAATCCATCACTGAATATTTGTGTGAATTGTGTAATGCTCTTAAAGTGCCGGCTCTGGTCCAAATGATTATGTGGTTGTCTATCACTTTTTCTTCAAATCAGAATTTCTCTAAAGAAGGCATAAAGATGTTGAAGAAGAAGCTATAGGAGCCATTTTAATAGAAAAATAATTTATAGGTGCCATAGCACGTAACTCACACATTATTGTACCAACTCAGAAACGTCCCTGAATTGTCGGTAAAATATTTAAATAATGTTAGGATCTTGAATAAGAAATTAAAAATTTCAACGAGTACGTATAAAATACAAAATAGGCGGATTTAAAATGTTTGTATGATGATGGCAAAAAGTACATGAAATTGGATCCAGTTAACATAGAAATCCCTAAAATTAATGAATGCATTAAGCCTGTAGACATTCTTAGAGAATTAGGACCTTATACCAGCAATTTGTCTTAAATCTTCACAGAATACACTGATAGTGATATTATGGATTGCTTATTGTATTTGGCTAATAACCAGGGCGAGGATTCTTCTAAAGATGCTCATAAAGATAAAGATGCTACTAAAGATGTTCAATAGTTGTTTAAATCGACATCGAATACCTAATAGCCAGATTGGGACTTATTATCGTCTAATGATGCAAATAAACAACCAGAAGATGATTTTATTAAATTCTTTATCAATGACAACAACAAACGATAGTGGTCTTAAGTATTTGAGAAGTTGGATAGACCCAATTTAGAGTTGTCACTGTCAGGATATAATAATTTAATGGGATTCTTAGGCAAAATTAAGAAATAATAATAACAATTTTAATTGCCCCATAGACTCTTATTGGACAAATGGCATAATAAGAAATCTTAGATCAATTTTCTTACCTGTATGTTAAAAGCAAATAAGCCAGAATAGTTGTTTTGGAATGAAATTTAGCCTAAAAAGCTAGTAGTTATGGAACACAATATTAATTATAAAAATTAATAATAATCGCAATATTGGTAAAATTTAGAGTTTGTTCAAATGCTAATAGAATTGAGTGAGTATGGATACATAGCTGAAATCAGAGACTTTTTTGAATCAGCAATTAAATAGAACCAAGATTTAATAATATTGGCTTTATTCTAAATTTCACCCACTTAAGGTGGAGCATTAATAGATGAATTATTTACATAGCTATTTCCTAATTATGTATCATAACATGCCAATTCTTCACCAGTATTAGAATAGATGTGGAAATTCAATTAGAATTTATTTATTACTGGAATCAGTGAGTTATATAAGAAAGAATATGGGAAGAAAGAAAATTCATGTTTAAATTTATCAAGGGTCTTGGACATAGTTTAACAACTCTTTCAAAATTCCCAGTAAAACAACACATCATTGTTAACAATGGCTAAATTTGATGACTATCAATTTTCAGTTCCTTTGGGTATTTTAGCGGGTAAGAGAGAATACTTGAATTTTGATATTTGGTTGAATGAGAGAATTAAATCTTAAGGTATTCCTTTTGTTAATGTACTCCTACAATACATAGATGAAAATGTTATTCAATAAGTTAAGGAGCATCAAATAAAATCTGGGTTACCAATTGGGTAGTTGGGATAGATGCAAATTTAATAATTAGATTAGATTTTAGATAAGGGACAATTGAAATTAGAGATGATAACAATCATTTTTGAGTAGTTGATGAATCAAGGGGATAAATTGGGAAATAAGATTAAACAAACTACATAATAGTTTTATAAGGAACTTGTTCAAGTCTTTCCTTAATTGGCAGGATAGCCAAATTAAAAAACTAATTAAGAAGTTGAAAGTAAGACAGACAGTTATTTTGAGAGTTACTACAATGAGTAAATCAGTTTGGAAAACTTCTTAAATTAGATGGTGTAATGGAAAACACAGGGAAGTATATAAGAGAAAGAAGTATATGCTTGCATAATAACAAATTTGTATAATGAATATCAGTTTCATTTGAAATACCCTAAGAAGGAATTGGAATTAACAGGATAATTATTTGGAGGAGTATTGGAAAGAGGATTGGTAGAAGGTCAAAGCATTTAGATAGGTTTGAGGATAATTTAAGTGTCATTAAAGAACAACACATAGAGATATGAGTTTGCTGTTAAGGCATTGGAAGTAATGAAAAATAAAATATATGAATGGCCTTGGTTCGCATAAGAAGTTATGGCATGCGAACAATTATCTTTTAAGAATCCAGATCTTTTGGCAGATATAATTAGAGTGTGTGAAAAACATGGAATAAAATCCCCTTTGTAACCTGCTCCACCAATATAGACTGTTTTTCATAAGCCGCTCTAATTGGTAGCTTAGAAAGAGAAGTAAGAAGAGGAACCAATTTAATTGACTTTAAAGAAATCTGAATCAGTCCCTGTTCAATAGACACATCCAGCTCCCATTGTGGTTCCAGCAGTAGTTCAACCCATACAAATTCCTACATAATAACCGTAACCTGTAATAGTACCTCAATAACAACCAGTTACCTAGGTTCAATAACATCAATAAATTCATTTACAATCAGTCACTCCTCCTCCAACCTTATAGAAGTCCTCATAATTACCAGTTTAACATACACCTTAACCTTAAAAATAGAAATCTGAGGATAGCAATACAAACATTAATCTCACCTACAAACAAATATTATAAGTGGAATTCGATGAGTTTTAAAGATGTGGAGCAGATTCAGAAGTCAAGGAGTATTTTACTTTCACTTTGAACAGCATCTCCTAGAATAATGTTGAGTAGAAGGCAGCTGAAATAAGATAGAAATTAGAAAACTAGGATGCTTTGTTCTATTTCATTAAAACAATTGCCTATTTACGTTCTCCAATGGCACAATAATAAGCATAAGGTCCGAATGTAATGTGTTGTCTACTTGCTGCATTGAATAAATCGAAATATTTCTCTGAAGTAGCCAAGGAAGTCAGCATAGGATTAACAAGATTACTGACCTTCAATAAAACCAGTCCTTCTGCAGATGATCGAAGTACCATTAAAAACATGGGTAGTTTCTTGGGTCAAATAACAGTATCCAGAGACAAACCTTTCTTGTTTAAGTATTTTGATTACAAGACATTATTAAAATAAAATCAACTCACTATTTATCCACTTTGTAAAATCTTGGAATAGGTTAAATCTAGTCAAATTTTCACTAAAAATAATAAGTGGGTAAATAGAATCTTATAAGAATTGGATGCTGCTAAAGAAACATGCAATACAATGGCCAAGTATGAAATCATGAATCTACTTAAATCAATCGAATATACGGTCTAACCTATAAATCCAACACCCACTCCTATTACTATACCAAATCCGGTTGTTCCAACGATAACATAACCTATTGTTTAACCAATCATGGATATGGATCCACTTAATAAATTGAATATCAAGAATCTACCTCAATATGTGATGGCTGATTCTAAAAACTTAAATGACAAATTGAATGAGGCTGATTGCAAAAATCTTGTGGCTACAGCCTTAGATCATGCCATATCTGATATCATTCCACCTGTTATTAGCAGAAGTGTTACTATAGCATTAATTACAACTAGAGAACTAGTTTTTAAAGATTTCGCTCTCGAACCAAACGAAAAACACATGTTAAGAGGAATGCATATGATAGCTTCTCATTTATCAGGTAGTTTGGCCATGGTTACTTGCAGAGAACCCTTAAAAGTCAGGATCACCCATTATCTCAAAGAAGGAATTGAATAGATTGATCTTGACAATAAAACCAAAGAAACTTTTGTATAAACTGCTGCATAAGAAAATTTAGATCTAGGATGTGCTCTGATCAGAAAAGCAGTTATAGAAAGAGCATTGGAGGATGTCAATTAAGATCCTTCCATTTTGGAATAATTAGAAAAGAGACAACGATGCAAAGAGAAAGGCTAACAATATAGAGATGAAATCACTTAAAATCAACTAAAATTCTTACCTGAACCATTACAACCAAGAATCTCTGGTTTGACTGAAGAAGAAATTAGAATCTATGAAGAATTTGGTAATAAGAAGAAATAGCCTAAATAATCAGTCTTGCAAAAGGTTTCTACTCTCTGTTAACTACTCTAAGACCCATAGAGCAATGAAGAAAAAATTTAACAATTAATTCAAGATTTAAATGAATAGGATTAATCGAATCCGGAGCAATTTTATAAGGATTTGGCTGATAAATTTTTATAGGTTATCTTAACCAATAACTTGACTTCAGAGAAGATCTCTATCTCCTTGGATTTGATTACTATCCTTATAAGAAAGATAAATGAAAAAGTTGGTAAGAAATGGAGTGAATTGGTTATTGAATTCATTACTAAAAACATCGAACTCTTAGAACATAGTCCATTATGGTGGTAAGCATTCCCTATTATGTTGAATAAAAGATTAATCTAAATGTAGGAGGCTGAATAAGTGATGACTCAAATTCTCACTAAGGACAATCAAATGAATGTTAGTTCCATTGTATTCATACTTAGAAAGGTTATAATTGAAGAAGATAATAATAATAGTGCATATTTGAATTAATTCAAACCTATTTTTAAAGAACTCAGTAAAAAGAAAGACACTAATCCAACAGTCTCTAAATTCTTTATGGAACTTACTAGTTTTGTCTCCAATAACCCTTAAACTAAGGTTTTCTAAAAGAAATTAAATTTAATCAAAGGTTTCTATTAAAAAATTGATGAAGAATTTTCGAATAAATTATCTCTCAAATTGAAACAATGGTACTAATTAAGTTCAGAGGAAGAGTTCAACAACTTTTTTAGAGTTGAAGGAGAAAGCCAATTCTTTGTTGAAGATTAATTGAGTAAGTTCTGTGCATATGCAATTGAATTGAGTATGACTGATGTGAATAAAGATTATATGGATCACTCCTAAATTGAATAATTAGGGAAGATGCTTACAATGATGTCTAAGGGACTTGACCCAAAGATGAAACCTAAATTTTTTGAAAAACTATTTGATGGATGTTTAATGGTACTCACAAAGTTACATGAAGCCACTAAATAGAAATTTAATTAAAGACAATTATTCAAACTGTTTTATAATTTACTTTTTGATTTACAAATTTTGGATGAAGAGAATATTAGATTATTCCATAATAAATTTGCTGAGTTTTTAGAAAAGGTTGAACCAAGTCTGTATCCAGGATTCTCTTATGCTTGGTTAGAATTACTTTGCAATAGATATTTCTAATAGATTATAACTACAAATGAGAATGCCTATGCAAGGTTGATCATTAAATTATTAGAATTTGTGAGGGATACTATTACTGAAGAAACTATCTAATATCATTATGTCTAAGAGTATCTTAAGGGAGTGACAAGATTATTTATGCTTTTGTTGACTGATTAGAGAAAATTCTGCAGTAAGTATGCCTTCAGTTTTGCAGATGAAGTGCCTTTCAATCATGTGTAATTATTAAATTTCAGTTTGGCTGCTTATCCCAATGATCAAACTGATGATCCTCAATCTTGCACCAATATTTATGACATTGCAGATGCTCAATAATTTGGACAAGTTGTTCATGCTTGTTTTGAAGAACCTACCTAAACCAAAATCAAAGAGGAAATCCAATTCATGCTAAATATGAGTGATGAAGACTTGAAAATCAAGGTAAGTAAGTATTTTGATTATGATCAAAAATCTAAGTTACCAACCACCATTTCAGGTTTTTTCCTTTTATTACCAAGACATGAAAATCTCACTATTCAATAGCAAAGAGCTTTATTAACAAGAATAATAAAGCATTCAAGTTTTGCGATTAGAAACAATGTGATAAATGTAATATTGAATTAAATTCGTTATCCTGAAAGGGCTACTGAATTCTATATTCGATACATCCTATCACAATTCATTGTTGGGGACAATTCCTAAATTTAAGAATAATATACGACGTACCATTATTGTTTATTATCAATAGATTGATCACTAAACGTTTCTTATCGGAAAACCCCAAGACTTGGGGAATGCTTTACTTGCATGAGGAATTAAAGAGAACTCAATCTAATAACAACCAATACAAATAGTATTAGATTCAAAGACAATGACTTATTAATAAAATGTTCATTCAATAAAATCACTTTTATTGTAAAATATTAAAGAAATATTCTACTTCTAGTATGCCATCCTCTTACAAATCAGTGCAATGAATAGCATTCTTAACTCTATCGATACCAAATTTAGCTCTTATTGTTTAAGGTCTCAAAGTCCTTGCAATTTCAGGATCATGAGGTCCACATAGATCCCTGAAAGATTTAACCTAAATTTTAATTTATATAATTTACAGCATTCTCCTATCTGATTTCCATAGCAATACAAGGACCAGATGTTAAATGTTCAGACATGGCTTAGAATTCAGGTAAGACACCCTACATAAGATATGGATTAAGATATACTTTATAGACTTCGAAGAATTCCTCACTAGTGGCTCTATCCAAATAGAACATTTGCATAGCTGAAATTTCAAAGCCTTCACTTAAAATGATGTCTATGATTTGTCCAGCTCTTCCTTCCAATATTACATGTGGTTTGATGATCGCACAAGTGCAATTATTGAATACTGCTGTTGATTTTAGATTAGATTTATCAGAGAAAAAGAAATCTAATTCTCTTTGTGCTGATCCAGCTATTCATTATAAATTAATCATCTTACGAGCATCACTGCCATGACAAGCATTCCTGACTCCTTCTGTACCATATAAAGCTCTCATTGAATTTGGTGCTTCCACTCTAGCAACTTAACATTTAGTTGGACCAATAAGATCTCTCCATTTCTTCACACTATTATCGGCTATCAATTCCAAACCCACTATAAAATCACTGCATATGAATTATGTAAGTTCATCAAAGAAGGGTTTGCCCTATTCAAATTTATTAATTATTTACTCTATGTTCTCCATAGAATTGCTGAGCATCACCAATTTACATTCTAGTCATTTTCAAATTACCAATTACGAAACCGTTCTTTTCAACTGCAGTAATTATCTTCCCAATGTGTGTATATGCATCTGGTTTTATCATGCCAAATGTTCTAAATATTAATCTTAACCACTTACTTTCCTCTTTAGACTTCAAATTTCGATCTCGTAAATACATCTGCATAATCTACTATCTTTAATTATCTTGAAAAAACAGTCACAATCGACCCGACATACAAATCCTTCAATTAAACAGAAGGATACTCACATCTTTTAAGAAATATTCTTTTGTTTTTCAAATCAAACTAAATCCATTAATCATTTCTTTACCATCTCTATCGTCTTGTCAGCCATAAAGTATATGAGGTTATAGCTCCTTATCAAAGAAGCACTTGTGTCAAACCATTCTACAATAAACACGTATCTCTCATCGTTGACTGCCATCTGTTAATAATAATATATAAATAAATTATAACTATTTTATCATCAATGTATTTTATTCAGCTTTTTCTACTTTTTCGTTTGATACTTAATAACATTTTTTATGAATCACATTAATACTACATTCTCCTGCAATTAATTAACACTTTTAAAAAACAAATAATAGATAGATTTCTTTATGAAATAAACTTATTGTTATAAATTTCTACATATTTCTTCAGACCATTAAAGAATACAATAGCTAGATAATTGATCTAGAAATTATAAGAAGTAATTTAATTATCTGACTCTTGTTCCAGAAAATAGCACTATTTACAATTTTGAGAAATAAATCATTAAAAAAGCACCTCATTTATAATCCATTTCTAAATTTCTTACCTCCAAATTTAGCCATCATTAAATATATCATCAAACTGTATCATTTTAAAGAATGAGGTATTATCTAAATTGAAATAATAAGAATTAAATTGTGTTATGTTATCTTAATACTTTCATATGTCTATCGTTGAACTCTCTTTACTTTCTAATTAGGTTCAGAATAGATTTATTATACCGATTAAATTACTAAAATAATGTATCCATCATTAAATTAGCAAATCAAAAATCAAAAAAAAACATAAAATAAAAAAAGCCCCCTGACGGGGTCGAACCGTCGATCTTCTCCTTACTAGGGAGATGCCTTAACCACTTGGCCAAGAGGGCAACCTATTCATTTGCTATGTGAGCTTCTATAAATTCCCATCAAATAATTAAAGGCTTCTATATTTGCTAAATATACATTTTCAAACCTTCATTTATTTTTATTTTTTATTATAAATATCTATTATTTACAAGTTCTCTAATTATTTTATTATGGATTATATTATACTTGAGAAAGTCTAAATAATTATTTTCGAACTTAAATTAATTTTAGATATTTATAATTTAATAAATTTATATTGAATAATAAGTATCATCAATTGATCTTTTTCTCATAGATGCTTCTCTTTAATCAAAGTTAAATATGTATAATATATTTTGCTTGGATAATCTTGTGGGAAAAATTTCGGTTATCATGTAATTCTTATATTTTTTCAAAATTAATATTTCTTTGATTTAATTATTTTAAATTATTTATGAATAATTAATATTAGATATTAATTCTTGTAATTGAGGAACTTTAACCACAATGAACCAAAAATACAGAGGTATGGCCTTATATATATGATTATTCTAAGATGTCATATAAAAAGAGATCAATCTTCCATTTGTTAACTTACTATGTAAAAGAAGTAATTAAACTGTAAATTTTTGGCAATCTTGTACTTCAAATAAGTATTAAAAAGTATTTAATACATTTTATCTAAAAATAGTATTGAGTTTTAAGTGTTTTTCTCAAATATTTCTCTATATAATCAAACCCCAAAAATTATTTTAATTGAAAATTTTCATAACATTATGAATATTATTTTGTAAATTTACGGAATCAAACAAGAGCTAGAAGCCGACCAAACTAATTAATTAGCGCTATGAATACTATTACTATTGAAATAGTAAAATTTATTAAGTGCTTGCGAGTATAATTTTTAATAATGACGATCAAATTTGAAATATTACTATCAATCATTATTTCAACAATAAACAGGCTTAATCAAGAAAAAATGGTTCTAAAGCCTTAGATGTGCTTATATTAATTTATCATAATAACATTGATGAAAAAGATGATATCAAAAGGTTCAGAGTTATTTATAAAAATAAATATTATATCGGTCTCATCTATATTAGATTAAACTATATTAATATTTGTAGTTAGATGTCATAAATAATAATTAAAGTCAATATCTAAAAAGTATATTTAATTTTAATAAATCTATTCGGTATATCGCTAGAATATATGAAAATCTAAATAATTTATTATGATTAAAAAAAAAAATATTAATCATCATTCATTAAAGAATTAATTAAAAAGCCTAGTGTTGATTTAATAAAATTTGTTTGGCTTCTTTAATTTGTTGAGAGATTAATTTATTTTCTTTAATTTATTGTCTATCAAAATTATATTAGTTTTTAGAGTGAGTAATTTAGTTTTCTTTGATATTAAAACTTTAACGTGGCTCGTTAACTAATTATTATTAAATTTAAGTTAAAGATTTGCAATTTAATGAAGATTAAATTGTTCTTACCTTTTTTAAAAGACTATTTGATAATGTATTAAGACTATAATTTATATTGGCTTACTGGCACTCCTGATCATCATGATAAATCTCAGAAGGAATATCCTTAAAATTATATTAATTCAAAGGAAAATGACCACCCTGCATAATCTCAATATGCAAAAAGTCAGATCCTAATTACAAGTCTATTTGGCCAGTTTATTTGCAAACTTATACCATTGATATTGATCTCTTAAGGAAAAATTTTCGATTTCTTTTTTCTTTTTTCTTCAAATTTTCCTCATTAATAGAGCTATTTTCTATATTTTAAACTAGCGAATTGTGGCTGTATTTTTATTTTTAGAGATTTTCTTTATCCTTCACTATTTCAGAGCCTGATGTATTCATTGAAATGTTATTTAATTAATCTAATACAAATTTATAAAGATTTAAATTTTTAAAGTCTTCATTTATGAAATCATTAATAATAAAACAATAGTCATTTAATTTAGATGATGTAAAGAATTTTATATTATGAGAAGGGTTAATAAATAATTTCTAAATTTTTAAACCGTATATCACACTTACTAATTATCACCATTTTCTTTAGAATTAATTTTTAAAAAATTGATTAAAATAAAATACTTGATAATATTGAAGAATAGAACAAATTAGAAAAAAATTGAATCTAAAATTTTTCGGTTTTTGTACAAATCCTAAAAATTATTTAAAAAAAATTTATCAAATATTTCAATCATCTAAGCATTTTCAAATATTGATTATTTAACACTTTTTTTATGTTAACTAATTATTCATCCAAACTAAGTTTTTTACTAATATTATGTTCACTCATAGTATTTTTGATTTCTGAATATATTTATTAAGACAGAATGTTAAATATCTGGTTATTCAAAGCATTTATGTTCCTCTCTTTCTTATTAATTAGAAAAGTATTATTTTATTCAAACAACTTAATTTCTCCTGTGACAACATCAATAACAATATTTTAACATTTACATATTTATCTTTTTTTTCTTTATTTCGAAAAGAAATTATTGACATCTCTTTGATAATTTCTAAAAATATGCTTAGCTGTAGAATACTTCAATTTGTGAAGCTTAGCTGCCTAATTTAATTATGGATGAAAACAACCTAATAAACAGTCAAATGATCCTTGTTCACACTATGAATCAAATTGAATTTGACTTGCTAATCAATATTTAATCTTTTTCTTTAGAAAGGTTTCTGAGAATTCTCCACTTTCTCTTAAATTTTAATCATCTTTTAATAATGAATAATTAAGATTTTAATAAATATGTCTAATTAATTTATGTTATCACGTAATTAGTTTTGATTAAAAAATAGTATAATTAATATAAATTCGTTTAGAAAAAAGTCAACAAAAAATGTATTTTTATCTCAACTTTCCTGAATTAAGTTTATTTTTCTAAATTGCTTTAATCATAAGTAAATTCAAATTCTAAAAATATAACTTTTGCAGAATTATCTTTTCTTAATTTATCGCAGAAGCAAAGCCAATTAGCTGTTGACAGGTGATGATAAATACCTAAAATATATATTTGGACATATATACATGAAATTAGAGGAAAATATGAGGGCAAAAAAAGAAGTAATTGTAGAGGTGAATAACTTTTTTATAAGTATCAATAGGAAAAGTTAAATATGATGATCCATTTTATCTTGAGAAACCTTAATTTTTAATTCTAATTATGTTGGCAATTAATTCGCAATTCCACATTTTGGAAAGTGTCTTAATAATCCAGTATTGAAAATTTAATGAAAGTTAACTTTGTGGAAATGGGTTGTATGATTATTTAATTGTTGTAACTTTACCTAAAAAACTCTGAATAGTAACTCAATAGGTTTTAGTTGGTTAATATATATTTATTTTTAATATTTATACTTTTTTCAAATATTTTAGATGTAAATTAAAATTTATAGATGAACTATTATGAATCAATTTTTAGTAGAAATAGAGTTAAATTTCTTAAGTGTCTTTGAAATCTAGTTAAAAATTCTTTATTAAATAAAGCAACATTTATAATTCATTTTATTTTATTTTTCAATAAATGGACTTAAGATGGTTATAGGATGACGATAACTTAGCAAGTATTTAAGTTCTTTATTATTGATAAGCTGCAGATTAATGCGACCATTTTAATGCATCTTTCATTAGTTCTCCAAATAGATCATAAATAGGAAAAACAATAAAAAATTAATACACTGCAGTTGAATTCACCGACACTTTGGGGAAGATATTTTAAGTAATTGATTATATTAATACATAGGCTATAAAGGAGAAAAATTTGAAACAAGTTTAAAACTTAGTGAATACACATCAACAAAGATCAAACAATTTGGGAGGAGATCCAGAATTTAGATGGGACATCATTAATGATTTAAGTCTAAATTGGTCTCCTCTTCATCATTCCATTTATTTGGGTTGCGAATAAATATTTATGTGGTTTTTAAGCCTAGGAGGTGATATTACATCGATTACTTACGATGGCTATTCTGCTTTAACTTTGGCTGTTTTATCAAAAAGTGAATTAATGGTCAATCTATTGATTGCATAACCAAACCTAAATGTTAACCATGTATCACGGAAAGGATCAGCTTTGCATATTGCAGCATAATCAAATCAAATTGCCATTTTGGAATTACTGTTGCAACACCCCAACATCAATTTGAATATATACAATGATCAATTACAATAACCTATCGATTTAGCAACAGGAAAGGCTAAAAAGTTGCTATAAAAAGAAATATAATAACGTACGGATGTATATTAGGAATAATCAAAATCCTAAATATCAATAAAGAGTTTAGACAATTGTCAAATAAATACAATAGATGTAAATTACTTAAATTATTATCCAGACATTCCTTATCAACAGACCAAAGAAGCCGCCTGTTTACAAAGGATACGTTGAGAAGTTGCACTTTTCCCACTTATATTCCTATTAAAGATATATAGTTGTAGATCCGGAGTGTGGAACTTTGGTGAGATTCCAAAATAAAGAAAACTGCCCTTTAAATCCCAAAGAGACAATACCACTTTAAAATATATATAATCTGTAGATAATTGTTAAAGATAGAACATTTGGTAACTATTCAATTTAATTGTTGATTGAATACAATGAAAAAAAAATATATTTTCTTTTTTAAACTAAATAAACTGCATAAATGTGGTATGATTCAATCAAAACAGCAGCAGGATATTCAAAATATGTGAAATATAAGATAGATTAATACTGTTAAAAAAATGAAGGATAAAAGGTATTTAATCAAGTCAATAGCTTATTATTGGATATGAATAATTAGTCAATAGAGATTGATTAATAAATTAATGAAGAGTAATAAAAGGAACAGAATATTGAAGTAAAGAAAAAATAAAAAAAACAGTTGTTCGATAATCTTAAATTCTCAGATTTTTTTATTTTGGAAATTCTTTAGAAAGGGTCCTTTGGCACAATTTATAAGGCTAAATATTTCAAAGATGAAAAGATGTATGTTTTAAAGTAATAAAACAAAGATTAACTCAGAAAGTTTTCTTAACTTGATTATGCAATCAATGAAGTAAAACTCTTAAGAAAGATAAATCATCCCTTTATTATTAGTGTAAATGGGTTATTTTAAACTAAACAAAATTTGTATTATTAAATGAAATATTATGAAAAAGGAGACCTGTCTGAATATATAGGATAGGGTTGTGTTTTATCTGAGAATGTATCTAAGATTTTGGTCGCATAAGTAATATTAGCAATTGAATACTTACATTCAATCAATATCATATATAGAGACCTGAAGCCGATGAATATCTTAGTAAGTAAAAATGGGTTCTTAAAGTTGGCTGATTTGGGATTGGCTAAGGAAATTATAAATGATAGGGTTGCCTTATCATTTTGTGGATCTCCTGCTTATTTGGCCCCTGAAATCATAAAAGGTGATGGTGCAACCTAGTCTGTTGATGTATATGGAATAGGAGTCTTGCTATATGAAATGTTGAGTGGATATCCTCCTCATTACGTAAAAAATATAGACTTAATGCTGGAGAGAATTTAATATTGTCCTATTGATTATGATAGAATAAAATCAAAAATGGCAGTCAAAATCTTGAAGGAACTGCTTTAGCGAGATTAGACGCAGCGTCCAAATTTGGCAGAGATAAAGAATCATATATTTTTTGCTGATATTTGTTGGAATAAACTACTGACTAAAAGTATGCTTCTTCCGAAATTGATAAAGAGAAACAAGGAGTAAATTATTAATTAACAAAAATTTTCAGAAGCAATTATTGATGAAGACTATTTGGATGAGGAGGAGAAGCTCAATTATATTGAGAATTGGAGTATGTCATGAATGTAAATTTGCTTTAATATACATAAATCTATGAAATCATTAAACTTCTTCAAATTAGTCAAGGTTAACATCAGAGTCTTCAGTGACAAACCCATCACTATTTTGTTATTCATCCCCTCTATCAAATATATTTTCAATTTCATCAACTTAGGTTTCTAGTTTGCTAAGCATTTTTTCTTTTTTTTATTATTTTTTTGAAGCAAAATCCTTTTCCTTTTTAATTTCCAATTTCTTTTCCAATCTAACCTTAGCCTATGTTACATAACCTGTATCCTTCCATAATTAAGCTCCTTATATGCAACCTTCAAGAATAATGATGGGTTTTAAAACAAGTCTAGGTCCAATTTCGACAAGTTAATTTTTGACAATTTCCTTTCCAGCCTTTTCATATTGGATTTCGTAATTTCTAATCCAAATATTATTATTTTCTGGGCTTTCCTTTATAAAAGAGAAGACTCTATCGCAACAAGGAGCACTTTTTGGATGATGTTTGGGCACGTTAATGGCATGGATAAAAAGTTCCTTTTATAAAATCATTAAAGGGTCTTCAGTGAATGACCCGTCAAATGAGAGAATTGGTCGACTTCCTTTCATGCAATTTCCAGTTAGTTTCAAATCTTAGCAATTATGCCCTTATAATATGAATATTGTAATTTACAGTTTTCAATATAGTATTTGATGGAAGGACCATTGGGAAATCTTCCAATCCATAGATACAATTCATGTTTTCTATGCACTTCAAAATAAATGAAACTTCTGCATGAATGTTGCATGCATAATTCTTTAATTTATTTAGATGTATCTCCTTTTTCAAGTTTAGTTTCTTTTTTAGAATGAGGAAGTAATTCATGTAAATCCATAAACAACTATCTGATTCGATCAGAAATGTTTTTGGATGTGACTATCAATGTTCTTTATTTATTCACCCATTTGGTTTCTTTTTGATTTGGGAATATATTGTCAATGTCCATTAATATAAATTTAATTGTATTAATAATATTTGTTTGATGCATATTATAATATGTTTGTCAATTCATTAAACTGAATCTATCCATCATTTCAATGAATTCGTTGTAATCAATCTAAAATAATGAAATAATTAATAACTTCTCCATCTCCATTTTTATCAGCCTCTTTAATCATATCATCCCAATACTTCTCATTTATTATCTTTTCGGCCTCTAAATTTATCAATCAATAAGATATACTTCCAAGAACTTATTGCAATTCTTTTTTATCGATCTTGCCACTCCCATCCAAATCCAACATCTTAAAGGCCTGATATAATTTCTCCTCCTTCATATACAACTATTTCTCCATAGTAGCAGCCAAGAATTCTAAATAGACGATTCATAGAATACCTGTGTAATTGATATTGCCATTTCCATCAGTGTCAATGCTTTTGATAATGTTTGCCAATTCCTTTGATTAATCGTCACTCATCCCTGTCAAACCTTCTCTGATTTCTTCAATGGTCAAGACTCCATCCCCATTTTTATCTAGTTGTTTAAACAATCTATATGATTTGACATAAATAATTACTTTCCCAAGTGAGAAATTTCCTATTCATTTAATTATGAAGCAATAAATGTCAAAGCTACTTTCTTCAACTTGTTGCTTCCAGTGAAATTTTTTAATGCTCCGTAATTTAATTTCAATTCTTTGTTTGGCTTGTTCTTCTCCTTCATCCATTTATGTTGCAACACTTGTGAGGCCTTGAATCTTTTGTCGGGGGTTGTGATCATATTTGCAATCAAATCTTTTGCACCGTCACTAACAAATTTAAATTCTGGAATATCTGTTGTATAAACTCCCTTTTAAACAGATTCTAAGATCTCTGGATCGGTATCCCCATAAAATGGAGGGACACCAGATAATAAAATATATAATATCACACCAGCCGACCAGATGTCACACAATTCATCATAATTACCCTTCAGAACTTCAGGTGATATGTAATATGGAGTTCCTGCCTTGGTCTTCATTGATACTTTCTAAGCCCCAGGTTTTGTTTGGCCATCTTCAAATAAAATACTTAACCCAAAATCAATAACCTTGAGTGGAGAGTCGTCTGCTTTGGTCAGGAATAAAAAGTTCTCAGGTTTCAAGTCTCGATGACAGATACCATTTGAATGGCAATAATTTAAAGCCTAAAAATCACAAATCCACATACTTGTATTATTTGCAGAAATATAGCATGAGCTTCAGCCTCATTAAAATACCCTTTATCCATAATCCTGTCGAATAATTCACCACCCTCACATAACCTATTTCATTACACATATTTTTACTCTGTCACTAAATATACATTTCTCTGATCTTCATAAGTTTCATACAATTTTATGATGTTGGGATGGTCCATGGCTCTGAGAATATCGATTTCCCTTTTGAATCGCTCTGGATTCTTCACCTTGCTCTTTGGAATCACCTTAACTGCACGTTATTGTTTCGTGCCCTTTAATACCGCCTTTACAACGCTTCCATACGTTCCAGACCCAATCACCTTCATCATCAACCAATAGAATTACCTTCTTGAGGTTAATATCATAATATTATTCAATCTTCCCCTCACAAGACTTAATGAACCACTGCTTTTTTAAAAATATGTCTTCTTGATTCATGTTTTAATAATATAATTACAAATTTAACTACTAATACAATAATTTGGTATTAATAATGTCATTCAAGTATTTATATACTCAATCGATTTCACTCTACCAATATTTTAAAAGCCTATCTTATATTTTGATTATATTTTAGCAATCACTATTGGGAATTTATGTTTTATCTATTCCAAAATAATACAAACATTCTTATGATCTGATAATCATCTAAAATGAGAGCTTATTAACCTTACATTCAGAATTATTAATAAAATATATATATATTTTTTAACTTTGATCTCACATCCACATCTGATCGTAAATCTTAGAAATCCAATATAATATTATAACTTCGTCACATTTAAATCAGACATGTATCACTTCCAAGTGTTTTATTGATAAAAATTATTTTCATTTTATAATTAACTTCTTATTAGAATACCTGAAAATTAGTATTTATAAAATCAAACCGTGCACTTATATTTGTATACAATAAATCTTGCAATTTAATGAATTTCAAATTGCTCGTGGTGTTACTATATCACTAATAAAAGCTATTATTATTATATTAGTTTTTTTAACTACAATTGAGAAATATTATTTTTATTTTATAAATGAATTCTTAAATAATAGTATTTATACTATTATAAATTGCTTTTTTGGTTAATTGCCTTATTTATGAACCAGATCAACTTATTTTTACATCAGCTTATGATGAAGATTAATTTAAAGATGTTTGGGATATAAGTTTAAATAGAAATCAAGACTTTGACGATGTGCAAACCTATGCTTATGGATTCTGGTTAAAATACTCATTTGTTTATCCAAAATACTTGGAATAACAAAAGGATTGGCATTCAATAAGTAGATTAACTGCTCGATAGAATCACACTGATTATTAACATCCTTTAGATAGAGCTTTGTCAGTCTGGCTGAGTAAGGATTTTTATCACTTCACTACTTACACCACTGAATACCCAGAGAAGTTTTATAATGCTAAATATGAGAGGGAATAATTAGATGGTAAATGGACTTTTGTTTACTTTGGATACTCCTATTAAGAATGTATAGAAATATAATAAACTAGTTTTGGCTAGAGGATATATATTGTTTGATGATGATAAATTTGAAGAAGCACTCATTCCAGCAAAACATTATAGATTGGACTTCCTCAGATTTTTAATTAAACGAGAATTTAATAATTATGCCTTCAATGGGTTCTATTGCAATATATTCCTTTTAATCAATGAGCAATATCCTATTACAGCAGAAGAATTGAAAATTTATGCGTATGAGTAATATCCGTTATTGTTCAATTTAAATGAAATATTTTAATAATAAACATTATTAGAACATCAGGAAGAGACATTTTATGATAAACAAATATTTAAATAGTTTGAGTTTTCAGAGATTGATCCATTATAGTACTCAATTTCAGGATGGTTGAAATTTAATACTCCAATTGAATTTAAAGATCATAATTTAGTTCTGCGATTAAGCCATTCCAAAAAACTCAACTAAGGAATTTTTGATAAAATCTTTTATTTAATTTCAAACGATCAAGGATACGAATTTGAAAGCTATAATTGCATAGACAATTGTAAAATAATCAATTGGAATATACCAACTGAGAATTAAGAGAAACAATGGCATTTTGTGTATATTGCATACGATGCAAATCGAAATAAGATTTTTCAATTTTGGAAATTCGAGGAGAAGGCTTTTGTAATCCATCATGAGTAAATTCATCATTTTTAACTCCATGGAATTTATGTTAATTTATAAAAGGATGAATATGATCCTGGTTTTAATGGATATCTAAAAAGGTGGACATTTAATTACGGTGCTGGTGCATATCAAGAGAGTGGTTTTGAGGATGACTAAATACTTCAAGCATAATTAGGATTGATAGATTTTAATTCTCTAAATAAGACTGAGACTTGGAAATTTTAGCAAAGCAATTTGAATATAGATATCAATTTGAATTAGGATTTGTAAGAAAATGAGATTGATCCTTCTCATTTCCAAACCAATTCCTTTGAATATGGTTATGGATTCTGGATGAGATTTCTTTACAATTGTCCATCAAAAATTGATAGTCTCACTAATTAAACTTTAGGATTGTCAAGATTCGGAACCACTTAGCAGTATAAATAAAATAATAATCTGGGAGAGAGTACTCTTTCAGTTTATATATAAAATAATCGAATATAATTTGAATCTTATAGTGTCCTAGATAAACAATAAAAGTAGTTTTACATCAATACTCATTTAGATAATGAATGGCTGTATTTATATACAGGATATAAGAGAATCTATAAAGAACAAGGTGTTTTTCTTGGTTGTATATACAATATTAAGGGAGTTAATAAATGCACAAATAGTTAAAATGATATTGTGCATTATTTAATTGACAATTATCTATTCTTTTCTATTGGTTCCATCGGATCAAGATTTTAAGATATCAAACACTTTAACGGAGATATTTAAGATGCAAACCTATACTTTGGTAAAGATAGTATTATACCGAAATTTAACAAATAAAAGACATTTCCAGAGAACATTGCATCTAATAATTGGATTTTTAAGTAGGTTGAATAGTTCTCTAATGATCGACTTGATAAAATGCCTTCTGAATATAAATTAAATGATGTTGTCTCAGAATATGGAGTTTAATTATGGTTTAAAAGCATTGGGAAAACAAATAATGAGTTTTAGTTTATATTTTTGTTGTCAACTAATGAGTATAGAGATTAGGTTTCAAAGCCAGGAGATATTACTTTGGGAGTGAAGATGGATTAAAATAACAATTTATATTTTTTGAGCTATTCATTCGATAAAGATGATTACTTGTAATAACAAGAGAAGAAAATAGAAATAGAAAATGAATAAGATAAAAAATAATGGACCTATATATACTTTGGACACAAGAAACATGTTTGTCTTTATTTCATATAAACAAAAACTAAAAGAGTTAAAAATTCATTTGAATGTTTCCATCATGCCTCTAAATATTTCCTTGTTTATAAGGGGTTTGATGGAAAAGAAAATGATTTATAAGGAGACATTGACTATTTTAAAGTTGATTTTGGGTTAGGATCATTTCAATCACAATTCCATCATCTAACAGAAGCATTTAAACAAGGATTGAAACTCTTTCCAACTTCCTTTGAGTGGAAAGGCCAATTTAATAAAATTATTAATGTACCATCAATTAAATCTGGATTCCAATAAGTATTTGCTTCGAATTCAAAAATAAGTATGGATGGCTAAAGAAATTATGGATATGGATTTTGGTCAAGATATTTAAGAGAATTCCCAGAATTAGTAAAATAGGAAGATAAGGAGTAATACATCTCAATTTCAAATTTATATTGTATACAGGCTCAAAACAAGGAACTTGAAATTATCTCCTTATATTTGAGCTAAGATAAAAAGTAATATAAGGTGAAGACTTATGATTTAAATACACACAAGTATCAAATTGGGACATTCCAATTATTGAATTAATAAGAGAATGTTTGGAACTATGTTTATTTAAGTTATAATGCAGATAAATAGTAAGTGGTTGGATTTATTCATCACTATAAAGAAAATAGAGTAATAAGGGTGATTCTTAAGGACATTTCTCATAAGAGCATAAATGGGAAAGCCAACTTCAATTTAGGAAGATTTGTAAATATTGATATTTATTAATTAGTTGAATTATGAAGGGTTTAATGGTCAGATCAGTAATCTTATAATCAGATTTGATGGGAATGCTGTTGTAGATAATATTCAATAATTCTAAAGTTTGGTTGATTCATCAAAATAAATAGAGTCTAATGAAAAGTTACAAGTGTTTAAATTCATCACTCTGAAAGAAGAATCTTAGTTTAGTTAACATAATGTAGGATTAAAAGAAAATTATTTTCCTGAAGAATACTCAGTTTATGGCTGGTTTAGACCTAATCCTAGTGAATTAAACAAATAATTAATTTAAGATAATGTCATAAAGGAGTAATATGAGTTTGAATAAATTGTATTACAATTAAGTTCTTGTTTAGAATAAAATGAGGAATAAAGGTTTCGTTTTTAAATTAGAATATCTTAAAATGGATATTAATTTGTTACTTATTCCATAAATGAAGAATCACCTGCTATTTCTTGGATCCAAAATATTCTATTGGATGCTAACTTTGGTACTTGGTGTTACTTTTGGATGGGTTATTCCTAAAAACTATAATAAGTTAATGTGTACTTCAAGATAATAGATTCGGTTGAAACTAAGGTTTTCAATTATATTCAACATCATTTGACAAATAAATTTATTCTGCTTTTAAGTTCTTAAGTGTAAGATCATGCCTTTGATGGAGATCTGGCTTAAATAGGAATGGAAGTTGGAAGTGGATCATTTAAGGATAAAGCCAATCTCCCAGAATTTGAACTCAAATTAATCTAGAAAGCATATCAATTCAAAGACTATGAAGGTGATTTCGATAAACTAAATAGACTCAATTTAATATAAGGTAAGAATGATCTAATTGGATCTACCTAATATACTGTTTAGTTGTGGACTAGATGGCTTAATGAAATATCTGATGATTCTTTTCTAGATCAAAATAGTGTGTTTAGATTTTCCAGAAATTAATAATATGAGAATTGCGATGAGAAGGGGGATAGAACTTTAATGGTTATTATTACTACAAAATCTTATGAATTTCTAACATATAATGTGGTAAGTGATTAATGCAGTGAAAGTAAAGAAATATCCTATTAGCAATTATTTGAAGGGTAATGGAATTTAATTTATTTTTCATATTCTAATACCTAAGATTTTATAGGAGCAAAAGGTTTTGTGTATTTCTCAAAAACTGGATAGTCTAAAGAATTAGAATTCAATGTTGAACATCTGCCATTAACCAGTTAAGCTGTACTTACAGTAGGTTAAAGGGAATTTACTTATGGTAAGTTTTTTGGATAAATGCATGACATTTAAGTGAAGATTGGCTATGGGTTTGAGGAAGACATTACAAGCATCCTAGAGACTACTACTATACCTGATTTGGAGACTAACCAATTTAACAAACATAATTTAGTTTAAGTTGAAAGCAGAATTGATCAGGTTGTCAATAAGAAATTCAAATCAAATCTAAATTTAGAAAGACAATATTCCTTATATGGATGGTTTAAATATGATGGCATTACTGAATATGGCTAATTCTCTATTTTAGCAAGAGTTAGTACAGAGCCTTTGTTATCAAAAAAACTATCAGATCAAACATTCTTGATACTGGTTAATCAACATACTATTTAATTTAAATCTTATAATTTATTACCACAATATAGTACATGTGATGAGACATTTGAAGTTATAAAGAATTATGACTTTGTCCAACAAGAGAAATAATAATGGATATTTTTTTATATTGGATACAATTTTGATTCAAATTCATTGCAAATATATTTGAAATACAATGAAGATTTACATGATCAATAAGAATTACTGCAAAACATATATCATTACTTGCCCTTGTAGTTTTATGTTTTCATAGGAGAGGATGATATTTATTCAAAATATTCAGGTTTAATAGATGATATTAATTTATTAACTGGATAATCAAGCTATATCGATTCAAATATCTATTAGCAATTTGGTTCTCTTAATTAAAAGTATATTGAAAATGTTTTGAAATGATATCTAAAATATGAATAGCAATATATATATATATATAAATATTTTGATGTCAAATGAGTATAAGAGGTCTAAAAGTCTTTTTGATGGATTCAAACTTTTACTGCAACATTTCCAACTCAGGAGAGGTCTCAATCCTATCAGTCTATTGAGGTTTCTTGCTCTGATACTCAACTTGAAAAATGAATGATAATTTACTTTTCTTAAAATAAGGGTGATAAACAATTATCCCTTCATTTGTTGTCTAAACCCTCTGTATTTAGGAATCATTTTATCTTTTTACTTATTCTGGATTCTAACTAAGATTAGTCAATAGGTTTTGAATCAATGACATAATCTAATTTAATTCATAAGGGATACTCCTTCTTCTGTTTATTCCTTTTTTTATTTTTTTAAAGCTGGCTTTTTGGGTTTTAGAACACAGAATTGAATTTAGAGATCAAAAGTTTATCCATTATCATGTGGATAGATGCAGTCTACCCAATCAGTCGTGAACCCATATTCATACACTAAAACATTGTCGTATGACTTACCTTTCTTTTATTCTTATATTTTCTTTTGTGAATACTTCTCCTACTTTTAATCTGATTTCTTGCTTGATGGTTTTTATTCTTTGATTTCCTATAACATTTCTTTAAAGTTCTCCGTCATTTTCTTTTGCCTTGATGACTTGCGAACTATAGATTTCTATTTGTAAAATACCTTGGTTAGGCTCTTCTTGCTTTGAACTCATTGACTTCAATTTTTATTATTAATCAACTCAATCAAAAACTAACTTAAATAGTTATTCTAGTATAAATAACGAAATCTTATAAAACGATATTTAATAACACATTTCAATTTATCAATCACTATAATAAAGGGGATCTTCATTTTTAATTGAGAAAATACCTGATATAAATTATATTTTGTAATCTATCATTATGATCTATTCAAAGTTTGAATCTCTAAGATGTATAACAAATACAATCCTGCAAAACTTTCTTAGGCTTAAATTAAATTAAATTTTTATTTCTAATTCTGAAGAATTCTTTTCATACTTTTTATAATATTCTAAACAATTGAATAGTTAATAGTCGATATTTGTTACAATTTAGCTTATTATTTATGATTAGATGAACAGTTAAAATTAGGTAGGGATAATAATATAATGTAAATTATTAAAAGAAATATAGAATGAAAAATTAAGTTTTCACAAGATATTTTCGATTAAAAATCCTAAATTAAATCAGACTGATCTTTATAATATAGTATTCATTTTATAAAAATAAGCACTTCATGATTTTTCCTCAAATTTTATTAATTATTAAGATCTAGGATTGCTGAAATATTAATTTGTTAAATATTGATTTATATTTTTCTGATGAAATGTGAAATGCTTTGATTTCAATTAATCTGCACTAAAATGAAAATTTTGTTAATTTTCAAAATGTCTGCATTAATATTTTATAAAACGTTAACATTTCATCAGTAAGAATATTCTGATAATTTTTGACGAAACTCTTTAAATAATCAAGATTACAAGATCTGACAGACAAATTTGGAGATGAAATTATATACTTTGATTAAGACTATTTCTAACTATATTTTATTAATAGTATGATAAGTTTCTTCAGAATTTAAATGTTTTAAAATATTAATATATATTTATAGAATTTCATCAGTTTTTGTTCTTTTATTATGATGAATATTGTCTTCTGATCTCAAATTGGTGTCTCAAGATAAATCAAGACATATTTTAAATATGACTTAAGATACAAGTAAATTGCAAAGACTAATTCAAATAAACTTATTTATTTCAAGTGAAATTAGTATTCAATTAATATTTTAAATATCTCCCTTTCAGATTCTATTTAATTAACCTCATGAACTAACTAACAACCATCTATATCAGTGTTGCTATACTAATAACTAAGGCCAACAATTTAATTGAGGTAAGCATGATTCGTAGAAATCAATAAGAATAAGGGGACAATTCATAGTAAAACAAATGTTAACCGAATTAGATAAAGATAGATGAAATTTGTTAGAGTACAAGTATTATTTTTAATTAGATTGCCATTTTAGTTGTAGATAATGTTTTGGTTTGGGACAGAACAAATGCACTTCTTGCAATAGTATTTCCAATAGAATATTATGGAATGATTAATGCATTTGCAGGAGATAGTACTATGAAGATGAACAATAATCAGTTTGTTAAGGTAAATTTATTAAAGAAATTCAGAATGCCATAAATCATGTTAAAGTTGTTTGGGATCAACTGGTAATGACTGTTTAAGTTGCTATGATGATTATGAATTACTTAATGGGAACTGTGTATGTAAGTTAGGTTACTTTTATGATTATAACAATATGGAATGCAGATGTATTAAATTATAATAAAATTAGAATGTCACTTTAGTTGCGAAATTTGCAATGACTTTGAAACTGATAATTGTTTAAAATGTCCATTTGATTCCTAAAGATTATTAATAGATAATAAATGCTAGTGTCCAGAAGGTTACTATGAAGTAGAAGGTAATCCGATTTGTAAAAGTAATTAATTAAATTATGAAAGAATGCCATATCAAATGTAAGACTTGTAGTGGATATGAGAATTGCTTAAGTTGTTCAAGTGAAAAGCTACTAGTAAATAATGATTGCGTTTGTTAACCGAATTTCTTTTTATATAAATCTAATATCATTTACACTTGCAAACGTAATAAATATTATTAATTTTTAGCTTGTAGTAATGAATGTTTAACTTGTTTTGGATAATTAGGTTTTGAATGTCTAAGTTGTGTTGCTCAAAGCACTTTATCACCAAATAACACTTGTTCATGTAATTTAGGTTATTTTTTGATAAATGGTCAATGTTAAATCTGTAATTCGAATTGTCGAACTTGTGCCTATAGCAGTACTTATTGTTTGAGTTGTTCAACTAATTACGTTGTATAAACTAATAATATTTGCTGTCACCACTCAAATATCTTAGTTAACAACCAATGTGGTTGTACTAGTTCTTATTACATGGATTCAAATGGAATTTGTTAATGTAATAATTAATACTAATTATTTGAGAATGTGCATCTTCATGTTCAACTTGTAACAGTACCTCTTGCACTGAATGTCCAAATAAGCTTAATTTTGGACCATCTTGTTCCACAACAGCCTCTTTGCCATAATATTGTACATCTTTTGATATCAATGGAATTTGTGCCTAATGTTAAACTAATTTTACCTAAAATTCTGAAAAAGTTTGTTAAATGCAATCTGCCGTAATTTGTTCTATCTGGGAGTTCTTGTCTAAAGTAAGAAACTAGCAATATCTATTTAGGTTGTTAATCGTTTAGAAGTAATTGTTAAACCTGCGATAATTCAGGATGTACGCTTTGTAATTCTCAATATTATTTATCATCAGGAAATTGCTACCCCTGTCATTAAAGTTGTATGACTTGTCTTAATAGTGATGTTAATTCTTGTTATCTATGCAAAAGTAATACCTATTAAAATACAAGTGGTTCGATATTTGGTTGTTCATGTATTCAACATTTCTACATGGATACTAATTATAATTGTCTATTGTGTGATCCTACTTGTGAATAATGTTGGACATCGAGCACTTCATGCACATCCTGCAACTTCACCAGTTACAAGAGAGTTTACAATAATGGTAGTTGTGTTTGTGATACTGGATATTCAGATCTCGGGACTGTCTAATGTTATAAACCTTGGTTGTGGATATGGATGTGCAGATTGTGTTTCTGGAACTTGCAATTTCCTGTATGGGAAATGAGACATTCAGAAAGAATGACCCTCTGACTAATTGTCCTTGTTTGGATGGTTATTATGATAACAATTAAAGAATTTGTTAATGTACATTTGTAATATAAAGATTTAGAATGTCCATCTATGTGTTCTACATGCTAACTTAATACAACTCTTCATATCCCAGTATGCATACAGTGCTAAATTCATCGAGATCTAAATAACTCCTGTAAATGTGCAAAGGGATTTTATGAAAGTGGAACTGATTGTCTTGCCTGTCCTCTCAATTGTTCTAGTTGTCTGGATCAAGTTCGATGTACCTAATGTAAGAATAGTAATTTTGATCATGATAAAATAAATGGATAATGCTTATGCAATCTAATAAATTTTAGTGATATATCCAATTGTGCATGTCTAGATGGGTACTATCTTAACAGTATAAATAAAAAGTGTTTACGTAATATAAATAACTTAATTTATAGCATGTCATTATAATTGCAGTACTTGCATGTATTCTGCCACTCATTGTATAACATGTAATGATAATCATGCCTATCCACCAAATTGCGAATGTTCTCCTGGATTTTATCTATAAGATATCATATGCTTGCCATGTACTAATAATTGTTTTCAATGCAAATCTTAATCTGAATGTCTGGATTGCTCTAATTAAATGCAATTGATCAATAATAAATGCTATTGTTAGAATGGGTATTTCAATTTACTTAATTCCTATGAATGCTAACCTTGTGCTAGTTAATGTTCTACCTGTAGATACTCAATAGACAATTGCACATCTTGTAAATTCAATAGGATTTCTCCATACAAATGCATATGTCCTGATGGAACCTATGAAGTTGATGTATCTACTCCTTGTAATCAATGCGATAATAAATGCAAGCTTTGTGAGGTGTCTTCGAATAATTGTTTGGAATGCTCTCTCAATAGAATAAATCCTCCAAATTGCAATTGTAAAATTGGATATTTTGAAAATGATTAATAAACCTGTTCATCATGTAATAGCAGATGTATATCATGTTAAAATACATCTGATACATGTATTGAATGTAAAATGAGTATTGCGACTCTTCCATCATGCACCTGCCCAGATGGTTATTTTTCTGAATTTGAATAAGGATGTGTTTAATGTCATCCAAGATGCAAAACTTGTATTGGATCTAATGAATATAATTGTCTTTCATGTGATGAATCTAAGAATTTCGAGCTTCTCTATAATAAATGTACTTGCAAGTAAAATTATTATTTTCAAAATGATGTCTGCCTTTATTGTTCTATTGAAATTGAACTTTGTTAAACTGTTTAGTGTGGAAATGGTATAATTCAGAGGAATGAATAATGTGATGATTGGAATAACAATGATAGAGACGGTTGCTCTAATAGTTGTAAATTTGAAGAAGGGTATTACTGTGAGTCCATTTCGAATACTAAGATTCATAATTCAATTTTGGTGAGTTAATGTACTAAATGCCTTGAGTCTTGTAAGATCTGTGATAGAAATAAATGCTTGATATGCTAAAGTGGTTACTTTTTGACTCCAAGCTTAGACTGTTAAAAATGCGAGTAATACTTAAATCTAATAATCTCATAGTCTACATTGCAAAGAGTGTTCTGGACCATAATAAAAGGATTGCCTCTCTTGCATCAAAGGAGTGGATTATGGATTAGGGTAGAGGTGTGCCTTTTGTGAAGAAATCTAAGGGTTATACACAGGTAAAGATAAGTGTGTTTCAAAGTGTGGAGATGGAATGAAAAAGAGTGATGAACAATGTGATGATGGTAATAGTATTAGTAAAGATGGATGCTCAGAAAAATGTAAAATTGAAGAGGATTGGGATTGTTCATAATAAAATAATACATTAAGTTCTTGTTTTAAATTAAATGTACCTATTGCTTCCCTCTCTTTTGATAGAGTTAAAGATTTCTATTCATCTCAAAGATAAGGATCTATTTTGTTTAATAAACCTATGGCAATACCAAATATTACAATTATAAATGCTTGGCATTACAGCATACTCAATTAAAGATCATCTTATTACTCTATGAATTTGACTGCCATTTTGAACATTGATGGATATTTGGAAGAAGTTAAAATTGATTTACAACTACTTTAATCTATGTCATAAATTGTATTTCAAGTTGACTACACTACTTTCCTCATTAAGGATGTTATCGATTCATTTCCATTAAAAACCACTAATTCATCTGTAGAATTAACTAAATACATTAAACTTGGACAAGATACTTTAAGCACATCAAAGGCCTCTAAATAATTTGCTTCATCTGTGTTATATGTATTAGGGGGTGTTTCAATTATAGGATTGCTAGTTGGAAGTTTAGAATTTTATTGGAATGTCCTCGATAATTTATAGATTCTATCATATATAACTTTTATTAATGTTAATTTTCCTTATATGCACAATAAATTTTTGGAAATATTTGAATTTGCAAGATTCGAGTTTACAAATGACTATTTTAATTTTGAACTCGTTAAAAACCTAGATAACTAATAAAATAAAGATTATCCTTTGATTGTTGGAAGACAAGTAGAATATAATTTGATTGTCAATTTAAGTTCAATTGTAGTGCTTTGGATTACTACAATTCTCTTATTTGTAGTGGCTAAGATAAATTTATTTATCATTCATGATATCTTGATTAATAAGTTTAAAATTATTTAGCTTACTCCTTTCGAATAACTTAACAGTTTGACTTATTTATTTTATAAGTTGGTATACCTTATTCATTTTATGAGCTTTGCATATCATTCCAACTTCTTTTATGGTGTTATTCTCAGAATCTACTTATCTAGTCTTTACGACTTAAATTTTTCAATATTCACATCTGCCTATTGTTGGCTTTGGAATTAGAATCCCAGTTTAGTAGATTAAATATCATTTGCAGTAGCTATGATTCTACTTCTGATTCAAATTCTAATTTTATTTATATTATCGTCCTCATTGAAATTATCTAATTATCAGTTGAAGTCAAAATAATTTATTTCTTAATATAGTTCTTTATATGAAGGAATTAATTTTAGCAATTAAATAATTAGATAGATTTAGTTTTTACAACCATTAAGAAAATTAATGTTCATGGGAGCCTTAATTTTATTTTATGATTAACCTATATTTTAAATATCATGCCTAATTTCAATTCAGATATTATCTTCAATTGTTCAAATAACCTTTAATCTTTATTCAAACTTTTTGCAATCAATAAAAGTAATCACTTAAGAAGTCGGATTGAGTATGTCCTTAACCTTGATTTTATTTTACTACGCTCAAGATAAATTTGATATAGTGGAACAAGATGTAATTGAAAAACTGTCATATGTTCATGTAGGCATTTATACATTGATGCTTTGTGTAAGTCTTGTAATTGATTTATATCAATAAATTAAGATCATATTTGTTAAATATAAAGTGTCAAGGATTTGTGATAAGAAACCTTAAAAAGAAAAAGAAGCAAAACAACGAAATAATGAAAATTAGAGGAACTAAGAAAAATAAGAACAAGCTTAACAATTTAATTTATTCATTGATTTATCAAAGTTTTATTAGGCTTAAAATAATTAATATAGCTTTAGGAATTTAAGAATTAATTGAAGATGATATATGATTTGAATTAGATATAATACAAATTATCTTTATCATAATATTAACATCAAATATAATAATCTTTATACTTGAATGCTATTGAATCAATTAAAAATGATTTGTTATTTTTTAGTAATATTTAATACTTTATCAAAATAATAGAAAATTGCTTTTGAGACAACTTTAATTTATATTGTATGGTAATATTATAATTTGATAATTTATTATGAATTTCTTAAAATTTTGATTATTATATTATTTAGTGAAATTATCAATGTCGAGATTCTAAAATTTTTAATAGAGTAATTTAAATGCGTTTACAGCCAACAACACATAACAACTCATGCCGTAATTAGCTTTTTTACAATAATAGAGTGAATCATCCTTCTTAACGCCAATATTTTACTTAATGCAGAGGTCAAACATAAGAGAAAAAAGCATCAGATTAGCCTCTTAAGTAAATGAGTCAACCTCAGTCTAATTTGACAGAGACGAAACCCAGTCCATTAATGAAGATAGCTGAAAGGTCATAAAAAACTTCGCCTAATAATTTTGGAAAGAAAAAAAATAATCTTTAGTTATAAAAGGTTGTAACAAGAATGGAAAGAAATAATGATGATGCCGCATCTAATGGTATTAATGACAAGATTTCACATCATCAAAACATGATCCAGAAAATAAAATGCAACAGATATTATATAGATGATTTAATTGCAGCATTTTAGGATGAAACATTAAGTTTTTCAAAGTTATATCGAGATAATTTCGTTAATTCCTTTAATTTTATACCAATAATAAAAATGGAGCAGTTTGTATAGGTTGAGGACAAGGAAATACAAGAGAAAAGAATAAAATTAGAGCCCTACCCTCCAAATCTGAAATGTACAATTTATTTATAGATTTGTATAGATAAGAAGACAGTCATTTTCGATCTAGATGAAACATTGGTTCATTGTAATGAAGAAGACAATATGTCCTCTTAAATTGTATTGCCCATCACTTTCCCCACTGGAGAGAAAGTTAATGCTGGGATCAACATAAGACCTTTTGCTGAGAAAATGATAAAATTATTAAGCGATATTTGTGAAGTGATGATCTTTACAGCCTCCCACGAATGTTATGCTAATGAGGTATATAGTCTTCCATTGAAATTAGGTTATTAATTATCTGGATCCTTAATCTAGAGTCAAAAGGAGAATTTTCAGGGATAGTTGTGTGACTGATATAAATTCCAACTATTATGTTAAGAACCTGGAAGTTATTGATCGAGATTTGAAGGACATCGTGATAGTGGATAATGCATCATATAGTTTTGTGTAAGCTTTTTAATTAATTTAAGTCATCATATAGATAATGGCATACCCATCATATCGTTTTATGACGACAAACAAGACAATCAATTGATTAAGTTATATAGGTTTTTAATAAATAAGGTTTTGCCTCAAGAAGACGTTCGACCTTTGTTAAAAGAATATTTCAAATTAGAATAAATTGATCAGTTCTAAACAATAGTCGAAGCTGTTGAAAGGATGTATTGTATCGAATGAAGTCAATGTGGATATTATTTGTTTATTTTTATGTTAGTGTCATTTATAATTAATATTACATAATTAACCTACTTTTTTATCATATTATTATCTTTAAATTACAGATGTAAGTTGATAGTGAAAATTTCATTGATAGTTCAAATAATCCTCATTTAATAGGAAATAGATATGTAATCTTATGATTAATATAAGTCAATGAGGAGTCGAAGAAGAAAGATTTACGATGATGGAGATTTTAGGGAAGTAGTTAAGAATTTCTACGCTTTGATATCGGAAATAAATAAAAGTAGCTTATTTATGTAATAAAACCCCTAAGTTGCCAATAAGAAAATTCAAAAAAATGTTCCTCTAAAAACTAAATAATAATCCAATGTTTAAAATAAAAAACCGCAACAGAAAAAACCAATATCATAGGATGTAAAGAAAAATGATCTCTACAATTTTAAAAAAGAGCCAATCTATTCTTAAGTTGCTTTTTAAACTCAGCCTTATTTTAATCATCAATAGTACTAATCGTTTTCTCATAATTATATGAATCCATTTTACAATAATTTGCCATCATAATTAGTACACATTATAGTTATTTCTAGCAAATCATTTCTAGAAACTAACTCAACAATGGATAATTAAAAAGAAATTCATATCATATAGCAATTTCATATTTCATCTATATCCAATCAACCGGTTAAGAATAGTATGAAAGCAGAGATCCTACCATGTATGCTAAAAAGAAATTAAAAGAAACCAACTCAGATGTTATAAAGGTATAATATCAAAGATATTTTATTTTTAGTAATTAGATAATTTAGTTTCGAATGAAAAATAATCTCCTTTGTAGGAGCGAACAAATAAGTAACTTAATTAAGAAGAATAGAAGGAAGATATTATAGAATAGACTAAATGAATTGTATTTTCTATTTTATAATTATTTGAAATATAAATACTATTAATAAAAAGCTTCATTAAATATGTTTTCATATTTCCAGGACTTTCATCTAATTAATATGCCAATCTTTGTTCTAAACTACCATTCCAGTAATAACTACGATGTAATCTTTAGGTTAAAGTAAATTTTTAGCAATCAATCTTGAAATGCACTCCTAAATAATTCTTTAATAATAATAAGTATATAAATTACTCTTCCTAATTTGCAAATCCATTTACTAATTCTGATTACACATTATTAATGTAATTTAAGCATCTGCAAATCTGTTAGTTATCACTTATTGAAATTATCTTACAAGATGCTCTCAATTTTGATAGTTTCAAAGTAGTTTATATTCTGCGAGTTAACATCAGAATGGCCTTAGCTTATAAACTTATATTACTGAGTATTTAATACATATAAGCCATTTCAACACATGATTTGGCAATTACTGTTGCAATAGGTTATCCAGTAAAATTTACTTGATATTGATCCCTTTGTTAAGGATGATCAAAAAGTTCTTAAAGTAGTTTTTTCTCTATTTTTCGACAAATATTATTCAGAGTTTAAACTATCAAAACTGGAAATTTCCCAAAACTAGTTTCTCCTGATAATAGGATTCCGTCTATATATTGTTTAACAATATTAGAAATATCTCCCATATCTGCAAACGAGGGTTTAAGTTGAACACTCATAGATTCCAATATATATGTTGATACAAAGACCTTTTATAATCGATAAAAAAAGTACAGGTTTAAATAGTTTTCGACAACATGATATTATTTAAGCTTAATATTTGACTACATCCTCCACTGGTTAAGTCATTGAAATATGAGATCTTGCAATGATACATCCATCTGCCAAATTAACGATTTCTTCTAATTAGTCTTCCTTTAACATTTCTGCAATTCTTGCAAATATTTAAACATGCGGGTATTTTTATTCTAATCTTTCTTTGACCTTTAATTAAAACTTAGCTTACTTATATGATATCGAATGCAGTGTTCACCTTTGAGAATGTTATACTATCGAAATTGCATTCACAAGCATAATCTATATCTAAGTTATCTTTTTCTGTTAGTGATACTTATTCTAATTGCTCTTCTTCCTTTGAAGTCTTATTCTCTACAAATATAGATATTGGTTTAAAAGATTTCAAAGTTCCAGTCTTACAACATTTGCAGATATATATTTTCACTCCACTCAATAAACATATTTAATCTATCCCTATTTTTTCATTTACTCTAAATATTTTAACTACTCTTACTGGTCGAACATTTAAATATCTATCAGTTCTAGTATTATATGACCATAGTCAATTGCTAATTTATCATTTATATTTAATTTCTCCAGAAATTCATTTGAATCTATTGGAATTAATTAATTATTTCCTACTTTATGCTAATCTGAAGTCAAGTATACAATATTTCCTTCCTCAAAATTGATTAATTAATTACTTCTATCAAAGTTTCAGAATCTTGCAATTATCCTACTCTTATAACCTGTCCCCTTAAAATTAAATTTAATGGTATTTTAGTTTTAAATTCAGATTCCAATTAGCATCTATTTTAATTCAATATTTATAAACTCTCTTTATTTTTAATATATGCCATATTAATACTAAAATTATTATGCTATTTTTCTACGTAAAACCATTGCATCCTGCCTCTACCATGCTCCGCAACAATTCATAATTAGAACAATTTTCGCTTACAGAACAAATAATCCTAGTTCTTTTTGGTTCCTACATGAGAACAGAAATTATAATATTTATTAAATATCTTTAGTTTGTAAAGTTTTGAGTATTAATATTCTAGAGAAGAAAATTGAAATCATAACAGAACCCATAAGATTTATTAATATTTCACTATTAGACTCATAATTCACTATTAAATTGACTTGAGGGAATATTACGATAATTTGACTTAAAATAATAATTATAAAATTGATTATTTCAATCATTAATACTTCGATAACTTAGTTCTATTTTAATTTTGTGTTTCAATTAATCTTGAGCTATTTATAAATCTAAGATTCATACATTTCTTTTTTATGAGAATATTGATTAACATACGAGAGTTTTTGGGATAAAATGGGGAACTTTTCTTTTTATTCTATAACTTACGAGGAATTAGTATGTTAAACTATCATATAATTATTCTAAGGTTATGAATCCCAATCAATCTTTTATTTTTTCGGTGGAGATTACTGAGCAAACATTTTCTCTATTTCTTAATCAGCCAAAAATTCTTCTTGATCAAATGATACTTGCTTTTCCTTTGCAATATTCGGTTATGATGCATACAATTTGTTTTTAAACTATCTATCAATATTTTTAAACAATAATTTACTTTTATTATTGACTACTACTCCTTTAATTATTCGCTAATAATTTTTGACTAAAAGGAATTGATTATTAAACTGGATTTACTTTATTTTATTAAATTTAAGAGTAACCATAAGATTATTCCTGAATAGACTAAATAATTTTTTATTGAATTTCTTATTATTATTAAAACTATTTAGATAATATTGTAGGGTCATTATGCTATTGTTAATGATTGGCTTCTGGTAATTTAGGTAATTAAATATTGTGATTTTATCTAGAAGGTTTCTAAACATCAACATATTTAAACCAATAAGATTTGTCATATTTCTTAGTGGGATGATTAATAATAATTTTATTTTTAGTTTAATCAGGTTCTGGGTCTTTCGGAAAATAATCTTTATACAAAGGATTACTTTTCTATATTTTTCTCTCTGCTGAGATCAACCAAAAGTTGTTTCCTAGTTCTGATAAATCAGCTGTTGTTTACTTTTCATTTAGAACTTCAAAAATCGTAACATCTTTCTTATCATTTGCATTAGATTTCAAATTCTCATTTTTTTGTTAAGAAATAACTGATAGATCTTGAAGATGTAAAGTCTGATTTCCATTTCGGAATTACTCAATATCATTTTCTTTCTCTTTCAAAAGTTTCTCTAATTGTCCAACCTTTTTAAAAAGTTTTTCTAATTTTTCTTCATATATTTTTTCCATAGTTTCAATATGCTATTACTTATCTAATTAAGATTGTTTCAAAACTTGAATCTCATCTTACATAGTTAAAATTAACTCATCTTTCATTTGAAGAGCAGACTATAAAATAGTTATTTTTTCTAATGTTGTAGATTTGCCTGATTTTTATGACTTTTGGAATGAATGAAAAGATTTTTGAAGTTCCTCCTGCTCATTCTAATGATTTTACTCATTTTGATCCTTCTCTGATTATTTTTAATCTGTGTCTTCATGATGTTCATGTTGATTAATTTAAGTCCCAACAATTTCTTATTCATTAATTAATTCTTTGTTTTACTCAATTTGTTCATCCTACTTCTATTCTGTACCATCCAATGATTGTCTATCTATTTTTCCAACAGGAGATGTATCAATTTATGAAGTCCTTGTTGGTGTTGCCACATTAGATACCTCTTTTGGTAGATAAGCTTACTCTTAATTTTCTTCTTATTGTGAGTTCCTCAATTCAATAGAAGGGGCCTAGATTCTTGAATTATCTTAATTTGTCTCATTCTGAAAAGACTAGTTTTGTTAAATATCTGTTTTATCATCATTCTCATTTTCCTTTTCGACGTTTAAATCTTCTTTTTATTGTTCTATTGCGTCTTTTTAACTCATATAACTATAAATTGGAGCAAATCAATAAATTATTTATAATAAAATTTACTTGAATGAATATAAACAAAATAGTAAAATATGTTCATCAATCAAGTTTTTATCTTTCTAAAACTACTATAAACCACTTTCTGCTTTTTATCGAAAGTTACTTTTTTTATAGATCTTTACGAACCAAAATTTTGAGAGTCTTTCATTTGATTTTTGGGGCTTTAAGGGTTGGACCCATTGTTCATTTTATTTTTCAGTATCGATTTGTGTTTGGAAATATAATTACTTGAACCCTTTACTTCATTTTTTTGACTATTTCCTTCCTCCTTGGAATTGTTTTACTGCTCTAATTAATCACTCTCTTAACGAAAGAGAAGTTCTTCTTCTAATGAATTTTTGACATTCTAGATTGGCATTTCCTATTCAGTAATAGCAAATTCTTTTTCTTAAGATAAAAGTTTTGGTAATGAGATACATAATTCTTTCTCAATTGCAACTTCATCTGCTTGAAATTACAAAATCTTGATTGGAGAAGGTTTACAAAGTTTAGGTGGACCTTTTATATAGATTTAAGGCTATTTAGATTTATTATTTTCCTATTCTGGAATGTTAATTTACTTCTAACACGTTCCTCCCATTTTGATATTGATGAAATATTATTTTTGATTCAATATAATTAAAGATTAAAGTGATTATGACTATCAAATAAGAATAAAGCTATAGATAATTCGAAAATATTAAAGAAGAGAATATTTGTAAAAGCTGTTTAAACTTAATTTTTTTAACAATTTTTATTGTAAATTGCAAAATTTGAGTTTTGAGAAACCCTCCAAACTAAAAATAGAAATCTCTAAATTATTTTGTTTTGAACGTAACCTATAATTTTAAATAAACCAAAAAATTCACTCTAAATATTTGATGTATTATTGGTTGAAGATACTTTAATAAAATTCTTATTATTAAGAACTAGAATTTTATAAAAACTTTTAAAATTGAAGGTTTTAGATTTATCTTGGGTTTGTTGAAACGAAGTTTGATAATCATAAAAACGTGAGTTAATTAATAATTTATCTATATAACTAAATTTGATATAAATAGTATTATGATTAATAATATCTAAATTGTCAAATACAATTAATTCTATAAGCCAATTCTTGATCTGAAAGTATGTCTATTTAAGCAATATCTATTAGTTAAAACAAATGTTTATTTGGATATTCATTTTCATACTTTATCATCTCAATAATATATTTTGACATTAGAATAAAACACAATTTTGCATGATTCATCTAAGGTGATTGTGTAGTTATTTAAATGATTGCATATTCCAAAAACTTTTGTAATTCATTTAAATCAATTTGATTCAAGGAAGAATTAAGTAGTTATATATTTTTTTCAAAGATCATTTACTTCAAAAATTGAAGCTACTGAAGGCAATATTATCCTTTTTCTGTTAAGATAAACTTATCGAATTCCTTAAATAATACAGATTGATCAATAAGATTGAGATGACAAAATGCACAACTTTGGAGATATTAAGCTAATTGCTAAGCATATTAATATTATCTTTATTATGCACTTACAAAAATGCTAAAATTATAAAGACTTCTTGTTGTATTGATGATGTTTAAGTACAACTTTTAGTTATTTTCAAATTCAATCTCAAGATAGTTTCTTATCATAAGTCTTTAATATTCAAATAAATTTTGATTGCTTATCAATTAAGATTCGCTCAATTATTAGCCCTTTTCCTCTTCGATATTTTGTATTTATTGCATATAATAATCATTTTTACAAAGCAACTCGTGATTATAAATTTCATCCCAATTGATGCGCTCATCCTCATTAACTTAAAGACACTTTTATATTAAATCCTAGAGAAGTGCATTGTCAATTTTAGGTACTACGATTGGCAATTTGATTTACTCTTGTAATTCTAATACATTCTAGGCTTTAATGGGGGGCTTTTGGAAAATGAGTTCATAAAGAATCATCCCAAGAGACCAAATATCACATTTAGAAGAATAAGGCTATCTTAGCACTGTTTATGGTGCCATATACAATGGAGTTCCTGCTACACTATTCATTAGATCATTTTCAAAGTTGATTCGTTTAGAAAACCCAAAATCTGCAATTTTAATAACGTTCTAATGAATTAAGATATTAGCTGGCTTTAAATCTCTATGGATTATAGATTTATTTTACAACTCTCGGTATCTAACAATAATGTTAGACTTTACCCATTTAATATTTGCTACAATATGCTTATTACTAAGTTGTCATCTTATTTACCTCTTTTAATCAAATCTCTTAAGTCTCCACCATCGCAAAATTCGGATATGATGTATATATTATTTTGTGTTTCGTAATAATCTAAAAATTTCACAATATTAGGATGATTTAAAGTCCTCATAGATTCTACTTCGTTTTTTAAGTGTTTCTCATTCTCCTTAAAATGATCAATTTTATTCAAATTACTTTATTAATCATTCTTTTGTCTATCACTTTGACTGCCACTGGTTATCCTTATTAGGTTTTACCTTTGAAAACAGAGCCATAAGCTCCCCTACCAATAAGATGATTCATATTAAATCTATAATGACCAATCAATTTATCCATTGATATTTAAAAAAATAATATAAAATATTCTCTTTTTTTATTTAGAATTCATGAATACAACTTTACTATCTCATTCTCTAGTTCAATATAATCTCATTTCTTTTTTAAAGGCTTTTAAACTTATTCATAGTCAAATAAAAATGCCATGCACTTTTTATAAGAGCAACTAAAAGAGTTTCCATACCCCATTTAGAATTCTCTGAGATTTGTCTGACTTTGAAGGATATGATGTGTAAAGATTTATATCAAAATATTGATATACAAAAATTAACTATAAATTATATTATGTAATAGTTTTCAACCCAAATTGAATTTTAGGAAGACTTTGATTTTAAAAATTCTATCTTACTTGGTCAAGGAACATTTGGGAAGGTTTTCAAGGCTAAGGCTCTTAAATCTTTGCCTCAAGGATATTATGCTTTGAAGATAATTGAAACCTAAAGGTATACGAATTTAGAGCTTAGCGAATAGGCTTATGAGTTGGCTATTTAAGAATTAAATTTGTATTCAGCAATAACGTATCACTAGAACGTTATTAAGGTTTACAAAGTATATTCTTGGAAAGATGAAATGCCGTTTAGGAAATTTGTATTAGTGTTTGCAATGGAATTAGGAATAAATAGTCTTAGATAGGACATCGAGGAGAGAAGGAAAAATCTGAAAGAATATGGAGGTTCATTAAACTCAATTAAATAATAGACATGTTGATAATAGACATAATGAATTAATGTTTGAGAGCATTTCACTATTTAGCCAAGAATAAGCATTTATTCCATAGGGATATAAAGCCAGAAAATATCTTAGTAACAAGTTTATAACCATACACTGTTAAACTAGTTGATTTTGGGGCTGGAAAGGAGAATTTTCATGGATAAGCAATGTTAAATACTTTGGTAGGGACACCTTTATTTTTGTCACCCAAATTATACGTTGCTTATTCAATGAACTAACCTGGAAAAGTGAAGTATAATTTATTCTATTAAAGACATGACTTAGAAAAGAGCGATGTATTTTCTTTGGGTATAACATTCTTGCAAATGATTCTACTACTTCATGATAGGGATTTGTCAAAGTTGAATGATCCTATCATTTATGACGATAAAACTGGAGATCCAATTGATACAAGTGAATAATTTGCTTTGAGAAAAGACTGTCAAGGGTGGAAAAAACTATAGAATCACATAAATATCATTAAGCATCCTTCGATCAAAGCTTGTATCTACGGAATGACAGAATTTAGTGAAAGGAACCGATTCACGTGGTTCTAAGCTTTAACAACATTAGATCCGGATTTCAAGGATGAGTAAATTAATTAACAAATTTAGTGAGAAACCATAGATCCAGAAACCAATATAGTCTCATGAGTAAAAATAATAGGTTATTTAATCCTACTCGAATGAAAATACAACACTCAAATTTCTAGGAACTCTGAATGATGAAAATTATCATGATAAGATCATTTCAGCTGGAAATCAAATTCTGTCCCATTCAAAGGAAGGTGTAAGACTTATCTCAATTGGAGGTACAGTAGAATGGATTTTTAACCAAAGTACTCATAGTCTATAAATGTAGATGTTAGCTTTTTATCATATCTTCCTTCCCTTGAGATTTGTGTAGGATTAACAAGTTTCGGGGAAATATTTGGAATAAATCTAAAAAATAAATCATTTATTTGTGAAAGGATTATTCATTTTCAACATGATACAATTAGTGTATGAATGCCTTTCAAGCTTTAGGTTATGAAATATATGAGGAAGGACCTCTGTATATTGGGAACAAAGTTTGGAGAAATCATGATATTAGCATTTGATACTTAACCTCCTTCTGTAATTAAAAAATACAAAGAACTTGATAGGGCAGTTGTAGATCTAGTATATGATGATGAAGTCAAATATATAATATCAACACATGACAATTCAGCTATCTTTTGTAAATATTTAGCGTATGAATAAACGTAATTTTGCAATTCTAATAATATAGTGCTAAATATATTTATGAAACTTAATTGAATAATTTAATCTTGATCTCATCTGAATATTTCGCAGGAACAACAAAAGACTAACCAGAAATTCCTATTTTTTAAATTCGAGATGGTAATAAATTAAAATTCACCTTAGGTGTAATAAACTTAGTTTAAATATATTAAATACATAATAAAACAGTCCCTTTATCACTAGCGATGTCAGATATTTACCTTGTTTGGGTGAGTTAAAAATTCATAGGGTCAATTTAAGTGGATGGTGATCTTAGCAAATTAAATGAAGAAAAAGGTAAAGAGTTAATTGTTAATGCCTCAAAGCCAGCTCATTTAATAACAACAGTATAGAATGGAAAAATAATTGCTGCTAGTGATGGAAACAAATTACATTTATACTAAATAGGTATTCATAAGTTCATTACTTTAGTCTCTCAAAATTGTGAAATATTTTGATGTAGTCTTAATTAAATTTATAAGGATTGAATAGATTAATAATATTTATTACATAAAGTTAAAATTTCACTCTTATCAAAAATTTTAAATTTGACACAAATGTTGATTTAGCGAGTTCTATCTCTTTTTTAATTAAGGTTCATCTGAAATTAAGCAGTTTTGGATAATTTAATATGAATTTATTATTACATTATTCCAATTAATAATGGATCCTAATTCTTATTACGCTACCACTTTAAGTAAATTTCTTAACTTTATCATTTTCCATCTTTCTAGCATCATTTAACTTCAAACTAATTTCCTAATTTTATAAATAATCGAAAGCCATCTTCTAAAATAGTATAAATTGAATTTTGATCTGAATTATATTGGTTTGAAAAAAATAAATTAATTTCTTATCCTATAGGATAGAATTAATTGTCAGGCTTTTAAACAATTTCGAATTTAATGTAACCATTCGAATGTACTTATATTAAATTTTTGTCCATACTTATTAATTTTTTTTAAATAAATGTAATCGAAATTATGAACTTATATTTAGGACTTAGCAATTATTTCAAAAATGGATAATATAAATTTTCTGCATTGTATTTATAAAACCAGATAAACTTTATCATCCAAAATTATTGTGTGTAGTTTTTAAATCGCTGAAAAAGGAATTTATAATTTCTTAATAGGTAGTGTTGTTTATTAATTAATTAATAAAAGTTTTTTTTATTTGTTATTCAAATAAAATTAATGACTTTGAAAATAGAATCTCATTAACTAATTTTTTAATACTTAACCATTTATTTATTTGCATTTATTGTAATCTTAAAATTTAAAAACTAAGAAATACGACATCATGAACAGTAACTGGTAGAATGTATTTAATTGGATTCATGTTTCTGGAGCTTTGATAAGTTAAGACAACGAGAATATTTAGATTGATCTTGTACCCTAACGAAAAGATGTTTCTAATGAATTGCCTATGGAAATCAACCCTTCTGTTGTGATTAAGAAATAACTAAATTACGATGACGAAGTTGGTTGGAGTTGGCACAAATCATGGAATTTACCTGAAATTGAATATAATATAAATGTACATATGCATTCTTAGGTTTATTAGTGGGTGCCTTGTTAAAGCCAATTGTATTAAGCAACTTTATTTGCATAAATCTTTGTAGTAAAAGCCTTGGAGAAGCAATGCCACTTTAAAAATTTAGGTATAAAAGGAGAATCAAAAAAATAAATAATAGAACAAGAGGCCAACTTCAGATGTTTAAAATTTACAACAACTTCCTATAATAACGAAGTATAAACTCATATAGTAATGTTAGCATAAGAAATTCCATTTAATGATTGTTTTGTTTTATTCCCCAGTAAATGGCGAAAAAGTGGTCCTCAGCTCTATAATATCTCCAGAAATTTATGTGGATTCTAGAAAATTTGCTAGATTTCACAATATCCCTGTTCATTAGCCTTCCTTTACAGAATTATTTCCTTATGACTTACTTTATTCAATAATTACAAAAAGAGACACAAAAAATAGGTCTGTCAAGATGATTAAAATAGAAAACTCAATTGCGGGATTTATTAATTATTTTACTGCACCAAATATCAGAAATAAAATTAAACATCCGATATTTTTGGCATTAAGATTCTCAAGTTTAATTAAATTATTTGTTGATTAATAATTATTTTATTAATAAACTAATATTGTGACATCGATTTAAATTCATTTAAACAATATCATAAATAAAGTGGAAAGCCAAAAGAGAATAAAGCTATTAATTTCAACTTAAAGTGAAGATAATATACTCTAAAAAAAAGTAAAAGTCACCATTATTCTAGGCAATGGAACTAATTTAATAATTAGAAAATGGTTGCTACGAAATTTATACACAATAATGTTACTTACCCAATAATGTTGTCTTAATAGAAGATCAGCAATAGCTTCTTCTGTAATATGGTGAGCTTTTCTAAAAATCTTTGCAATCGAATTCTAAAAATGAAAATTCTACCCAAATACAAACATAATCCATATCTTAAATTGAGGAAAATGTAGTTCAAAAGGTGAAGGTTGAGTAATGTCCTAATACACCCAATAATAATCCTGTATAAACATTTAGAGAGATAATTCCAACACCAAAATGTGAATTTCAAAATTCAATTAAGAAAGAAGAGAATTCAAAAATTTAGGATTAAATCCAATACAACATTTATTAACAATACAATATTAATTAGTCGCAATTATATTTATAATCGTATCTCAACCAATCTTATTAAAATTATGTGAAACTTCAAAATTAAAATTATTTAAACTAGTATTATCATCCATATCCATATACTAGTCCGTAATATATTGTTTGGAAAAATATTTGAAATATAAAAACTATGTATTGAATTATTAATTAAATATTAATTTAAATGTTGAAGCCTTCAGTGTGGTTTAAAAATTTATATGAAAAAAACAAAAATAAAAGCAAATGAATCAATAAATTTCGGCATTTTTGAAACATGAATGTGTATGTTTGACTCTTTTTCTTGAGTCCTTTTTAACTGGCATTTCACAGTTTTTACAATCGTCACATTTGCATAACTCAGAACATTTGACTCCCATTTAATAGCATTCACAGTATTTTTTTAGACAATTGGACTTCTTGCAATTGCATCCCTTAAAATGTCTAGGCTTATGATCAATTTCATCTTCAGAATTACTCTACAATTAAAGATTAATAATACCCTAGAATCAACCTTTGGTCGAAATGCTTATGGATTCCTTTCCATAATCTATTGGATTATGTTTTCCCTTTCTTTAGTGTGATCATCATTATTATGACAAGAACAGCAATTACAATCTTTTCCACAAGGAACTCCAGCAGCAAAACAATCACAATACAATTTTAGACATTTGGATTTCTTACAATTGCAAACTATAATTTTGGGTTTCTGTTCTGTTAAAGGTTTTCTTCTTTTGGAGCTGGTCCTCTTTCTATTGTTAACTTAATCACTTGTAAATTTGAGAGGTTTCTTGAGGGTGACGAAATTTATGAATTTTAATTTAGTGGCTCTTTCCAATTTTCTATGAGGGGATTTGGGGGGACTTCTAAATTAGGAGTGAATATCTTAGTCGTCAGATAAAATTTCTTCTTCCTCGCATAATAGATCATCAGGAACTTTAAGAGAACTAAGAGGCGAGCTGATATTCACGAGTCGTTGTTCAGTCTTGGTATGATCGAAATTTATCTATCTTGCTGGCGATATTACAAATATATTAGCCTTTTTAGTTGTTTAATGATTTAATGGAGAATAAGGTTGGAATCTAGAATTTATTGAGAAAATAGAGTACTAATTGGGAGACTTTAAGCAGGGGGTAAACTCTAATTTCTTACATACTTATTCAGGGGACTAGTCTTTTATATATATTTCATCTTGGTTGTGGACGCATTCTGCGTTAAAAACTGGGGATTTATGAATTTTTTCTAATCTTTAAAACAATTTAGTAAATGGAGTTCCATCCTATATAAATTCTGAGCTCATTTGTTATAAGAATTTTCCCTCTGAATTTAAATTCAAATTTTTATATATAAAATACCAAACAATTATTCCCCGCATTTAGAGTAAAGAATCTAATAGAAAGCACCGCCATTAAAAGATAGTTTTGATTTGAATCGCTGAATTTAAATTATTCAAGTTTTTATAAGGACTTAATCATGATTAGTTAAAATAGTTGTTGGATAAAGCCATAATCATTTCCCGCATTAATTTAGGCAATTGTCGCATTATTAATTTGGTTATAATTTATTTCTAATTAAAATTATCTCAAACATAAATAAAATTTAACAACTTTATTTTCTTTGATATTTAATATAGTAAAAGTAAGCAGAATCTTATTATTTCCTTACAAATAATTGTTTTAGTGTGAATATCTAGATTCCCTTCATTCTCAATAGAGAATAGGGCAATGTTCGAGTGGAATGAACTGGGGAACTCGATTTTTTGATAATATATAGGCTCTGCATTGGTTAGTTATCAAATAAATTTATTTTAAATAATTTAAATAACCGAAGATATGGGTCATCTTTTTAGACATTAAGAAGGAGATGCAGGTAATTATGTACTCGAAGTTGTAGCACCACCTCCTGCAATAGCAAATATTCCAGCACCTCAAGCATCAACTATTGATTATGATTGGATTCTAATTTCAGGGTTCATTATAGTGTTGACCTAAGTGGGATTTGCATTTATTGAAGCAGGATCAGTGAGATATAAGAATTCCTAATCAATAGTGATAAAAGTGATATTGGGTTTGTTCTTGACAATTTTAATATGGTGGTTGGTAATAAATGTAGTTAATAATAATAGTTTGGATATGGATTTTCATTTGGTTATGATTTCTAAACAAACTTTATGGGAGGCACTAAATTAGGAGGATATAATTGGGAAGCAACTCAATTCGGAAATGATTATACAAATTTTGGTATTTCTGTTAATATTCAAATTTTGTTTAGTATTCAGAGCATCCGGTGCAGCAATAGCCGTGTCAGTGTTATCTGGAGCAGCAGCAGAAAGAATGACATTCTTGGCATGGTCAATTTTAGCTATAGTATACGCAGGATTCATTTATGCTGGATTAGCACATTGGACATTGGCATAAGGATGGTATAGATTCAATGAGAATATAAATAGGTTGACAACTTTGGGATACAAGGATTTCTCAGGAGCTGGTGTAGTATTTTTCGCAGCAGGTGTTGCTGGATTAGTTGTGACAGTATTGTTGAAGCCAAGAAGATTCAGATTTGATCCAAACACAACCTTGTAATTCTAAAGACATTCTCCAATTTATATTGCTTTCGGTTCAATTTTGGTCTTTGCAGGATGGTTATTCTACAATGGAGGTATTGTGGCCCAAGGAGCTAATTCCAAATACACCTTAAGGATTAGTAGCAGTCAATACTTTGGTTGCTGGAGCCACTGGTGGATTCTTTGCCTTCATCATCAGATATTTCTAATACGAAACCACAAGTTTGGTTGCCTTGTCTAGAGGTATTATCAGCGCTTTGGTGGCTGTAAGTGCTGCTACTGATGACATGAAACCATGGACTGCATTCATTTATGGTCTATTGGCTGCTGTCTTCTACAGTGTTTTGGCTAAAGTCATTCCAAAGGTACATATTGATGATCCCGTTGAAGTTGTACCTGTGTTTTTGGTATAATATTCTATTAAGTCATTTAGGGTAATGGATTTTTGGGAATCTTCTTGTCAGCCTTCTTTGACACTAAGGCCGGTATTATCTACGGATTCGGAGCTAAATTATTAGGAATGCAATTGTTGGGATTATTGATCATATTTGTATGGGTTGCCTTCTTCGTTTTAATTACATTGCTGATTTTAAAGGGATTCGGAGTTCTTAGAATTGATTCAGAAACTGAGAGTGTTGGTATTGATAAGGCACATTGTAATTAAATGCAACTTATTATTAGGTTTGGGTGAAGCCATTGTTTTTGCTAACTAAGTTGATGAGGCTCCACTTATTTAAAAAACCGAATTGGTTCAATTAGGAAACAGCCAAATTGGATCAGGATTTAGACCTGGTTTCAGATGATATTAAAATCATTCATATATATGAGCAGTTTTTATCAAAAACCTTTAATTTCTTTTTTGATACCATATAAAGTATATTTATATCCTAAAACACCAACTCCATAAATAATATGAATAATTAAAGAATTTGGAACAAGGTAGACTAAAACTATTCAAATTGTACTCATGGTTTACGTTTAAAGCTCTTGAAATCAGGTAAGAATTGCCACATTGTCTACATACTCTGCACAGAAAAGCAGATAATGCTATTTAAAGTAACAAAAACTTTATATAATTAGGATGATGATTTAACAAAACCTTACAAATATTTACCCATAAACTTTGAATATAGGTTTCAGGTTGTAAGAACTCCTCCGGTGTTAATAAACCCGTCTCTTTCTGAAAACAAGGGGGAAAATGTTATATCCCTGGGAGAAATACTTGCTATACGATTTATCCGGGATAACGTAGAGAAGTGGAGTGAATTCAGGGGGTCAGTGAGTGATTTGGAGTATTTGAGACAGTTTTTGGGAAAGAAGATGAACTAAACTGGATTTCATTAGTATTTTAAGGTGTACAAAAAAATAGGGAAAGGGAGCTTTGCTTCGGTGTATTTGGCACAGCGGATAGAGGATGGAACAAAGATGGCTGTGAAGGCGTTCTGTAAGAATGCAGTTTATAAGGAGGAGAATGGAAAGGTAAGTATGAAAATAAACAAGTTAGGAAGGGTTAATTAATGAAATTCAAATAATGAGAATTCTGGATCATCCTAACTTAATGAAACTGTATGAAGTTTACGAAACACAAAATTCTATCTACATGTGTTTGGAGTTATTAGAAGGAGATCAATTATACGGCTTGTTCAAGATGAAGAGATCCTTTAGTGCTCAGCAAATACACTCAATAATGAAAGGATTGTTGGAAGGCTTGAATTACATTCACAGTATGGGAATAATGCACAGAGATCTTAAGCTCGAAAATATCTTATTCAAAGAGCCAGAGTATGTTAATCATATAAAGTTTAGTAATTACGATTCCGTGGTGATAGCTGATTTCGGATTGGCAACCAGGGTCGATTAGAAGCCATTTCTGTACACCAAATGTGGAACTCCTGGATTTGTTGCTCCGGAAGTTATCAATTTGAAGGATGAGTAATTATGTTATGGCTCGGTTTGCGACATGTATTCGTTAGGAGTGATCCTATATATCTTGATTACAGGACAACCGGTGTTCAAGGGCAAGAGTTATAATACCATAGTGAGGAGGAATCGAGAAGCCATTGTAGATTTTCAAACTGAAAAACTTAATTAAGTATCGGATAATTAGAGAAGCTTATTGATTAAGATGCTCCAGGCAGACCCAGATTTAAGGATCACTTCCAAACAGGCTTTGATGCATGAATACTTCTGCGCCTATTACGAAGAGGAATTTGCTCAGATGTACACTGATGATGACCCACACTTGGGGGAGATGCTCGTTAAATTGAATGCCGAGTATATTCGATTGGATATGGAAAGGCTGAAGAGATCCAATGATGAGAATGACATTTGCAAGACTGAGGATCTGAAGGTTGACTAGAGTTAGGAAAAGAACGATTTCCTCAAAATCATCATGAGAACTCCAGTCATTACTGGAAGAACCAGATCTATTGAGAGTACTTTCCTTATCCATATTTAGATTCTCCCTTTAATGGGTTTTAATCGCCCAACCAAGATACTCATATCCCTCACATCTAATAAATTTAAGCCAATTGGATCAAACCCTTGGCTTTATAACATTGAGAAAAGGTCATTTATAATTGAATTTAGATTGTACTAATATTCATTATATAAATATATTAATTATTATCTCTCAACAGGTCATGCAGAACATCCTATCTTAATAATAACAATTTTTTGATTTGTTAGACAAATAAGTGGATGCCTATAAGACATTGCTTGATCAGTTGAGCCAGAGCTAAGACAAATTCAATCATCTCCTTTAGGACTATTTGCAAAGATTTCAAACCATCAATAACAAACTAGTCCAAGGCCGTCAAGATTTTTCGTGCTCATAAATTCAAATTAAAAGAAATGATGAATTGTACACGCATTCTTAATTACATATATAATTCAATTTAAGATCTGTAATTCTTATGTTTTAATGTTTTAGTTACTGGAGAAGCAATATAAATACAAACTTACCTTAGCAGACGCCCTCGAAACTCCCCTTTATCGAGATCGCATTTTCTAATTAAGAGTCGAACTCAAAAACAAGAGTGGAGATCTTGTTAAAAACCCCAATAAAATCGAACTTGTTGTTGCTATCTACTCACAAGAACAGTATCCCAAGGAAATCAAAGTTAATAATAAAGGAGAATAGATATTGAAAGGTCATCTTTGTGTGCCTCTCATCAAAGGAACCGCCTTCTTTACAAGAGTTCAAATTAGGGAAGTATCTTCCCATTATTAAAATGGCTCCATCATCTTAGCTATCCTCCCCTAATTCAAGTCTAATGATGAACCCATCAATAGTAGGGATGTTCAACCACTCATCGTCGAGAATATTAAAGTTAAAGCAAAGAAATTTTCAGAACGCCACATTCCTGTGTATGTAAATTAATGATTAATTATAATGTTTTGGAATCATAATTTCTATAGTTATTGCTGTCATTCTATCTTTCATCATCTTTATTATCCAGAGTTTGCCAAACTATCATGGAAAGTGGACATCCAAACATATTAAAAATGATGTGAAGTAAAAAATAGTAGTGGACTCAATCTAGGATATTTAGAGATAAACTATATTGCATTCCCCACATTCATGCAAAATTCTTAAAAGAAGGATATTACTAATTAGGATTTGTACATGCTTAGGATAGATTTTGGTAATTACATTTAAGAAGGTAATCTGCGAATTTCAATATTCAGAATGACATCATAAGGTAGAATGAGTGAGATCTTTTGATAAAAAGCTTTCTATTGGGACAAATATATTAGGAATCTAGGATATCTTGAATCATGTAAGAGAATAGTTCAAAAACTCAGTGAAGAAGCAAGAATCCATTTGTAATCATATGCTGATGGAATAAATGATGGAGTGAAATCATTATCTATTCTACCTATTGAATTTAAAATATTAGGAGTTTGATTTTAGGATTGGTAAATATATGACACCGTTGCATTCATTAAGTTACTGTCCTTAATGAATATAAATCATGTGTTAATGAATTTATGAGAACTAAATTTGAAGAAATATATGGAAGAGAACTTGTAAATATACTTGGCTCAGTTGGACCAAGTAACTAATTTGATTCACTTGTTACAGAAATCTAAGAAAAAGAATGGATTTAATTTATACAAACCCATAATGTGTCATAATAGCAATTTTAGAATCAATAACAGAATATTATTCCAATTATATATTCCCAACTCTAAAGGCTTCAAATTCTTGGGTCATTAGTGGGAATCGTGCAAAAGTGGGAAGCCTCATTTTGCAAATGATCTACATGTAGATAATAGTCTACCATCTTAATGGTATTAGGCAGAAATATACTATTAGATGGACAACCAAGAATATAATAATTATATCATAGGTGGAACACTACCTGGATTACCAATTACTCTGAGTGGAATGAGTGGAAGAAGTAAGTATTTGTATTTGGATTTGAATACTTTGAATTTTGATGGAAGTGACGTATATGAAGAGGAGATAACTAAAAATGAGAAAGGAAATATATTCTATAAATTCAATAATTAATGGATTCCTATTCCTTTGTAATAAAACAGTCGAAATTATTAAAATAAAAGGGTAAAAAGATTTAATATCATTTTCATACTCATCATGGTCCAAAATGTTTTACAAAATTGAGAACGGTAATTTAAAAAATCATAACAGACTTTTTAATTCATTATGATCTATAGTTCATATAGATCATAATGAATCCTTTGATGGGTTAATTAAATTTGCTTAAGAAAAGGATTTAAAGTAAAGCATGGAACTATTGAAACATATCTGTTATCCTAGCAATGGAATGGTATTCATTATTCATGACAATCATATTGGTTATCTAGCAACAGGAAGATTAGTAATAAAAGAAGGACATCTAGATGATAATGCATATGTTAAGAAAAACAATAAAGAATGGATTAGATATGTGCCATATAAAGAAATCCCTATGATTATTGATCCTGAGAAAGAATACATTGTGGTTGCAAATAATAAATTTATTCCTGATTATGAACTAAGTTGGAATTCACAACCAACAAGTAGAGCAAGAAGATTAAATGATTTAATTAATCAAAATCGCTATAGGAGAGAAGTTTACTATTACAAATCATATAAAACTTTAATCAGACACTTGATAGTTAATACGAAAAATAAATTAATGGAGTTGCTTTATAAATATGATTAAAAACATGATTTATCAAATGAAATTTCAATATTAGAAAATTGGACATATATGGGAATAAGATTCCTAAGGTGCCTTATTATATGGATTATTTGAATATTTTTATTCACACGAATTTCATCCTTAATTAGAGTTAGCTGTAATCAATGAATGGATTAATTCTTAAATTTTTGATTCATTCCATTTTAATAATCTGATTGATGTGTACCATGCAAACCCTAGTGACCAAATTTTGAATTAGCCATTATTGCAGTGGTTCAGCTCAAGATAAATGTGCTAAAAACTTGGTTGAGGCTTTAACATAAGCCATGTAATATGTACAGAAAAAATTTGGAAATCAGCCTACTGATTGGAAATGGGGATCATTACATAATTAATTGTTCCCTCAAGCACTTTCAGATACACCTTACGGATTTATTTTTGAAAGAAAGATACCTTATCACACAAACAGAAGATCTGTGGCAGTGTCATAATATGAATTAGATGGATCTTTTAATGGTAAAACAGGATTAAATTATAAATAAATTATATCTATGGATTCTGAGGAATCACTTTATTTGTAATTGATACAGGAATAAAAGGCAATCCCTTTATTAAATTTTACACTAATCAAATGAATATTTGGAAATAAAAAAAGTATGTCAATAGAACAGATTACAAATTATTATTTATTATATATCCAAATTGAGTTAAATCGAGAAATATATATATATAGTTTGATGTAAATAATAATATATGAATATTACTTCACTCTTTTTTCTCTCCTTATTATGCTACTTATCTCTCAGCCTTTTTCTCAGCCTTCTTCTTTTCAGCTTCTAATTTCTTTTATTATTTTTTGCTTTCTGGATTTGGTTGTTCTTATTACTTTTATTATTTTGGTTATTCTTATTATTATTATTGCTATTATTCTTTCTTTTATTCATCTACAGTTCCAGTTTGAACTGATTTCAAATCTAATTTGGTTTAAATACTGGCTGCTTTAGTTTTACCATCTGGAATATAAATCAATTCATATTTATCTCCAACAATTTTATCTATTCTGAAAAAGCCTCTTCTCTCAAATTACAATACGGATCCTACATAATATTTTATATTTTACCAACTTAGAGTGTCTTAATTCCAGCATCGGCCAATGCTTCAGTAACGTATTTACTATTTGAATTGTAATAGTCATCAAATTCGTGATGTTCTTCAATAGTTTTAACTTTAATGAGATGATCATATTCAACCAAATCTACATTGACAATAGGAGTATCCTTAGCAAGCCAAGTATATTTATTGGTTGTTTTGAAATCCTTATCATCTGGCAAGTTCTCACCAGTCAATAAGATTTAACCATCAACCTCCTTTTTGTCTGTTATTTTAACATTTCCCCACTTCATTAAAGTGATTTTCTCATCTGGCACATGATCTCTTAAGCATCCTAAGCTTCTAAGTATAATTGGCTACTTCTGAATAAAGGTCTTGTGCCTAATTCAATCGTTTTTAGGATGTTAAGGCACAGTGACTACTTCAATACCTTAATCTCCATAATCTGAAATAGTCAAAATAGCAATTCCTTCCTTTCCTACAGCTGTATATCTTGGAGCAATGGGATCAATCTTTGTGAAATTGATAGCCCAAAGCTTATCCCAAGTTTGAAGATTGGCATTCTTTGATGGTCCTTATTCCAACATAAAATCATGTAAGGCTTCAACTGTGATTCCTCTTCTTATGATACCTCTAAGAGTTGGGAAACGAGGATCCTACCATCCTTCTACAACCTCTTAATCTACAAATTCTTAAAGTTTTCTCTTGCTCAAACAAGTATTAACGAAGTTCAATCTTGAAAATTCATAAATCTCAACTGGTCTTAATTCCAATGCTTATTATACCCATTGATATTATGTAATTCTATCAGAGTATTCATTTGTTCTCATTGCATGAGTAACTCCTTCAACACTATCCAAAATTGGGCATACAAAATCATAAGTTGGGTACGCCTCATATTTAGTACCTGTTCTATGATGTGGTGTTTAATTTGTTCTGTAGAGAACTGGATCTCTCATGCATTTATTTAAAGCCTTCATGTCAATTTTAGCTCTCAAACAGTAATCAAAAGTCTTTCCAGCTAACACTTAATCAAATATCTCTAGATTCTCTTCGACAGATTCATTTCTATTAACACTCTCAATTCCATCAAATCTTTCCTTCTTCATAGTTTCTTTATCTGTATTGTCACAATAAGCCAATCCTCTCTTAATTAAGAATCTTGCTTTTTCTTCTGCAAGGTCGAAGTAATCACTTGAATGTGACAAGTTTGCCCACTCGATTTAAAGAGTTTTCAAGTCTTCTAAGATGGCCTCTTGATATTCAGCCTTCTCTTTCGATGGATTTGTATCATCAAAACGCACCAACATTTTGCCTTCATACATTTTGGAATATCTATAATTCAGTACTGATGCTTTAATATGACCAATATGTAAATAACCAGATGGCTCAGGTGGAAATCTTGTACAAACCTATCCTAAAATTAAGAGATAAAAAAGATAACTACCTTTGATTGCTCCTTTCAATACATCATATTGTGCTTATCCTTATTGCTTGCCTTGTTTCATCTCAAAATTTTTAAAAATAAATTTAAATAAAATTCATAAGTATTTCTTTCATAATTTAAACACATGTATTAATTAATCATCTTATTAACAACACATAAGCACCCATAATAAAACATAAGCCTGATACTAGTGGCGATAATCTATCCTAAATATTATGATATTTTTCATATACTCCAATGACAGCGCTTCTTCTAAAGAATCCCCTAAATCCATGTCTATGTGAATTTATTAAATCAGGTTTCATCTGTCTGATATAAGTTGAAGTGCAAATAACAAGCAATAAAATCACTATCATTGTTGAGAAGTTGAAAATTCCAAACTAATTATCATGCATTAAATTACCATGCTTTTCTTTGATTCTCTGCTTATTTAATTATAATTTATATAATATGATCATAAAATACTGTTGATTAGATTGTCTAATAGTACATGATGTGCAAACGAATAAGTGAGTATAATACAATCTTGAATTAGTTGATACAATTATAGATTTATTTCATAATCATTAAAATTCATCTCCTCTTCTTTTGATGTAATGTTTAAGTTCCTTAACATTCTCTAAACACAACGATAGAATCCTTTGAATAGTTTCCCTTTCTCTCTAGCTATTAAATAATAAAAATTCCAATTACTTTTCTTATAACTTGAATTGATAGACATTGTCTTCCTACTCACATTCAACTGCCCTGTCTCCTCTTTGCTTTAGTTTATTGTCCTATTTTTAGACAGCTTCGTCTCTATCCATGGTTAATACTTTGATTTAGGCTTCCAACACATTTACATCTGAATCTAATTCCTCTATAATTGCATTAACATCCCTTAGATCTTGATTTAAGTTTTTGTATAATCTTTAGAAGTATGCCTCTCTGATATCATCCACTGATCTTAATAGACTTCTGGCTATATCAATATAGTTTTCCAGATCATTGCAGGTCTCTACTAATTATCTTACAGTTTCCTCGTGCTTAGAAATTTGCCCTGTTTTCAACTATTCCATCACTGCAAACAATGAACTATAGCCTTGTAAATGTTTGAAATCGCCTTGGGATAGAGATCAAAGAATACCTGCTTTGAGACTTGCATAGCCTAATAAATTAGTAACTTTATCAACATCATCTTCTTGGAGTTGAATAAACGCTGTCTCTCCTTTGTCGTTTTCATACAAAGCAGACTCGAATATCTCTCTCACTGCAACAACGGCAGATATGGCAGTTTAATGTTCTCTTTGATATACATGTATGTACTTACTCAAGTCTAGAATCGAAGATGCACTTTTGTTTCTCTCTATTCTATTAGATCTCGTCTATTCTATTAAGTAACATAGTCTTTTCCTTCTTCTTGTTTTGAAGAGTGTTGACCTTTTTGGTTTTGTCGGGTATTTTATCATCCAAGGCCTATTACATATCCATGATACGAGCTTTCAATAAGGCTGCATAGTTATCAAAATCTCCGAGATCTTTAGTGCATTTGGATGAGAATGCCTTATGTTTTTCATCGATATTAAGGAATTCTGTTTCGTAAGACAATGCTTAATCTCTCAAAATTTGGAAGACTCTATCTAATGGCTCTTTGCTTCTCACAGCAATTTAGACTGTATCCAAGAACGTTTTGCCTAATTAAGTTTGCTCTAATTTAGTAATTTCCTCTTCAAATTTAAGTTCGATATTTACACTCAGACCTAAAAGTAGAAATAATATTAGCATGTTAATCGTTTTTATTTATATAATAATGTTAATATTTATTTAATTGATAGCAGGAGTAGTTTCAAATGAAAAAGTAATCACATAACAAGTGGCATTACAAATGGCGTCACTAAGTTTAGTGGGAACAGACTCATCACCAGCCTTTTTGGAATTTATAAGTCTTCCTCATTCAACATCTCGCATAACAATAGATCGAGCTGTGAAATGGACATTCAATGAGGACATAGTATTATCTATATCACCTTTGGAATTCTATACATCTGCAGAGAAGGCCTCCTTTCATTCATTGAGAATCCAAGGTAACTTTTACTATAAAAACCAACCATAATGGATGCTTTGGTGGTAAGAAAACTATTGGTAATAGCCAGTAGATTGGAGTGATAACTCAATATCCACATGTGGAGGTATCAGTATGTTGGGTGGTTATGGTAAATTTGCAGGAGGGGAGGTTCAGAAAACCTTTGTTGAATTGCCTCAACACAGTAAAGTTAGGATTGTAGCCAATTATCATTTTATAGATGGGTGGGGAGGAGAAACAGGGTTCTTAAGAGCCAGTATAGGTAGAATGGATGGAATGGAATATGTTTGGACTGAGAAATACGATTATTCTAAAGTCAAGAATGGCATTTCTGTGTGTGGCAGTAGATATCCTGAAGGAAAGTTGACTTCAGTAATTGATGTTTCATTTCCGCATACAAAGGATACTATTAAGTTGGGATTTGGAAGCACCTTAGACAATGATCCACTTGAGAATTCATTCGGAATATCGAATTTGTAGATTTACCTGATCTGATCTGATAATTAATTTATTTATTTTGTGACATTTTCACAAATGATAATTAGAAGATGTTCAATTTCTAATTCTACATCTCAAAGATCATAGTCTTAAAAGTAATAACTCAGTAAATAGTATTGTAGAATGTCAGAAAATGAATAATGCAGTAGTAATTCTCACTTCTCAACATGCTGTAGCAATACTTCTTCAGAAAACGACGAGGTCGATGATCCTTTGAATTATGCTTCCTTTAAAGATTTCCAAGTGGTCTTGCCACTCTTGATTAATGGTGTCAGAATACAGAAGGTGACTTGGGATCTCTTCTCTGCTCCACCAAATTTATATTCTCAATGGAAGGCCCATTGCTATTGGACTGTTGGCTATACATATGAGATAACAATGAAAAAAATGAAACAAAGCAATAAAATACGATATAGATTAACTGTTAATGCTTGGTGTTCTTTAAATAGCAAATCGTGGGTTAAAAATAAATGGGATCGCTTGTTGGAACATGAGACTGGACATTATCTCATTGGGTGTTTGTGTGCTTTGGAATTCAAAGCGAGGTAAAGTGGTCAAATCTATTGTAGAGCTGACCAAACTAAATTTACTAGGAACTATCGCCTTGAATCTACATAAATCTTCTAAGATACTTTCTAGGAGTATCTCTCCCTGGAAAGAAGGTACGACGAAGAGACCAATCACAGTCAAAATATTAGCAGATAAAAGGAGTGGAATGAATTCATCATTAAGGAATTACAAAAATACTGATTTTATTATTATTAATAATATATCTACAAATATTAATGGGTTGTTGTGGAAGCAAGAAAGGTATATACATTTCTTAATTTTTAGAAAAGCTCACAAACAAGGTTTAAGAAAATTAGCCATTGGACTAAATTAAATCATCCCAAGTAATATTATAATTAGCCATTAAAAGGTGATAGTGTAGACGAACAAAGCTGGAACAAAAAGAGACTATAAAAAAGGTGATTTGATAGGCACAGGTGCTTTTTCAGAAGTCTATCAGGCTTTGGATAATAAAACTGGCAAATTATTAGCCATTAAAACAGTTAAACTCTAAGGAGGAAAAGACGAAGTACAATCTTATTTCAAATTGTAGATACTTAGAACTATAATTGCATTAAAAGCAGAAATCAAACTCTTAAAAAAGTTATAGCACAAAAATATTATTAAATACTATTTTACAGAAATCAGCCCCAATCAGAGTTATGTTGACATCGCCCTAGAATATATTGCTTAAGGATCACTTAGAAAGGTTATCAATAAAGTTAGGCTCGATGAGGCCAATGTTAGAATTTATGCACGATAAATCTTAGAAGGGATTTAATACCTTCATCAAAATAAAGTTATCCATAGAGATATTAAGGCTGCCAATATTTTAGTTGATAGCGATGGAACGATCAAATTATCTGATTTTGGAACATCCAAAGTACTGGAGTCTGAGGAAACACTAATAATACAAAATAAATCCCTCAAAGGAACTCCCTATTGGATGGCTCCTGAAGTATGTTAATTGAAGGCTGCATCCTTTGAATCTGACATCTGGTCTTTTGGTGGAGTGGTCATAGAGATGATTGGAGGCTTGCCTCCTTATGCTGACAAATATGGTGCAGATATTGATGCCTATGAATTAATGAAGAAAATTGCTTTAGAGGAGAAACCAAATTATCCTCAACAAACATCAACATTAGCAACAGAATTTTTAGACACTATTTTTGTTGCAGCTCACCTCAGACCGTCAGCTAGCAAATTACTCCAGCATCCATATGTACAAATTTCTGATCCTTAGATTGATAGTGAAGAAGTGGGATTCAAATAATCCCTTGATCCAGTTCCTTCTAAGAGCAAAATTGCTGGGCCTACTGCTGGGAATATTTAAGATCAACCTATCAATTCAACTTAAACATAACTGAAACAATTATAATCACACAAACTAGATGAATAAAGGCTTTAAAAGTACACACTTTGTTTAATTATCTAGACAGAGAGAATGGGAACTTGCCCTCCAAGAAGAATTAAGAAGAAAGTCAAAATAAAATTTGTGAGTATAATAGTTTTTAATTTAAGTCACTACTTGGTTATTATTAATTTGTTTAATCGAAAATGTCTCTTATTATCTTATCTAATATTGTGAAATATTAGTATACAGATATGCATCTTTTTTTAAATTTCTCAAAATATAGAATAAATGTTAATTTAATTATATTACTTTCCAATTTATTTTATGAATATAATTTTTCACAATATGATATTTTAAAACCTTCTTTATCTTGGTTATTTACTACTCTTCTAAATTATTATTTATGTAATTTTATTTTTATAATAATATGATTAATATATAATCTTTGAAATTTAATTTATTTGATTTGGAGATATCTTATTATTTTTCTCTTTTTATTTCTACTAGTAGTTTTCTTAATATCATTTCTTCTACCTCTATTTATAAATGTATCAATAAATATTTTCTAACCACTTATTTTTTGAAAATTTTATTTTCTATAAATGATCTTAGTTTCCCTACAATATTATTCATCATAAATGAGTTTCAATTGATATCACCCCTCAATCTATTGTTTTAGTATCATATTTTAATAACCTTAATTTTTTATAAAAAATTGATTTTTTTAGCTATTCTAAAATATGGTTAAGATTATTAATAAATTCATGCTCTAGTTTTTCTCTAATTCATTTTTTATTAGATATTAACCTGATTGTATCATAGTTATTTTAAACTATTCCAATATAAATATAATGCTCCTTATTATTATGATTATTCATAAATATGTTAAAGAGGTGTATAAATTGTGATCATTAAGTAATACATCATCAGTGGCTTGTTAGTATATCGGTAGTACGCTTGCTTTGGGTGCAAGTAGGTCGGGTTCAATTCCCGAACGAGCCCAACTTTTTTATTACTTATTTAGTAACAGATTTGATCAGAATTAATAGAATAGACTAATTCTTTAATAATTATATATTTGATTGAAATAATAAAAAAGATAATGAACAAGTTAATCCTCAATATTTAGTTCTCCCAGTAGGTCAAGTTCAAAATTGCTTTTGATGCTTCAAATTAGAAGACATTTGAATAATTAAAGCAAATCTGTGTGCAAAGATTAGAATCCTTCCATAAGGTAATCATAATATTTAAATTAGATATCCCCTGATAATGTTAAGGATACACTGCCAAACACATTTGATCCCTCATAATATCATCTAACAGATTAAACAAATTTTATCCTCAGCGATTAAGATGTAGTTGAAGATTTATGTTCGAACAATGAATTAATACATCTTGTGTTCAATTAATCTTTATCAGCCTCAATTTTGGATCCACTTAAAATGTCTAGTTCATTAGGGACTCAACTGAATACTCAATCAACCTTATAACCATAATAACAATAGCAAGTTTCTTCAATACCTCCTCCCCAACAGATTTAACCCCCTCCCCAACAGATTTCACCCCCTCCTTAGTAATAATAAGTTCCAAACCCTGTATAACCTCAAATTAAGCCTTAGTAAATAGATGATGGCATGTTGGATGAAATTGGAAAGAGTGAACTTAAAAGGAAATTCTATTTAGATACATCAAAGTGGAATTTAGTTTAATAAATCCAAAGTGATATAGAGATTAGCATTAAATTTTTATAAGCAGAAAACTAGACTACTTAATACAACATTGGATGTTCATTAGAAGACACTCTATACAATTTATCAATAAAGATTTGCAATTAACTCTAAATACCCTAAGAATAAAATCATGCTGTTTTGTATAACTTAAGCGGATTGCCTTTGGTTAGCAATTTGAATTAGCTTCATCAAAAGACTGTAGAGGATACGATCAACAAACTTTAAAGCAAAGTCTTCTATGCCATAATCACTAAATGTTCAGCAGGAGATAAGTCTTTTCCTAAAATTGATTCTGATGAAGGAAAGGATCAGATCTTCATTATTCATCAAGGACCCAAAGTCATTAAGGTGGATATTGAAAACACAACTGTAATACAATTAAAATAAAAAATATACCATAAACTCAATATACCAACAAATGTCCAGACTTTAAATTACGGAGGCAAATTATTAACAGATTCTTTACTCCTTAAGGATTACAATGTATAGAATAATTCAAATTTGAATCTTACATTTAAATTAAACCAATTGGTTAGCCATGCTGATAGTTACAATTATAACTTCTATATGCCTTGGCTTAGCCATTTTGTAAAGTAGAGTGACGAGGGAATTAGACAATTTAGATGCAATATGCTCGTTCTATTTGCAAAGGAAGATCACCTCAAGTGGTCTCATGCCATTAGATAATACTCAAATAATAACACTCCTCTTACTTTGGCATCTGTATCTTTGATCAGAAAATATAGACTTAATTAGAATGCTCGTATAGCTTTTGAAGAAGGGTTTCTTAGATTGTTTTTTGATTTGATTATCTAAAGTCCATAAGTACCTGCTGCATTTGAAATTGGCTCAACCTTTGAGTATACAAGATAATGGATTCAATTTCTACATTCAGAAACTGCTAAGTACAAGGAAGCTGACATTAAATTGATCGAATACTATAGGAATCTTGAATATACTTGTTAGGTCACTTTAAGTCCCATAGAAACTCCGGCTTTTCTATCCTTAAGTAAAGATGATGATATAACAGCCTACTAAATAGTCGATTACAATATCCTAAAAGAAAAATAAGAAACACAAGAAAAGCATTCTAATGGCAAATTATTTTCAGAATTGAGTTTAATTTAGGATCCTAGATTAGAGGAACAGTTCAAGATAATCAAATTCTTAGAAAAGGAAGATCTCATATGGTTACCTCAAACAGATTTTAAAGACGGCAGAGATCTTAATTCAATACCTGCAGAATGGCATAAGAATGAAGATTTAAAAATCAATGTTCTAAAGATTTATAGTTCAGTCGAATTGAAATAACACCCCACTGCTCCTGTTCTCACTAAGAACTCTTAAAAACATTTAGTCATCTACACATCCATGAACAAAGATGTAGCCAAACCTGTTAATTTGTTTGATCCAATTAGTGGCATTGAATAACCTGAAAATCCAGATCAAATTGCCTATAATTAGGTCTTACCAAATGCAAAGATTGCTCCTGGAAAAGTTGATGATGATGATGATGAGGATTCTTCAATTTAATTGGTAACTCAAATAACTGTTGAGCCAGAGGAAGCTATTATTGTATTAATTGATATTTCTGGTTCCATGGAAGAGGAATTCTATAACAGTGAGGATCTGACAAGATTGGGTGTAGTTAAAGCTTTCTTCAATGCTTTTGCAGACAGAACAATGGCATACAATCTCAAAAATGTCATCTCTCTAGCTTATTTTGATGATCGATACATTTTGAAATGCGGCTATACTGAACTTTTCATGTAATTTAAGGATTTGGTAAATAAGGCTAAACCTTAAGGTATGACAGCTTTATATGTGGCTCTCAAGAATGCTATTGATTCTCTTTTATAATTTAAAAAGAAATATCCAAATTGTATATTGAGAATTATTGCACTCACTGATGGGGAAGATAATAAAGGAAGATATAGTCCTGAATTTATTGCACAAACAATTCTTCAAAATTAAATCATCCTTGATTCTTTTGTTGTCTATGATAAATGTGATGGCTTAAAATAAATCACCAAGGCTGCAGGTGGACAGTGTTTCTGCCCTAAAACTATATAAGAGGGTTTGAAATTATTTGAATATGAAACCATCTTATCAGCTAAAATAAGGAAATAATCAGAATCATTAACACCAGCCAAGGTAACTGCAATTTTCCAATAAGATCCAAAAACGATCTAATTTGATGTTTAACCAAGAGAATTCGAGTTACCTTTAGAATTAAAAAAACAATCTATTAACCCAAAATAATTGGTTAGTAAAATTAGTTCTGATTCATAATAACTTAATTTAATTGCTCCTCACAATTATCTCAAAAGAGTGATGAAAGAATTGATGATTTATGAATAAAAACCTCATCCCTTTGTCAAAGTGTTCCCATGCTCTCATGATGTGTCCTTCTGGAAGATTATTATGGTTGGTCCTGAGTAAACCCCATATTCAAACGGAATTTATATTTTGTATATGAAGTTCCCTTAGGAATTCCCATTACAACCACCTGATCTTAGATTTTTGACTTCCATCTACCACTGCAATATCAATAGCCAAGGAAGAATATGTCATAGTATCTTAGGCAGAAACTACACTCCTGATACAAAAGTAATTTAGATCTTTGAGGCAGTTTATGGTATTTGTTAATATTGAAATTATTAGGTCTTCTCATGACTCCTGAACCTGACGATCCTTTAGATACAACCATAGCCTCTGAGTACATGCAAGATTTGAAGTTGTACTTAGAAAAAGCAACCAATCACACTCTTAAATTTGCCAAAAGACCTATGGATGAAGTGTTGAAAGAAATACTTGGTTCGGTAGGGGAGGAAAAAGACTTAAGTGATGTTGAGTTGTAAGAGAAGACTAACGAAATTCTTAGTTGGGTAAGTAACGCCAGTAAACCATAATGATTTATGTAGTTCATTTAATATATTAATATTATTTAGTGATATACATTTAAAATTGAGAAATCTCAGTACAAGGTTGGATTTTGGTCTAAAATGTAATTAAAAAAAAATACATTTGCCATCCATCTTGAAATAATAAATTATTAATAACCCTAAAATATTAAATTATTATATGGGAGTAGCATAAACTTGTCTAAAGTAAAGGAACTCTGCTCCCTAAATAGAGTACAAAGTTCCGACAATCCTAAGAAGAAAGCAAATTGTAAAGCACCCGCACAAGTAAAATATTTTGATTCCTCCTCTTTCTTAATTGGGTGAATATCATGAATCCCTTGAACAATTAGAACTGGCATTATAAGAAAATAACATTAATCTTAGCATCCATAAAACAGCTACTTTTAACAGCAGCAGTGCAAATCGTTAATCTATTTCAATCAACCCCAGCTTAAATCTATCTCTTAATACTACCATCCCCAATATGATTTAACCACAAATCAATTAGAATTTATCCATTTAAGAGTAACCATAACCGTAGCATAAAAATGAATAAATAGTTTAAAGAAGATAAACATATAAGGATTCTTAATTTAAGATTCGCGCAGAGGTCTAATGTGACAAAAATAGCAGCTATGCTCGAAGTCTCAGTAGTAACTCAAGAGCTTAAAAAGCATAAAATGCTAATAATGAGGAATCCTCGATCTCGTTAAAAAGAGACTCGGAAACCAACACCAAAAAAAGCATTTTGAAAAACAAACAGCAAATTATTACAAACTAACTAAAAAGAGGAATAAGTCTAAGGCAATAGTAATAAATAATAAATGAGGATACTCAATCTTAAAGAACCTCAAAGAGTTAAAAAAGAGTTAAATTCGATCCTAAAATATTTAGACCCAAAAACACTCATTTCTTCTAATGAAATTAAAATCTTGTTTTTGTTATTTTTTTATTTATGTTTTTAAGTTTATAAATAAATATTGATATTATAAAATTTTATGAGTAAAACTACCTAATATAGTCGCAACAGTAAATACAAAATGAAAGAAGCTATGTATTTCATGGTTTTAATATGATAGTTAATAAATATCTTAATGTATCAGCACTAAGAGTTACTAATCTGCCAACAAATTGTATTCGAATTTATTATTATAGATTGGAAGAAAAGAAGAGAAGTGCATCCTTAGCCAACCATTCATATTAAAACATTCCTAAATCTGCTACAAAAGAGAACAAAAGGTGTTTTTCAGTTAGCTTGGATTTTCTGGAAACTTTAACGATAGAAAATCCAACTGTTTAGGAATTATTAAAATAACTTAACATAGATGATTAAAATATTGATATCAAACAAATAATTAGGGAGAATCAAGATTATTTTCACCATCTCTAACGTAATCTTTTATCTTATTAAGAAAATTGCGCTTGTTTCAGATGTTCATGTTGTAATTGTAAATGCAATTATGCAAACAATGCAAAATTGGTTTACAAATCAGGATATAACACTTCCTATAAGAAGAGCTATAAGTTCGGGTTAAGCACCTCCTCTTTTTACACTCCAGAACTGAATTTACGATATTATGAGTAAAGGCCCATCCAGACCCCATTTCTTGAAATGCAAACTTAACAACGCAAGGCTTTCACTGCACATCCCGTTCAGTAAAGATACAAACGATAATACAAGAAGAATTCAGCATCAAGATAGTTTTTGTCTACCACCACATATCAAGTATTAAGACAGAACAAGAATTATAGAAAATGTATCCTGATTGGAAAGATCATGATCCAAATAGGAAGATTGATGCTCCTCAACATATAAGCACCCATTCAGGAATCCCTATCTTGACAGTTACCAGCTATAATAAAGATTATACAAAGACTCGCCCCAAGACCTCCATTCCCTCAGCTTCGGATGTTAAGCAAATGCAACATCAGTAACCCTTCATATATTAAATAGTTAAACATATGCTCATATCACTCCAAACTATTTTGAAACAACCTACAATTCTGATTTTTAAAAACATCATCAGAATACTTACATTAATTCAAAAACTGAACCCAACATTGAGGTCTACGTACCTTTACGAGGCTTGTCTTATGATACAGTCAATAAAAAGGCATTTTAGAATGGACACATCATCACAGAATGCTAAGGAACTAAAATGAAAAAAATCTTAAAGTTAAGAAATCAAAGTGCTTCCGTCCTCAATGCTTATCTCAATGAAATATATCAAAAACAATGAAATTATTGAAGTGAAGAGATTCATTATTTATTGCTTATATTAAATATTAATTTTAATCAAATATATTTTAATACAGAATAATATATAGAATATATAGAATTATAAGCTTTTCATTAAATTTTATCAAAATTTTGAGATCATTTACTCGCTTATTTAACGAAATGTTTCTAAATGAGGTTCTTCAGTTGGATAATATTTTTATTTTTCTATTCTATTAACATATGAGGACTTCTTAAAAAGTTTTTAATTTGTTATCAAATTATCTGAAGGATGCAATGATATTATTGGAATCAAATGAAAATCTTCAAGAGATTTAAATACATAAAATGAGAGCATATTTTATTTCTAAACAGCATTCTATTTAAATTACATCTACTTATAAGGTCCAATTTGTCTGATTATCATTAAAGCAATAGGAATTTCTAAATTTAATTACTAATAACTATTGTGTCGCAATTCTTCTAAGCTTTAGGGATTTAAAATAGGTAATTTGCTTATCTTTTCAGCAGTAAAAATTGATCCAGAGTAAATAATGTCAAATTTTATGAATTTTTAACTTAAATCATCTTTGCTTTCCTCATCCTTTAGTTCAATTGTAATATGTTCTGTACTTTAGAAAATGAAGAACAAGCAATTAAAAAGTAACTGCTTAAGTTTCTTTTAATCAGTATATATTCGATTGTCCGTCAAATGAGAAATAAATTTGATTTTTTTTTCATGAGTTTTAGGGAAAAGCACATTGAAGATTGATATACATTCTTAAATACAATTGGATAAATCGAAGTGATTTAGAACAACTTTGGTGAATTTAGAATTCAAGTTTGCAAAATCTTAAATATTATTAATGTCAGTGTAGGTTTTTGTAATTTAACTATTCAAAAATAATATAATTTTTTTATTATCAGACATTAATTATGCATTCTTCAACATCTCTGATGATAAAATTTATTTGAGGTAAATTAAGCATACCCTGATTCTAGATTAAATGCTTTCTTGAACCTAATTCAACAATTTATTGGATATTTTCAATTTATACTTTAAGGATTTGTTTTATGATTCTTTTCTATTTTCTTTGATTAAAATTATTAAACATGGCTTAGTATCTTCAGTGCGAATTATTTTAATATGATGTACATCTAATCCAATTAATCCTATCAACTCATAAGTTTAATTATCTACAGTACAATTCTTTGTTATTTCTTGCATCTTCTCATGATTCATAAACAAATAAAATAGGAACTATTCTAAATTAAGCTTATTAGTTGGATTAAGCATTTACGAAGATTGTATGATAGACTTTCTTCTCCGTTAGCTGAATAAAATCACTTTCATACTCCGAATTAAATTAATGAAATTTTGTTGTTTATTTTCAGTTATTTAGGAGACTCTATTCTATCTGATTAAATCAAATTGATTTTGCCTCAGATTGAAATGGACAATATATGATTAAATTTCAATCTATTTATAAAGGTTTTCTTCAATAATGTCTTTATTGTTCATTATAATAAAGGAAATTCTAGTTTACTATTCATTAGTGTAAAAGCTGTATATTGCTATTATGCTAGAAAAAGTAAATATTAAGACTTGTCTCCAATGGTCAGAATCTTAGCAAATACTCGTGATATTCAGAATGAGTACAACGATTGTAATAAAGGTTTTAATTAAATAACTCCATTGGGAGATTATACTAAAATATTTCATAGTTATACCCTAGAGTTCCTAAACAAATGAAATAGCCTTGTAGTATTTCCTTGTCACTGGATTGTTTTAAGAATCCATATTTAATTGGATGTTGAATATTATAAATTAAAATGGCTATTAATGTTAAAGTATTATTTAAGGAGGCCAATTATTACTTAAAAATATAGCCAAGCAACATAATCAAAAGGGCGAACAAATTTAAAATAGTTTCAAACCATAATTTTTATACAATATTCCCAAGGATTTCTAACGATATCAAAATTATGAGAAAAAGCCTGTAAACAGTTTAGCTTTATTTTTAAAGACTCTTTCTTTATGAGGAATATCGATGCTCAAATTCTGAATTATTGAATCTTAAAGTGATAAAATTCATTATTAAATTTAATTTATACAAAAAAATTGATAAGTGATTATTGAATTTCAAGTATTTTGAGTATAAGCCTTCTCAAATTCTTAAACAAACGTATCAATTTCTTGCTTTGTTAAACCTATCGCACATGCAACTGTGATATAAGGTGTAAAATAATTATCTAAAATATTATAAGAAATACTCGTTACCACAATGACTTCCGTAATTTTTGAATTCAATACCGCAAACTACCTTATTTTTTTTATTTGTAATAACCCTTGATCCCATCACTTTTTTAGAATATAATATGGCTCCTAATTTAGTAATTTAATTTTTTTCTTCTTAATTATTCTAATCAATTTTTAAGTTCTACAAGCTTATGCCAATAGAGATGCTATTTTTAGGAGTATTAAGTATTTGTTCAGAAATTTTCTATGTCATGATTTAAAGTTTCTCTTTAAAATATGCGTAATTTTCTACTCTTTCCTTTTGTAATTGCAAATAACCTGATTTGCCCATAGACAAAAAGGTAATAAATAAATCTAAAATTGGAGCAGCACTTGCTCTGCCTGGATACAATTCACTAATTTATTTAATGAGCTTTTTATCATTGCCATATATCAAAGCCCCGCCAACAGGAACCATAAAGTTTTTATCAGTGCTTGAAACAATCAAGTTGACTGTTCCTTAAGCTAATCCTAAATTAATGGAGTTGGCTATTTTATTACATTAAAGGCCATACGCATTGTTAACAACATGGTATATTGAGAATTACTTACAGATTTTAGCAATTTCCCCAATGTTATCTGGAATTCTGGGTGCGAAACAACTTGTAGTGCTTAAAACACATACAATATTGTCTGGTCCAATTTCATTAACTTTTTAGATTAACATATCTAAATTAGTTGTTACGACATGGTCTTGGATCACAGAGTCAATTACTATGGGAATAAGGTTGGCTGTTTAAATGCATTTTAAGCATGTTTTTTAATCTATTCTTGGCCATAGAACGTATTTTGCTTATGGCTTTAAAGATTTCAATGCCAATAAACAAAGTGATATTGCCATTCCTGTAGCAACAGGTACAAGAAGCAATTCATTAATTTGATAATTGCTCAACTTTAAAGCGTCTTTAGCTAAATGCTTAGTTAATTTGGCTATTAAAGAGGATCCTGCAGCTTTTGGTTGGCTGGCAATTAGATCTCCTGATCTTCCAATTCCATGTCCCATGTAATAATTTCTTTTTTAAACAAGTGCTGAGAAAATTCTGCTTTCTCTTTCTCCCACACCCACTTTATTACTAAAATTGTTGGTATCCATAGTTGCAAATATGTTGAGCAAATATTCAATTGTAAGATCATCGAAACCTTCTTCAGGTAATTGTCTTTAGGATAGCAATAATTTAAACAGCTTCTCTTTAGCATTTAGAGAATTTGAAGCTATTTTGACATATTTATCATCAATTATTTCAGAGCAGAGTTTAAGATTTTACTAATTCATTAGTTATTAAAAATAATTCGCGGTATAATGAAGTAAACAACACTTTAAAGGTTCTTGACTTCTTCATAGAAAAAGAATCAACCTACAGGCTTAAATAACACTAAAGTCTCTAATGATAATAGTTTGATCGAAGAAAAAAAGATTGAAATCTAATATATCAAGCCAGCCGCTTCATTTTAAAAGGAGGAGGGAGTTAAAGTAATTAAAGAGCAAGTAGTTGAAAATGTTCAAGAGAAGCCACAACAATTAAGCAGATTAAAAAGAAATAGCATTGTAGATAGTGAAGATGAATAAGAAAAAAAAGAAGTGGATCAAAACGAACTCAAAATTGATAAATTCACTTTTGTGGGTTCTTAAGAAAAGAATAAGGAGAAAAAGTCATTGGCTGTCTTTATTAAATAGGATAATACAAAAAATAACACAAAAACTTCTTAAAAGCAAAAAAAATCAGAATGTGATAAATCTGGCAAACCTTTGAAATAATCTGCAAAATTAGAGGATGAGGAAATTGACTATTCTTAAGAAAATAAATAAGGAAATCTAGATTTCAGACATCCCACAGACAAGATCAATGTATATGAAGAGTTTGATGATGTGACTCCGAAATGGGCAAGTATTGGCCTATCTAGAGATAAAAGTGGTAAATTACATGGGACTTCAGATGCAGATCCAACAACCCTCTTAATTCCTTAAAGTGATTTCAATAAACTAACCAAATGTATGCAATAATATTGGAAATATAAGAGTGAAAACTTTGATAAAATCATCTTTTTCAAATTAGGAAAATTCTATGAATTATTCTATGAAGATGCCTACATTGGAAATAAATATTTAGATTTGAATTGGATGGGAAGAAAGATGTAATTAATTCAATATATATGATAATAGGCATACAGGATTCCCAGAAAAAGCAGTCCACAAATATAAGGCTCTTTTATTGGAGTATGGATACAAGGTTGTAATAGTAGATCAAACAGAAACTCCAGAATAAATGAATCAAAGAGTAACCTAAAATAAGAAGACTGGATAGGGGAATACTGATAAAATAGTCCAAAGATAAATAAGTGAGATCTTGACGAAAGGGACGTATTTGTATGAAGAGGGAGAATCATAAATGAATCTAGATGAAAAGGTTTTACTAGTGATAAGAAAGAAAATCATATCGAACGCAATAGAAGAATATGGAATAGCCATTTTAGAAAGATAAACAAATACGATATCACTTGCATTTATTGAAAATCGAGATAAGAACTATGAGTCTCTCAAGACTTTATTACTTCACATGAGACCTGTGGAAACAGTCATTGATTAGCATAATCTACCCTCGCATGATCCAATTACCAAAATGATAGGGGGATCTGTTATTTAAAGTGTGATTTCACATCTTACAGCATCTTAAGATAATTGGGATGAAAAGAAGGCCTTATTTAGACTTGAACAGTATTATTAAAATGAATTTCCGCCAGCCATTAAATTCTATAAGAACAATTAAGTTGTCCTTTAAGCTTTAAATGGATTGTTTACTTATTTGAATTATATCCTAATTTTAGATAAAGTTCTGGGATGTGCAAGATTCAAAATATATAATGAAGTATTTTCACTACAACAATGTATGATTTTAGATAGTCAAGCAATTGTATAATATTACATTATTATTCTAGTATCATTTAGAGATTCTGTAAACTACTAATTCAGTAGACAAAAAAGACTATTCCTTGTTTGGTGTCTTAAATAAAACAGTTACTCCTGGTGGACATCGATTATTAAGAAGGTGGGTTTGTGCTCCCCTTTATTAAGTTGATCAGATTAGAGAGAGATAGGCAATGGTGTGTGATATCAGCAACTTTAGAAAGGAGAGAGATTTGTTTAGATAGAGTATTAAGCAATTTCCAGATTTTGAAAGAAGATGCAGTAGAATTTATGAATACTCCATCAAATCTGAAAGTAAAGCCGTATTTTATGAAAACCTCTCTGAATAACGACTAAAAGAATTTAAGAGTTTGACCTCAACTTTGAAACTTGCTTAGGAAGAGATAACCTTATTCGGTTAATTGTAAATCAACTTCAAAAGTGAAAGGTTAAGAAAAATGATGACTTTTGAAGCTAATGGAGGTTTATTGCCCAATGTTTAGGAATAATTAAACGAATTTGAATAATATATCATTTGGGAAAAGGAAAAAGATAAAGAAATCCCTAAACCAGTTCCTGGAGTCTTAGATACTTATGATCAATCAATTGCTGGAGTTCAATTAGTTTAATAGAAACTTGATAATTATCTCTAGCAAATTAAAAAAATATTATTTAAGAATAATGGTAATATTCAGTTTGTGCATACAAAATTTAGATACGAGATTGAAATTCCAGATGAGTTAGTGGAAAAGTCAAAACCTGAAGATTTTGAATTTACATCTTCAAGACAGGGATACAAGAGATATATCACTAAAGAAATTAAGGATATGGTTACTGAGTTAGAATAAGCAGAGGAATTGAAAAAGTAGTAATTAAATGCTTTTGGGAATTTCATATTCAAGCATTTTTAATCTAATTAAAGTGTTTGGGATACTCTTATTAAAATATTAAATGAATTGGATGCATTATGTTCCTTGAGTGTCTTTGGAGATACTTCAGAAGGGAAGATGACTATGCCCACATTCAATACTGAAAAAACAAAGTTAGTTATTAAAGAAGGGAAACATCCATGTTTGTCCAACATCAATTTTGTATCTAATTCAATTGATATGGGAGAAAAGCTGTGTAAATTTTAATTATTGACCGGTCCTAATATGGGAGGAAAAAGCACTACTCTAAGAATGGTCTGTGTTCTAGCCATTTTAGCCTAACTTGGATGCTCAGTTCCATGTGAGGAAATGGAACTCTCTCCTATAGATAGGATATTTACTAGAATAGGTGCAAAAGACTATCTAATGGAAGGGAAATCAACATTTTATGTGGAATTAGAAGAAACATTAATACCATTAAAATATGGAACCAAAAATTCTTTGTTTATCACCGATGAATTAGGAAGAGGAACTTCCACATATGACGGAGTAGCTATTGCTTCTGCTGTTATGCATTATCTTATTAAGACTATTTAATGTAGAGTCTTATTTGCAACTCATTTCAGAATTCTGGTTGAAGAGGCCAAACTAATTAGTGAAGTTACAAATGTTCATATGGCTTGTTATATTTAAGATGGGAAAGTCATCTTTCTATATCGATTAAAGGAAGGAGCATGCGAAGCATCTTTTGGGATTAATGTGGCTAAAGTGGTAGGAATCGAGAATTCCATAATTACTCGAGCTGAAGATATGGCAAATTTCTTTGAAAATAAGGTTCAAAAGAACACAGAACAAACTCTGCAAAAGTTTAATTAAATTATGAAGGAATATGGGATTGTGTGATTATTGAATGAGATTGATTTTATTTTTCTATAGCCATAAATTAATATATAACTTGATTGTGTTTTATCAATATATAATTTATATAATGTAGTTATATTGTATTCATATTTATTTCCAGTTTTTTTGCATGATATAATACATTGTGTTTTATCAATATATTTGCTTAAATAAATTAAGTCATTTTGTATTCTTTTAGGTAATAATTAAAAAAATATTTGTATATAAGAAATGATTCATCACTATTAACAATAATAGATACAATTTCTTGATTCTAAGGGGATTGTTGATAAAAATTTTAATAAATACTATTATATTGAATATAATAGCAATTTAATAGAAGATGATGCCCATTCAACAATAATAACACCCATATATGTTACAATATTTAATAATTAAAATAATTCCACCAAAATATCGTTCAATTGAGTTTAAAGAATATTAATCATAATATATTATTTTATTGTAATTAATTGAAATAAGTTTATTTGAAATGATACTTTGAGTCTTCCACATAACTAAAATAGAATAGAAAAGGAACTAATTCATAACTTTAAATTTCAGAGGTAAAATAATCACAATACATAATATTGATTGATTTATAATTTTGTAACAAAAAATTCAAAATTAAATTCATTCAAAATATATATATTTTTGATATATTTTAATACATTAATTAATGTTATGTAAAATATTTATCTTTCTTTTGAGTCAATTCTAGTTTATCAGATTATATATAGATTATGCTTCTGATATATTATATTTAATTATCTATATTATAAAATCTAATTTTGCATTAAAAATGAATAACAAAATAAAATATCATTGCACTGAGCTTTTGCTTAAAATCTAAGCGGTACAACTCTGTGGATTGTATACCAAAGAATGATATGAAAATCTTTCAGATTACTCAATACCCCAAGCAACATTGCCAATCATATTGAGTAAAACCAAAGCAAAATCAACATAGAATACTATGTGTTCTATATTGTACTTTTTAATCATATAAAATCCTAAATTAGTAAAAATTAAAACTCCAATAGCCTTAAATATAAACATAAATAAATACTCCTATTCCATAAAAGAAAAATTGATAACCAATTTAAAATGTCAAATCCTAAGTCTCTTTGACTATAAATGAAATAAAGACTTATAAACATATAATAAAATATCCATAATTTGCTGTTGCTCCAGCAGCTGCAGCAACTAGATTGAATTCCATTAGGGTCACTAACATAGTCAATCCAGCTGCCATTCCTAGAAATCCAGCTATGAATCCTGTTGCCCAACCAGCTCCATATATCATGAAGAATCTTGTCCTTGGAGTGAAATAGCGCTCGTTCACGTTAAATTACACAGTGTTCTTAAGAAGTTCTTGTTTGCGCATGTAAAAGAATACCAAAAGCGTAAAGACAAAGTTTACCCCAAACAAGAGTAACATTACATAGAAATTCCATGGTTCGCAAGCAGAGAATTAATCACCGAAATCTTTATCGTTTGGATAGAAATAAGGTGACGTTTAGTAAGATGTTGTCCTGAGTAAAATGATTGATTCATTCAAAGCAAAATTGCCAAATGCTAAGAGGATTGGCAATATAGGGAATCTTGAGGTGGATTCCTCCTAAAACTATTTAAAAATCTTGGAAATTCTTTATTCGTCATTCATATTGGTTTCAACATTAAAATCATCAGTATTGATTTGGGTTGGTTGAACTTCAATCTTCTTATCTTTTTTGTTTTCAAGAATTTCTTCTGACTTAGCAAAATACAGAAGCACTGGGCAACTAGCTACGAAAAATATCATTTGTATAGTCAACAAAGGCAAAAGAGGTAGGTAGTTTGCCAAGTCCATTCCTATTTGCATAGATATAGGTATCCCTAAGGCATAGACTAATCCTATCTCAAAATTAACTAAAGGACGTTCAGGATGGTCAGGATGGCTATAAACATTTCAAGATCTATATTTACCTTTAAAAAAAAATTATAACTTGATTCACTAATTGTGCACTAAACATAAGGCAAGCAGTGATGTCCCCTGAAGTAGATGAATTTATATTTAGAATGGCTTCTAAAATGGGTCTTTTAAAAACACCACCTAATGAACTTAATAATATTCTCACCTCCAAGTGCTCCAAGGCTGCATACTCCAATAACTGGAATAATAAGAATATACATAATAATTGAGACTGCATTAGGATAAAGGATTCCCTCTCTGCAGCAGCCTATCTCACTAATTGGTTAGCCCTTAAAAGCTAGGCTACTGCAAACAGAAAACTATCCACAAGTCGAGCTATGACAATTTATTGTACCAACTCCTTAAAATAAGGAGTATTAGTCATCCTAGCATGAAAAAAATGATGACATTATTAAAATAAATCAGATTGTTCATTAATAAGAATAGGCTTTAAACAATATATATTTTTAGTTCATTAATAAGAATCGGCATTTAAAAAATATATTTTTAACTCCCTAGAAAATTACTATTGCTTGAAAGAATGACAAAATAAAAAATTCATTTCTCACCATGAAATAAGCATTTTGTTTTGAATTTGAATTTTATTAACCATTCTATAAAAGAATTTTTATATCCACTATTAAATTATTTCAATTAAATCAATAAATATAATTTTGTTAAAGTGATATGATATAAGGCAAATTTTTCGCTTATAATATAAAGTAAATACTATAAGAAATCGTCTCAATCATCATTTTTTAATGAAATTGCAATTTAGTTTTTTTGATTAAATTAATGATGCCCCTTGAATTGAACATCGGCAACTACTTATTATGATAATTTATGAAATTCCTTTGAGAATCATTTCATTAGAGAACTTCATAAGAGAATTTCTAAATTTCATTACATTCAACAAATTATAATTTATTTAATTCATTATAAAATTATTTTAATTAAAATAATTAAATGAACTAGATTCAAGAAATGCTCGATTAATAAGCTCATTATCATGGTACTATTTTGAATGTCTTTGAATTAATGGGGTATCAACCCAAGAGAAGTCAAATATTCAATTTCATATTATTTAACATTTTCTATAATATGAATGGCCATTGATTTTATTATACATTAACAAATTTTGAACAAAATTATATATTATCTTGGGTTTCTTGCATAAAAAATAAATAAATAAATAAAATATCACTGCACTGAGCTTTTGCTTAAAATCTAAGCGGCACAACTCTGTGGATTGTACACTAAAGAATGATATGAATATCTTTCGGATTACTCAATACCCCAAGCAACATTGCCAATCATATTGAGTAAAACCAAAGCAAAGTCAATGTAAAATAATATATGACCTACATTGTACTTCTTAATCACATAGTATCCTAAATTAGTAAAGATTAAAACTCCAATAGCCTGAAGAAATATACATGATAAATACCCCAATTCCATAAAAGAAAAATTGATAGCCCACTGTTAAAGTCAAATCCTAATATTCTCCTACTACGAAAGAAATAAAGACTTGCAAGCATATAATAAAATATCCGTAATTTGCTGTGGCTCCAGCAGCTGCAGCTACCAAGCCAAATTCCATCATAGTTACAAACATTGTCAATCCAGCTGCCATTCCTAAGAATCCAGCTATAAACCCTGTAGCCCAACCAGCACCATAAATAGTAAAGAATCTAGAGATTGGTGTGAAATATCGCTCATTCATATTAAAATTTGCAGTATTTTTTAGTAGTTCTTTTTTTCTCATATAGAAGAGTACCCAGAGTGTGATTATTAAATTCACTCCAAACAAGAGTAACATCATATAAAAATTCCATGGTTCACAAGCAGAATATTTATTATCAAAATCTTAATCATTGGGATAAAAGTAAGGGGATGTTTAATAAGTCGTAGTCCTAAGCAAAATGATTAGTTCATTCACTGCAAAATTTCCAAATGCCAAGAGGATTGGGACCAAAGGGAATCTAGAATTAGATTCCTCCTGTAGCTGTTTGAATAACTCAGCCATTCTTTGCTCTTCAATAATGTTGCCTTTGATCTACTATTCTATAGTAATGATGGAGGATTGCTACATCTCATTGCTAACCTCTTTATTATTTTCACTTTTTTGTTCAGATTTTGCGAAATATAAAAGTACTGGGCAAATAATCAAAAAAAAGAGCATTTATAGTGTCAACAAAGGCAAAAGAGGTAAGTAATTTGCTAATTCCATTCCAATCTACATTGAAATTGGTATCCCCAAGGCGTAGACTAATCCTATCTCGAAATTAACCAAAGGGCGTTCAGGGTTGTCAGGATGGCTATAAACATAGAATATTCTAATTACCTTTAAAAAAAGATTATGACTTGATTCACTAATTGTGCCCCAATCATAAGACAAGCAGTAATATCGCCAGAAGTAGACGAATTAAAATTTAGTAAAGCCTCTAAAAAGGGTCTTTTGACAACGCCACCTAATGAACTTAATAATATTCTCACCTCCCAGTGCTCCAAGACTGCCGATTCCAATAATGGGAATGATTAGAATATATACTATAATAGAAACTGCGTTCGGATACAAAACTCCTTCTCTACAACAGCCTACCTAGCCAGTTGGTTTGCCAGATAACATTAAACTATTGCATGCAGAGAACTACCCACATGAAGAGCTTTGACAATTTATGGTTCCAGAGCCTTGAAATAAAGAGTATTGGTCATTTTGGCATGACAATAATGAAGACATTATAAAAATATTTATAGAATATTTTCTAATTTCGAAGAACATTAGAACTTACTAACTTAACTGCTAATCAAAGTAATGATTTAATAATATTGCATTTCACTGTATTATACCTCAACTTTAACAATATCAATAGTAGTCTTTCTAAAAAATTCAATTTTGAAGAAACTACCCATTTTGAACATTTTGGTATGCAAAATGAAACTTATTTCAAATAAATTAAAATAAATAAATATAATTCTTCAGTTATCGAGGACAAAATTTCCGCATGTTGAAGGCTGTTACTCCAATGAATGAAAACCATCCCGATAACCATTCTCAATTCCCCAAGCTATGTTTCCCATAATGTTCAAAATAACTATTGCAAAGTCAATATAAAAAATAATATGGCCAATATTATATTTCTTCAGTAATCTATAACCATAATTCGTGAATGTCAACACAGCTAACACCTATAATATCTTTATAAATTAATTACTCCTAAGGCGTAAAAAAAGAATTGCTCTCCAACAGGCAAGCCTTAACTTTAAGAAGCACCCACCAGAAAACTTGTAAATACTTAAATGCAAATTAAGAAATAACAATAGTTGGCTGTTGCTCCTGCAACTGCAGCAATCAATTTAAATCGAACCATAGTTACAACCATTGTTAATCCTGCTGCCATTCCTACAAACCCAGCAACAAATCCTGTTAAAAATCCTGCTGCATACACATAAAAGAATCTTCTAGGAGGGGTGAAGAAGCGTTCATGAGGATAGAAATTCACTGTATTTTTTAACAATTCCTTCTTTCTCATAAAAAAGTAAACTGAACCTGTTATCATAAAGTTTACTCCAGTTAATAAAAGAACCATATAAAAATTCCAAGGTTCACAAGGACCTTTGTCTTTATTTTGATTGTTTATATCTCCTTCTGGAAAGAAATATGGAGAATATTGATATGGTGAAGATCTTAATAGCAATAAAAGCTAAGAATAATTAATAGTAGCTAATACTTCATTGATTGCAAAATTTCCCAAAGTTATCAAAATTGGTACTAGGGGAAATCTTTGACATTATTCAGCATAAAGTTATTTGTAAAGCTTAGCTTGATTTTCAGTATAGTCATTATTATTTTAAATCTACTATTAAGACATAGTCAGAAGTGCTGATTCCTTTACTACATCACTGTTTTGATCCTTTATATCTTCTAATTCATTCTGCCTTCTAGCATAATAAATTAAAACAGGGGAAATTGCTAAGAAAAATAATATTTGAAATGATAGTAAAGGTAGTAACGGTAGAAAGTTTGCTAAATCACTACCTAAACACAAACTGACTGGAATGGCTAAGGTGTAAATAATAGCTATGTCATAATTAATGACTGGTCGTTCTGGCACATCAGGATGGCTATTGTTCTTAATCTGCATTATTACTTTTAGAGAAATATGAACACCATATTCACTATTTGAGCACTAATCATTAAGCATGCTGTAATGTCTCCAGCTATGCTTGCATCAAAATTCAGAATAGATTACAGAAAGGGTCGCTTTACTATTCCTCCTAAACAAATTATAAAATGTATATACCTCCTAAAGCTCCCAAACTAGCTATCCCTATAACTGGGACAATCAACATATACACGAAGACTGTTACGAAGTTTGGCTCTAAAATCTTCATACGGCAACATCCAGTTGTCTCAATAAATTTGTCATTTAGAATTGAAAGACACTTGTTGTATTGACCACATCCATCTATTGAGCATCCTAAACCCCCATTAAACAAATTGAATTTAGGATCTGAACAAGAAAATGATCTACTCATTGCAAATAATTAAATTATAGAATCAAACTCTAACCTAATTTACTTTATTCCAATTAGAATTTACATTATAAAACATTATATTTCAAAGGAATTTTTTAAATATTATAAAATTTATAATATTCTAGAAAAATTTTATTGTTCTCAAAAGCTTAAAAAATATTCTTTTTGGAATGAATCTAGGTCCAAAGACCAAGGACAAAATTGTCAAACAGATATCAATTAGAATTTGAAGGGTTCAATATTTTAGTTTCAAAAGAATAAGAATTACTTGTGTTCACATTACTGCAGGCAAGTAGATAATATCTGAATATGAAATTGCATAACCATTTAAACAGAATAGAAGAGATTATATGCTTCACTTAAATAGGTTCCAAGTAATCAGAAATTTATAAACTTTGATCAGAAATTGGATAATACTGAAATAGTTACAAGTGTGTTTCTATTAATCTAAGACGATATTTTTATTAATTTCAACATCAAAGAGGGTAAGTAATATCCTATTTTGGAAGTATAAAGTTGCAATGCATATGTCTACTTTTAATAAAATAATTATGCTTTTTACAATATTTTTCATTCAATTAGAATCGAAAGGGATGATATGCTTAATATCAAAACAAAAGATTTTAGGGGTTTGATACATAAATGATTTCCATCAATATCGTTAGACTGTAAGGAATAAGAAGGAATGTATCTAATTAAAGTTGAATAGCAAGAGAATTAATAAATTAGAGTTCCATTAATATTTGCTATATTATTGTATATAAGAAATTGAACTCTAAATTCAGGTGGAATACTTATAATTATGGTAGCTTGGCTATGTTAAGGTTTCAATCGTTAAAATTATAAAGAGATTGGAAAAAAGCAATAAAGATTAATTAATCATAGTATAGTATTGAAAATTAAAAGATATGAAAAGAATTGTTAATTTTAAAAAAGATATAGTTTTTGCTAAAATACTTAATGTAAACCCTAAGGCTATACTAAAAGATAAAATTGAGACATATTAAATAAATAGTATTTTTATCCATCTTCATTTCCCCAGGGAAGTGTTAATAAATGAATAAGATGAAGGAACACCTTAACCTTTAACTTGATTCAGATTTATTGCTACTATCTAATAAAAATGATACCACTAGTGTTAGTTGGCTTTTGAAATAAATAGTTAAAGTCTTTTCCAGGAAATTTGTGATGAATATCTTTTCTTTCTTCATCCTTCCTATTCAAGGCTTTTATTAAAATAATTAATACGCAATTTAAGCAATGCAGCCAATTAATTAGCATTAAATAGTTGGACCTGAGGTATGTATGGCTTATTATAATAACTTTTGGAGCTATTAATAAGAAACGTAGTTTATTGTTATGATAGTTGATTTTCACTTGATTTTATAGGAGATCCATTGCTATTGGTTTGCTTTTATTTTTGCTTAGACTAATATTCTTGACTATCAATTAGATCTTTGCTTAATTCAACTGTTGTTTTGGATCTTTTGTTCTAGATTTAACTTGGATTATCATAGCGATTTAGTTATTTCTCTTAGATCAGTAATTACAATAAATGTTAGACTTTTTAAAATTCATTTTGATAATTTAACAACTATCGTCTAATCTCTATGTTATCTTTCTTATAATTCTCATTTTCAATTTTTAATTGTTGTAATTCTTCTTTTGTTGAATTAAAATTGTCTAAATTTTATTAATTTATTACATTGAATTTCTTTGATTTCATTTTCTTAACTTTCAAATTTTATCTCTAGTTGTTGAAGTTTTTCCTTCATGTTCCTCAAATGTTCTTAGGTCTCTTCCTCTCCCGAACACAGAGGATTGCCAATATTGGAGTCCACACATTAAACAGAAATTTTGTATTATTATGATTCAAGCTATTAAGAAGTCAAAAATGATCCTAACTAACTTTTCTTATTTCTCTAATTAGAAGATTCTTAGATTATATCAATTTTACATGAATTTTAGATTAGCTTATTAAATACAACGGACTTTTCATTATTTTCTTCCTCAGTTAACATAGGGTTTTATGAACATTCGAATTCACAATCTGATTCTTCTTATCTTATCAATTATTCTTAGTCGGAATTCGAGACGTGGCTATTACTTAAGGGATTGTTAATTTGAGAATCAGAGTCGTTCATAGAAAATAACAATTAATTATTGAAACTAAAATATTAATTATTGAATATTATTGATAAATACTTATAATTATGCTTGTTTTTCATTTTTCATAATGATCAACCAAAGAAATGTATGTCATATGAGTTACCATTCTTATGAATATATTATTATTAATAATCCTTACATGTTTTTTTTAGTGAATCTTGTGATAAGCACATTAAAATTCTATTTTTTATTAATTTTGTGCAATCATTATTACTTTAATGGTAAGTTTTTTATGAAATAAACAATAAAATAACTCATTCTTCAATATGAAATTCAATCAAATCATCTAATCTCAATTTCTTTGTATTATATTCTCTAAGGTCAGGGTACTTGACTGCATCCATCAAATAATCTATTAGATATTTTAATTCTTAATCGTTTTAATCACAATACCATTCTAAGATTGGAATACCATTTTCAATTTAAAATCCGAAAGAGTGAGCTAAATTATCAACAATAAGTATGTCTTTCAACTCCTTATTGCCTATTAACCTTAAGTCTTTGATGAAAAATCCATTTTTTGTTTCCATACAATTGTTTCTAGTCATTATACCAGAAATGTATTGCTTTGTTGGATCTAAGTAATTAATAATTGCTAATGCATATGCTGAAGACGAGGCTGTGTATATGTATATAGTATAATGTTAAGATAACTACTACAAGAATAGTGTTGTATATGGACGAATATTGATACCGATCTAATACTATTTAAATAACTTACTTTGGCCTCCTCTCCAAAATCACCGACAGCAGTTACGTACACTTAAGGATTTTCCCTTTAAGAGCATGAATGAATTAGAGTTTCATCTAAATCAAGTACTAAGGTTTTATCTTTTTTTGGATTGGCTTCTGAGAGTTGGATTTTTTTTGATTATATGAATTTATCAGAAGGTCCTTTAAGACATTTCCTTGCGTAAATCAGTCCTCTCTATGTCAATATAAGATGTTTCTTAAATGTTTATTCATTGATTGTAGGACCAAAAATAAGATGTCTAAAAGGATGGTTGCTCAACTTATCTTTGGCATTATTTTACGAATTCTTTTTGCTTTGCTCATTGTCTGAATTCACATTCAGATTTTGCATAGAGACTGCTTATCTAAAATAGATTTCATCTCAGTACTTAGTTTTGCTCAGCTTGGTTTATTGTTGGGGTTGTTAACTTAATTTTTACTATATCCTTTGCGCTTGTTCTTCAATATTGTAATTTCCTTCTTGTTATTAAACTTATACTAGTTTTTGTTTTTTCTCTTAGTCACTAAAATCTGGTTCCTACTCAACATCTCCTTCAACCTTTTTTGTATTGACTAGATTGCTGAATCTCGACATCTTAGCAGCTAAATAGAAATCTGCAATACCCTAAGGCTATTTAGATTGAGGCTTTTAGTTTTTAGGGGTCCCTGAATCCGAATCGTCAGTCTGATATCCATTTTGAATGGGTGGTTTCGCCTTAGGCTTTTGATTAGTTTTAGGAGTATTATCTTTCGATGTCGTGCTGTCTCCTTCCTCTTCGCTATAAAACTGAAGCTTTTGCTCTTGATTGATAACCTACTTGATATGGCCAACTTAGCCTTTTGCTTTAAAACTGTAAACCTTATCCATCTTATAATATTAATATATTTAATAATAAAAAAGCTCAAATTCTCCCTTTTGATCTTAAGGGAGGCAATTTAGGTTGGCTTTCAGATTTATGCTTTAATTTGTAGATTGTTGAGCTTGGTTGTGCTATTTCTTTTTCATCAGTGTAACCCCATCTTGGATTTTACAATTTCGAATCAAATTCATTCAATGCTTTGTGTAATTTACTAGCTTTAAGATTTTGAGGCTTTTTCATATCATCAACTAAATGATTAGCAAACTAATACAATTCTTATAAGCATTTATTCTATCAAATTATGACTTTATTTTCTTGGGACTTATCTTTTCTTTATCTTGAGTGTACTTTTTGGATTGCTTCTTGCTTTCATAAACACTCTTTGCATTAGCTGAATCTGCTGAAGATGAATGATATGACTTTTTGATATCCTCATCCTCCATCATCCATTTAAAATATTATTCATTTGAAATTTTGATATTCCTATCACCTTCACGATTGATGGCATCGTATATTTTCTAGTCATACGAATCCATTTTCTCAACAACTCCATCTTCTTCATCCTCGTACTACTTCTTATTTTTCTATTGTAAACCATCAACAATAGTTTGATAATCTTTCTTACTCATTCTATCAGGAATCCTATATTCTCCTCCTTCCTTTATGTAGCCATTATCAAAAATGATATTTGTACCTAATTTAGACTAGAATAACTATTCATAAAACCTTCATGGCTTCAATTAAAGGAGGCTATTTTGGGTATTCAATAGCTGCTGCCTTTTCAAGTCTCTTATTGTCCTCGTCTCCTTTGGCAAATGCTTCCTTAACTGGTTTAATTTCAGGCTACGAATTTACTTCCTTCATGATCCTCTGGGGTTAATTAGTTTTTGTCTCAGGTTAAAGAATTTCATTGATCTGTAAATCTATAGGCCTAACATATTTTAGAGATATGTACTTCGTTGTTAGAAACACCACTTAACCATCATAATCATATGTGTATTGCTTATTTTTCAATTATTTTATCTGTTCCTTCTTTTTCTCCTCTTATTCGATTTACTCTTCCTTGATTTTACGCATTCTCTCATTCTCCTTCTATTTGTCTAGTTCTTAATATTCTCTCTATTCGCGAAGTCGTTCTATTATAGCATCTGGAGTTGGAGGCTTTTTGGTCTCGGGCATTTTTATTAGATTGGGTTTGTATTCTTCTTGGATTACCGATTAAATAGTCGTAATCTATTAAGAAGATCCACCAATTTTGTTTAGAAGCTTCATTTTGCTGACAGAATGTTAAAACTTTGACATTGAATTTCTAGAGAATCTTGATGAAGATTGGCTTTTTGAGGATCTAGCATCATCATAAGTTTCTTATCCTGTTTATGGCTACTATAACTTAACTATTTTAACTCCCTTGGCAGTCAAATTATCAATTGTTTTAAAATGCTATGAGATTATAAATAATTGAATACAGGTTCATCTTCATCTATCCATTTATTCAAAATAGCATATTTAGATTCACCATGATCAAATGGCTTTTATTATTAAATATTTTACATACTAAGAATTCCTATTATACAACTCCACACTGCCAATTAGCTATTACTTCACAATTATATCCAGGTTCTTTGTCACATAAGTAATGCTCATAAAGATTTTGTCCACATTTTATTATTAAATAATCAATAGTTGGATTTACAACCTCTACAGTCTCAAAATTTTGCATTTTATTGTTAAAGTATTAAATATTTTTAATATTTATTATAATCTAATCCAAAATTTTTAATTCTCTTGGTGCTCTTTATTAAAAGGGAATTAGTACTTTTCAATGAAATAACTTTTATTCTATTTTCATTACTCAAAATAAGGTTGAGATATTATAATTTTATTGAAATCCAGTAGGAACTGTCTTTATTATATTTTAATTTAAAGTTGTCATTATATCAATTATTAAGATCAATTTTATTTTTGCTTAAAATCAGTTTGATACGAGAAGGACTTCATATTCATCAATTACAATAAGGAAGAAACTCATAGTAAATAAATAAAATAATTATGGATATATAATGATAAGTTTACTATGTAAACTAAGTGTAATTTTATGAGGATATAATTTTCTTTACAGAATTTAATACATTCAGAATGCTTCTCCTTTATTTTTTCTTTGTATTATTTTGCCCAGAATTTCCAGATGATCTTAACGGATTATGTTTGAAATATACTTACAGTATTAATTTATAAATATTTGAATTATTAAATTTTATTATCTTTTAGAATGTTACTTTTATTATGTCTATTGTTATACTGATAAGTGGAATAAAGATTTGTTTATAATTCAGAAAATACGAAAAAAGATCATTTTAAATTCCATAAGAATTGTTGATGTAATTGATTATATTTAGGTTGAAGTTTATTTAATTATTGTGTAATGATAATCTAAGTATATAAGATTTAGTAGCAACTAAATATTTGATTAATTTTATTTTAAATCTCAACTAGAAATTAGATGTCAGTGTCTTAAGAACAAAAAATTTCCTCTACTTCCACTCTAAAGGATGATTAAACTCCGTAAAAAAGACAGTTCTAAATATAAAATTTACTCAAAAGAAAAGATTTTAAATCAGTCGTAAGAATTTTACAAACTGATAAAAAGTCAAGGTTAGGGAATTTTTGTTTACTTTAGAACAAATTATTAAAAGCTTAAATACTAAAACTAAGAATATCACGTTGGTTAAAATTTATGCATCAGAGGAGACAATGGATCTGAGTACGTCGCCAAACTCATCAAGGTTGTCAAACTGATTGATAATGAAGATAATTGCTTACCGTTTATTAAAGTATAGTGGTATTATAGGAAAACTGAGTTGACGGGTTTACCTAAGGATTATCTAGAATGTATTTCTGAAAATGAAGTTTTTAAAACTAATGAATTAGATTATATAGAAATTGAAAGCATAATTGGCTTGGCCATCATTTTAAGCTATGAAGAATACGATAAAATAGAAGAATTAAATGAAAATGTATACTTTATGAGAGCTACATATTTTGATTAAAAGCTATTCCCTTCTTTTGAATAATGGAATAAGGTTTGCTTGTGTAGAAAACCTCCAAATCCAGACCTAAAGTATCTATATATTAAGAAAATAGGTATGTCTTTTGTGAAATTTGCTAAAAATGGTTTCATCTGAAATGTGTTGGACTTAGTTAGGATCAAGCTAGCAAATTAAAAAAATATATATGTCCTGATTGTAAGAACTGAAATTTTAATTGATATATTGTATATATACACATATTCAATCAACTGATCTGCTAAATATTAATATTGAATATCTTAATTCATTTTCTAATTTTTATAATTAATTGAGTTTTCATGTCTTTCAATTAATATTCTTTATATTAATATTTACAAACATAATAATAATAAAGATTTACTAAATTCCTGCTTGCAATAATGAATAAAGTTGCTAGAAATGCTGGATAAATCAATTAATCTTTTCTTCTAAGCTGTCAAGAAAGAAATATAATATGTAAAAAAATTAATTTATCAATTCTAATCAAAACCTCATTTTCATACTGGCCATCTTTTCAAGATGTGCAAATACTCCTTTATAAAATTGGCAAGTTTGAATAATTAAAAAATTATTTTTAGAGATGAGGCTCTTCTAATATTGAGAGATATTTTGGATCTATAGATATTAATTTATTTATAGATTTGTGATATTAATAAGGATTCTATAAATTTAACCATGTGTATATATATATTTTTTACTTTTTTGAAAACTTATAAAGTATGTTTTAGAATAGAATAACTATATATAAATAATTTATTAAAAATATATCCTCAAAAAGTAAAATTAAGGTTACTTAAAAATCCTTTTTTTAATAAAAATCTAACGATAAGTTAGAGTTCATCTAAAGCAACAGCCTTAAGCAGCAAAGAAATAAAAACTCTCTAATTTTATTATAAATAAATATTTTATTATTAAATGGAAGGAAATAATAAATAAATTTCAAAACTGAAAAATAAAAACAAAAATGATTAAAATATCAACGCCTTTGGCATCATTCATCCATTTAGTTCATCAAATCTCTTCGACCCTGTAATTTAGCATACTTCAATTAACAAATTTGCTTTTATAATTAATATCTTAGTCTACTTTATCATTTATACTCCATTTATTATTATTGTATTTTTTGAAAAACCTCAATACAATTTCTGGGGAAATAAAATTGACAAATGCATAACCTAGATTTCCTTCATTCTTATCTGATTAATTAATAATTACATTGTTGTCTGATGGAAGGTATAGAAAATCAAATTATGATTTGAAGTCTTTGTTGAGAAGGTTTCTTAAATCACTTGGTCTCATGTATTTAGGTATATTCTTTAACATTAGGGTGGTTCTGTCATCATAAAGAATCTGAAGTAAGAATTAATTATTACATTCTCCTCACAAATGTCAAGGTTGTAATACAGCGTATTCATTTTTTAATACAATAGCTTTTCATCACAATCAAACAAGAACTTCATTTCTATGAGTTCTTAAAAAAGTAATTTTTGGTTTTAAAGACTCCCTTCATCTGGCATAAGCAGTTTAAAGTCTCATGATATAAAAGTGATACCAAATGCACATAAAGAAGCTTCAAACCTCTCTTCTGAACTCAGCTATGGTCTGGGTATTTATAATTTAGGCATGTATTTGGAGTCGAAGGAGGAATCACTTGAACTTGCAGGCGAAGCTGTTGTATTACGTTAGGATATCCTTCCTTTTTATGGAGTTGAGCTGAATGCAATGTCTATAATATTACAAATCATTATTAAATATTAATAAAATAGAGGACATACATATTTTATTTAGTGTAACACTTAAGACATAATATTTCCTAAGTTAAGTATTTTTACATTTCCAAATTTATCAAATAAAAATATATATTTTAAAGTAAGAAGGCCGATGGAAATATGTTTGATTATATAAATAAATAATATAGGAAATAAACTTTAACTTCCATTACTTGAGAACTTTCATAAATCTACTTATAGATGTAGGAAAAGAGTTTATTCGTCCTATTAAATACTTCTATGAATCCTGTTGCTCAGTTTGAAAGCGGTAGTGCAAGGAGATTATAACTTAGAATTTAATTGATATAAGTTTTTAATTGTTATTTATTTATTTATTTAATGCTTATAATTTATGATATTAGCCTTATGATTATTTTTATTCTGTTAAAAATAAGAATTTAGTTTTTTTACAAATACTTATTGATAATTAGCATGTTATAATAATTTAAGAATATTATTGTATTTTTATATGTAAATGTACAACCAAATTGATCATCATTTAAAATGATCTTTAATTTTAGAGGTAAGTTCATCGCAAGTTTTCTTAGCATCACCCAATAACATATTATTATTTGGTTTATAAAATACGGGATTGTCAATGGCAGCATATCCAACACCCATGGATCTCTTCATAACAATTGATTATTTAGCAGCCCAGACTCTCAATACAGGCATACCTAAATATTTGAATTAATATAATACCTGCAATTGGTGAATTTGGATTTTCTTCAGCAGCTGAATTGACAGTGTCATTAGCTCCAATGACAACAGCAAGATCAGTATCAGGGAAGTCATCATTAATTTCATCCATTTCAAATACAATATCATATGGAATACCAGCTTCAGCCAATAAGACATTCAATTATCCAGGCATTCTACCAGCAACTGGATGAATACCAAATCTGACCTTAATTCCTTAGTCCATAAGTGTCTTGCACATGTCAGCAACTGGATATTAGGCTTTAGCAACAGCCAAACCATATCCAGGAACAATAATAATTGATTTACTGTTGACCATCATTTCAACAGCTTATTCAACATTGATTTCAGTGTGAGTACCTTCAACTTTGGTAGCTTAAATGGCTGCAGGATTAACATCAAATCCTCCGAAGATAACACTTGTTAAATTTCTATTCATGGCCTTGCACATGATATAAGAGAGAATGGCACCTGATGATCCAACCAATGCTCCCACAATAGTTAATAATGGATTATCTAACATAAAACCTTCAGCACACAATGCCCATCCTGAATATGAATTCAAAACTGTAATTACAACTGGCATATCAGCACCACCAATAGCATTTTGTTAATGTAACTCCTAACACTTTGCTTGCAGCTGTTGCTGTTAATAAAGCTGTCATTTCCCAACAGCAAAACTACCTGTTTAATTATAGATTAATAAAGATGCAACAGATAAGGCTGCCAATGCAATGTTTACTTAATTGTGATAAGGAATAACTGTTGGATTTGAAGGCAAGAGATTTTACAATTTAGCAAAGGCAATGAGTGATCCTGTGAATGTGATACCACCTGTGAAAATACCAAAGAAGATTGATAATTTATGAACAAGTGCAGCTGGATCCTCAGCCAAATGAGGGAATACATGTAAATAATTACCAATAGAAGTTAAGACTGCTGCCAAACCAACAAAGGAATGGAAACCAAGCAACTAATTAAGGTAAATCAGTGATTGCAACTCTGGGTAGCAACTGTACCTCCAATGGTAGCTCCTAACATAACCATTGATGCCCATTAAGCTAATAATTCTGGGGAGAATCCTTTATATCCTAAAGTGGCAGCAACACCTAATCCAACTCCCAAACAACCAAAACTATTACCAATTCTAGCTGTCTATTATTATGCTAATCCACCAATAGCTAAAATACAAGCGATGGATGAAGCTAAATATGAAAGATTTGTTAATGGTTCCTTTGGAATTCCATAGTAGAGACCACCATAATATCCAAGTACTCCTGTAGCACCTGCTAATGCCATTAAATAATTGTATTCAGCAGGGTCAGTTGGTCTTCTAAACATATTTAACATTCTTTGTGTGACTAGGAAACCACCTGAAATGTTCAGGGAAGCTATGGCAACAGATACAGCTGCCAATAATCCAGTCAAAGATCCTGGGAAATATTTACCATCCATCAATTCCATACCACCAACAATAATTATACCAGATACTGCATTTGTAACTGACATCAATGGTGAATGTAAAGCGGGAGTGACACCCCAAACGACTTGGTAACCAACAATTCCTGCCAAAGCAAAGGTATTTAACATTTTTAAGAATTCCATATTAGGAGATTGATATCCTAAAGCCATCATTGCCATAAGTGAGGCTGATGTATTAATCACATTCTTCCAAGCTTATTTGTATGGATCTACTTTGACTTCTTATTTTTTATGACCTGTTGCAGCTTTAGTTGTATCAGCTTATTAGAGTTCACTCTTGGATGTAATGATGGGGGGAGGTGGCCATTTCAATTCTCCATTCAATGTTACTAATGATTATCTAACCACATCATCATTCAAATCCACTTGAGTCATGTTTCCATTTGGATCTTTGATTGTTCCTACAATGTATTACATCAATTTTCCAATGTTATTAGCATATAATGTTGAACTTTAAGTAGGTAATCTGCTTGGTAAATCAGTGTATCCAATAATCTTAACTTTTCCTTCATGATTGTATAATTCTCCTGGTTTGCATAATTCACAGTTTCCTCCAGTTTCAGCAGCCAAATCAACAATAATAGATCCTTATTTCATGTTTTCTACTAATTCTTTTGATAATAATTTTGGTGCTGGTTTTCCTGGGATAAGTGCAGTGGTGATAATGATATCAACTTCTTTGGCTTACTTTAAGAACAAAGCTAACTCTGCTTCTAAATATTCTTTTCCCATTTCCTTAGCATATCCACCGATACCTGCACCATCAACTACTTCACCATTAATTTTGACTTCCAAAAACTCAGCTCCACAAGACTTCACTTATTCTTTAGTTGCTAATCTTGTATCAAATGCTCTAACGATAGCTCCCATATTCTTAGCAGTTACAATAGCTGATAAACCAGCCACTCCTGCTCCAATAACCATCACCTTAGCAGGTGGTACCTTTCCTGCCGCTGTCATTTAACCTGCAAAGAATCTGCCAAATTCATTGGCTGCCAATACAACTGCTTTATATCCTGCAATATTAGCCATAGAACTCAAGGCGTCGTATGTTTATGCTCTAGTAATTCTAGGTACACATTCCATAGCAAATGTTGTTACTTTCTTCTCTTATAATTAATTAAGTAATTCTTTATTCTATGCTGGGTAGATGAAAGATGTCTATATTTATTAAAAATGAATACAAGGGTTTAGTTTTCTTTCAAGGTCTTTGTATTTTCAGGAGGTCTAATTTTTAAGATTACATCAGATTAATCATAAACTGAATTTGCGTCAACTACTTTGGCTCCAACTTCTTGATAAACATTATCCGCGAAATTGGCCTTTAAACCAGCTCCACTTTCAATGAGGACCTAATTATTAATATATTATCTATACTGAATGTCCATCTTTGACTAGGTTTTTAATGGATTCTGGGGTGGCTGCTACTCTATTTTCATTTGGATATGTCTCTTTTGGAACACCAAATACAAACTTAGGGTGACTTGGCTTCTTTTCTCCTTTACTTGAAAAGCATGTTCTTGCACTCAATAACAATTGCTTTGTTGCTTAGCGATGAAATCCTAGCATAAAATAAATATCTTTTTTTATAAACAATATATTCCTATTTATACAATTAATTCAAAAGAAATCTTTGCTATATAATTTATTTTAAATATTTGTTATGAGAACTGCAAATTCAAATTAAGGGTAATCGACTCTCCCAGATTCTAATGAAATTAATGAGTACATCAGGGAGTACTTGAGATACTCAAACTATTCCAATACCCTGGAATGCTTTGATGCAGAAATAAAGAGTAAATAGGTCTCCAATAAAGTAGATAATTAAATTACTATTCTAGATGCTAAACAAATAATAAGTTATCAAATAAACAGGGGAGGATATGCCTCGCATATTTTAATTGCTAAAAAGCGATAATAACAAAACAAAAAGAGAAATCAACTTGGAGAAGGAGTAAAAGTAATTTAATAAAAAATACCAATAAATTCTGTAAGCAGGCAGACAAATATTTTCAGTTAGCATAAATTTGTTACAATTATTGCATTCATTAAAAGAGACAGCTAAAAATGAAAATCTAAGCGAAACTTTAGAAAACTATAAAATATAATTGGGAAAATACCATAAAGTTATTATAAATGAAGGGAAGCCAGAAGGCACAGAATTGATTACTGAATAAGTCATGCATGAACATAAAACTAAGCTATTTAAAAACTACTAGGATAAACATGTAGATGGAATGATAGAGGTTTTGTTATCATTGAGAGTAAATGCGTTATAAATTGCACCAGAATTAAGAAAAAACTTAGTCTATGAATTGATAAGAAATGATGTATTTAACATTGAAGCCACAGACAAATTTGATTTCGTTGTTCATTTGTTGGATATCAATAATCAAAGTCTCAGACATGCAATAACTAGTTTAATCAGTGTGATTAGCAGCACATTGAGAGGCGTTGAGTACTTAACTTATAATGGAAATATGATAATCATTGAAAAGATTATAAAAATCTTAAAAGAACAGGAAAACGGTTCAGTAACACAGAGATTCTGTTTAGCCATTTTATAGAAAGCAAGTATTAAAGATACAGTTATTCCAACTTACGTTCAAAATGAGATGATCTAATGGATTATTAATCTCATTCAAAAGTCAGTTAATAGCAAAATTCACGTATTTTGTCTTGATTTTGCTTCAGCTACATTAGCTAATATCATTCATACTCCTTATACCTTGCAATATTTAGAACATCAACCACGATTTGCTCATTAAGTAATGGAGTAATTGTTAAAGTTTATAAAAGATTAGATATAAGTGTCAGTACTTATGCATGTTTTGATTTGTTTATCTTATTTAAGTAAGGAGAACTTTGCTAAATAAATGGAAGAATGTAGATTCGTGGATAGAATAAGCTAATTTGTTGAATTTTATAGTGTCATTAATACTGGTATAAATAGAAATGATATTTTTCATAGAAAATGAAGCAGCAGAAATTGATAAAAAAACAGTTTTAGATTTATGTGCTCATATGTTTCATCCGAAAGATACTTCTTTAGATAATTCTGAAACTCTAGAGTTAAATGAACTAAAAACTGAGGATAGAATCAGAGAATACGAGAATGAGTAAGGGGAATTAATCTTTGAATGTTTTCAAGATGAAGTTAGTTGAATATTTATTTTTATATATTTATTTAAAATTGGATTATATTTTTGATAAAATTATTATTTGGTTTTTTATCTTATACATTTATTACTCTAATCGATATTTCATTTTGGAAGCATTTGAGCTTTCTTGCAAAAATTCAAAATTATTTTTCCTAAAATATATCACTCCAGGAAATTTATTTTTCTCAATTATTAAACACGACTGATGCTAAATTTTACACTAATTTTTATTTTACCTAATTGTCTTATCTATGCAATTTCCGTAATCAGACAAGGATTGCCAATCAGAGCTACCTTCGAGCTTAAAAACTGCTGACTTCAAAAAGAGAAAACCCATTGATTCAGATACGAAAACTAACTTGATACTTAGTGTAGTCAAAGATCATTTGCCAATATATTAGGTATTATAGTATCTCCATATTTTTAGGCAGCGATTATACATAAAGTTAAATATTCATCAGCTAAACACATTTTAAGAAATTACTACAGTGATACTGCTAATTACTTTTCTCTTCAAAAAAAGAGAAGAAGAAAGATACTTTGCTGTGGTGTCTCCGCTTTAATAGAAATTAACAGTGGAAACATTGCTTTAACTTACCAAGGGGGTTCTACAATCCCCTTTATTAAAAATGGAGTTAATGCACAAATCAAATAAAAGGTAATTGATCATTTGAGTGTTTCAATACACAAAAATATATGTAACTTGAATTTCAAGAGGTTAAATAAGAAAGCGAGAATAGACCCAATTAAACACTTGAATAGTATAGAAAAAATAGAAAACAAAGTTAAATTTCTCATCTAGACACTTGAAAAATAACATCAAGAAATGATATAATGATAAATTACAAATTATCTTTCATCAATTACACATTTTCTCTCCCTCTCGAATTTCTTAATACCTTTTAAATATTTGACAAAAAGATTTTCAAAAAATGTATAAAAAATGATTTATTTTTAAATACTAATTAATGTATACATGTATAACTATTTTTAAATTTTTTGTAAAAGAATTTAGGTTTGAAGGCATCTTTTAGTTTCATGCTGGTTTACAAATTATAATAAAATTTAACCCTTAAAACTCACTAAGCATATTTAAAAATCGTTATTTGAGCCTAGTTAAAACATATTAATATTGATACTTATGAATATTACGATTCCACCACAATTGCCATAAACATTTATAAATATCTTTTATGTATAAGTTTGTAACTTATTTTTCGAATTAATCTGTAATTAAAAGTTTACGAACAAAGCATAAAAGAAATTTATACTTATGTTATTTTTTAATAATTAAATACAATTTTAACACATACTTCTTAAAAAGAAATTAATTTTAGATAAAATAATAATCATTATGATTGTTTAGTCTTGAGTCTATAATAGTTATTTTACAATACTAGAGGTAAGCATGTTGTAAAATAAAATTTTGATTTTTGGGTATTATCCAAGTCGAATTTGCTAGATGGACTTGTTTAAAATCTTTAATTAGAAGACGTTTAAGTGGGATACCTTCTTATATGATAACTAATATTTTCTAAAGCAGTTCCTAATGCTCCAGGAGTTGATGTATGTTTCTTCATTTGTTGCCTATTTTTATTTTTCTATTTTAATGATTGTTATATGATTAATTCTTCTGTTTTTTATCTGGAATGTTTAACAGATTAAGCTGATATTAAAAGTTTATTTAAGTAGGCTTACTCAGATTCGGCAGGGTTATCTAATGTTAACGTTTGTTCTCTTAATCTATTGTCGTCTAATTTGATTCTGCTACTAATTTTTAAAATTTAACTAGTGCTATTGAATAAAATCCTTTATTAGTTTTCTTAAATTTGAAGTAGATTTTGTGGTTTCAAGAATGATTTATTTTAAGTTCTTTCAAGTAAATTTATTTTTTCAGTTTGATCAATAAAATTTTTTTCATAAACCCTTATTTACTATAGGATCTATTTTAATTTTCTGTCATTTAGAGATATTAAACTTTTATTTAAATCAGGGTCGCAATTTAGGACCCTCATGAAATCTCTCTTAGAAACTGAATAAACATTGTTACTTTCAAAAGTGGAAACTAAACTAAACTGTCTACATAAATCTGGAGCTTTTAGGATCTCCAATTCTCCAAACATTTCTCCTGCTCCCAAGAATTTCAATGTCATAATTAACTTTTTATCACTGGCAATAAGATTTCCATACTTTTTTTTCTGGTATAATTTATCAATTTTTTCTTGATTTGTTAATGAAGGTTTATTGTATGCAAATTATTGTTTCAGAAATTCTACATCATCATCAATTTATTCATAATTATTAGAGTGTTCCTTATTCGTTCTTAAACATTTGATAACCTAAAGATTTTTGGAAGTAGTTACTTTAAATTCACCTGTTTGTATAAAATAAACTTCATTGGCTGGATCACCTTCTTTATAAACTGTGTGATTTAATCTAAATTTATTCAATTTCATAACATCAAATAAAGATTTGATACTCATAAACTTCCAGTCCTTGAAAATAGAGAGTTTTGCAAATTCTTCAAAATACAACTGTCTTTATTAATTTATCTTTTGGATAAGTAAAATATGTTACCACTGTTTTTTTGATTACCATATAATCCTCTGCATCTAACACTGCTAAGTGAGTAGGAATTACAGCAGTAATAGAAGCTGATCTGGGTTCATTATTCTCTAAAGCAAGTTCACCAAAGGCTTAACCATCGTTCATTTGGATTAACTCTTTTTCTTAATAGCAATCTCCAACAAACATTCTTTTATGAATTGACACTCTACCTTACAATATGATATAGAATGTAGTTCCCACGTCCCCTTAAATATATTTAACATTAGCTAACCTTCTCTAAATAGAGTTTCTCCCTTTTTTAGAGATGTGTAACTCATTTTTCTCAGACATCTCTCCCATAACAGTACTCCTTAATCTTTCTCAAGCAATTTCTAAAAATAAACGATATGTTTTGTTGCTTTCTTCAAAATCTCAATCTCATATTATGTTCTATGATATGAAGATTTAGTAAGTATTATAACGACTATTCCAAATATTTAATCCTGATTCAGATTCTCATAAATTTATGGTTCTTATTCCATTTATAAGATATACTGCTTTAATTCTTTAATCTCATCTTCTTTTAATAAATGAACATTTTATGAGTTTTTCATTAAATTAATTATATTATAATTATAAATGCAATTAAACTATAATCTATCATTTTGATGCAACACTTTCTTTTTATATTCTCCTAAGTAAGATTAACATATTATTACAGTCATATATAAATTATAGGAAATTTAAATTACTAACCAAATAATTTATCAATTATTTTGATTAAAATTGATTATTAATTGAATTTCAATGAACAACCTCTTTCTTCTTAAAATAATTTATTGAATATGTTTGTATTTTATTCTGACACGTTTTCAAATTCAAATTATTAAATTAGATATTAGATCTTATGCAAACACAAATAATTTATTAAAGTATCTTTTGAGTAATTATTACACATATGATGGGCGCGGTTTAGAGATTTGAATTATTGGGTAAATTATTTACTAATACTAGATTTAATTTAGAATAATATTTAATTTTGCAAAAAATGGTTTCAAAATTTTAGATATATTATTAATACCAAATCATGGCTTTATTCTAAATTATCTACTCCACACTCTAAAATAACCATTTACTTTTACAACTCATCATGACTAAAAGAATAAGAAAAGCATTATAATAGACTTATCAAAAGATATCAAGTGAATGGGGGGATATAATTTATTTCATGCTACACAGAAGAGAATAATCTATTCTGATTAAAATGATAATTATAAAATATTAATCAACTAATTGATTTTATGGGATCAAAAATATGGAATAGAAGTTTTACTTTATTCCCAAGGTTGTAGTTCTTCTGTTATAGTTGGTTCTGTAATATTAATTTTAGAAGTGAATTATTTATTCATTTTTAAAGGATTTGACAATTAAGGGAGTACGACATTTTAATATGCTTTATAAGGTTTCGACTGTGTTTTAAATAGATTAGAATTAGTTAGTGAGTTATCGAAATTAAATTTCTTTGGGCTTTTCCTTTTTGTGATTTCATCAATATGATAGTGATACGAAGAATCTTTTTTGGGAAGATTTTTGGCAATAATCAAATCAGGATTTATAGAATGAGATTTGGTGGTTTAGATCATCTTAGGAGTGTGTTGCAAATTGAAATGGTGATTTTATATTCGAGGTGATTATAGGTTAATTTTACATCCAAAAACAGGTAACACTTTCTGGTTGTTGATTTATCTTGTTAATGATCGCTTAATGAATAATTAATATGTTGCAATTGGACTGTTTTACGCATTTTACAGATTGTCCATGTGAATACAGAAATCTTAATCTAAGATATAATTATTTTTAAAGAAATATCTAACTTTTGATAATACAAAACTTTATTTCAGAATTCAATGTTAGATTTATAGTGCATCCTTAAGAATTGAAGAGAACACTGGTTTAACAACTATTTATTCGACTCCAGCTTCATAACATTATTATTTAGTCTCTTCATCCTCATGGGCAGTACAAGCAATAATTTAAAATGGGTTAATTTTCTCTTGCTCCATTAAATTAGAAAGAATTGAAGTGGCAGTTATACCATCCATAACAGGCATATCAACATCCATCAAAACTGTTCTTATTCTGATATTCTTTTATCTCTTTACAAAATCCACAACCTCTTAACCATTATAACAATGAACTATTCTATTGTATCCTAAACTATTGAGAACCATCTCTAAAGAAATATGATTGAATGGTTCATCATCAACTACCACAATTGCTCCAGATTCTTCAACTAAATTTTATTTGCTCCTTTTCTACGTCTATCGAATTTACGTTGTTCCTTGAATTAATTTTGTATTTCTTTGAGTAACCCTAGCATTTTAACGAAAATAATTAGAGTTTAGACTTTTAAGCATACTTGGCTTCACCCGATCTATTTTTCTTATTTGTCCAACTACTGTTTTTTCATCCTCAACCCCACAATTAGTTTCTGATTACAATGTGAGGAAATCTGCTATAATCCTATTAGATCTCATGGATATATTTTTAATTCTTCTAGCAGATTAAGGATGCAAACCACTTGGTAAATCTAAATCTCCTATGCAAAATGAAAATTTTGATCCTTAGCCAGGTAAGCTCTCTATTTTGAATGGGGATGTTCCATTTAATTAGTAGATAAGTTTTGTAGTAATTTTTAAACTAATGCCTAAAACCTCATTTTTTGGATTTAAATTTTATTAGCATTTGCCTTTATCAATTGATTAGGTTTACAATTGGCTTTGCTATTATATTTTATTTCATAATTTACTTTTCTCGATCTCTATTGTTGTTAATATTGATGCATTTACATCTGCTTAGCAATTTCTTCTTGAGCTTATTGACTTAAACCAACACCACTATCAGAGATAGTAAATTAAATTAATCTGGAATCACCTTTTCTTACTTCATCAACATCCAGTTCTATAAATCCACCTTAGGGTGTAAATCTGTAAGCATTATTTAAGAGGTTCACCAAGATTCTCATCAACTTATTGAGGTCTGACTGTACAAAGCAAAATCTGCAATAATCATTTTAAATATTACATATCCTGTTTGGACTCCTAAATCTTATCGAAATCTTCATTATTGTAATTGATCCTAAATTAAATACTCTTCTAACTACATTAAGTAATAATTAGGTCCTTAATTTCTGATATTAATTTCATTATGTTTATGGTCTTTACGTTCAAATTTTGTCTCTAATAAGAATAATAAGAAACATAATCTAAAATATCCTAGATAGTATAGAGCAATATCTTTGAATTCCAATAACAAGGTTTAATATAAGTATCTATCAATTACTTAGTCAAGTTCTAATCGTTTAGACAGATTTCTAAATAAGTGATGACGGCATGCAAAGGAGTTTTCAACTTATGGCTAAATGAACTTATAAGATTGTTCCTGAACTTTTGATCTTTTTTTATATCCACATAGTTCTCATTAATCAACTAAAAAATATTATAAAATACATTTACTTAAAAAGAAAATATAAATATGGTTTAATTTTTCTTGATCATTTATGAGAATTTCAAATAGTATCTCAATTTTTCCTGGTTAGGTCCTATAATTTTGAATTTGTAATAATTGCATTCAAAATCAATATTTTAAGCATTTTCAATTATTTGCTTTAAGGTGAGAATTTTTTTAGTGATACTCTCATTTTAACTATAACCACTGACTTTAATATCTTCTAAAAAGGAGATATTATCGGTTTATTTTTGAGTCAATAATTTGAGATTGGCTATATTTTAGGATTCTGATCTATTGGGGTTGTATGTTATATTTTCAGTTTGATTTTGAAATTCTAAGAAAGATTCGATTTTATCCATATGCTGAGTTCTATAAATCAATTTGTAATTTTGATCAAATACTAAAATGCCTATGTTTAAATAGTTAACCATTCCATTCAAGTAGTCTAGTTAACAGGCCATTTCCTCTTGACAATTGATTTAATGAGTCTTTGCTTGAATGTTGAATACTTGGATGTGAATTTCATTGAACAACGCAATTATTAAAAACAAAATCTAAAATACGAAGGATATTGAAGGCTAATTTTCATTCATTTCATCTGTGATTTAATATACGATGTATGAGAATAAAATTAAGGGTAGGATTATTTTAAAAATTTGTTGTTTTAATGTTCCTTAAAAGAGATGAAAAAATATGAGTAAATAAATAATCCCAAAATAAGTTTAGGGCTGTACATAAATTGCTTAATATAAGCATTTTGAAATGAAGTAAAGGAAGAACAGCATATCCAATAAGAAGGTTTGGTTTCTCTTTCTTGTTCTAAATCTAAAATATACACAAACATACAAAGCTAATAAAATATGAGCGCAATGATTTACTTAAAAGTATTATATATATGGAAAAATTGATCCACATTGTTTATTTTGAATTGATTTGATCCTTCAAAGTGTCTATCATAAGAAATAACAGATCAATAGTGCATGTGAGTAGTAATACAAGATATCTAAAATCAATTATATTTTAGTCTCTAAACATTTATTAATATTTATCTTTATAATATAATTAATGTAGCATAAATAGATAAAAGCAACTACCTCATAAAATATTCGTTAAAAGCTGGCGATGAAAGACTCTTTTACTAATATTAATTAAATCTACAGTCAACCTCATTCTTCAAAAGGAGCTGAAACTAGAAAAAAGGAAGTAAATTCTTATTTATTTAGAATGTATAAGATTGCAATACTATGAAGAAAAAATTGTTTAATATGTTGGGATAAAACTACAATTCAAGCAAAGCATTCTCTATATCCCCTACTAATTCCCTTAAGCAGAATTATTTTGTTTCCACATCAACTCAATAAAAATCAAAATAAATTATACAAAAACAAAATCACACCCTCGATTGCCATACATCACTTACTCAAAATCTCTAAGGAAATCTAGCCAGGAATGTATAGTCATAGCAATCATTAAATTAATTTGAAAAATATACTTCTTTCTTGGAGAATCAAAATTTTGAAAACCAGAATCCTTCAGTTAATCCATCAAAAAAAGTTGGCATTGCCAAACCTAACTCTATTCAATCTAAAAATCATAAAACTGACAGAAGTTCATTAATTGCATTATTTGAAAAATTGCATGAAAAGGACAGTTCTAATATGCATCGTAAGTAAACATCCCAAAATTCCAATTATATTATTAATGTTTAAAAATAATAGCTTCCAGAGTGCTTTTACACAGAATTAAAGTTGAGACAAAAGATTAAAGGATCCTTATCCAATAATTCCTCTGGCTAACTTTGCTCCCATCTTAACCCTAATTCATCATCTACTCAAATTCAACAAAACCTTTAAAATACCATTGAGGATAATTTACAATAAATTATTGAAAGGATGTCATATATACTCAAAAATTATTAATAAAAGTTAAAACAGGTAGACTTTGAAAAGGAAGTATTAATATAAGAAATTCAGTATTGGAAATCGAAATACCAAAAATGTCAATAAAAATCATCGATTTCTTGATTCAGATAAGATTAAAAATTGATAATATAATCTTTTTAAAATGATAAATTAAAATTGAATTGAGCAATCATTTTCTCTTTAGAAAATAAACAGGTATCACTTAATTTCCTTCCTATAAGTTAATCCTTTCTTTACATTTATAATTAACATATTTACACAGCTTATTTGCTTTGAATACTATTAAAATTTATTGTGGATTTGTGAGAAATTTTTCGATTGCCAATTTTGGTTTCATCCAATACAACATTTTCTATGAGAATTATTTTTCATAAACTTTGTCTTCTTTTTATACAACATAAAGTTCAACTATGTCAGATGTCAATCTCTAAAAATATTCCTTATAATTCTAATCTACATATGGCTAAAAGGCTAAAATGTTTAGATTTTAGAAATTAGCTCTTAAAATCTGGGCTAATTAAGAATCGACAGGGAAATCTATTTATTGTACACCTTTTTGAAAGTCAGCCAAGATATCATATTCTTAATTTCCTAATGAGGATAGATTTAAATTAGAATCCTAATCACTGATTTCACTTATAGATTTTGTCTATGATAATTCTTAAGGTAATATTTAATTTTCTTAAAAACCCTAATTGTCTATATATCCACTTTATTATAATATCTAAAAATCTCTTTTCTCAACTTTATTATACTAGTTATTATCTTTTTCTAGGAAGTTAAGAAGACTATTTTCGATTTCTAAGTAATTATTTTGTGCAGAATTTATCTAAGATAAATCTACCATTTCTAAATGTAATAAATCATTATTTCTTATATTTGGCATTAAGTCTTGATTCGTCCATTCAGTCAAATTTTTAAAAATCATAGCTAAATATCTAAATATTAAATTACTTTTTGATAATTATTGCTTAATTTCTATAGTCCATTTAATGTTGGCATCATCAACAAAATACCCATTACCTTCTAAGAATTTTTTAAATCTATCTCGATTTTATGTTTTTTGAACAAGATTCTTATAGGGTATGAATTGCTCAATGTAAAAACTAACTTGTAAATTAATAACTTATTCATTTGGTAATTATAACCTTTGAAATATGGAATCAATTTTCTAAAAATTCTTTTTGTTTCCAAGTATTGTTATGTAATAATCTGAATATTCCTATTTTTAAGAGACATATAAATCAGATAAATCTATTATTTTTTCAAGGATCTTTTTTCCATATTCTGGTTTAGTTTTTAATTCTAAGAAAATTTTTGATTCAATTAAATTCTAAATTTATTCTATATATTTATTAAGTTGTGATCCCTAATTAACAAAGTTTGAATGAATTATACAAAAGGAACTGATTTCCTATTCTTCTCTGAATTCAATTTCTTTTATTTAATTCAAAATTTATTTTAGAAAATCTTAAATTTTATATTTAAAATAATTTGTTCTGGCAAGAACCAACTTGTAATATTCAACTTTCTCATTAACATTTGTCTCTTTCAAACTAAGCATTGAAATTTTTTTTCCTTAGTAGTATTTGAAATCTTAGGCGTATTTGAGAGATTCATTATTCCTTGTTATTAATTATAATGATTCTGGTCCAATTACTTTCCAATATATGCCTCTCTTCTTAAATTCTTTTTTTAAATAATGACTAAGTTCAAAGCAAGATAAGGAAGTTTTATCTAACATTAATTTAACATTTTGAAATTTATCGAAATATTGTTTAAATTAAGTCACAACATAGTCATTAAAACACTAAAGTTAGTATTTTCCTTACGATATTTTTAAAAATTATATCTTCTAATTATTTGAAACCAATTTATCTAAAAATTCTTGATAAAGGTTGTCTTAAATTATTTCATCCAAGAATGAAGGCTAGATATAATTTTTAAAATTTACTTCCAAATTGATGGTTTGACTTATTGGAAATTTTTACAAGTCAGCTCTTATATTAAGTGAAATTACTTAAGTTTATTATTGTTGTTGTTGTTATTATTGTTATAATTATTATATATTGTTAGAATTTATATATTTTAGAAGTGGTAGCTCTTTCTATAAATCGTTTTTATCAATAGCATTTCTGAATTTCTAGTGCAAAACCTATAAAGCCATTCTATTATTATTTTATTCTCGATTGATGCATAAATACTTTAAAATTCTTACTAAGATTATTATTTATTCTTACCTAAACTCTAAAGGCTATAATCTCTATTTTACAAAGTAGAAAATTGAAGTTTTTTATTATCTACTTACTAAAAACCAAATTTCTAAAATAGATCTTTAATTGCATCCAAATCTATTTTTAATTAGTCCCCCTTTAATTTAAACAAAAAGTTTTATTTATCAACTTCAACATTAAATTTTTTAAATTCATATTTAAAAACCTTCTCTTCTAAAAGACATAACAATTTCAAAATATCTTCATTAATACCAAATAAAATGAAATCTTCATTATTTTTATAAAATAAAATCTTAACATTCAAATCTTAAATACCAAGCTGAAAAAGCTTTTCTACTTTTAATCCTATGTCTTAAGTGGTTTAAATGAAAAATTTTAACAAAAGTAGGTTCTTTAGGAAACCTCCAATATATTCTTTTGTTTACTTTTCAACTAACTCTCTTTTTTCTTTAATTTTTGAAAAATTCATTTCAATAAAAAAAAAGTTCTCATTAAAATATTAATTGAAGCAATATTACTGAACATCCTAGGATAAATATTTCTTATAAAAGAGATATCTTGATTTTTCTAAAATAGGGTTACTTGAAATTAAATTTGGATAAGGTTTTGCACTAGAGAAGTTAAACATATAACCTCTATAGTTTTCATAGATTTGATGTGCTAGTTCTTTTAGGAATTATTATGATTACTCTCTTGAAACCAGATAAAATTCATCCCCTATTTATGCTATTTAAACTTAGCGTTACAAAAGGTATTTATTCATCATTGATTATTATTCTTTCATAGTATAACAAGAGTAGAAACAAAATTGAATTTCTACTGATTAGATACTGTCTATAAAAGTCTGAATTTCTTGATTTATATAATACTAATCAGTATTTTCTTATAATTTATAGCAATTCATTTATTGTTTAGTAAGATGTAATTATTTTATTAACTCATTCCACTTTTCCAGATATAACTATTCAATTATCTATAGAATTTAACCATTTTTTAATTGAATTGTAAAGGTCTTTTCGTTGTGCCTTATTTTTATGTTATCATCATAGATATTCATGCTTTAATCAATAATTTGACTGATTCTTTCACCAAATGCATGAATTGAGTAATCTTGAGTATTATCTACCTCTGTTAATATTGAAGATTCAGTCTCAAAATTTTTATAAACAACATCTGGTTCTTTTGGATCTGCTAAGATTTAATAATTGAGGTTTTACCTTATTAAATCTTTTATTGAATTTACTCCTATTGAAGTTAAGGCTCTCCTTAATCAGTTGGTGTTTCACAATATTTTTAAGAGGATTAATCACCTTTATTATTAGTTAAACTCTAATCTGAATTAATTTGGGTTGATAAATTCTTTTGACAAATTTCATCTTGATCATTTTTGAAGGATGAATTTTGATTTTAAGTGTTGAAACCTAACTTTGGTTTAATCTTCATTTAAAAATTGGGAAAAATTTCGTTTATAGAGTCAATTAAAGATCTAAATCTTTCAAACTTTTTTAATTGTTAGTCATCTTTAAAAATGTACCTTTACCCATCAAGTTGAATTTCTAAACTAAGAAATGACAATAATTGTTGCATTGAGTTTTAATCCTTTACTTCGAAAACTTTTGGATCCATTAGTAAGCTCATTGTAATTTAATAAAAAAATATTAATTATTATCATTTATCAAAACAATTATGGCCACATCCTAAAGGACATGAAGCATTATTTTTAAACCAGTTTTTCATTTCTTTCATGTGACCTCCATGCATACACTGTTAGCACCATAAATAAAGACCTTTTACTGGCTTGAAGCTTTATTATTTAACATGTTATAATACCATATTGCACATATAAAATCTATTTTACAAATATTACAAATTGGTCCTGCAGCTTAGTTATTTTTGCAGGGGCCAAGACATTTATAGTTTGTAACGTATTTATTACTAGTTCTAAACTATTCAACTGGACTTTCTAATGCCGCTTTCATAGCTAATGTGTGTTTGCCAAACGCCACTAGTAATTCAATATAAGACTGAGTCCATTTTTTAGCATTCAAATCAGGGAATTATACATGATTTTTTGCACATGCAGCCATCCAAAATCCACTAGGAAGTTCCCCTTAATCGATTACATGTTAAATTAATTAGAGTATAGAATTAGAAATAACTTGCCTACATATTATTTAGAAATTACATCATATGTTATTTATCAGTCAGCAAATAACCAATAGGAGTCATTGTTCTTAATAAGTTCTTATAATATGGTATTCTTTCTATATGAATTTTCAAATGATTTTGATCTTCAATTATGATATTCTTGCTATCTAATTCTTATCTAAATGCTGCTGGGTATTTTTCGAAATATTTATAGAGTTTTTAGAGATCCTGTGAATCCAATTACTTTTTTTCATGTGATTTGTTATTTCTTGTAATCTATATAGTTTATTCCAAAGGAGACTTTTAATCATCATCTGATTAATCATTACCTTTGTTTGGTAACTAAACAGGAATATTCTACATTGAAATATTGGAGCCACAATCTTTTGATAACTTTTTAAAGTCATTGATAAGATGTTCTAAGGCTTTCCAATAATGTGCTATCTCTGGTTTATCTATTTGCAAGGCAACATTACTATTATATGAAAAATCCTTTTTTGAATTGTAATTCTTTTGGAAATATTTTAATTCCTCATCAAAAGGAATTTTAGGATCAAACCTTTAATCAATAGCTTCTATATAGAAGATTGATCTTACACTAGTTTTTTGAATTTGTGAATTTTATGGAGATACAGAAGTTGCTTTTTGGATATCTTACCAAGAATTTTAAACCTAAGTATTTTAGAATTGATTCTAAGTTTTCGACTTTTATATAAAAATATCATCATTTGAGGATTGTTTTTAAATTGAATTAAAGTACTATTAATATTGATTGGTCTTCTCTGATTCACATTGAATGGGGAAGGGAGATTCTAATTTCATAAGCAAATCATTATATTGATTAAAGGCGACAGGGAATATAGGACAATTATTATATACTTGATATGCCTATCTAACAGATTGCATTCTTAAGTATTTATCCTTGGATCCTGTAAAAACATACTATTCATCTTAACTAAAGACAAAGGATGTTATGATATCATTATGACCCTTGACAATATGCATAGGTCGGAAGGGAGTTCTGATGTCATAAGTAGTGACTGAGATATCTCTATTAAGTGATGAGACACTCAAAAGAGAATTGTTTTACACATGCCATTTGATATGAGAAGACCCATCTATATGCTAAATGATCCCTTTTTCCCTAATGTCAGTATGATTCTCTACTTATAAGATTTTAATTTCTTTATCATTTGATCCACTAGCCAAAACATTATCTTTAGTCCAATCCAAGCAGATAATTAAATTGGTAAATGGGTCTTGTTTACGACCCTTTAAATTAATCTCAGTCACAACTTCTTATTGTTTTCTAATGTCAAAATACTCTAATTGGCCTGTATCGGAGGCTGCCATAAAATAATTGTCTCTTGTAATATTAAATTTAATGTCTCTAATAGCTTCATTTCTTTGTAATGTAAAAATTGGTTATGCAGCAGGTTGACGATAATCATAATAATTAATTGTATAATCCTACCCACCGCTAATAAAACAGTTTTCATTATGCCAATTCATCCTATGAATAGCAGCTTAATGATTTCTATAAACAGTTTCTTTTTGTTTGTCAATATCCCAAACCTAAAATTAACCTTAGACAGATGCAGCCAATAATAGAGTTGGCTTTTTGCGATTAAATTCTACATAACCTATTGCCAATTTTGTGCCTTATCTCCTCATATTCTATTTGATACTCATTTTTTTATTCACTTAATCCAAATCAATTATTTTTAAGATTTCTCTTCCCCCTACAACCAAATTCCTTCCTTATTGATCAATATCAATTGAGGATATGCTTGTTTACAAATCTAATTCCTAATCCATTTTTATTAATTAAATAATTTATCATGTAATTATAAGTAAAAATCACAAAAAGAACAGATTGCTATATTAGTTTACCCAGGATGTTTTAAAAATTCACAACGCAATCATTTTCTCAAGGAAATTTATGTTAAGTGATAAAAGCGTACTGATTTCATTATTATTAGAGTGAATTAATGAAGACCTAATAAATTGCATATTTTGGTTGTTAAGGTATTTCTGAAGATAATCACATTGAAATTGGTTTTTAATTTGCTTACCTCTTAAATATCGATGATGATGATTAATTGCAAATAACTTAAGGTAATTTTATTTTTAGAATAAATTTCAGTCTCAAATTGCAATCAATATAATGCCATAACCATATATGTTCAAAAATGGTCAGATTATATGATTGTTCAACATTAAAAGGATTAATTTGAAACAAGTCTGCTTAATAATATTTAAATTGTTTATGATGAATTAATTTTTCCAATATTTTATTAGGAAGGACAATTTGTTACTTTTACATTCAAAGCTCAAGATAACAAGGGTCCTATTGCTATCAGTCCTAATAGTGAAATTAACATTTTAATTGAGGAAGCATAAAAACCAGAGTAGAAATTGGATTTAATTGAATTAAGTGTATTACTTTCAGATAAAGATTAATTTGAATCGTTTATTGAAATAAATACAGAACTATATCATAATAACAGATTAGACAAATTATATTAAATCACTTATTCATCATCATTTCCAAAATCATATAGAAACTATCAAAAATATACTAAGAATTTGAAAAAAAATAAATAAAAACAAAATATTCCTAAAACTGCAATCGTCTAATTCAAATAAAATAAAGATGTTAACAATAAATATTGCTTCATTTCCAAATTTTATGCTAAACATCTTGGAATAAGGGAAGGATAAGTGATTTTAATTAATACACAAGAATATGATATAAGCAAGGAATCAACAATTAGAACAATCAAAAGAAATTAGCTTATTTTTCAAAAAATATATTTCAATTTTTACACTGATTCTGATTTACCTTTAAATAAAGAATTTTTCATTAAATTGATAATAAGCAAAATTGAAAAAAATTTATAGATTGTTTTATAAAGTAATTCATGATTAAAATATTAGGCAGAGTTCATAATAATTAAAAACAACTTTATTTTTTGAGAATTGTCTAACTAATTGGGAATCAACCAGAGCATTTCCTATAAATGTTATCTATTATAAATGAACATAATGAACCTAAAGTAATAGGAGAAAAAGAGAAAGGATTATTAATCAAATACTTAGAAGAACATGTAAGAATTCTTGGATTTACTAGTCCAATTTAAAAAGAAATCAAGCTTACTTAATACTAAAATTTAAGATAAAAAGATGTTCCCTAATAATAAAATATAGGATAAAAAGATGTTAAATAATAAGATTTTTAACTATTTTTGTAACTATTTGAAGGGTCAATTAAATAAATGAATTCTATTTTAGATTAACAATCTAATTCATAATGTTTGGTAATTTGTAAAGAAATCTAAGCAATTTAAGTGCTAGTTTCCTTTTTAAAAACAAAATTTGAAGTGATTAAATTAAATTTAGACAAATTAAATCAGTAAGGATAGAATGAAAAACTATAAAATGGTATCATTTTGAATTTAAAATAGTTAAAAAGTTTATCAAACATATATTTTGGTAATCGAGATAAGTGTGTTTAAATGATATACTAATAATAGTCAAAGGGGTTGAATCTATCAAGAGCATTGATTTAATTGATTTTTAATAATCATTTTAAATACTTATTTCAAATGTATATTATCTATAATTCATCTAGATTTTAAGTAAGTTAATGAGAAATTAAATAATGGAATATCCTTCAGTTAAATTAATAGTGGTATCGCCATCAAAAGAGTATTTAAATGTAAACCTTGAAAGTATTTATTCTTCTTAGATTAGAAAAATTTTCAAAGGAGTAAATTATTGAATTCAATAAACCCAAATTAGAACTAAGATAGCGAATTTTCGAATAATTTTATCATTCAGAAGAGATTAAAAAATGTGCTGAATAATTAGCTCAAAAGTCTGAAAACTTTAATTTCACTTAATTTCATGCTTTATAAAATAGAGAAAGATACTTAAAAGAATTGAATTAATAAATATCGGAGGAATGGATTTTATAATAAATTAATGATTTATAGGACTAATAGGTGTAACTGAATAAGAAAATACCAACTTTCAAAGAAATAGGTGGTCTAAAAGAATAAAAGTAAATAATTTTAGATCTTTTTGATCTACCAATGAAATATGAGCATTTATTTGCAAAATCCAAAATTAAACTACCTAAAAGTGTTTTGATTTATGGGATGCCAGGATGTGGAAAGACTTACTTTAGTTTGAGTATTTGCAACGAGTTAAAAATAAATGTATTAACAGTAAAAGGACCTGAATTATTAGATAAGTATATAGGTATATTAACTAATAATAAACTTAAGGATCATCTGAATAGAATGTTAGAGATCTCTTTTAAAAGGCTTAATCTCTATCTCCTTGCATTATCTTTTTGGATGAAATAGATTCTGTTGTGCCTGTTAGAACATCATCACATTCAGGAGTTACAGATAGAGTTGTCAATTAATTTTTATGCTATCTAGACGGAGTAGAGGAAGGAATGAAGGGAGTCTACATCGTAGCTGCTTCAAGTAGACCTGACTTAATAGATCCAGCCATATTAAGACCAGGAAGAATTGACAAGCATGTTAGAATAGATTTACCTAATAAGGAGGAGATCCTTTAAATTTTGGAGATTTATAAAGGTCCTTTAGAATTTGATGGAATTGCAGAAGAAGATATAGCTGACTCTTTGTTTGGGTTATCGCAAGCTGATGTTGTCTCTTTTTTTAAAGAAGCCAGAATATATTTAACTGATAGAATAGTTTAATTAGAAGATTTTAGTCTAAAAAGAAAGGTGTAGAAAATAGAGGACTTTAAATTAACTAAGGAATTGTTTTAAGATATTATGAAGAATATGAAACCCAGCTTGAGTTAAAAATAGATACTATTCTATAAAGATGTATATAATAGATTTGAGAAGGGAGGCATAAAGGATATGAGTAATCAAAAATAAGCCTTATAGTGATGATATTGTTAAATTATTTATAAAATATGTATCATTAAATTATTTTTGATTTGCTGATTCTTTTCGCTACATCAGCATAATATTAATTATTTGAGGCTAATAATTGAACAAATATACTAAAAGCTGATTAGTACAATTTAAATTCCTATTCGTAATCAAGTTTCTAGACCAAAATTCCAAATTATTTTTATGCTCCTGATTTTGTAGAATCAAAGTATAGAGAACTGAAATAAGAATTATAATTCTCTTTGCTTCCATAAACTTCATATTGTTGTCCTCTTTGAACAACATCTTAAATTAATCTAGGGTTCAAAATAAATTAATTCATTAAGCTTTCAAATATTTAATAGGCCTAAGTTTGTAGATATTTAAATTGACGATTCTACATTCCTTTCAATAGGAAAGCATAATCATAAGAATTAGATTAAGTAAAGTATTTGTTCATAATACTTGATACTTTTCCATCTAACAAATCAGAGTGAGCAGTTTCTAACCAGACTTATGATTATTGTGTTTTTTATAATAATTCAGTATGAATGGAATTTTAAAGTTGAGTAAATTACAATTATGATTGGCTTACAATTCTATTTATATAATCCTCATAACTTTGATGGTAGATATTAGCAAATGCTAAATGAGATGAAACATGCCAAATTTGGCTAGTTTGCTCAATATTTAAGGTTTGTAATGTCTTATCAATTTAATCTTTGCCCAAGAAAGATTGCAGATATTCAGCTATACAGTTAGAGTTATACTATATTAGTCCTTCTGCTACTTAATTCAATGTGATTTACTGTTTATTATTTAAACTAGTTAGGAATTTGGCATGATGATAATCGAATTGTTTGATATAAAACAAATTCAAGTTATCCAATTAGACTTCCATAAGAGGATTAATTAGATTTATAGAAACCTATCTTGAATATTCAAGGAGAATTGCAATTTTATTAAAAGGTTGTATTTGAACTTTATCTTTTTGTTGGGTAGATACTAACAGCTAATCATCTTGAAACATAGTGATATAAAATTTGGAAGGATTCTCCTCATAGAATTAGATGATGGATTTTTATGAATATGGATTAATGTGGAAGTGATCGAGCATTTTATTTGAATTATACATCCAATTCATCATTCCAGCCCCTAATGATTTTTTAAATGAAATTAATTAGAGATTCTAAATAGAATCACTAGTTGCATTTGCTGAATATACTATTTCTCCATGATTCTAATAGATATTGGTTAAAGTTTTGTTAAATATTTCAAAGCTTGTATCCAATGCTGCTCTTTTAGAAAATTAATCATGGATTGCCTTGAAATTTCCTTAGTTAACTCATCTTAATTACCTGTGTTATAGAGTTAGGTTAAGTCTTCAAATTATGATGAATGTCTTGAATATGTTAATAACAGCATAGTTAATATGAAATATGAATGGGTAGTCATTATAAAATTTTAATTATAATATTTATGAAAATAGTTTTTTATTTGTTATATATTCTGCTGAATTGCTTGAGCGCTTTTGAAATAATCAATCATTAGGAAATCTTTGAATATATATTACGAATGAATGAGCTTAGAAGCAAAAGATACACAAGTCAAATACAATTGTTGTACGATGAACAAATATATGAATTGTATGAAGAAAACTTAGAAAATTAAATTAAAAGAAATAAAGAGGTAATGGAGAAGGCATTTTTCATGATTGAAAAGTATTATTTGCCTAAGAAGACCTGTTTGGAAGGAATCCTGGATTCGATTCTAATAATGGAACCTTTGTTTCATCATATTTAATACGATAAAGAGACTTTGAACACCTATTTTTATTCGGTCGATCAGCTGAATTTTAGATCAAGTTGCTATTAGGTGTTGTAAACTATAACAGATCAAGATGTTGAATTAAAGAGCAAGGATGAGATAGAGAAGATGGAGCTATTTTAGGAATTTTATGATAAGTTTTATTAAAATGATTTTACTTAGAGTAAAATGTATTTAGAATCAAGAGCGATGGATTTTAGGAAAAAGTTAGAAGAATTCACCGAGTTGTTTAGTGATGATTCTCAAAAGATTTTAGATGTCACCAAGTAATTAATGTTAAAGGCCAAACAATCTTTAAACAATTTAAGACTATTAATTCAACCTGAAACAGACTAAGCCATATGTAGATATTATGTCTTTAATGTAGATTCTTACAATATTCAAAAGCAGAGGTACGATTTATTAAGAGAGAAGGAAGTGTTTTTGAAATAGTAAATCTTGTACAATGACGAAGCATTTCAAATTGAATAGACTTAACATATACAATTGCGAGATAGTGTGGATAAGTTGATAGCTGAATAAGAGGTTGGGTAAATATTGATTAAACGAATAAATTAGAGATGTTATATAAAGAATTGAGTGATGAAAATAGATAGAATGTGTTGAACATGATTAGAGTTCAAAATTGGGATATTATGAAAAACCAAGAGGAAGAAGAATTCAGAAAACAATCTCAAAAATTCAATCCTGGAAGAAGACATGATTATGATTTATGATTTATTGAATAGTAATAAATAAATTGAAATTCGTAGGGGTCACAATTAAGTTGCTAGTAAATGATCACTGGGGGTTTGTTTAATAGTTGAAAATCAAAATAAATATTTTTAGTTTAATAAATAATTAATAGTTATAATCATGGGCTGTTGTTAAGGACATTAAAATGGTTAGAAAATACAATATTTTAGATATGCATTAATTAACAGAATTAGCGAAGGAGTTGACTGAATATCAGTAACCAGAATATTTGGCTGACATATTAGATTTGAAAACACAAACTAAGTTGAAGGAACGATTGAATGACTAAGAAAAAGATCTGGAACAGACTCCAAAAAAAGAGACTAACTACTCTCAAGATATGAAAAGCGGAAAAAAAGAAAATAATCAAGAATCTAAATCATAAATTAAATAATAAGGATAAGAGAAACAATGGACAATCAAATAAACTATGTTCGTTAGAATTAATTCCAAAAAGAATGTAAGTGAATTCTACACAGTAAAAGAGATGATTGGATAGGGAGGGTTTGGAAAAGTATATAAAGTGGTTCATAGATAAACTGGTTTAATTAATTGTTATTTCTAGGTATGGTGAGAGCTATGAAATTGATCCTAAAATCTAAATTGAAAAAGGAGGACCAAGAGAAATTATTAGAAGAAACTAATATTTTAATGGATATTGATCATCCAAACATTGTCAAATTATATGAAATGTATTAAGATGATAATTCATATTATTTAATCAATGAATATTGTGATGGTAAAACTATTCAAAATCTTCTATGAAGGTGGTGAATTATTCGAAAAAATTAAATTTGTTCAAACCTTAACTGAAAAAGAAATAGCAAGTTACATGAAATAAATCCTGACAGCTGTGGCTTATTGTCATTCAAAAGGCATTGTACATAGAGATTTGAAACCTGAGAACATTTTGTTTGACTCTAAAACTCAAGGTGCCTCACTCAAAATTATTGATTTTGGAGCAAGTGCTAAATTAGTAAATGATGAAAAACTAAAAAAAAGAATTGGAACAGTATAATAAATACACCATATTAGCCATTCTATGTTGCTCCAGAAGTTTTGAACGGTAGTTATGATGAAAAATGTGATATTTGGTCTTTAGGAGTAATACTGTATGTTTTGCTATGTGGATACCCTCCCTTTTTTGGACATAGCGAAGGAGAGGTCTTAGCCAAAGTTAGAAAAGGAACATATTAATTTGATAGTAATGATTGGTCTAGAGTATCTATGCAAGCAAAAGATTTGATCAGAAGAATGTTGTTCTATGATCCCTCTTCTCGTATTAGTGCATCGGAAGCTCAATAACACAGTTGGATAGCCAACAATAAAGCTAAAGGAGCTGTCAATAACATCAGTTTAAAAAAATTATAGGATTTTGATTCCAAGAATAAACTAAAATACGCGATTTTATAATTCATAACAGTTCAAGTTGTTCAAAGTTAAGAGAAGGATGACTTATTAAAGACTTTCCAAGATATAGATAAAAATGGAGATGGAACTGTGAGTAAAGAAGAATTGTTAGCAGGTAAAAAAGTCATTTCACCCTAGCCTATATGAAAATTTACAAAGGAGATTCTATTGCGGCTCAATAAGTTGTAGAAGAATTGTTTCCATAGCTAGATGCCAACAAATCCGGAAAAGTAGATTTTAGTGAATTTGTTACTGCTTCAATTAACAGAGATAGGTCCTTAAGTAAAAAAAAAATAGAACAGGCCTTCAAACTTTTTGATTTGGATGGAAATGGTTTTATTACCAAATAGGAGATTAATGAGTTATTTGGGAATGAAATCGATGAAAATATGTGGCAAGATATTTTGAAGGATTGTGATATAAATAAAGATGGAATGGTATGTATATATGTGTCTATTTAGATATCTATGAATGAATTTGTAAATCTTTTGGAAACTAAAATTAAGCGACCACCGTAAATGAAATGAATTACTAATTTTATTAACCATGTATATTTGCATGGCTAATTAATATATATACTTAAATTACACATTTATATTGTTATATTACTATTGATTTTAACCTTATATTTATTTTTAAATAAAAATATAAAAAAGTTGCGTCTATCGGGACTCGAACCCGACCTAAATGCTTGGAAGGCATTCGTACGAACCTCTATACTATAGACGCTGACTGAGAATATAGTAGGATTTATGGTATATGAACATCTCTACAAAATCTGACATTATGATTTGACTTGTTTGGTTTTATATTAAAATACACATATTTGACTTAAAATACAATTAATATTAAGATATATAAGGAAGTTATTAGGAATATAACAAATACTCATTTTTTATTATTTTTAAAACTATTTTATTGTTTTTAGCTCGATAATTTCCTCACTTATGGATTATCCTTCTAAGGTTGCTCTTTTAGAACTTATACTTTGCTAATTATAAAGAATATAATATACTCATTTATTTTGACTTATTGATTAACTCTTTTTATAGCTGACTCTAGATAATCGTTTGAAGTTGATGTGGCTAACTTTTTAATTATTCTTTGATTCTAATCAATAATTTTTCTTTTTTCATCTAATTTTTAAAACTTTTTATCATAGCCGATTTTCATCTGTAAATTTATATATATTCTTTACCTATGTCATAACATCCTTTTCTTTTTAGAGTTACTCTATTTTATTGGCTTAGTGAGATTATTTATTTTTGAGATCAAAATGTAACTTCTTAAGAATGAGTAATTCCGTTTCCTATACTACAAGTTTTGCTTGTAATTCTGCTATGATTTAAAGTTGCTCATTTTCGAGTTCTGTTTGTGGAGGAGAATTTTATTTTAACTTCTCATATATTTCATCGTAAGTGGCTTTTAATGATGGTTTTTCTTTGAAATATTCTTCATACATTTATTCTTCATCAGATGAACTTCCATTAGCTGAAATATCCAGATTTTCATTTAAATTGAGCGGCTCTTCTTCCTTGATTTGTTATGGAACCTCTTAAGTTTAATCTTACTTCTCTTGTATTTGTTATTAAATAAAATCTAAAAAGTTCATAAATTTATGTAAAATTTTTCACTCTTTCAATTCAATTGTAATTTTTTTTTGGAATAAAACGTTATATGCTTTTAGATAAACAATTAATAAATCTTATATACATACATTAATTAGCATTTATTACTCAAATTAAATTCCTTTTCATCATCAAAAGGGATTATAAATAATTGATATTAATAAAAATAAGAAATCTGAATTTTTTAGCATGGACAAGAGGCTTTTCTCCAAACGGACTTTTCATTTTCTGACTATCATCTTTATCAATTTTGATCATGGAATCATTCCTGCTTGCACTTAAAGAATTGAATCAGATTTCGGAATTAATGAATTTGAAGTAGCATATATAATTATTATGATTAAAATAGTTGGGTTTGTTGAGTTCATCTGTTTTTGCTGGAATCATTATAGGAACGATGATAGGAGCAGGAATCTATGATAAATTTAAGACGAAATCAATTCTTATAACTTGCTCTTTACTTTACATACTGAGTATATCGGTATTTCTCATTACAAAGAATATTGTGTTATTACATTTTTCCAGATTCTTTACAGGGTTGTTTTAAGTATGCTTCATCAATTTAATTGGCATTTTTAGTTATTTATTTTCCTGTTTGGATTGATCTCTACGGGGGTAAATAAAGAAATGAGCAATTGACATTCATGCAAATAGGAATCCCCTTGGGAACAATGTTAGGATTCTGGATAAGTTCATTATCTCTTTAGATTTCATTAGATGTAAATTTTTATATAAGGGTTTAAGTGGAGATAAGCATTTTATTTCTAGATCGTAGGCTTGTCTCTGTGCTTGTTGTATTATGTATTTTCTGAGGATGATTAATTTTCAATAAAAATCAGAGAGGAAAGAGATTAAAATTAAAGTTTTTCAACAGTGTTACTTTCAAATTGTAAAACATTTTTTACAAATCCACTTTTTGTCTTATCCATGTTAACATTAAGTTAATTGTTTTTTGTTTTGACAGGAGTCTAATTCTGGATGACTGATTATCTCAATAGTGTTATGTTAATGGAATACAATCTTGCTTCTTAATCATTTCTAATAATCTCAATGACTGCTCCTTTAACTGGGGTGTACTTAGGTAGTTAAGTCTTAAATAATGATGTGGGAAATAAAGGATTTAGAGTCATGAAAATTGCTGCAATCGAATTATCTTTAGCAAGCATCTCATTAGCTTTGATTCCACATTTTGACAATTTAGAGATGATACTAGTGCTGTTTTGGTGTTTATTATTTTTTGGAGGCAGTGCTATTCCTTCATTAATGGGAATAATGATTACATCGTTACAAAGAGAAGAGAGAACAAGTGGAAATTAATTACGCCAGTTATTTTTTGATTTGTTTGGTTATCTTCCAGCACCTGCCGTTTATGGGTATGTTTAAATTACTTCTGGTGGTTTAACATCCCGAAAGGGAATGGTTATGCTTTCCTGTATCAGTTTCTTAAGTTTAATCTTTTTGTTGCTAGCAATTTACAAGAAATATCTTTCGATAAAAATGATTTGTATAGATTTAAATGAATCAGAGTTCAGAAATAAATTGCGTTCGCTTTCTCATCATTCTGGTGACAACAATGATGAATATCAAAAGAAAGATTTCTCATATATAAGAATGCAAGCCACTAGTCATAAATTTAAATAGATTATTCATTCACATTATACTGAGTAGATTGAGGGAGATCAATTATCAGAAAATGAATCACCTTTGATAATTGGTATGGAATCACAAAGAATAAGAAATGCATATAAAAGTTAATGTTCTTATTTGCATATATTTTATAATGTTTCAAGTTTTATAGGAAGAAGAAGTTTAGAAAATGATTTATTTATGATCAAAGATGATTAAGCTTAGATTAGGATGAAAAGTCAAAATACTTTTGAGTTGAAGCTTTTAGGAGCTAATCATTTTATAAGTGAGGAGAGATTTGGACAACAATAATAATAATAATAGTGATTTATTTGATTATTAATTTTAAAAATATAAATGAGCTTAGAAGTTAAGAATGCACATAGATAAGCTTTTAAAGAAATCTTTTCAATGAAGGCTGTAGAAGGAAAACTAGACAAAAAGGGTTTGGCTGATCTCTTCATCATGATTGATTATAAGGTAATATCATTTTTATTTATAATTCTTAGATACCATAAGAACAATTTGATGAGATGGTCTAAAGAATATTTGGTAAAAAGGAATAGATTGGGTTTGAAGAATTTTTAAAAATCTTTAATTTAAAACTGACAGATTACACTTTTAATGATGTGAGAAATGCATTTAAATTGTTAGCAAAAGATGATGACAGGTATAATAATCTATTATTTAGGTACATCCCATTGGAGAAGATTAAAAAAGTATTGCTAAAAAACAATGTTCCAGCTGAAGAAGTTGAATTTTTATGTCACTAATTGGATCCATTTACTGACACTATGAAGAGAGTTAATTATGCTGAATTCTTGAAGAGCTTGAGCAATGTTTGATCGATATCCATTAAAAATATTACTTAATATTAAATTATTTAAATAAAATTTAATAATGAACTTTTCCCCACAATTAGGATTTCTCGCCCAAAAGTTTTAAGAAAAACAATAGAACAATAGGATCACCAAAGTTGATTTAGAATAAATATTAGAAACTGCAAATTATAGTTAAGAGGATATTTAGTCTTTAATCTAATAATTTAATGAAGACGAAATAAGTAAAAGTAATTTGTTATATAGCCTATAATTAGTTTTTGTCGATTGTTGGAGTTTCTGAAAATAGTCAGAACATATAATCCTATTAATAAAATAATGGATATGAGATTGTTTCTGAATATTAACAAAAGTTGACATCTGAATAGCTTCAAAGCATTTATGATGACTACAAGATAGCTTTAAAAAACTAAGATTTCGAAAAAACCAAGTTTATTTTAAGTATCTAAATTATCTAAATCTAAGATTAATATAAAGATATTGATTTAGTTAATAAAATTGATCCATCTCAAAGATAAATCTCAACATACATAGTTGTCTAAGGTCCTGATGATAATATAGCCCAACAAACATTAGAATTGCTGTTTGATTTTGGCGCCAACCTAAATTACAAAGATTAATTAGGCCAATCAATTTTATTTTATATTTGCAGAGATGGAAGATTAAAGCTTCTTGATTTTGTTTTGTCGACTAATACTGTGAATGTCAATGATCAAGATCGATATGGACAGACACCGCTGTTCTATGCTGCTAGAGATAATAGATATGATATTGTGGTTAGGTACTAAGAAAATTCATTATAAATTTAGATTAATACAATATGGAATCGATATTAACATTGTGGATAAACTTTCAAGTCAAACAGCTCTATTCTATGCAGCCAATGGAGGACATGTTGAAATATGCAAATTATTAATAGAAGTACTACAATCATATTTAATATTAGAATGGAAGTAATCCAAATCATGTTGATTCTTCTAAAAAAAATGCATTATTTTTTGCTAGAAAATATAACAGAAAGGAGGTGATAGATCTATTTAATTACTATTAAAACAAAAATAAAGATGATATGTCTAAAAATAGCGGAGGAAATGATAACAGTAAAGGTGAAGCACCAAGATCATAACAATAGAAGAGGAAATTTAAAGATCTACCAAAACAGTCATACAAATTGATATTTACAGATAATTAAGGAAACTAAAGAGAATTAAATTCTGTTGAATTTGTAAAGTTTTAATAAGACTTCCCAGAAGTTGCTAATCTGATTGTAAATGCAGATGAACTAATTGATGATACAATCATTAACTAGATTAAAGATGATGATACATGGGAGAAGATAGCCAAAAAGGTTTTAGGTATTTATTCTCTATAAATATTTAGGTATTATTTGGAAAGCAAAAGGAGCTCACTTATTCCATTAACCAGTTGATCAGAAGAAATACGGAATTAGTGATTATTATGAGATAGTGACTAAGCCTATGGATTTTGGAACGGTTAAAGTATGTATTCATATGAAAAATTAGAATAAATTAAATTCAAATGTTTATAGTGCTTGTTAGGAATTTTATGATGATGTGATGCAAGTGTTTGAGAATTGTATTTTATACAATGGAGAAACTAGTGAAGTAGGCTAAATTGGATTGAATATAAAATAAGAGTTTGAAAATCAATTAGAATTGACATTATTGAAAAAATATTTATGATAACATAAAAGTATCTATCATAATCAATTTTATGACATTAATCGAATATATGAAACATCTAATTAAAATTAAAAATATTTATACTTTGATTGTTTAGATTAATTTTTAAATATATAAAATTTCAAGAATTGTCTTCAGTTTCTTCTTCTATTTCATAATCAGGAGGTAATATGATTCTGACTAAATCGTCCATGCTAAGCCTTCCATCTTTATCATTGTCATGTTATTAAAATAGATTCTCAACTTCCTTTTCTGTAAACCCATATGTGAATGTTTTCTTCATATCTTCTATAGATATGTCTATTAGATTAAATATATATAATTACATCCTTTTCCATCCTAATCTATTAAATTAAAGAGTTGTTTAACTCTAATCATACTTTGTTTTGGAAGAATTCTTTTTCTTTTGGCTGGCTGTTTCTCTACTCTTAGAAATTCCATTTCCAAACTTTCTTTCGAACTTTTAGCAAAAACTTCATTATATTATTGAATCCATTAGTTAATGATTTTCAATTATTCTTATGTAAGCGAAGGATACAATTTCAACATTAATTCATCAAAAGTAACAAATCCTCTTTGTTTAGAATCTAAATAATTATATAAGCTTGCAGTGACTCTTTTCATGTGTGGTTTGTTTTGAAATGATTTGGTGAATTCTTTAACTTAAATAACTTAATTTTTATCTGAAAGACTATCAAAATAACTCTTTAATTTAAATATCTCATTCCTAGTTAAGGTACACCCTTTTGTAATGATAATATTCTTCATAATCTTATTAGGCACAATGACTCTTCTGGAGGTGCCATCACGCTAGGTAACAAATCTAATTGTGGGAGATTCATATCTTTAGATTTTCCTTGAATGATCTCCAATAGCTTTTTCTAAAATTTGTAACTCATCAATATCATCATCCAAGATTTGAGGTTTTGCAATTTTGGGTAGAGAACTGTGAGAAGCTGACTGTTTTGATCTTATTTAGAGTTGTCTAACACTTTTAGTTGTAGCCTTATAGCTTTCCTAATATTTTTAGTTTAATTTTTCATTGAGACTCTTCATAAAGTATTCATTCTTGTTTGCTTTTGTTATCATATCTAACATGTTTGCAGCTTCTTATTCGCTGTAAGGCTTAAAGGATTTAAACACTTCAAAAGGCTCTTAGACTTTCTATTTTGGTTCATACAAGGTAAATAAGTCTTTGCCAATGTCATTCTCCTTTTCTAACCATTCTATGATTCTAAATCTAAATCTAAATTTTACTCGCTTAACTCCAGTTAATTATCAACTTGAATGTCACTCTTTAAAAACATCAATTTTGCAAACTTCTCCAATTACACATAAGGAGGCATTTCTGCATTAGTTAATTTACAATATCCTATTATGATTGATTTGATAATTATGAGGAGTTCATTTAAGCTGATGTTCCCATTACAATCCAAATCAAAAACAATATATAAAACTAGTATATCATGAGTTTTTTACAATGAATTTTGTGAATATGTTAAGTATGTGAACATATAGTTAAAACACAAATGAGTTCATAAATTGATAAGAGTTTTGATTTCCTACAAAAGTTATCAAATATATATCCTGCATTAGGACGAGAAAATGGAACTATTTTGCAGAATAAACTTTTATCTATGAAGGGAAGTGAAGTCCTACGTTAAAACTATTCATAAACAGCTCGGATTTCAGATAACGACCCTGTATGCATACAATTAAATACAATATAGCAACTATTTTAATGCTGGATCCACCTCTCTAGAGATGTCAAATTTGAGTTCCATTTTTCTTAAATGCATTGGAAGACTGCTCAGGTTGCCATTCTCATCTTAAGTCGAATGCGAAGAAACGCTACCCATTAATCAATTATAATTAAGAAAAATACATAAAATGATTGTGAAATCAATTAGTTAATCTCTAATTACTATTATCCAGATTTTTTATTGCTGAATTTATAAACATTAACTATTAAGGTTTCATTAATAAAGTAAAAAAGAGAGTAATAATAATAAGATCAGAAATCAAAGAAAACTTATTCTTAATTTGCTATTGCCATGTCATTTTCTTCTTCAAATTATATCTCCTTCCAATATTGATTGGAATTAATTTCTGTATGGCTGTATTCATTATCATATTATTATTCTCTTTCATATTATATTGGTGATCTTTCGCATTCAATTGGAGTCTCAATGAAATATCTATCAGTGTTTAAGTTGGGATCCTCTTGATTTTCATCGTCAGCTTCAATTATCAAATTATTCCAACTATCATTTGAGGGATTTTTTTCTTCTACCTCTTAAAAAATAGGGGCAGCTACATTTAAATTTTCTTCTTTTTGTCTCAAAAGTTATCTCAAATGCCCCATTTTCTTTTATAAACATTGATTTATGTCTGTTATTTATGAGGCTTTTCGAATAATACTATAATAGTCCTCTAAAGTTTTCTTGGAGCATCCAATAAGATTGGCTGCTTCTTTTAATGTTGGCTTAATAAAGTTGCCTGCATAATCTGTGTAGCCATTTTTAAAGAGATCTCTCCATTGTTGAACTAAATTGCAAGCCTCATAGACAAATCTTTCTTTTGATCTTCTTTGTTTTTCAATTTTTTAAGTGTTAAACATAATAAATATTGTAATTATATAATTTGTGAATAAATTAAAAGTATATGAATTTTATTTGATTAATTAGTATTAAACAGAATTTGAACGTATTGATAAAATAATTATTATTTTAGAAATAGTTATTCTAATACTCAAATTTCCAATTAACTATTCTTCTATGAATCCCGTTTTATAACCTCCTAGATATCTAAAATAAATAGCTCCTTCTCAATTTAGGAGTTTAAATTAATTAAATGTTCCTCATGAAGAAATTGAAGAGAAAGGATTTTTGACCAAATATGTTTAAATCTTAAAAAAGAATGCAAATGGATCAGTTATAAGCACAGCAAAAATTGTTAATATTTTGAAATTGCATTAGTTATTGAGAAATTAAGATCAACTTGAAACTCTGAAAAAATATTTTGAAGATCACTTTCCATATATAGGGTAAAATAAAATCAAATAAAATTTAGGAAATTTAAGGACAAACTTGATGGTAATAAATGTTTGGACATTTTTAGATTTATGACAGTTGAAAAGTATAAAGCATTTAATATAATTTTTCGTTAAGGAGAACCAGGAAGAAAAATGTATTTTTTATTAACAGGGGAAGTGGGAATATTTGTTCCAAAATCGAATCAAAGTTAGGAAGTCTAAAACTTGATTTGCCAGTAATTGATAAATTATATATCTAAGTGATTTTAAGGACATTCAAGAAATTCAGTTTTAAGAGTTTAGATTAGTTGCCATTAAAAAATTTGGAGAAGTCTTCGGAGAAATTGCAATTGAATAAAGGGTCACTAGAACTGCAACCGTAGTAGCTAAAACTGATGTTTTTGTGGCACAGCTATCCTATGAAATGTATTAAGATGTGATTGGAAAGCATCAAAATGAATTGACTGCTTAAAAGCTTTAGTTTATTAATACTATTCCACTTTTCTAAGACTGGGAACAGAAACAAAAATTAATAGCCTTGTCTAGCTTTGAATAGAATACAATTAATTGTGGGTAGAGTATTTTTTCAACCGGATATTTAGATGAATATATTTATTTAGTGGTGACTGGAGAAGTTGAAATCATTAAATTTAACAAGGTTCAATCCAGTTTGTCATAAAATTAAATAAAAAAGTTATAAATTATTGCCATTATTAATTCTGGGTAATTTTTTGGTGACTATGAACACATAAATAATATTCCTAATAGGATTACTTCGGCCAAAGCCAGAATGGAAACTGTATATTATAAAATTAAATATAATCTCTTTATAGATCTCTTAGAGATGTACTCAAATGTGCAAGAATATAAAAAAGCTCAAATGATCAAGTTTAACATTTAGTAGTCTTTGGTTAATAATGGCTAAGTTTTCTAAGGGGAAAATCAAGAAGATCAACTCTCATTGAATTTAGATCTAAGTCAATTAAAATCCAATTATTTCAAAAATCAGAAAATAGAAAAACTGAAAAACTAATTGAAAAAACAGATTTTCAAAACTGATGATTAGATTAAAAAGGACTATTTTAAGGAATAACTAAAAACTGTAAGTTAAACTTTAAGTGTATTCGAAACTATATAACTTAAAAAATACTCTAATTTAATACCTCATAAACATGATTTTTTTGTTAATGAACAAAATTGCATTTCATCACCAAATCACACTCGTTCGCAAAAGTTTTTTAGTAAGGTTTTTGATTAAAATCAAGAATAAAAAGAAAAGAAATAGCAAAATACAAATAAATTTATCGATAATCAAATTAAATATCATTTGAATAAGAAATTTTAAGGAATGTTTCGAAAGCATACTAAAAGTCATAATGTTAAATTGGAATAATCAGATTCAATATCATATTCAAAAATTATTTAAAGCAAAGTTGCTAAACTCAATCTAACTAAATCGTATGAAAAGATGCAAAGAGCGACATCGGAAAATGCTTTCAAACAAGACGAGCGCACCCCTCATACTCATTTGTCTCTTCATATTCGATCCTATCATAAAGAAAATCTTACTACAAATAGGTCAATTTTGTTTAGATCAAATAGATTATCATCTAAAAAACCAGACACACAAGAGTTCAAATTTTAGAAAATGATTTAATTTTGATTATATTAATGCATATGTAAATTGATAAATATCTACTTAAGGTTTAGGAATACTTTTGAAAATATCAAGAATTCAATTAAGAATCTGATTCCTTATATCAGAGTCTAAATCAATAATGCAGAGCAAATTTTCAATTGGTATTCGAGATGAAATTTAATCATTTTATATTAATATCAGTAAAATTATATACGACTTTCTTTATATCTCAGTCATTCTAACTTCGTACAAAAATAGGATTGGAAAAGTAATCGAAATTAAATGTGAACACATTTATTTATCATTTTGAGTATCATAATAATAAAATTAATACACAAATGCAATAGACGTAATTTCTAGGAAAAAGAATTAAACTTCAATAAATTAGTTTGACTGGGAATTATGAATCTCCTCCTTTACCATCTATTCCAAATGTTCAAGGTTTATTTTCTCCTAGATTGGCTCATCAAAAGGAAACTATGCGATCACCTAGAAAAAAGGCATATACTAAACTAACTTAAAGTGGTAAGACTAATGTACCTCTTATTTCATAATCTTCAAGAAATCTAGATGGATTTAATATCACTTAATAATTTTCCATATCTCCATGCAAAAGCTACAGGAGTAGTTTGCGTTGTTTAACACCACATGAAATAAACTTTAGAAAAAATCTTGATCATGTTTATATAGTTAAACAACCTATTAATGAGATTAGCCAACTAAAAATCATGTAGATGAGTAGATAAAAAGTGAACAGCGGATATAAAGAAGATGACATATATTTGAAAAGGAAGAAACTATTACTAGAAGCACAAATAGCTTTGGGTGCTACTAGACTACACACACAATTAGCATTATTTGATTATCAATAAATTAACTTTTTTGAGGAAATTCCATAAAACTGCAAACTTGTATTTTTGGGTAATAAAACTTAGATGGATTTTTGGGAAATTGTATTTGCTTTTCACAATATTGAATGTTAAACTGAAATTCAAAATAAAATCTTGAATGTCATGTAATATGTCAATTCCATAGATGATCTTCTTAAATTCTTTTAAGATAAAGAAATATTTCAAGAAGTAATAGAAAGCAATGATATTTGTAGTCCGATGGAAATTCTAATTACTCCAACAACAGCAAAATCTAAATAATAATAATTTTAAAAATCTAACACTTCAAATGATTTATAATTCAAACTTGATTTGGATCTAAAAAAAAAAATGCATATCTTAAAAACAGAGGAAAGTGAAGAGATCCAAACCATAAGGAATAGATTAGATGAAAGTCTGAAGGATTATAAAATGGAAGTCAAATCAGATGCAATATAAGACATTTTAGAAAAATAAGGTTTGAATAAGAATATTAAACAGAACCAAAAAAAATGTAACTTTAACATAAATAGATAGATTTAAAACTGTCTAATTTCAAAAGCTAATGCAGTACAATAGCGAAAACCTAATCTAAAAACCAAACCTACAAAAATCAATTTACTAAGTTTCCTCTCTACGTAGCTTAGTCACAACCATTAGCAACTTATTATAATATCCCAAAATTGATGGAAAAAACTGGGCTAAACAGAAGTGAAATTCATGAGATTTACTCAAGATATAAGGCATTATTGAGTTTCGAATGTACTTAAATACCAGGAATGACTAAAGAAAGTATACTATTGTTATTAAATATTATGAAAGTGCTCCCCAATGGAATCAGTCGAGATTCATTTGCAGCAGGACTCAATGAATTATCAATGGCTCCTGCAGGAGTGATTGATTAATTATTTAATTTGTTTGCCATAGAAAACAGTTTGGATTTTGAAGGATTTCTTTAGATTATTAATTTAATTACAGCCAAGAGTAATGAAAAAAAAATTGAATTAATTTTGAAAGTAATAATTTAATTAATTAGTTAATTGATGAGAATGGGAATGGGTTACTTTCTTATGAGGAAATATCCTAGAGATGTGAGATGATGATGGATTCTATAATGAAGTACAATATTGGAGAGCCTTGCACCAATAATATGGTTGATATCATCACTAAATCTATTTTTGACGTATAACTTAATTGATTTTACTTAGGCAGTGGAGATGAATTATGATGAGGAAATCCCAATTGAGAAACTTAGATAACTAATTGAGAGTAGAAGCTAGGCATCTAAAGCATTATTAATGATGTGCTGCGGAGATATTAATTATATTGATTGATTACTTATAAGTTATAAGCTTAATTTTAAATAATTAATTACTGCAGTAATACATTGCAAGATATTCAATAAATTAAACCCCTCACTATATATGAAATTATATTTATTTCTTTTTACTTTATTATTTTAATAATAAATGGTGTACATTTTAACCCTGGAGCAAGCATAAATATCTATAAGAGTCGATAAACCAAGCTATTTTCCTGGAGATCTAATAAAAGGAGTCATATACATTAAAGTAAAGACTAAAGATATAAATGCTGGTATTATGAATCTAAAAGTAAAAATTGGTAATAAAATTTTCAGCTCTGCGGTCAACAAAAAGCAAACTAACTGGATTAACAAGGTCAATTTTTCAGTTTCAAATAGTTCATTTATAAAAAATAAAAGAAAATCACTGATTTTGGGAAGTATTGAAACATTAAAGTATTAGGAAAATGCCAATCATAGCATGCAGAAAATACTTCGAGATGGAGGTTCCAAATATATCACCGAGTTTCACAATTAACTACTACAAGATGGTACAATGCAGAATCTTATATTTTCTCTCAGTTACTATATAAAGTGAAGATGAGAAATATTTATATAAGCCTCCGAAGAAACACAGAGTGGTGATACACATACTTGAAAAACCTCAAATACAATCTAATTTAGCAATCCAATATGTTGGCGAGTCCAAGACAACCAAAACTTGTTGCCTTTCAACTGGAGTAATATAGTAAATAGTATATCCTAGGGCACAAAGGTTAAGATACAACTAAATAAGCCTTAATATTTATTTGGAGAAAATATTGATATAGTTATGCAAGTTGACAATAGTTCTTCAAATTATCATATTCAAAAATTCAAATTTTCCATTTCTGCGTAGTTAGTTGTTTTGTATAAATAGTAAAAACGCAAACTATCTAACTATTTTGATATATTTGATTAAGAATTAATTTGTAAAAATTCAACTATATGTTAGAGTAAGTTGAAGCTGGTGATGAAAAAGAGATAAAAACCACTTTCAAATTACCATAGGGAAAGCCACGAAACCCCACTTCGATTTTTCCACAAAGTTCTGTTAAAACAAAACGAATTATATTTTAATATATATTGACACTACAAGTGTCTTTTGGCAAAAGATTATTTTTCAGTTAAGATGATCTAATCATTCCGATGCCAATAATTTTAATATAGCAGTAAAAAAGAGAAAAGGACAATGTATTATAATCAATGGAGAACATCAGTATGATTGGATCTGTATTTGAAACAAATTAAAAACTAAGTTAAAGCTAATTAAAAAGATTTATCTTTGGAGATCATAATTGTTCAGGTTATGGCGAGTAAGATGGTTACTTAGGACTAGAAAGAAAATATCATCCCGTTGAGAGTTTAGATGAAAAGGCGATGAAAGATGTGAAAGGAGCATTAGAATAATTGATGTTTAAGAAACAATATGAAATGGAAGATAGTGATGATGAAGATAAATTAATTGAAGAAATTGATGGAGTTAATCCAAATAATATTAGTTTAAACGTTGAACAATCTGAAAAATAAAAATAGCCAAAAACTATTTTTCAATAAGGCAACAAAAAGGATATCTTTTTCCCTAACTAGAACTTGGAGGAAGCCAATAATGGTATCTAAGATCAATTATAAACAATAAAAGAAGAATAAGATAGTAAAGGAACCCAATACAATCTAAATAATGCTCTCAATTCATCCTAAATAAGGAAAAATCAATAAGGAGATGACAATGAAGAATAACAAAATGGTTAGTTTCAATAATAATCTTATCCAATTGAACCTTTTTGTTCATTTTAAAAAGTTATTTTAAAAATGGATGAGTAAGATCAGATAAAAGACGAAAAAGAAAACATAAAAAAACCACCTATCTTGAAATAAAAGATATCATTAAACAATTCAATTGATCAAATTGATCAAAAAGAATAAAAGTAATTTAAATTTTAATTTAATGATGCTACCTCAGTAGATACCTTGGATGGTAAGACTGGAGAGAGATTAAGTACTCAATGTAAAAAAAAATGAAACTTAATTTAAATAAACTGAATTATATATTATTCAATTTATTTATATTTTTGTAATCAATAATAACGATTAAATTAATCTTAACTATATGCTTCATAATTTAATTAATATATTATTCTATTTTATATTTGTAATATTAAGTAATTAGAAATTTTACTTATTAACAAATTTTTGATATTAAATACTCAATTTATCCTTTTTATTTGATTATTTTTCTTAAGTAAACAAATAATTTGATTTGGATTTATTCTAGATTATAATTTTATGATTAACATCTATAAAACAGTACAATGATATTAATTTAAAATCCATTAAATCAGAAGAACAATATTAAAAATAATTGACTATAAGGAGATCTAGTAATATAATAATATTTTAATTAAATAAAATTATAATAAGGAATATCAACTAAAATGATGGAGCACATTTGTATACATTTATTCAAAATCTTTCATAGAGAACTAACCTTATTTTGAAATATGATTAAATAATTTAGAGAATGTGTCTAAAGATTTAATATTAAATTATTATCCCAATTAAATTACTATTGATTAAACGATTTCAATCGTAATTCTTTCTCCTGAATTGATTTTTCTTTAGAATATTTTATCAAATTCTTAAAGTATTGTTTCCTCTTTGAAAGAGAAGTTCATTAAATTCGATGCATATGATAAGCCTTTTCTTTCGTTTTTAGTCCTTCTCTTGGCTTAAAAAATAATAATGAAAATACATTCTTTATATCCATACGGATCATTATTTGGGTTCAAATATTATAAATATTACCCAGATGTTTTTTCTCTATATTTTTTATGTTTAGGCCACATTTAATTTGGTTGATATAAAGTTTATTGTAATCCTGGTTCGATTGAACTTTGGACTCTTCTAAAGAAATGAGGTTTATTTTCAGGTATTATTTCACTTTTTGGTTTCACTAAAGTTACCTTCTCATCAATTAATGGATTTTTATATGGTTAATATTTTGATTCTTGAATTGGATAATCAGTTTCCATATATTTAATATGGCTTAATGGCCATGCTTTGACTTTGTTTAAATATTCTCTATGATTGTATTTCTCAAAAAACATTAAGCTCTATCCTCCATAATTCTATCCTGATGGGTCTATCAATCCTTTATATGGTTTATGCATAAAATATATGTTTTATAAAATTTTAACAAATAATTATTCTCATTAAATAAAATTAATTTACTAATTGCGAATTTGATATAAAATATACTATTATTAGTAATTAAAGTTTCTGGTTCACTCAAAGGAGTACTAATAAGTATTGTAATTATATAAAATAAAGAAGATGAATTTCATTTACAATTATATGAAGATGAAATACATTTCAAGTAAGATATTTATTACTTCATCACTCCTCATAAGACTTTTATAATATAATGAATATATTAGTTTAATGTACTATTAATTATAACACAAAGAGTTCTACTTGAACTTCAGAATTTTAGAAATTTTTAAAGAAATAAATATATAATATTATTATATTAAGAAATATCATTGATAATTTTGTGATCTTTGATATCAAAGAATCTTCAATCTAAATTTGTAATATCAAATAACAATCTTATTGGATGATATCATTTCCTTACCAAGTTTAGTGTACTTTTAGGTATATTTAATATAAATATCATTTAATTTACTAAAATTTGCGTAAGGTTTTAATATGATTCGCATTATTTAATATATTTTTTAATATACACATGTCGATTGAAGTAGCCAAAGCTATTGGATATGAAACAGAAGAAGTCAAGGCTTTATGCACAGACAGAGATGCAATTTTATATTCCCTTGGTATAGGATATAGTTCTGATCCCATGAATGCAGAAGAACTTCCTTACACTTATGAATTGCATGAAGATTTCAAAGTATTTCCAACATACACCACCTGTCTTCATAGAACTGATATTTTCAAGGTCAATTGAATGAATGAATATTAGGCTTTGACTTCTTGCCCAGGAATTCCAAATTTCAATCCAATGATGTTATTGCATGGAGAATAGAGAATATAAGTCTTGAGACCTTTAAAAGCAGGAGTTGAATATGTTACTACAGGAAAGATAGCCAACATATCTGATAAGGGAAAAGGAGCTTTAATCTAATTCGATTTATTAAGTTCTGAAGTGGATGCTTAAGGAAAGAAAACCTTGGCTTTTGTCAATACATTATCTCTCTTCATTAGAGGATTGGGAGGTTTTGGACATAAAGGAAATCCAGTTGAAAACATTCCTGCCACTCCTAAAAGGCCAGCTTGTAAGGAAGTCAAATAAGTCACAACACCAAATCAAGCTATAATATACAGATTGTCTGGTGATATTAATCCATTACATATTGACCCTGTAATACTTATTTAAATTGAATTTAGAATATGGCTGCTCTAGGAGGATTTGATAAACCAATTTTGCATGGATTGTGCACTTACGGTATTTGTGCCAAAGCTGCCATTCAAACATTTACTTAAGTATGAAAAGTTTAGTTATTCTAGGGAAATGGTGATACTCTTAAAAATATGGCTGCCAGATTTACTTCTCATGTTTTCCCTGGAGAAACTTTATTGATTTCTTTATGGAAGGAAGGAACCAGAGTTTAATTTTCAGCTAAAACTTAAGAAAGAGGAATAGAAGTTATTGTTGGTTTTGTGGAGTTTAATGAGAAGGCTAAATTATGAAATAATTATAAAATAAATTAGTGGATAGTCATTTAATTTTTAATAACACTTATTCAAGGGCCTGGGCTTATGTATATAATGATTGAGTATATTAATCTTCTTCAAAGTAGGGTGGTTTATCGGAATGTCTAACAGAAGTTCTGAAGTTTTCATATTCAATTCCCTTAATTAATATTAATTTAATACTATTTGATTAACCTAATTTTTAAGCAGTTGGATTTATCTTTCTTAATCTTAAATCACATCCTAATGATTCTTCAAATATAAATCTTTGATCAGATCTCTTAATTCATTTGACATCCCATTTGGATCTTTTGATAGGATCAATCTAGACAGATCTTCTATTATTTTCTTTAATTTTGGATCTTTATTGTAAGATTCTTGTTTCACCATTTTAGATTAATTGATCTTCTCATCTTAAAGTTCCTTGAACAGACTGTCATACTAATTTTGGAGAGCAGCCATATTCTTCTCATATTGTTTGCCTTGACTATATAACAAATACAATTATTCTAAATCATATTAAAATTCTTTAATATTGATAATATTATTCGCTGTAATTTCTCTAAATAAACTAGGATATTTCTATAAGAGATTCTTTATCTTATCCAAAATGGAGTGAACAGTTTATAGTTGGAATTGCTCTTGGACTAATTCATTATTTTTATTCTCAATTTCCGTGTTTAGTTCCTCTATTCTCTATTTAAATTAGCCAACTTAATTCAATAAACCAGCCACTCCAAGCATAGGTTCATTAATGCTTTATTGAATCTTGTGTATTAACACATTTTGATGTTGTACTTGTGTTTTCAATCTTGAAATAGTTCTTTCCTATTCATTGATAGCAATTTAATAGTTAATTTGACACTGTTGATTTTCGTCATCAAAATATGTATCTGATTCTTGTGAAACACATAAAGCAATTACAGCCTAATTGTACTTTTGAACCTTTTCTAATTAATCTCTAAAAGGGACCTCTTATTGCAAAAGCTAATTTAACGAATTGTGATTATCTCGTATATTTTACTCAATCTTAAAAAGCACATTCTTGATGTTACTTTAAAATTTCTCTTTTAATTTCAAATGAAACAGGAGTTTTTACACAACTTCAAAATGATCTAGACGCAACCTTTCGTATTTTCCATCATATTAAATGGAAATCGGGTCTAAGTTAAAATACCCTAATTTATAGTGCTTCACTCCATTTTGATAGAGCTCCTTGACTGCTTTATCATTTTGGAGTTTGTTGTTTTTCTGAATCTCACTAGGTGGTAGAAATTTGACATCCTATTACAAACACGATTCGCAACATAATTTCTTTTTTTTTGTCTCTACAATCATTTTTCCTTGGTCTTAATTATAAATTTAGATATTGCTTGACTGAATCCGACTTAAAATTTTATCTGTGATATAATCTTTGGTTGGTGTTTTATTTCTCATTAATTATAATATGAATTAAAAGGAAAGCCATCCCAAAGACGAAGATGATGACTTCACTCTTAATACTTCGAGTGCTGAGCCATTAGAATTGGACGATCAATACACAAAGCCCAAATCGATATGTTGGGGAAGATGTCACCCAATGATGTTTAGGAAAGGCAATCCGGCTGTTGTTATTGGACCTCATTGTACTTGATACTCTAATCTAGGGCCCTTGTTTATTTGTGCTTTTCTTTTATTCTTCTTTATTGGATGTCTCTTTATTTTCCTTAGGGCCAATGATGAACCATTAATATTTTATACTACTCTTATTGTTGGTATTAATCAATGTGTCAGTTACTTAATTGTATCATTAATCAATCCTGGAATTGCAAATGTGGAGAGAATCGATATTGAAAAGAATCAATAAAGCAATCAAAAAACTTGGTAACTTGTTTTTGTTATGGAAAGGTATTGTAAAGTGTGCAAATTGATTCAAGTCAAAGAAACACAGCATTGTTTAGATTGTGATATTTGTATATAAGAATATGATCATCATTGTCCTTGGACTGGCAAATGCATAGGCAAAGGCAACATCAAATAGTTTTATTATTTTATCATAAGTACTATTGTGTTTACGATATTTAACCTTGTTTTAATTATACTAAAATTTAAAGAATAAGAAGCTAAAGCAAAAAAATAATGAATTAGTTTTTATTAATATTATCAATAACTTAAAATATCCTTTTAATGAAATTTTATCATCTAAATTTAGATTTTCATCATTTTCAGCTTTTTTTTATCCTTTTATTCTAAATCACGCTTAAATGATTCTGCTACCTAAGCAACTTTGATTGATGTTCAATTTATAATAATTATTCAACTCTATTTTATGAATATTAAGTCTTATTCCAATTTTATTCCATAAATTTATATTTTATTTTAATCTATTCCACACAATAAGAAATTTAAATAGATTGAAGGAAAATTATTTTTAGGAATTTGGTAACATAGTCTGAGTTTATTTGATGAAATTACTATCATAAATCAAAGCATTCATAATGTTGATTCGGAATATTATTACAAATTGAATAAATAAAAAAATATTTGAAGTTCCCCTAATTGGAAAACAGAGTTAAGATCAAGAAATTAATGGCGATGTTCATTTTTTATTGAAGAATGAATTTTGTACATTATATGATATAAACTTGATATTTACTTTCATAATGCTGGTCTATTGAATAAATCTTAAACTGGCAATCTGATCTCGTTGACAACTTATTCTATATTTCTATTGTTTTCGTATTTGCTAGCATGGATTAACTAAGATTATGTGGATTAAAATTACTTTTTCATAAAACTTTTCCTAATCATTTTGGCCTAATAAGATTCCATAATGTTCAAACTCATATGAATCAATTAATAAATTTAATACTGTCAATAATTCTTAAGCATTTTATCCTACTTATTATTTAATTAAATTGATATTTGTTAAATTAGTTTCCATTAAGGATAGTGAGACGAAATTCTAATTTAATAATAACCTATCTAAGATAAAATTAGAAGCCCTGTATCTTCTGAATGCAAGCAATGAGAAGAACTTTTAAGAAGCAAATAGTTCGAAGGTCAATTAGGAAAACTAATAAGCAGAATACGAGTATTTAAGATGTTCTTGTTATAACAATTTCTCCTTAATTTTCGCAACGTGATAACCAAATACATGAAATGGATTACTAACATTGCTTTAACTCAGAGGTCCAAGTTCTGCAAACATTGAGACTGGATCCCCCATGAAATATTGTCCCAAATAATAAAGAACGACTTATTTATTCTAAGTATGATATTATCGTAATAAATACCTTCTCAGTATCCAAAATGGTATTTAAATAATCTGTTTATTTTTAGATTCTGTTGTTCTTGTAGAATGAAGATAACCATATGAGTTTCTCTTAAATTTGAGGGACTCCAGAAATTCTGAGAAAACCAAATCCTCCAAATACATCTCTCAACTATTCTGCCATATAGACACTATGTTCTGTGATGTAAAGAGAAAAGAAATCGACAAACTTTTTGCTTACCTTTCTTCTTGCCTTCTTCATAAACACATCCTAGAAAAATTCTTTTCTGGCTTCTTGAGCACTTATATAAAACATAACAGCAAACGAAATAGCATTAACTAGTCTTGTTAATGTAACCTGATAAGTTAAAATAGGTCTTTCTGTCTTGTCTTCTGTTGTTCTGAATTGCTTCCTCATTGAACAATACTTATAGCAGATATCTGACAATCTCATAATCTCTCTTAATGCAATTTGGCAATCTTCAAATCCCTGATGAGATTCCCATTATTCGATAAGTTCTAGATCGTCTTAATTCAACTCGACATACTTCAATACTTTAGTGCCTTCAAATTGAATAGCGTAATTTTAATAGATGGATACAGTTTTACCCAACCATTTCTCCTTCACTTTGTTATCTTTTAATTAAATCAATGCCAAGTAGAACTTATCCTAATTCTTGCAAGTAACCAAAGCATGGGTTCCAAATTGGCCTTAATAATTATTCCCAGTTTTGTATACTCCTTCTTTACTTTATAATGTTGCTTAATTATTTTCAAATTAGATTGACGTCGATAATTCAGTCACTTAAAGTGTCCCATTAAATGCTTATTCATTTGATAACAAGGAAAGTGAGACTTTTAGAGTGTTAGCTTGAGCAAGCAAATTCTGCAATTCCTTATTTGGGGTGATTGTTTTTAGGATCCTTAGATTTAATAATTAAATCTAAAAAAATCGTTAGACATGGGGGGAAACAAAATCCCCAAAGTATTAAACGTAAGATTCTGCTTAATATAAACCTCCTTTGCTTTAAATAAATTTATTTAATCGGTCCACTTGAGCAAGATCTAATTTATACTATTCATTCAAATTTTGAGAACTATGGATAATCTGAGGCTATATCTCAGGTGTCTCTGAGATCACCTTCTTTAATTCCTGAAACAATTGGAATTACGGTTATCCCCTGTAGATGAGATACGTCAATGATTATTTACTCACTTAAAAATCTTCACTATTCATTATTAATTATATATATTTAGTATAAAGCAATACATAACCTATATACAACTCAGCTCATTTTATTTATTCTAAAATGCTAACTATAAAGTTCTCTAATGATTTATTTAGCTTTTATTGTTTCTTTTTCCCTAACACCACATAATTACAATAGAACTCTTTTTTTGCATCCAACTCCTTCAAAATCACTTTAAAGAAATCGAAAATCTTGTTGATTTGCACACAAGAATGTGTAAGTAACTTTCTATTGTAGGGATTGAATATCGTGATCGGTAACATAGGTAAGCAATAGTCTTATAAATTGAAAAAGTAACTAAATTATATTAACAGTAAAATACCTAGAATTGGGATTATGAATGTCTGCCAATAGACCTATTCCAGTAGAGGAGGAGTCAAAGCAGTTTATATAAAAGTTGATCAAGTCAACAAATTGTTCCCCAATCAAATTAGAAGCAACTCTCTATTCTCTCATATAAGAGTAAACCATGATGATTAATGAGTAAGAGGATAGACCCCCTAATATATAATAAAATGAAATTATTACCTGTATACGACTCTGAGAGCTTAAGCTTTTTAATCATGGACTTTAAAATAAGGACAATCTATTGTAATGATGGGTATTCTTCCATCCATTTTTTAACCAAATCAGTAGTTATCGAACCTAGATGAGTAGAATAAATGCCATTCCCATTGAAGTTAAATGAGATGTCCACCTTTATTCCACTCTTTAATTTCTGTTTTAGCCTTTTCCACAATTGAATTTATTACTCATCCAAGTTCCTTCCTTCATATTCAAATATGTTTATCTATGGATCTATTTCTAATTTAATTATTGGAACAGATGAATTAAATATTGGACTTATAATTACTTTAACATATGTACTTTGCTTTGACCACCCATTTTTTTCTGGAGAACTCAAAATACAAGTTATCAAAGTGACTCTTTAGCATATTTCGATTATACACTTCCAATCCATTGATCCCAATGTCAATATCAGAATCTAACAAGGCTAATCCTGTAGCACAAGAACCAAAGAGTCTAGATCTAAAGAAATATATTTACGTAATCATCCCATCAGGAATCCCTAAGAACACCTTCTAAATTACTGATTTAACCCTCTCAAAGGCCAAAAATCTGAATGGGAGCATTTCTTCATATTCACTCATAATATTATCAGTGAAATCAAGAATATCTGAATTGATTTATTCAATCAATTTTTATTTTCCCTTTTATTAAACATTTTCTAATTACTCTTTCAAGCTTTTCTCTGGACTTTCTTGTTTTATCGATAGATTCTTTTTAACTTCAAGTTGTTAATTTTTCTTTCGATTTTTTGGAACAACATCATCTTCCAAGGTTTTTTATGAGATCTATTCACTTTCATTTGAGGCTGAATTGATATCCTATTGAAATTACTAGTTCTCAAATTAGTTCATTTTAAAGGAATTAATCAATTTATAAATATTTTGCTACTTATCAGTACTGTTATTTCTAATTTTGATTTAATTCTTCATTTTGTTTGATTGTTCCTTGCTTTCTTCCTCTTCAGATGTAGAAGATGTTCTATTAGAACAGTGACTTTTAATAGTTTATGCTTGTGTTTCAATTGAAAATCTAGTAATTTCAGATTGTGGTGATTATAATTAGAGTTGTTCATCTCTACTTTCTGGTATTGATTTTTAAAAACCTTTTTACTTTTTCTTCGCTCTTTTCTTGTCTTTTAGATATTGTTCCTTAAATTAATTTTCATCATTCAATGACAGAGTTGCTATTTCTAAAATATTAGTAGTAATAGATTGACCAACATCAACATAGTCATCATTAGTAGGGTTTTCTAGATGTGTGTGGAATTATTGAGATATTAATGGTTATTAAGTCAAGTTTATCTTTGGATGGTTAGCATGTTAAAATTTAGAAGATTGTTACTATGTGTTTGAAATCTTGTTATATTCACTAATATAGGAATAATGTATACTTTTAATCATCGCTGGTTTCCCAAGCTGATGGAGTGTTAGGGGGAGTCACATATGTATAGGCTAGATTGCTTTGCGAGTGTGATCTTTGAAACCTTAGGATATTTGATTCCAATAGATTTTTGCTTGATAATCTTTTGTTTAATTCAATAGGGTCTAATCCCTTGAATGTGTTCATTTTTTAGAATTTCTTTTTCTTCTTTTTCTTATCTTTTTTTTATTTTTTATCTGAAATTTCAGTTTTAAACAATTCTTATTCTAAATGTTCTTAGAATAATTATTGGACTATTTTATAGAACTTTTTTAATATGTATGTTTTCTAATCCACTAAATCATTCATTGATGTAATCAACATTGAGTTAATGATGTTTGTATCAGTGTGACATTTTTGTTGGAAGGTCAACAGCAATTCTACTTAGGATTTCAATAATTTGATTGCTGTTCCTGAGAAGATGTTTTCATAAAATTTATTTTCCAAACGATCAGGTTGTTATTTAATTTCTGAATAGATTTCCTAAAAATAGAAGGTTAACTTAATTATATATTAAATTAATACTCTTTCCTTATTATTGGCCAGATTTTATAAAAAGAATTCCTTAAGTTCATTCGAAGTATTCTTATAGATAGGTTGTCTAAAGAGTCTCTATTTTTTCTTTTTCTCTCTGTGAAGGTTGTAATGGAAGGAAATATTTTTTTCAAATTCTTTGATGATCCAAACTGCACAACTGTGAAAACTATTCTAATGAAACCAAAAAGGATCTTCTGCTTTTTCTATTATGGCTTTGGGAGGAGTGGATAGAAAATATTTGTCAGAGAGGTCGTGCAATAAATCCAGGAAGGAGTTTAAATTTTCTAAATGTGGCTCAGCAACAAAAATAGTATCCATAAAATTTTCATCGTCAACTATGCTCAATTTAGAATACAATTCCTTGATGAATAATGAGTATTATGTACTTCTACTTTGGGATGTAGCCCTTTGAAGTTCATCATGAACTAATCGTCAATTTTAGACTCAAAATTAATGGTTTCTCTAAAGATAGTTTTTAATATTCACTTTAAACGTAATGCATAAATTGAAGGGTTATTTAGTTTGTCATTGATGTGCATTTTCATTATTGGAAAGGTTTTCATTTACCCTTTAATCTGAAATAGCTTATACAATTCAGATTATTCCAGTGTTGAGAGCCTGTTAAAAGTAATCAAAAAATAGATACCATGATATTACTTCTGATTTGTATGTTGCAGTGGATGAATTCTATTCTTGGATGTTATCTGGATACAAATTATAATAATAGGAATGTCTATATGGATACAAGCAATAATTGAAAGGCTGGAGAAAATTCATTTGATTTATCTGATTCATCTGTCTACATAACGATTATGAATACATGTTTTGAGAGGAGTTTGTTCTGATAAATTTAGTTTATTTATTTTTATATAATAATCTGAGAATCTTAAAATCGGAGTGTATTAATATTAATATAATAAAAAGATATAAGATGTACACAATTAAATACAAAGAATAATGCTGAGCTTCGGCAGCAATATAAAATTGTTCTCTATTTTAAGATTTGCATTTCAATCAAATAAATTCTAAATTATATTTTGTTTCATTTTAAATTATTATTTTATATAGTGCGCCATCTTCTTCAAAATTACCAAATAAATATTATATTATTTCTTTAAAATTATAATGTCTTAAAACATACAAAATCAATACTCAAATACAAATAACTCACAGACATCACATTCAGTTAATAGTATAGAATTCAATCCTCTTGTTTTCATGAGCACTATATAAGGACTTCCCATCCGAAATAACTTTGTTGCATCCATAAGGATTCATTGAAATTTCCTATACTTTTTAAGGCTAAGTGTCCAACTTCCACACTGATATTTTCCCCTCCTATTCGAAACCCATCAATCCAGCAAATAAATATTACGAATCAGGATCAAAACTAATAGAATGGACTGGATAATCCTCTTCAAGATTTCTAAGTTCTTAAAGTTTTGGATATTGCCATATTTTAATGCAATTATCCTTAGACCCACTAATCAAAATTCCATTGTTTTAAGAATTATTGCTAGACAAGGCTAGACATAAAATTATGTTCTTATGACCACTCACCTCAAATATCTTATTATTAGTCTGAGTATCATATAAGATTATATTCTTTCCGCTTGCTATAACTAGATTGTGTCTTTCAGCTGCCAATGCACTTACTCTTGCATTGGTTTTTAGCGAATGTTATAACGATCCATCAAAATCCCAAAACTTTACGTAAGTGTCATCAGATCCTGATGCTATGTAGTTTCCAACGAATTCCAAACATCTGATTCTATCTGCATGTCCTTCGCAAACATAGACTTATTTCCAAACTGGATTAGGTTTCCAAATACGAACTGTTTTATCAACTGATCCACTAGCAATGATTCTTTTCTTTGAAAAAGCAACACACAGGACTTGATCCTTATGTTCCTTAAGAGTCGTTTTCAATTGTCTTGATCGTCTACGATTATAGATTGATATTACTTGTCCCATATTTTAATGGTAGTATCTTTGGAACATGTGATAATTTTATCAGCATCCATCAAGGCAAGATCCTTTACACTTTTATCATGACCTTTCAGAGTCTAGTCATATTCAATCGATAAAGGATTAAGTAAGTTTGGAGTTAGCTTGACTTGAGGTGGGCCAATAGACCTAATTTGTTAATTGAATATACTTAGAACTAATGTATGATAAATCTAATTGTGATTTATTGTCCCTAACTAATTAAGCTTATAAGTTTGATTATGATGATGTAGACTGTTTGATGCTGGGCTATTATTAAATTACATATTAATCTGTAGGTTCAAACAGAAGTTGATTTGAAATTGAAAAATGCTGCTCATAAGGTTATTAATTATCCTTAAAAATAGAATATTGATTTTTCTAGTTATTGTCTTCATTTATTTAGTTTTCTGAATATTAATTAAGTATCTCACTTGTAGCAGGAATATATTCGGCATTCTATTATTATTTCTCATCCTTTTATGAAGCATTTGAAAAGTAAAATATATTGTCTTTTAAGAATCCTTTGTTGTCATTCTAAGTTAAGGGCATCTAATTTGCAAAATATCCAGATTAATTGGGTTATTCCTGCTAAAAGTATTTGAAAACACTTTGCTATTATGAAGACGGATTAGTTTTTGGAGACCTATCGAATGTTTTGGATCCTGGAGACTTAGGCAAGATATCTATGGATTGAGTCTGCATATTATTCACTTTAAAAGGTTCCACTGGCCTCTGCATCTCAAAAGATGAATTTTAAGATTTCTATTTAGATTGATAGCTTTCTTAATTTTAGGCCTTATCTGACGATTTATCTAAATCAAAGGGCTTGGTAATTTTGAAAGAATTTTATGTATCCTATTTGCTTCTGGCTGATTATTGAGAATCCTATTCAGTGAAATAGTTCTTTAATTTTGAATTATTAAATGAACCAACTGGCATTAGGTCTCTTTATAATAGCTATTTTCTTATTGGGGAAATACTTGCCTATTTTTATTGGAAAATAGGTTCTTTTGATCTATTTGATCGATTGGTTAATTCTGGGGATATTTCTTTCCCTTCCGATTTATAATTGATGATACTCGAAGATTGTGAAGGTGTTTGAGGTGTTTATGAAGGTTACACTAATTTAATAGGTAATTAAGAAAATGATTATTTAATCTATTTTTCGATATCTGTTATCTGTTCATAAAAGGATTCTAAATATTCTCTATCTTTCAGTTAATCTCTTTAAACTAACTCAATCAACTTCGATTGGTATTATTAAATACTCATCTTCTCTGATTTTAATTACTTCACCAATTCCTTTTTTCTCTTCTCATCTATTTAACTAACATCAATTAACAGTTAAGATATTTTAGTGTGAAAGAATGCCTTTAAAGATTCCAGTTTCTACAAAATATTCGTCTAATATTCAGCATTTAAGTATTTGATTTATTCATTGATATAGACATCCAAATTTTTAATCACGTGTGTAACATGAGTATCTGTGCACATATCACAGAGTGGTCCCTTCCTTGTACAATCAGGTTGTAAGCATACCTATGTATATGGTAATGAATGCAGTTAGCAATAATATTACATTATATAAATTATTATTGTTATTTTACTCTTAAAATCAAATGGAGCAAATGCGATTAATTTAACCAATTTCCATGCTCCAAACTTACAGTTTAAAACATATTGATTAGAAATGCTGAATGAAAATACTCGCTTGTTATCGTTCATGATCCTATTAAATCTAAAATTGGATCATGTCAATATTTAATTAAACTATTATCTAAAATTAATGAACATCAATACTTTATCAACATTATTAAATACTTAATATATTTATAAATAATTAAATTAAATGTTTTCAGAAAGATTAGTAAGAGTAACTTTGACTCTACCAAAAGTTGAAGGTAATCTAAAATGGGAATCAGATGTTTAAACAAACACTTCAAGATCAAGTTTCACTCTTATTTATATTTAGGAATCATTTCAATCAATGCTAGACCCTAATAATTTGGGAATCGATTTCATAAACAAACTATGACTTCCATTGTATCTCCAAAATAACTTTAACTCTACACTCCCATGCAGGAAAGCAAAAGAGCTAAGAAATTAAAAAATATCCCTTATGAACTCTAATACTTCACTCCCAAACTTCCTAATAAAAACTTTACTTCTAGTCATCTCATGAGTGATGAATTGCTTAAACCTTCCTCTGAGAGCATCGAAAACAAAGATAAATGGCAGATTAAATCCCATATTCCCAAAACAAATAATGTGTTCAGTTTATGCTAAATAAAAAGAATTGATAAATAAGAGAAAAAAAATGAGAAATCTTAAGATTTTATTTAAATTAGAAAATAAAATACTCAAAATATTGAGAATGAAAAAGTCAAAGTAATCTTATGCTTTCTATCACATCTAGAGATTTAAGAAATATCGATAAGCCACCTAAAAGTTGATTGATCAATTTGCCCAATAATTCAATACTCGTGCTAAAATTGACAATTTCAATTTGAATCTATGAAAATCAAATGGAATTTTTGTTTGTTTTGATAATCTCAATAAGTTCATAACTTTTTATTTTCAATCTGAATTCTATATTAAATTAATAAATAATTATATATTAAAAAGAAATGCTCCAAAATTTTATTCAATTTCAGTCATCTATTGGTAAAGTTACTTTATTATACTAAGAAAATCGAGATAAATTACTTAAATTTTTATAAAATTGGCAATTGTTACGAAGTTATATGCTTATTGGATACAATAATGAAGAATCGGAGTCTAAATTTTTTATATATTGTACATACAATCCCATAACTTAGAACAATTATATATATGCAGAAGATTATTCAGACTTGGAAAGAGTCTACAAACAATCTTAAATATCTTAGAAAGAAAATAACTATAAAATTCGAATAAAGCATACAATCAAATACCACACAAGGTGAATGAAATGTCCATATATTCAGTCTACATATTTTATTTCTTTTTTCACTTGATTGAAAATATCATGGTCATTCATTAAATGGGATTCTTTGGCAAAAGATTTAATCATAAATTATTAAAAATTGTATCTCATACATTTTGGACTTTTGGACTAATAACTTAGCTAATATATTATTTCAATAGACTTAGATCAGCATTTCGAAGGTATTTTAATCTTTATTAGAGAGAGAGTAAGAAATGAAATCTTAAATCTAAAATGGAATGACCAATGGAGAGTTTCTCGAAAAATTAAAGTCCTATTCTAATGAAAGATACTAATATGGATTATTAATATTAAGAATTATTGGTGATCTAGCATGCGCTATGTAGAAAGCATAGATTCCAGAAAAAATTGTAATGCATACTATCTCATTTCTAGTTACATACTAGATTTAATAGAGGATTAGTTGCTTGCGGAGGATTATTGAGTTCGACCATTTAAATATGCATATAAGCAGCAAGAATAAATAAAAAATAGAACTTTGTGGAAGTATGAATAAAAAATAAATGAGTTTAAATATTTAATAATAAGACCTCATAACTAAAATTTGTAATTTTAGTATTAGTTTATTTATTAAATTTGGAATAAATCCTCCTTCTTGCATTTATTATAATTTAATCTACTCTATACCTAATAAAATCAAAACCTAAATTTCATCTATCATACATTATTTATTCTATTAAAATAATAATTTAAATATTTTTAATTATATATAATAAGAATTCTTAGCATTTATGGATCTTCTTGACCTTTCTTTATTTTATCAGTCTAAATTATATAAATATAAAAGATGTTGAGAATAGCCAAAAATTATGATATCACTTTAAGCTCTTGAAAAATAGTTATTCATTCAATTCATAAGAATGAATTTATAACACTTTTGATCAATCTAACTAATAAGTTAGAATTAAAAAAGATGAGATATAATTAATGTATTAATTATTCAAATGATTTGCATAACGTTTCTAATTCGTATTTATTAATCAATGATAATTCTAAGCTTTGAATTAATTAAGAATACATAATTTTGAATAATTAATTATTAGATAAATTAGTGATGATTAGTATTTTTGATTGATAATCTAAAATTTGCTTTTAATATATTATTAAATTATTAATATAAAAAGTCATCATTATTAAGTTTTTTTTTTTGATTTGATTTCAAAAACAGATTTGAGGGCATATGTTCCTGGGCCAGGTGATTCAATTTTCAATCCTGGTAGAGGTCTATCCCCAATTCCAAAAGTAATTTATTTAAATCGATTGTTCTAAATAATTTTATCGGTAGGAAGATAAGAAGTAGGTGAAGCGGTTTTTGGTAATTTTATATCGGAACTTATAAGTAAAATCTGAATTAATACTTGATCTTGCCATATATACTAAAGGCTTTTGTTTTATTAAGCAATTTTAAATCATATGATCCAGGTCCTGGAACATCAAAACCTCGTACTGATTATAACTTCATTCCAAAGCTGCAGGATCTACAAGAGGTCTATTTTATATCATATGTTCCAGGAGCTGGATTTAATTGATCTCTTTTTTCAAGGTCTAATGGTCTTAGCTATTTGTTTCCAAATCCAAAAGATGTGGCTCTTTTAGTTTTAGTATCAGTGAGACATAGATATTTTGGGGATGGAAGCTAAGGAGCATGATGAGATTAGAATCTTTCTGCTCTGGGAAAAGACAATTAAGGATTTGTTTATTGTAGAATGCTTGAGCTAAGTTGATTGGGTTCACTAAATTGTCCACGAAAAGTGTTGTTATTAATAAGTTTCATGACTGAAAAAAGAGGTTTACTTTTCAGATGTTATGAGTTATTCTCATTATTTATCATAATAAAATAAATAAAATCAGAATGTAACTAATATCTAATTTAATTGAGATAGATGAAAAATACTTCAGATTCGCTCATATATAATTCCAGTTTTGATTATCTAGGTTTAAATATCGTTATTCATGTTTTAATCTAAAGATATAAAAAAAAATATGCAGAAATAATCATAAAACAATAAATATATAGACATAATCAAGAATACAATTTCTAAGATATAGTTTTAACTAAATTGATAAAGAATGTCTAATTTTATTTTAACTTCTTAAGTAAATACATGAACTTATAAAATTAAGAATTATAAGGATTATTATTTTTCGATATGGCTAGTATTTAATATGTTCATTTTTCTGTCTGTGTAACAATAATGTTCTATTTAGAGATCTAAAGTTTTACAATTTACGTTTTAAAGGTTTGTGACTAGATAATAAATATAAAATAATAATAATATGTAGGGTTCAAGAAGGCATCCAGAACTTGATAATATGCCTGACTTTTTATTCGAAAGTAACAGTATATTAATCTCAAGATACTCTGATACTATCTGATCCAAGGGAGGAAAACTGTTACTCTACTATAAAAGATTATTGCTGTCCAAATTTTACTTTAGTGTCATTTACTGCTATAATTTCGTTGATTCAATTGTCTTTGTTTATTGTAATGTGTTTCTTGGGGGATTTTAATCTTCAGAAAACAATTTTGTGTATTGTATTTAAATATTATTTACGAAAGAGTTCTCAGATGAGACTCTTGATACTTTTGGGAGATGCTCAGCTTATAATGTGAAATATAAACTAGAGTTTTATCGACTGTTGACTTGCTTATTCATATTCAATAATGTTAAGGATTTATGCGGAGAATTATTGTTACAAGTGATTATTGTTTCAATGGCAGAGAAGTTTATTGATAAGAAAACCACTTTGTTTTTGTATTTGATAACTGGAGTTGCTGGATCAATAACATTCATAGTGTTTTATGATTAGAATTTCGAAGGAAACTAATTTTGTGTTTTTGGAATGGTTGGTTTAATATTTGGTTTTATAATTCAGAATTCGTAATAAGTATTTGCAATAATTATATAATAAGGATGAGGCAAGATAAGTAATCATGTAAGTAACAATTTTTATATTAATAATTGGAATAATCGGGTTTTTTTATAAAAATTCGTTAATCTTTGGAATCTACGGAAGTTTCTTGATTGGAATTATAATTGGATTGATTTAACCAACCCAAAATAGGATTTTTTATCGAACTAAAATGAAATTAGTTGGCCTAGGAGTAATTTTCATGTACTTTACTGGATTTATCTATATTTTTTTTTCTTTTAGGATGCCCTCTCATCCGATTGAATAACAATGAGTTTTAATTATTATATTAATTAGTTGTTTCTATGAAATACCAAAATCTCTGTATATAATTATATTAAAATAAAAAACTAAGTTAAAATGGACAAAAAGGGCAACTTTGAAAGGTTAAGGCAGAAGTTGAAGAGTGATTTATTTAAGAACGAGTCTAACCAAAAACAGCATGCCGAAGAAATAATAAACTAGTGTCCGTAGATCTTGGACTATGTTCATTGCTCGAGTCAAAGTGAATTTAAAGAGGAGCCGACTCAATTGATAGATTATATCTCAAATCAGAAACATTTGGAGCAGATGAAGCATTCCTTCTAGAATTAATACTAAATAGGTAAGATATTAGGCGAAGGGGCACATGCTGTCGTTCGATAATGTTGGCAAATTACAAATCCCGATGAAACCTATGCAGTCAAAATTACAAGGAATCCTGATCCCGAAATCACAGAGATTATGAAAGAAACTTTCCTTAATACAGTCTCCTTGAATCATCCTTACATCTGCAAAACCAATATGCTTTACATAGATCCTAATATGGAGTGTTCGTATCTCGTCATGGAATATTTGCCATATCCCAGTCTACAACAAATACTTAGGGAAAGATAGATTTTGGAATTTGAGGATGTCCGCTCTATTATGAGGCAATTATTTGAAGCGCTATCATATATTCACAAAGTCGGATTATGTCATAGAGATATTAAACCAGACAACATAGTATATGATAATGATTCAAACTCAATTAAAGTCATTGACTTTGGGGTTTCAAAAAGATTTCTTCTTACTGAAAAAAGCTGTAAAGACATTAAAAATAACCTTTTATGGACGGTTACTGGAACTATGCCATATCAAGCTCCAGAATTGTGGACAGGGTCGGGATACTCCAATAAAATTGATATATGGGCAGCTGGAGTGGTTTGCTATCAGATGTTGTGTGGAAGACTACCTTTGGATTAAGAAAACTAAATGGAAAGTTTTTCTACTTAAACTGAATATACTGGCCATTTTCAGGAGGAATAGTTTATCAAACTCCCTCCTTTAATTATCGATTTCATCAAAAGAATATTAAAATGGAACCCAGACAAAAGAATTACATCCTAAGGTATTCTCAATTTATAATTTAAAAGAGGCTCTCCTTCATCCTTGGCTTTATTAACCAAAGTTAATGCCTAAATATTACAAAGGAAAATCTAAGGATGATATATTCTCTCGATCAAGTGACAAGCCTCTTTTGGCAATTGTTAGGTCTATGTAAGCTAATGTAAAAATATTTTAATAATCTGTTTCAAGTGTCAACGAGAATTTCCTTGACAAAAACAATTTCAACAAAAATCATGGATAAATTATAATCGGTTTCAAAGAAACTAGTCAACAAATAAGAGAAAAATCCATTCACTTTCAATAATCAATTCATTCTATGAATCTCAACAAATGCACTCTTAAACCTAACACAGAGGATGTCAAAGACTTCTTTGACATCATTAGTTATTGCGATAGTAATTCCTCATTTGAAGCTATTGAAGAGAAACAATAATTATAAGCCTAACAATAAAAATAGGCTTAACAATAATAACAACAATAAAAATAATCTTAATAACAACAACAATAAAAAATTGGATTTTCTTAAAGGTTAGGAATTATCAAAGAAGAGCCAGAAACCCCTTTAGTAAACAATTTCATTCCTAATATTCATAAACAAGTTGAAAGTTGATCAAAATTTAAATTTATATTATTATAATTTACAAAGCATATCATTAATTCATTTAAATAGTTTAAAAATTATATAAGCTAAATCTTTTTATAATTACCATAACCTTCAATTGATGTAAATATGTAATCAACCGATGAAATAAGTCAATTGTCTAAAGAATTATAAATTGTAACCTAATAGGATCCTAAAAATAGTTTAATATTATTAATAAAATTCTAAAAATATATTTCCATATATATTCTAAAATCTTCATTTATAATTGTTAAAGATTTGAAGATTTATTTTCGTAAATTTATAATAGTCTATTTTAAATAGCAGGTGTTACAGTATATATTATTCACTAGAAATTCTTAATATGTTAAATATTATTTTCCAATAGATTGCCAACTATATAATTTGTTAATTTCATAAAAATACCATGTACAAGTAAAGAATATCACTTATTGAATAACCTCTTATTTAAATAATATCAAAAGAAACAATTAGCTCACCTAAGAATTATAGTGATTTTTACTTGTATCAGTTCTTAGCATGGTTATATGGGATCTTTAGATTTATCACAGGTGTCTATTGCTTCAATAATTTAAAAAAAAAATCTTCTAAGATGTTATTAGGTAACCAATAAAAATGTTTTAATTTAGCTAAAGGTAGTGTAAAAGTCATATAACTAAACATATTATAAAACCAAGTGTAAAATAAGCAATAATTTAAAAAAAAATATCTAAAAATTTTGAGATTTCATTAACTTTTCGAATAAGTCTAAAGAACTTGAAGTGAATAAGGAAATAGACTGATGAATTCTTTAAAGAATGGTACTTTTTATCTTATAAGAATTATTATACAAATAAATTCTTTAATAAGATTGGAATAAAAGTGTGAGAGAAAAATAGCATAATTTAAAAATAATTTTTTAAATAAATACAATGTAATTCGTCGCTGCTTATGCTTTGTTAGTTTTGGGAGGAAAAGCTCAACCAAGTAAATCATTTCACAATGAATATCTTAGCTGAGGCAGATATTAAGGGATTATTGGCTGAAGTAGGTGCTCAAGGAGCTGATGATTAAATCAAGGCAATTGTTGATGCATTGAAAGGAAAGACTCTTGCTGATGTTATCAGTGAAGGATTGAAAAAAGTAGGCACTCTCTAATTGGGAGGAGGAGGTAGAAAATGAATCATAATTCTTAAGCTGCATCAAATGCTCCAGCTAAGGCCTAAGCTCCAGCTGCCGCCAAACAAGAGGCACCAAAGCCAGTTGAAAAGGCCCCAGAACCAGAAGAAGACGTTGATATGGGTGGTTTGTTTGACTGATTATACATTTTAGTACATTCATATACATATATTAAATATTTTATCATAAATCAATTAGCCTTTGTTGACAATATTGCTGGGACACTAACATTAGTGGATTGAGGCTTAGCATTATTATTATTATTATTGCTTCCATTGAAAGTATACCCTCCAAATTAAGCTAACAATCAATAAGTATGAATACCTTAGATCGAGTTCCTTCTTAAACTTAATACGCTTTCTGGGTCGATTTCATTGGCAGAATCTCTACGATTTTCACTTGCTATTTAAATCATTTCATCATCCCTGGGAATATATGGGGCAGTTATTTATCTGTCTAACAACTTATCCCACGCATAATCCTTGAACCATTAATGGGCCTTAACTTCATCAGGGCCATTCACTCCTAATCTATTAGCCGGTTTTCTTTATATGAGCTTGCCCTTAATTACAAATAATACTTTATTAGCAAAATCTACTGCCTCCAATGACCATCCAGTGGGGATGTCATTATTTTTGATTTGGACTTATTTTGCTATGACTTGATCCCTAATTTCTTATCTACTTTTGCCTACATATGGTCTTTTTCCCATGATGCATTCATAAACAATAACTCCAAGGGCATAATAATCGACTCCTACACCATGATTTTATCCTATTTAATTAGATTAAAATATGGAAATTCTTACTGCACATCACTTCTGGAGCCATGTATCCAGGTGTGCCACTAGTGTCTTATGCATTTTCAGGTTTCCATTAACGAGCAATTCCCATATCAGTCAATTTTAAATACCCTTTATCATCAAAGACTAAATTTTCAGGTTTGACATCTCGATGGAGAATCCCATTCACATGAAGATATTCCAATGAGAGGATTATACAAACCACGAAGAATTCTATTTTGTTTAATTTTATGTACTCGTTTGCTCCTCTGTGAATTTCCTCTATTTACATAGATGGTATCTCAGATCTCCGCCTGTTAGTAAATCCATGACGAGATAGAGATTGTCTCGATCCTGGAATGCTGCTTACATATTAATAATGAAACTATTTTAAGGGATTGAGTTTACTTGTGTTTCAATTAACTAAGTAATTATAATTCATTCATTACTGATTAAACACTTTTCTTTGCAATGATCCTATTTCAAATAGATAGATTAATTACTTAGCTTTTGACATTATTTTCATAGCATACAAACTTTTTGACTTTTTGTTCTCCACCATCCAGACCTAATTTCCTTTATTATTTTCTTTAATCTTACCTTTCCAAAACCTCCCTTGCCTATAACACTCTTCTGTGTGAAATTGGAGATGGAGATCACTAAAATAAGGCAACACTTATACCTGTTTAATCTTCTGACTCTGTTGATTTTAGTGTGCAATTTCCCATTTTTAATTTATTAATGACTACAACAGCTGAATTAACTAAATAACTATTAGAATATCATGGCTGCATTTATGAAGAGAATGTTGTTCATCAACTCAACGAGTATGCCAAAAAGCTCATGAAAACTATTTTGGATGGAGCTTCCAACTTGGCTGACATGCAGAAGAGATAAAACATCACCACTGAAGATATTAAGTTTATCATTCATATATAAAATCCTAGAATAGCCTATGAATATCTATAAAATCCAACTATCAGTATGAATGACCTCATTCAAGTGGCTTCTGAAAAGAATTCTCAACAATTGAATGATCAATTTAAAGATTAAACTAATTATGATGCCAGATTGCCCGCAAGTGAAACCAACAAACTTTTGAAACCCAATTTCTAAGTTATTGTTAAAACTCAACCTGATTAAATACCCCTAGTTTAATAGTAAATGGAAATCGAAAAGAATCCCAATAAATAACAATAATAATAGTAAGCTCCAAAATTAGGAAGAAAAAAGATGAATATCGAAATGGACGAGGATCAATGACCTATATTATTATAAGCATCTGTTATTAATATTAAAAATTCACTTAAATGGAATTTAATTAGGACGCCCTCAACTTTCTATTCAAACAATTATGTTCTCTCTCCTTACTCTCATAAAAAACTACTACCGAACTTAACGATATCTATCACCACCTCGCCATTCAGGAAGCGTCATTATAAAATCGATTTTTTCATCACTAGACCATCAATGAATCAGATTAGAAGTACCTACACTAACCAATTTTACTATAGATTAATCAATCGTTTTGTAGCCAGAATCTCAGAAGCCTACCAATTCATGTTAGCCAAAAGGTAAATAGCCAGATCCTAACATTCTAAATTTCTATTATCCATTAATCATTGTCAAACAAAAAAATTTGACAGCAAATAACTACTTCTGACTTCATTAATTTAAGCAGTCTATTAAGAATGCCGACTATAAATAGATTTAATATTAAATAAGCAACAGAATGCTTAAAACTAAAGAGTAATACTCTATCAAATTTAAGATACACAGTCAAGAAAGCAACCATTAAGGAGAATAATTCCAGAATCAATTTTATTCATTAGAAGTTACAAATAAAAAATATATCCAAAATGAATGGTAAATTAATATCAAAGATAATAAAAAGTTGAACTATTTTTATACTAAAATCTTTCCAAAATAATATGAGGTCCTCGAATCAGCAGACAAGTATTCATTACAATATCTCTATAGGATTTAGGAAGAATAGATCCTATATTTTTAAAGCAGACAATAAAATAAGGACAGGATCTTCAAGCAACTTCTTTCATAAAACTAGCATATTTAACAATCTCTCAATTGGGCTCAAGATATTGATTTACTGAGTTACAATCGAAAAATAGAAACTAAATTAAAAAAATTAAAGCTTATCTAATTAACTACAAACCAATAATTATTGAATTAATCATCTTCTGTAAGGGCTTCTTAGCTATCAAATAAATCTATCAATTAAAATAGTCCTGCCAGTCCTTTCAAAAGTATTAATAATTAAACAAAGATGCCTTAAATCATTCTCAAATAGAGAAGCATTTCTTAAAATATTCCATAGAGTGAATTCAGATTTAAAAATTCTATAATTCTATCAAATAATCAAAGGGAAGGTCTTTAATAATGCACAAATTAAAATTAAAAATAAATTTACAATGGGTAAGATAAGGAGGTATTGTTTGCTAAACTCATTGAAAAGTATAAATAAAATTATTAGTAACTTAATAACATAAGAGTTGAATTAGGACCAAAAAAATAGATATGCTCAGTTCTTAAAAGTAAGCAATTAATTGATTTGATCCCAACACATAGTTCTAAATTAAAACCAAGAGTACCAACAAACCTTGTGTAATAAATACATTCTATTGCTAATTGACTTTTATATATAAATGAATAAATAAAATTTAATATATCTCATCAATAATAAACATCTAGAACAAGTAAAATACGAAAATTTCTTATTTCTCTCTCTTTTTATCATTAATTTATATAACCAATATGATGTTTTAGAGTTAATAAATTAAGATATAATATTTTATAAATATTTATATATGTAGAAATCTAATATTTATAATTTACATTCACTCACATATAATTAATTCTATCAATTTTAGATGGTAATATCTAAATCATCTCCTTGCACATCTGTAAAACAGCTTAAAATTCATTTTGTTAATTTTATTGGTTAATAAACTAAACTAGTTGTTTATATTAGTTTAGAGAATTCACTAAATATTACACTTTAATTTTGTTGTCCTTTGAAAAGAACTTAGACTAAGCCTTAGCAATGTTGAAATAAGCTGTAGTTATGGATGAATAATATGCTTAGTCTCTCTATTTCTCTTCAAGCAATTTCAATTATTCAACTATTTTTTCATAATATTATATTGTATTGAGACAAGCTTTATTCATTTTTTCAGTTAACTTTTTACTTTTGCCTCCTTAGAAATCGTCAATTTCATTAAATTTAACTAAAAACTCATACAATTCGTTATTGATTTCAGCAATTTCAACTAATAATTTTTCATATGTATTCTGATAAGCTTTTGGATTGATGGCATTAAAAACAGGAAGTAGCAAATCTAATCTTTTTTCTAAATAGGCAATCACATTATTAGGATCAGGTTCAAGACTCATTATAACTTTATACATAATTGAGATTTCACTAAGCATTTGAATGTGTTCTGTTACAAATCCATCTAAAACAAATATTGTCATGGCCTTTTTATATAAAGTATTAGATTATCTAAACAAGGACTTAATTTCATCAAATGTTTTACTTGGTTAGAATACCTAAAGTGATAAAAGTAAGAAATACTAATTATTTAACATTAACACCATCGAATGTAATGCTATATTTATTAAATAGTTTAGGAAGACTGGGGTCATTCTATTAATTACTCTTAATACAGTCAACACAATAGGACATCATATCTCCGATTATTTTCCCTTAAGCCATTTGCAAAGTGGCGCGACTAGAATTAGAATAAATGAATACAGCTTTTTTCTTTTTCCTTCTGGGATGACTGCCTCACCGACTAAGAGAAGATAAAAAGCTTAGGCAAAGTTCCAAATACCTGAATAATACTCAGATAAAGATATGCAATTAATAACAAAATCTCTTAATTCGTAAGTTTTAGATTTGAATTATCTCAACATTGTCTATCCACAATAATAAGCAGCCTAAATTTATTATTCTGGTAATACTTTGTCTTTGATTCCAAGTTTTGTATATGCCTAGGCAATATAAAACAAGGTGATTGTATAAAATTCTTAGGCTCTTTCAAATCCTCCTTGTATTTTTAAGGGTCTTTTTTCAAAGTCTCCTTTGGCTATTAAGTATTCCCCTAATCGTTCAGCTTTAGCCAATATGGCTAATCCAGTTTCATTGTCATCTAAATTGACTGCCAAGAATCCTAAGTGATTGTAGATTGATTGAATATAAGTCAGGTAATTTTCTATATCTTCAATCTAAGAAAAGAGTTATAGTGATTTGCCCATATTCTTTCTAGCTAGATTGAATAGAAATTGTAAAATTACATTCTCCATTTTCTTCACAATCTAGAAAATTTACTCCTAATTAGTAATGGATGATTGCTTATTGCAAAGGGTCTTATGTTTTTTGCAATAATTATTGTAATAAGGTTCTTGCTCTGTACTTATATAGAAAGGGCTATTCTTCAAGACTTGGAAACTTTTCTAAGTGTTCAACCTAAAAGAGTGTGCTTTCAAATTCGTATAGCATATTAATTGATTATTTTAAATATTTTATTGTAAATGTACACTTTATTATCTCTACTCATTTCTTGGTTTCTTTAGCTTGCTTTCTCTTTTCCTTGACTCCCACGAATTTAGCATTATACCAATCTTATCTTAATCTTCTGTAAACACTCTTAGCTCTTAATTCTTTTGAGATTACTGTGGCTTTCTCTCTCTTTGGAGTTCTTTAGAATGTGATTACCTGAAAATAATTGATATAATAGATACTTCTGGATTAGTATTTTATGTCACTGGTTATGCTACAACATCATTTCCTGAGTCTTTAACAACTCCATTCTTTGGTTTGCCAGCCACTCTTGGGAATAAGACTAATTTAGATAAATAAGCCTTGATTCTCTTAACATTAACTGCCAATTCTTCTTAGTTATTGTTTCTTCTTCTGTGATCAACTGCAATTCCTACGGTTCTGGCGAATTAAGCATTAAGACCTGCTTCCTTCAATTCAATCAATGAGAATCCTCTTCCCAATTTCTATACTCCATTGTATTTGATTGTTTATCCTCTTACGACTGGTCTAAGTAATTCAACTGGTCTTGGAGAAGCTCCTATTGAGGATTTAGATCATGATTATTTACTTAATGCATTAGCTTATCTTCTTTATTATCTTCTTCTCTTGGCAGCTGGTTGATTGTAAAATGTCTTTACGAATCTTGTCCAGTGTTTTCTTAAATGGGCATTAGGGAGTTGTTAATTGTGCTTCATTTTTAGAAAAAATTTAAAAAATAAATATAAGGATATTTAAAAATATATTAAATGACTCAAATGAGCATTTTATACATTTCTTATGTTTCAAAAAATCTGTATTTAATCTAATTAGCTATATAAGATTTTACTTCTTTATGATGATATTTATCTTCTTAAATAAAAGATGGTTATTAATAACTAATTAGATCTTTATTGAAGTTTTTAGTCTCTATTTTTCTTAATTTATTTTAATTTCTTTACTTATAATATTCAAAGTTTGTTTTTATAATAAATAGCTATAATGTTAACTATTTGAGGAATAAATTGAACTAAATTCATTTAGAATTTAAAGATGAGATTGTTTCAGTGTGAAACTCAACAATAGAGTAGGATTAAATTCAGAATGTATTCATTTAGAGCAAATTTAAAATTAATTTAGATCTCTAAAGGATATAAATATATGTGTGGATGTGTGTCTATTTTTATATTTTGAAATATTCAATCTTTAGCTGCTCTATAAATTTTATTGCAAGCATCTTCTAGAAGTCCTAGAAGGGATTCTTGAGATTCTTCTCTTAATTTTTTTTCTTCTTCTATTTCGCTCTTGACTCTGGAAACAAGATCTTTAAGCATTTCAAAGATTGCTGCTTCTGATTCTTCTCTGAATTATTTTATTTAATCAGTACCTCAATTTTTTTTAATTTCCTAGACCCTCGTTCAATCGTTTAATTTCATCACCAGCTCTTCTCAGAGTACCATTATCGCTATCTTCCCTGTCTTAACCTTCAGTTTTAACCATGTCATATAACTTAGGTAGATCATTTTCCAAAGATGTTGTAATATTTTCAATTTATTCTTATCTAATTTTTCCTTCAGTTTAGGTGTCTGACTTTAAATAGACAACCTATTTAGAACAATTGATGATACTTTCTCATCCAAATATCCTTGTAATTTGAGATTTCCATCTTTTCTTAAAGCAATTTCTTATTCGAGTTTAGTTGTGATTCGACTTTCGAAAGCAGCAACTTCTCTCACTCTTTGTTCAAATTAGGTTTCAAAGGCATTGTTCTCCTCTTCGATTTATTTTTGAAGACGAACTATTTCATCTTTCAGTGAGTGCTACATGATGTTAATACAATAATTTACAAGTTTCCTATTATAGGAAGTGATCGTGTCTTGCATTCTCTCTTCGACTCCTGTAATTCTTCCGCAAATATTATCAATTCTATGTGCTTTGGATGAATCATGTTATAATTAGATTGAGTTGAGCTTTTCAGAGATTTTAGCAAATCTTTCGTTGAAGGGTGTATTTGGATTCATTTTTATTAACAAATTTATTTAAGTATATTTATATTTATAGCTTAATACAGAAATAAACCTAATATAAAAATTAACTAAGATATTATTCATTATAATTAATTAACAAGCAAATAAGTTTTTTAATAAAGCTAAATTCTTATCTGTGCTCCTCATTTAATTTTAAAAGAATTAGCGATTTCCCTTGCTTAATTTATTGAGGTGTTGTTACGAAGATCTATTATATTGGTCAGGCCAGAAACATATAAATACAAGAAGATAAAAGTTTAAATTATAAGTATTTTATTAATTATTAATAATTTAATATTATAATATATTAATTGATTTATATTTAAAAAGAACTAAAAAAGTCCATTATACATTTAGACTAGCCTATCCTTTTCTAACTGTGTAAATAAACGCTAGTTGTATAATTATAATACAATATTTTTATATTAATGACGTAAAATTTTATTTCCTTTTTTTAAATTTATGATACCGAAATTAGTTACGACCCTTCTTAACTTAAATGTTTAATTTTTACCAAATAATATATATTTATTAATTATAAAACTCAATGGACAATGTTAATAGAAGTGAAGAAAACATAGGTCTGCCAAATAGTTTTGACAATTTAAAGTATATCGTTAATTAACTAGTAAACAGGAAAAATAATCGACCTTCTCAGTATCAGAAAGTTGACGAGAATATTAGATAATAAATTATTGATTAAGCTTGTAACAAGGGATAGCCTCTAAGATAGGTATAATTACTATGAATTTTTCAGATATCCCAATAACTTGGAATCAAATATTCAACTGCCAAAGCCATCGTCTAGGTGTACCAAAACGAAGGAAGGATAGGCAAAAAACGCAACAGAGATAAACGAATTTTCTAAGAAATTGAAACCTTTATGGTTGTTGTTCACAAACAATCAGGAAAAATTGATAAGCTGAAACACAAGTCAGAGTGCAGTGATTTAAAAAGCAATTTGGAATGTTCTAAAATGAAGTAATAGTTTAACTTAAACTTACAAGTCTTGAGAAAGCTCACTATTCCTAACTAGCTCAGTATTTTGAAAGATATAATCTTAAAGAAGTGAAGGTTCAACCAACACAGAATTAATCCTTACTGGACATTGTTCAAATATTAAATATGCAGTACTAATAATTTCTTAATGTTGCTTAATAAAAATGATGATTAATTTATATATAAAATAAAAAATAAACTTTTATTCTGAATAAGGAAGTTTTGGCCTTGTTTGAATTTTCCCGCCTTTGATTATAATTATTTATTCATGTTATATCTTCTTTAAATATATATTAACTAATTAATATTTCATACAATATTTGTAATATATTAACATTATTAATCTATTTTATTATAAATATGAGCATTTGAAGAGTACAATATTATTATTAATTTAAATATTTAAAGTAAAGGAATAGAAATTTAGTTCATGTCCTTCTTAAAATTTTTGAATTATAATAAACCTTCAAAATATAATTTAAACTGTTATCGATTAATATATTTTTAATTTTTTCCAAAATTATCGAATTCACTTATATTTTACAATAATAAATTAGCATTAATTTAAATTAAAAATTACTTTATTTATCAAGTGATATCTTTTTCATTTAATGAATCTGAGATTTAATGTATTTTTCTATTTTCTTTAAGCGATAGCTCAACCTAATTGAATTAATTAAATTTCAGTTACAATTTAATAAATAATCGATTGAATTATGTGGGTACAAAATTATTACTTTATACAGCAACACTAAATTCTACAGGCTTGTGTTTTCTTTTTCAATATCCTCAATATCATTCAAATTATAGGATTAATATAGACTTTATTCCTTTATTGAAGTAATAGCTTCTTGAAATTTTTCTAAGGGAAATTATCTAATATCAGATCGATTTGTTGTTTAATAAGGTTATTTATTTCTGCTGTAAAGACAGTGTTACAAAAATATGATTTGTTAAGCACTTTCTTAGTATCTCAGACTTTTTCAAGTTCTAAGATAAGAATAACAAATTAATTAAATAATTCAATTAGAATTGTCTTGAATTCGTAATAATCAATATAATTAAATATATCTATAAAATCATTATTAACATTTTACTGCTGATCTCCTACAGTAAGGGCAAGAATTTTTAATTTTAAGCCATCTGATTAAACAATCTGAATGAAATATGTGTTAACATTCTAGTAATATAATTTTCTATTTTTTTTGTATATCATCACCGCAAATGGGACATTGTATGGTATTATTATTTTATTCTTCTAATTGGGCTAAATCCACAGCTTGGTTTCTTTTTTGTTGTACTTCTAATTGGGAATTAAAGGATTTAACTTCTAGTTTCTCTAAATCTTCCTCTCTCAAATTAGTCACTTAAACCTGAGGATTATCATTAAAGAACCTTCCATCTCTACAATTCCTTAGTTATAAATAATATTGGCCCTCGATAATATGTATATTTTACTAATATATGAAGGTTATAGAGGAACGCTATGATTATACTTGCTACTGTTAAGCAAGCAATTAAGTATGAAATTTATTGATAATCAATAACTAACTAGATACCATCTATTATAACTTAGAGGAATTGAATCAAAACAAATAGATTTATTACAAAATAAATCTTAGTAATCTCAAATACATGGAACATTAACTAGTTGATGAGAAACTTTATAACAGGTTTGATCTCTTTTTGCAAATTGTCAAATTTGATAGAATAATAAAAGCCTATTGAATAAATATAACAATTTACAAACGAATATGATCAGTGTTTAAAAGTAAAAGAGATATTCGTATGATTAAAATAACCTTTTGTCGCAATTAGGTAGCTAATTTACATCGTTTCTTCTGACAATGTTTCTTGAATAAAAGGAATAGACATGATTGCAGACAAAAAACGCTGATGCATAATATAATAATTGGGTAGCGGTGTATTTTTATAGGTTTGTATCAAAGGTTCCGTATAGAGCAATAACAAAACTAAAAATCTAATTGAGTTATGTAAAACTACTACTTCATTAAATAGAATTATGGGGTATGAGACTTTGTAATGATTTTGCCAGATGTTGATAAGTAAGTTTCTTAAATTATCTCCAGTTCCCAAATATGCATGCCAAATTAAAGTAACCCAAACATAAATTACTCCTAAATGATACAATACGAAATAAGTCAAAGGTATTTTTAATGCATAAGCTGTCTACATTTAATGCAATTTTTACTTGTGATTAGTCCGTTTACATTTGATCATATAAGTAATAGGAGCATATTGATATTGGGCAACTCATGAGTATGATAGCAATGGTCGTATGTAATATGAGTTTGAGAAAGACCATTTAATGTTTATATTGGTTTATAAAAATTAGGAAAAAAATTAATAATATCTAAGCATTGTTATAATTGTATTAAATAATTTGTGAGAATAATTCAGGATGTCCCATTTTTCCAATAATTAATTGAATAATAGTAGATAGATGACAAATTTATTAACTCATACATAACATTATTTATTATTGATTTTTTAATTTGATTATTTTTATATTTAATGAAAATAAATAGTCATCTTATATAGGTTATGTATTTTACACTAGTCATTGATCTCTGAGTTGAAATGATAATACTAACTTAATTTGTATTTAATAATAACAAATATGATTGCAAATAACACATATACGACAAATATAATTTTCATTGAGTTTCTCCTTGTTGTTATTAATGTGGATGAGCGATATATTCAAATTCTTTTTTATTTTACAATCCAAGACAATTAATGATCCATTTTGTTAATTCTTCTAATAATTTGGGATATTTATTCTAATCTTTAATCCAAATTGAGATTAGAATAAAATTCTTTTTAGAGTGAGCAATCTTAATAGTTAATATTATATTTTACAATTCCGCATACGCCTTATAAATGTGGATTTTCATCGCTTAAATAATGTAAAATAAGTTCTTCCCACACTCTATTTTCAAATCCTCGTTTAACTCTGAGTATCAATCTACCACCATTCATATTTTATGGGTCTTCCCATACTGGTTGAATTTACTCCTGGAATAAAAAAAATTAAGCCCCTAAAGGTAGTTTTTCTGGTTTCACCATATAAGAATAAATTGACCAAAATTCTCTTGCTGTTCCGAATGTGGCTTACATATGCCTATATTTTACCTATTTATTTCAACTGGTCACTAAAATTATCAACATTTTAGTCTTTGCTAACACTTAGCCAAAAGGTAAACCTAGCTCTTAATTAACAATCCTAGTTCATACACGTAATTATGTTAAAATAAAATTAGTTTTATTTAATAAAAAACTTGCATTTCTTTATTTTCCTCTAATAAAAATTATACAAAATTTTTAACTAAAATATATAAATGCTATATAATGATCATTTATTAATAGTAAGATTGTTCATTTACTTTTATGAAAATAAATATATTAAATTCAATCAGATATAAAAGCCTTTTATCTATCTAAACCTTTTTAGGGGATGTCACTTAAATGATAGAATTAATAAATACTCTTCTTCATTATTTTATGGTTTTTTATCTGAATTTTATTTTTAAGTAGCATCCTTCTCTTACTTCAATCTGTCTACATTTAATCTATGAACATTTCCTGGAGTATATGGGCTTGATCTGCTTTAAGAGTATCTTCTCTCAGGAGTAATATCAGTTTTGGTTAATGTATTTCCTGATGTGTAAGGTTTTTGAGGAGATTATCTTCTGGTTCTTTTATTTTAATATTCATCTAACTTGTGTCTAAAAATATTTTTTAAAAGTACCTAATATTTTACACTCTTTTTTGTATATTGTGAGACTCAACAGACTCAGTGGGTCTTAGCTCTATTCTGTGTTGAACTGTCTTTAAATTCTTTTTATAATTAAAACCTTATAAGCCTTTGGTTTGAATTTCATATGGGTTTTTCTAATGATGGTCTCCATGAAATAGGTCTTCAATGTAATGTTGCAAGTCTCCTTTTAATTTTTTAGATTTTTATGATCTTCTAATTTAATCATTCTCATCAAAATTTGATGGCTATTAGAAATTCTTAGGACTTATGAGTTGATCCTTTGGACGTGCGACTTTTGGAGATACTATTTTGATAGCATTTGAATCATTGATGAATGTTTTGGATTGATTTGTGGAATAGTTACCGCGCTTATGAATGATGCTATTCTATGAATCTAAATAGCTTTTCTTAGGCAATGTCACTTTCCCAATTACGATAATTTAACTTTCAACTAATGGTTATTCAAGCTTTTATTTTTATGCACTATCAGATGACTCTCCTTATTATGGGATTTCTGCCAATTTAGTTTGCATTTTACTAATTGATAACTCACTAAATTAGATCTAACTCTTTTTTGCCAAGAATTAAGAGAAAACATCACTTTCATTAGGAGCCACTCCATCTTTTTATTTTTAATTAGTGTTATTTTAAACCATTTCACCTAACTTTTTATGCAAATCTTCAAGATTTTCACATCCTTATATCTAAGATACTATTAACTTTTTTTTATTGGAATCTCCCTTAAACATCTTGGCATCTTTATCTTCCAAGATTACAAGCACTTCTAACTTTTCATCTATCATCTATAGTTTATGTTAATTGGCTTTATAATTAAATTCCCATGATTCCCATATTTTAACAAAGGTTTCTTCATTTAAATGTTAATCCTTAAATAATTCATTACTAGATTCATAAATAATCTTTACAGATTGATTCCTTTGGCATAATCATCAAAATCCTAAATTGTCAATTCTGAAGCATTGCCCTTCACTAAACATTTAAATGCTTCTGATGGATTCTTGAACTTTGAGGACAAGTTCTTCTTTAGAACAACCCAATTCTCAAGAAGTGCTTATTAAGCCTCTAAGACTTGCTTCTATTTGGTTAATTCTTCGATTTCGGACATGATATAATTAATTAATTAAAATAAATTTTATTCAATATTACTTTAAACTATTAATGAGTGCATCATTTTATTTCTTTTCCTCTTAAATTTTATAGTAAGCTTCTTATAATTGTTTTCTAATATATTCTTTTTGATATTTCCATTCTTGCAGCGTATTTTCACTTTGTTTTTGCATATTATTAATGAAAGCACAATCATTGGTGTTATGTTTTTATTGCTTTCTGGCTGAATAATAATTTTCATTCTTTTTCTCACTTTCAATATCACTTCTATTCTCTTTGATCTATACCTGATAATCTGAAATTTATGAGTTCAATTTCAAGATTTCTAATTTGAGTTCATTTTATTCTGATTGGTGTTCTTTTTCTTGCTGTTGATAAAGATTAGAAAATTTATCAATGTTGACATTTGAATCTATAACTCTTTATTCGAATTTGGATATTATGGATCTCAACTTATTTAATTCTTATTTATTTTGATTGTCTACTGATTTTAATTATTAATTATGATCTTGTTGTAACTATTCTAATTATAATTTTAGATCAGAAATAAGAGTTTCTGAAACAGAATTTCTCTTTTTAATCTATTCATTTTCAAGTTTTAATTTTTCAATTAATTTATCCTTTTATCTATTATCTTCTAATTGAAATTCCTAATAACTCTGCAATTCTGTTTATAATCTCCTAATTTCAAGTTCTTGTTTTGATTAAATTTGAATATGCAAATTAGACAGATTTTTGATAATATGAAATTCATGCTGTATTCTTTGCACTGTACTTTCCCATACTTATGTGATATATTTCTAAAGTTCATTAGTATTAATATTTTTAGATAGATATTCTGAAACAGCATTATTTGCTATGTCAACGATTCCCCAGAAGTCCTCCTTGTCATAATGATGAATTTCATCTATAAAGTTGTTTTTTATTGTTTCCAATTAAACTAATTGCAGATCTTAATATCTTCTTTATGAATCATTAAACAATCTTTCTAAATCCTTCTTCACACTCTTCCATTTCTTTATAAAAATCTCTTTTTCACTATTGGCTTCCAAGTAATTTTTAATTTTCTTTAACAACTACAAATTAAATATAGATTTACTATTTAATGCAATTCAACCAAGTCTCCCAAGTCCTCATCCTGAAAGAACTCTTCTATTGCTTACTTGTAATAATCAATTTATGTATTAATATGATATTCAAATTCTTGTTCTTGAATCATCTACCATTATGTTGCAATTTCAGGTAAGGTACCTTGATTTATAGCATCCACAAAATACCTAAAATTCAACTTGATATTATTACTTCGACATTTCAATAAAAGTGAAAGGTGTTATGGCTTTGCCTTTATATTACTTGACCTAAACCTTAAATGATAATTTCTTTCTCAAGGCAAGCACCTATTCCTAGAATTCTGCTCTTAATTCTTCAAATTTCACACTACCTAATTATTAAAGAGCCTTTTCATTTTCTGTAGGTCTGACAAGAGTGATGCAATCCCTTTCAGAGAAGAATTAAGATATATGTCTCCTAATTTTATTTTTATTCTCTATAGATTCACTTATTCCTTTCAAAGGCTTGAGAGCAGCTTCTAAATAATCCTTTGGAAGGATCTTATTCCCATACTCGTCCTCAAGTCGAAGTGTGAAATCTCTCAAGATCCACAAAAAAGAAGGAAAGGTTTCAAATAAGTCCTTCTATGTATTTTAATCTGCCTTCTATAGCATTTTTGTTAAATTAACCTAGAATTCACAAAAGAACTTACAATTAACCCCAAATTCTGCAATGCCATATCATCTATAGTCCCAACACTATTATAAATAAAATAGCTGCTCATTAACATAGCCAAAAGGAACACTTTAACATCATGATTCATATCCTCTTCAACTGAACCAATTCCTTCAGTGTCAATTAAAATTGCTGGAATGGGTTCCTTATTTCTACCTGACTCAAAATATATCAACTCTGACCACATCCATAAGCCCTTTAATAATATTTTTCAACATTCCTTACTTTAGTACATGAATTGATAGTAGAACCTACTTCAAATCCTCTGCTTTATTGGAGCAGCAACTAATTAATTAAATAGCTTTTTCCTGTTCTGTATTTACCTACAACCACAATCACAGCAAAATTCTTGCATTTATCATTAAAAGATTTTATTATCTACACAGCTTCCTAACAAAGGACCAATTCTAATAAATTCGTTTGCTTTAATACTTTTCGTTTAAGGCTCGATGGCAATCAATTAAATAGCTCTTGGAGTTTGTTACATAGTAAATTAATTTAACGATTAAGTTTTATAATTAAATGTAATTTATCTATTCGTGAATAGTTCAATTTCAAAATAAATTTATGAATTATAATATGACTATATTGTACTGAACTTTCATAATAAATTATTATAGAATCACTAATTCAGTTATTTAAAATAATTAAAACAGTAAGAACAAGTATTTAAACAATTAAGAAAGTAGGATGGATAAATAATTTTAAAGTATGAGATGAAGAGTGGAACTCTAAATGTTAATGATATAAATGATGATGTAAATTGAAAATTTATCTAGAATGATTTCCAATATAATTTGATATTCATACATATGATGAGTCCCAATTTTCTATGAAGTTGAGTTTTTCATCGCCCTCTTAATAATCTAGATCTAAGATTTTCTAAGACGTATATTATTAATTTACATTATCTTCTTTATTGATTTATTATCCATCCCTGAAAATATTGTGTTGAGCATAAAAAACTAGACGAGGAGGCTTATACTGCTTTGTATATAGTCGATCCCAGTCTATTTCAGCGAAGAACATATGCTTCTTCAATACGGAGACATCATTGTATCCCAATCGTTCTTCAGGGTCTTTTTTGAGCATCCGTTTTAATAGATCCTATGCTTCTAAACTTATATTTTTAGGTATAAATAATGAATCTATCTAATGAATTATGTAATACCATATTTAATCTTTTCCATTAGACTCTTTAAATCTTGAGTATAAAATGGTGGGTATCCTGTTAACATTTCATACAGAATAGTTCCAATTTAATAGATGTCAGTGGCTTTTAAGGAGACTCCTCCTGTGACCAATTCTGGAGGTAGGTAAGCAGGTGATCCACAAAAACTAGAGGCTGTGAAGTCATTTCCATCGAATTATTTACATAATCCAAAATCAGTTAGTTTAATATACCCCTCTTAATCAATCAAGATGTTTTCAGGTTTTAAATCTCTATATATAATTTATTATGAATGTAGATATTCGATGGCTAGAATAATTTAGGCTATAATGAATTTGGCAGTATATTCATTCAAAATTTACCCTCTAGTCATATACTTTGATAGATCTCCTGCAGGACATAATTCTGTCACTATATATAAATAGAATTGAGTCTTATTTATTAGAATATTAATGATACTTGGAAAGATAGATACAATTTCACAATAAACGGATGTCTTATTGTTCTTAGAATCTGTAATTCCGAGATTATGTACTTAAGATAGCCATTTCGAATTAGTTTATCTTTTTCTTGTTATTTGATAGCACAATTTATATGCTTATACTTAGCCTTGTATACATTTCCAAAGCTTCCTTTACCTATCATTTCTACAACTTAAAAGCTCGAAAGGTTAATTTTATCTTAAATACTGTAGGAATTGCTCTTTTCTATGATGATATCAATTTCTGAGGCTTCCTCAGTAACACTATTCAAATCAGAATTCTATTTTTTTTTTTGAATTGCTTATTTTTATTTAGACTGCACGTGATCTTCCACTTTGCAATCTTCAATATTAATGATCGAATTCGGTTTAGCCATCATTAAACCAAAGGCTCTTTATGCTAACCTTTATTCCTCTGGAGATTTAATGTTCTACTTAATGTATCGAGAATAGCCAACACAATTTTTTAAACCTTCATACCATCTTCTAGCAGCATCTTTACTCTTCAATGCAATGAAGATATGCTTTGAAAAGTATTTGATTTCCAAATAAAAATAATCATCTTCCTAAAACCACTCATCTTTAGAAACTTTGATATCATAAACATTTTCTAAGGGTATGATTTAACTAAGTTTAAAAGAAAATGTACTTAGGATTGTGTGGAATGTCTTAAATGTTTTTAAATTTAGCAATAGAATCAGTGTCTGGATCAACAATCATATATCGTTCATACATTCTTAATTTAAAGTAATTAACTTTAAAAACCTTTCCCTTGAGTATTGGTGGTCGTTATGGTTTATTTATGATGAAAGTCTCTAAGTAATTTGATATAAATTTACATCTTTCATGAGATTGTCCAAACTAATTCCAATCATTGAAGAAATGAATGAAGTTCTATGACTTTAAACAATCTAAAATTCGTTTTCATATTTTAATAGTTATTTAGCTTTATTGCGAGCAATATCAATAGCCCTACAATTATTTTTATCTAAAATGCTATTAATTAATGAAAATTATGCATACTTCATATCTATTTTTGGATGATTGAGTAATAATTACACAAATTCAGTGTCATCATTTTAGGCTGCCAAATGCAACGCTGTCCCGTGTTTACTTAATTGATTCACATTTAATTTAGGTTAGGCAAGTAACAAGCAAAAAACTTAAATAACTGAAAATTCTTACTAGTTTTTTGTCTTAGACAAACTGATAAAGAAAGACAATCCCAACCATCATTAGTTTGCAGATTTATATTAGCTCCTTCAGTTAATAACCACAAAAATAGCTTATCAGATCCTGCTAAAATTGAAACATGCAAAGCTGACCATCCAAAAAAAGTAGTATCATTCAAGAAAAATTCTTTTTATTCGATGTGCGATTAAAGCAAAATTTTGGCTTCTTCCAAGTTATTTTTCTATATGTGTTCATAAAATTATTCGATTTAGAGTGCAAGAAAACTGTTGTAAATGATATTTTTGTCTCTTTAAGAGAAGGAATTGTGAATTGACTTTTTTAGAGTTGAGGCAGTATTTTAATTGGTTGATTCGAAGGAATCATTTTGATAAATTTGAGATGCCCTAACACTAAATTAGTCTTTGCTATTTTTAACAAACAAAACACCCTCATTAAGTAGTTTTATTTAACTTAAATACTCGTATTTGTATATTTGTTTCATTTCTCTATTGTGAACTATAAAGAGTTGTTGATCATCTACATCTATTTCAGTCACTCTTTCGATTTAAAGTCGCAGGACTTGCAAAGTTTCCTTTGAGGAGATCTCAATGAAGCAATCCTACATTTCTCCCCAAGCATTAAAATATTTAAGCTTTATTTTCATTTTATTAAAATAGGATTAATAATAATATGAAACCAAATATTTAATTATAGGTTATAAGCAGCAACACAAGCAATTGCAGTCATGAGTTTTATCTACAAACAGAATTAAATGATTCATATTTATATATGCTTTATCAGTAAATATTATTATTTTTTAATTAAATATGAACGTTTAATCAACCCACTAATCCACATTACAGGATTTCTAAGTCATTCAAGAATTGGGATCTGGTTCTTTTAGCAACGTTTACAGAGTAGTGCAATTATAATTATTTCAAGGTCAAAAGGATTGTAGATGGATAAGAATATGCTTTAAAAAAAGTTAAAATAGCTAACTTGAAGTAAAAGGAGAAGCAGAATGCATTAAATGAAGTCAGGTTCCTGTATTCTATAAATCACAAACATATCGTTGCATATAAAGTAAGTTCTTTTTCGAATTTTAGGAAGCCTTTATTGATGAACCCTCACAATGTCTTTGCATAGTTATGGAACTATTGTCTGGGGGAGATGTCTATAAAAAGATCTCTCAAGCCAGAGGTTCCACTCCTTTTTCAGAAATGGACATCTGGAGAGCACTCATTCATATCACTTTAGGGTATTTTGAATTAATATAACTGAAAGATTAAAGGCACTTCATGATTAAAAAGTAGTTCATAGAGATCTTAAATCCGCTAATGTTTTTTTATCAAGTGATGGAACTTTCAAGCTTGGAGACTTGAATGTATCCAAAGTGGCCAAAGGAGGCTTTGTATATACATAAACTGGTACTCCATATTACGCAAGTCCTGAAGTATGGAGAGATTAACCATATGATATGAAAAGTGATATTTGGTATTTGTTCTTTATATTTTTAAGGTCACTTGGATGTGTAATATATGAAATGTGTTGTCTATAGACTCCATTTAGAGCAAAAGATATGGACTTGCTATTTCAAAAAGTTTAAAGAGGAACTTATGATAAAATTCAAAGTCACTTTTCAAAGGATTTGTCTCAAATTATCTCCAGTTTACTGTAAATATAACCCAATTAACGACCTACTTGTGATTAGATACTTGCTAATCCAATTGTTTAAAAACACATGAAAAATATAGAAACTAACATAGAAACAAAACCAATCAATAAAACTCTTTTGGAAACCATTCAATTTCCAAATAACTTTAAATAATTGAAAAATCAATTACCTAAGGTATAATTAAGATAAAATTATTGTGCAGTCCAATTACGATGAGGTCAATCCCAATGTAAGCGCAGATAGAGTCTAAGATAATAAATCCACTGATAAGTCTACAAGTCCATTCAGATATTCCTAATAATAATAATAATAATAATAATAATAATAAATCCCGATCACTGAATCTAGAGTCAGTCAAAGCTAAGTAAATGCGATATAGGCACACCAATAATCCCCTTTGTAAGTTAAGAATAGTTCCATTATGGATAAAAATCAAAGTGTGGTTCAATAACCTTAATAATATCTTAGACAATCCTCATTAAATACTAAAACTGAAAAGCCTCAATCAGCATAAATTAATTAAAGATAAAATCCATACGAGAGAGCACATGAATTGAGAGAACAAAAAGAAAGAGAAAGAGAAAGAGAGATCAAACAACAAAGAGAAAAAGATTAGCTCTTAAGAGAAAAGAGAGAAAGAGATGCCAGAGATGCTAAACTTGCTAAGGAAGCTAAGGAAAAATAACAATAAGAAGCCAAACTTCGTGAAAGCAGAGATCAATAAAGACTTTTGATGGAGAAATAATAGAGAGAATAGCAAGAACAATAGTAATTTAGAAGGGTTTCTCCAATTTCTGCTTAACCTCGAGATTACTCTTATGCAAACTACATTAATCAACAATAACCCAGAAGTCAACATTCCTATTCTCCCATCACCAGATCAATGGATTAATAAAACATTTAACAGGGACAAAAGTATGAATTTAAATCTATTTAGTGGCCAAAGAATTAATTATGGCAATCAGATTTAACAAAGACCAATTATAAGTTAATCGATCAATGTTAATCAAAATTACCCCAGTCAATAAAATAGAATTTATAATTAAGAGACGTCACAACATAGGCCTTCATAGACTCCACAATCCGCAGCTCCTCGACAATAATACAGTCCTTATTAAAAACCTATTACTGACAGATATGCTGCTCATCCACAATCAGCTCTGCCATCCTCAAATGTTAGAGAAGTCCAGAAAACCGAAAGGCCTTAGGTGTTTCCAATTTAAGCTAAGGTCATTAAATAACGATAATCTGATCAAAATTAGAAAAACGATTTTTCATCTCCCAACTAATAGGCTATCAGACCTGCTGGCAAACCCTCTAGACCTTAATCCAACAATATTTTTGCATAAAATGACAGAATCATTAAGACTGATTCTAGAGCATAGAATAACTTCATTACGGGAAATTACAATCATTATTATCCTATTGATAATTACTAAAGACATGCTTCGGATCAAAATTTAATCAAATATTAGTAAATATTAAGTATATTTTAGACTTCGCTAATAGGATAGGTAAGTATTACTGCGTCCACAGATTAACAATAGGAAATACTGAGTTTTGAATTATATTACTCAAGTAAAATAAATTATCGTTTTTAAATTTATTATAATATTATTCTTAAAATAGAATGTTCAGGAAATATAGTTTCTCTGAAGAAATTGTGGAAAACGATTTTAGCAGAGAATGGAATTGGGATGAATTTATATAAGATTCTAATTCAAGATTGATTAAAAAAAGAACAGCACATTTCACTCAATAAGAGGATGATCTATTGTGCCAATTGGTCGCCTAATTTGGAAGGAAATGGAAGAAAATAGCCTTACAGTTTCCGAATAAATCAGATAGAATGTTGAGAAATCGATTTATCAAATTACAATAATAATCAGATATAAGTATTATCAGACCTTTATTCATTAAGCTGAGGCCATCTCATCGCCAAAATTAGATCTCAGCAGTCATGAAGTAAATGTACAAAAAAAACGCAAAAATGATGAGCAATAATTATTGATCTAAATGAAGCAACTAAAATCAATTAAACAAAAAATCGACATTATTTCTATTCTCGTTTAATAAACCAAAATAGAATTGATAAATCTACTAACTTCTCCTACTTTATGATTATCAATCAAAATTAACACATGAATGTAATTATTTATTTCAAAACCAAACATATTATTTATTCTAATTTTAATCTTATGAATTACTAGCGAGATTAAATTGATAATTCAATTTATATTTTAATATCATAATTTCAGACATCAATATATAGAAATCATTCCAATATTAAAATTATAATAACTCCTTAAATTATAATTTAATTTTACTACATATTTACTAGTTACATTTTAAATAGACAGCTTAGTTTTACAAGAAAAGAATTGTCGTTTATTACAAACAAATTGTTGTTTATTTAAATTATTAACACAACTAATAGTTTCTACTAGAAATATACTAAATCATTCATTATCAATTTACACATTCAATAAATAATCTAAATTATATATATTGAAATATTAAACATCCTTAAGAAATTAGTAACAATAAGCATGATCAATAATGACTTTTATCTATAAACTGAAACCAAATCATTGCGTGAGTTAATTCATAAGAATATTATTGGGAAGAGTATATAGATTTTATTTTACTTTAGTTTATTAAATCGTTATCACAGACTTTATGCTGTGACATAAAGATTAAAAAATAAAAAAATTTCGATTCAACCTTCTGTAATTTGATTACTGAATAAAAATGGAGAAGATTTCAATTTTAGCAGTTTCCCCATTCTTTATTGTAATTAACACTCATTCATCTTCTGAATGAATTCAATATCGTGCTATTAGCCCTTCTTACTCTCCAAAGTCTCTTAGATGATCTCATTTTTTCCCTATTAACTTTTTTATCCATTTAGTATTATATTAGCAGCTCTGAGTTTTTGAATACAGGTTTAGAACTTAGTTTTTTTTAAGAAGTTTATTTGTTTTTTCAAATCAAAATGTTCTAAATATGTTCCAAATATAAGTTACTTTTTCTTGGTTATAAATATTTATTAAGATGCTACGGGGTCAAAAGCCCTTGCTGAACAGCCTTTTTTTCCATCTGATAACTCTAATAGATGCGATTAACAAACTTTCTTTACTCTCCTTTCTTCAAACAAGGTAATGTAGAATCAAAATTGGATGTATGTTCAGATGATGTATATAAATTTCTACCAGCTTAATGAATGTCCTAGATTAAAGTGCTCAATTTAATAGATTAATAAGTCTTGAATGGTTCAAAAGATTAGCAATTTTTATTTCTCATATATATTATAATAATATTTTCTCTCTTTAAGTTTGTAAATTTATGATAAGATTGTGGAGAATATGTAAGAATTCATTGATAAAAACTGAAACAAAATAAATTTAGAAATCTGGCACACGCAGTCCAAAGGATCGAAAATCTTTATAGAGACTTAGAGAAATAAAATTTAAGAGTTTGTGGTTTTGATAATTTAATTATTTCATCTTTAAATGTGATAAATAATTTAATACAATAAAGGAGGAAAATTTGAGTATAACATAAAAATAATGAGTATTATTGTTATTATGAATTGATATAATACTTGAAAGCAATACAAGGACTTATTTTTATATATTAAAGACTTCGGAACATGCTTGTGAATTGTATGTAAAATAATTGATATTAATTAAATTATTAAAATGTTGGATCAAACTATTGAAGTTCCAATTAGTAAAATAATGACTTAAGTATCGAAGGTTTATGTTCCCATAAATCAAAATCCAAATGAGAAAATAGCAATCCTATACGAGAATATAGGAAGGCAGAATTTAAAAGAAGTTTGGAGATTATAATTTTTGAATTAAAATGTCGACTTGTTAATGAGATAAACCTATGATGAATTGTTCTATTTGAATTAAAATAGGATTCTAATTTTGAAAGGTCCTAATATCATCACTTATAACCTCCACGAAAAAATAGAAGTAGATTCAACAATCCAAATTGAAAAAGGAGAGTATAATCATTTTTCAGTATATAACAATGGAAAGGAGCAATTCCTATTCTTTCTAACTAAGCAGAATGTTACTACTGAATAGCAATAGAGTGTAAGTCAATACACTTTGAGAATTTATGATACTCAGAAATTAGAAGTGCTATAGGAGGTGAAATTCTCAGCATCCGTAAGAGCCTTAGTTGTATCTCCAATCAGCAGGACGAAATGCTTTATGATGAATCCAAATTCTCCTACTAACAGAACATTACAATTTATAATATACGATGAAAATTAAGTTTAAAGCAAGATTATTAATGTAAAAGAAACAAAGAACGAATTAAGGGGGACAGTGGTCAAAGTTCTTAATGTAAACGCATTAATTTAACCTTTAGTATTAAGACGAATTGATTTTTGTGTATAATTCAAATGGAGTTAGCAAATAGTTTCTTCTCTTCTATTGCATAGAGAATGGAAATGAGAATATTCATGAGATCGACATATAGTATCCTTTTTAGATTAGGGATGCTACGATAAAGGAAAACATTATCTTAATTAGTTGTTTTAATAGTTAATTGAATAGCGAAAATGCTTTTTTCTATGAGATTTTGGAGAAGAAAGTGAAGATGATATCGAGTGGAGAAACGAATCATTTTTACAGCAAATACATAATAGTTTAACATAATCGAGAGAGCATTCATTTACAATTGATGGCCACTCCAAGTATGATGATGACTCATTATATGGACAAAATAGATTATGATTAATATATTAAAGAAGAAATAAGTCAGTTTTGATAATTAAATTTAGTATTAATTTTAATGGCATCTAAAATGTAAGAGCCTCTTTTAAAAGTAGAGGCCCTGACTGACTTTGGGATGACAGCAAATGAATTATCGTAATATATTTAAAATGAATGCAAAGTTAGATGTTCTTTCCTCATAATATAAGAGATGGATCAAGTTTAGATATATTGTCTAGATTTGGCAAGATTGAAGGACTAATATAGAAATTGAAAACAGACCCTAAGGTAATTAAAGTGGATAATTAGATAGAGAGGATTGGATGGAACAAATACCAATGATTTGGAATTGAGAGTTAAAAAGTATTTGCATTATTCAAAATAGTTTTGGAAATAACAAACCAGAAATTAAGGAACCTAAAACCTTATTATAATACGTATATAAAAATGGAGATATAAAAGATTCTTGAAAATTTTGAAGATCCTATGTTAAGGATATTGTGTTTGGCAGCAGCAGTGAATTTGATAATAGGCTTATGGACTGAAGGTTGGAAAGAAGTAATTTCTCATTAAATTTAAATAGGGTTGGATGGATGGAATGGCCATATTCATAGCTGTAATAATTATTGTATCTGTAACAGCAGGGAATAATTATGTCAAAGATCATTAATTTAGAAAATTAAATGCCATAGCAGAGAATAGAAATGTAAATGTGAAGAGAGGAGGTAAAATAGTGAGCACCAATATTTACGATTTACTAGTTGGAGACATCATGATAGTGGACACAGGAGAGAAGATGCCAGTCGATGGTTTAGTTATCGAATCAAGTGAATTGACTGCTGATGAATCATCTGTGACTGGTGAAACTAAACCAATTTAAAAGATAATTCCACTTTCTTATGAAAAGGAGGACTAAAAAGAAGATACTAATTCCTTCTTGATCAGTGGCTCATCTATCATTTATGGAACAGGAGAGATCCTAATATTAGCTGTAGGTGAGTATTCTCTATGGGGTATAACAAAGACGTTAATGACATAATAAACAAAAGATGATAAAACTCCATTATAAGAAAAACTAACTATTTTAGCAGATTAAATTGGTGAATATGGATTGAAATTAGCCATAATAACATTTATTGCTATGACACTTCATTTATTACATGATGCTGCTTTTAATGAATATCCTTTATTTTCTGCTCATGCAGTCAAAGAAATATTAAATTTCTTTATTGTTTCAGTTACTATCATTGTTGTTGCTGTTCCAGAAGGATTGCCATTGGCAGTGACTATTGCATTAGCTTATTCAGTTGATAAGATGAAGGATGAGAAGAATCTGGTTCGATTTTTATCTGCTTGCGAAACTATGGGGGGGGCTAATAATATTTGTAGTGATAAGACAGGCACTTTAACTGAGAATAAAATGACTGTTACTAATTTGTACATTGAAGATACAGATTTCAATAAACTAGATCCTTAAGCAATAAAGAGTTCCACATTGTCATTACTGTGTGAAGGAATATGTTTGAATTCAATTGCACGTCCCTAGATAGACCAGAATGGCAGATTTGAACATATAGGGAACAAGACTGAATGTGCTCTATTGGAATTAGCCCATAAATTTGGATATGATTTTAGATAGATTCGATAAAATATGGGAGAGAAAATCAAGAAGAACTTCCCATTCAATTCTGAGAAAAAGTAGATGACCATTGCACTTGATTTAAAGGGAGATAGAACATAATTCACCATATTCACCAAAGGAGCTCCAGATGTCCTTTTAGATAAATGTTCTTATTATATTAATGCTGAAGGAAGACCTGTTGTGTAAAATGTATTCTCATATTCCATAGCATCACTAATGATTATAAATAGAAGATAAATGCAGTCATTTAAAAGTACGCCTCTCAATCCCTGAGATCAATTCTTCTATTATATAGGGAGATTATGTTATAAGGCAGACCTACAGAACCAGAAGACTTTAACAATATTGAAGACACAATAGATAAATAATATACTATAATTGGAGTCACTGGATTGCAAGATCCCTTAAAAACAGGTATAGTTAAGGCAGTTTAGTAATGCAAAGAGGCAGGAGTTATTGTACGAATGGTCACTGGTGATAACTTTCATACAGCAGTGGCAATTTCTAAATAGGCAGGAATATTACCATAAAATTATGATCATAATGTTGATTCATTGGCAGTTTTGGAAGGAAAAACATTTAGAAAGTTGGTAGAAGGATTGGTTTATGAAAAAGTAGGTAATTCAGTTATTCACAAAGTCAAAAATCTTTAAAACTTTACATTAATTACAAATGAATTGAGAGTGTTGGCTAGATCATCTCCTGAAGATAAATTCTTATTAGTAACTGGGTTGAAACAACTCGAAAATGTTGTGGCTGTAACAGGAGATGGACCTAATGATGCCTCTGCATTAAAAAAAGCAGATGTTGGTTTTGCTATGGGTATTTAAGGGACTGTAGTAGCAAAAGAGGCTGCTGGCATTATACTTTTAGATGACAATTTTGCATCTATAGTGACTGCTATGAAATGGGGTAGAAACATATTTGATTGCATAAGAAAGTTTCTAGTATTTTAGGTCACTGTAAATGTTGTGGCTGTCTCGATGGCCTTTTTGGGAGGAGTCTTTTTGAAGGAATCACCTCTTACAAGTATTCAGATGTTGTGGGTCAATCTTATAATGGATACTTTGGCTTCTCTTGCATTAGCTACGGAACCACCTACTGATGAATTACTAACACGTAAGCCATATGGTAGAAAAGAACATATGATCACACCAGGAATGTGGAGAAGCATCATTTGTCAGGCAGCATTTTAATTATTTGTTCTCTTAATCATCTTAATCAAAGGGGATTCAATGTTCGGAATTGAATCCAGCAGAGGACATAGACTTGATGAAGAATATAAGTAACTCATTACATCTATGTCAATAGTCCTATATTTTAGGAACATTACACAATCTTCTTCCACATTTTTGTATTTCTACAAGTTTTTAATGAAATCAATGCCAGAAAATTAAAAAAAACAGAATTAAATGTATTCGAAGGATTCTTCAACAATTGGCTCTTTCTCTCTGTCATTATTGGAACCATTGTTGTTTAAATTCTCATTGTGTAATCAAATCTCGTAATTATCATAGGGAATTTGGAGGAAAGGCTGTTAAAGTCACTCCCTTGGATTTTGGCCATCATTTAATCTGTATTCTAATTGGAATGTGCAGTTTGGGAATTGGCTATTTAATCAAATAGATACCAGATCAATACTTTTAGTCTATTGAGTTATTCCGTGAATAGATTCCCACAGAAGCTGATCCTAACACTATTGAGGTATTATTCTCTCTCTCTATTATATTCAAGGGCAAACTTAAGAAACCATCGACATTCTTGAGAAAAAAGAGACAAATTGAGGGCAAACAACTCATAAAAACTAATTAAGAGATTGAAATGAATTCAGGTCAAAGCAACTTTAAATTAAAATGAATTATTTTATACTATTTTACAGTTAATATTTAATAATAACCATCAAGAATCCAAAAACGATTTCTACTGCACATATTTTATAAATGATTAAGTTAATAAAGTTTAATCAGAGTAAACATAGAAGGAGAGTTTATTTTAATATAAATTTTGACCTTAGAATAAATCCATCATGGAAGGGAATAGATTTAAGGCTTATTTTGTCGGGCTGTTGTCGTAATAAGCACTTTAGAATTACTAAACAAAATTGTAAGGCCCTATCTTTTTTAGTAGAAAATTAGTAATAGGATAAATTAATAGAAACTCTTAATTATTATTACTTTGGTAATCTTCAAAAGTCTAAGGATTTAAGATCAATTGCTAAGTCGGTTGCAATTCAATATATTTTTCAGTAAAAAAAGTAAACTCAAATTTAATTAACTTCTGATTGTCAGTTTTCATAGGACTCTCCTCCGAATCCATGACCACTTTCTTTATAAACTCAAATTCTTAGATGCTGTTCTTTTCTTAGAGATTATTGTTTTCTTATCTCAAGGGATTCAGATTCATTTCAGTGGAAATATTTAATGTTATTGTTGTAGTTATATCTGCTTAAGTCAAACATTATTCAAAAATGTTAACTACTATTTAGGAGAGAAATTAAGAATTAATTTTAATATTACAATCCTCTAAGTTAAATTAAGTTATAAACTTTTTATTCTAGTAGCTCGACATAAATGAAAAGTAAGTTTCTAAATTGCTTATAAATTGTTTTAAATTAACAATTTTATAACTGGAGATTTCATTGTTTATTTTGCAAGCATTTACAAAATAGTAAAAGTTTTAAAATTGGTTCATAATCCATATATTTTAGCATTTAAGATACTACAACTTCTCATTATCAAAAGTGGAATAATTTAGTGATAGGATGGCATTAGAAAATTGAGAAAGCGATGCAGATAATTGATTTGCCACATACAGAATAATCTTATTCAGATATTTGATTTACTCCTCACTTTTCGTCATCATTTACTGTGGTTTCTCTTTATTTATAACAAATAGCAAATAGTTTTTTCCATAATTCATTTGTTTGACATCTATGTTCAGAATATTATTAATCTGCTTCTAATTATCAAAGTAAATCCCATCTAATTGTTCAATAATTTAAATATCACTTTAATTCATTGATAAATTTTATTTCACTTTGTAAAATGAATATTCTTCTAGTGTTTATCTTTTCACCACTGCTTTTTTTATTGATATGTCTCCAGATTTATGTACTGGGATCTAGCATAAGTCAACCTAGATAGGAACTTAAGCCTTGTTTACGACATAGGTATTTCTCAAAATTTCAATCATCGATTTTGTATCCTCAATGTTTAGTTCAGTTTTGGCTTGTTGATTCAGGAATTCCAGTTAAAATGAGTTGTTATGCTGATTTAAACTAATTGCAAAGAAACAATTAGGTACGTATTCTTCCAGTAATTCTCTAAAATATAACTGCAATTGATTACATCAATTTGGTATTGTAATGCATATAGGAGAATGCTAAGCGAAACATAAATTCGTTATAATGGGCGTATATGATAACCAAAAATTGGGAAGTAAACACAAATAAAATATATGAAAAATCTTATGCAGTAAGAGCATCCAATTGATATAGTTAAATTATGGGAACAAATAAAAATGCCAATACTCTTAATCGAAAATTACTAAAGAGGAGCTGGACGATTGATATCGACCCACTATAAAAACCAAATAAGTAAAGAGGTCTAAAATCAAAAGTAAAATTACTTTTATTTTGTCTATGTGGCTACATATAAGCTGATTGTAATAGATATTAGGTACATAAAAAAGTAATAATATCTTATCTTTTTGTCAAATTTTTTGGTAATCACAAGGATTCCCAAGATAAACACACCAGAAACTGCTAAAGAAATAATCAAAAAAACATGCTAGCCATCAATCAAATAAAGGATAAAAAAGTAAAAGCATAAAAGCATAATGACTATTTCTATAATGCGAAAGTAGTGAAGTCTGTATTTGCTCATCTCCATTTCATATAAATCTTCAAATTCTTGGTTGGAGAAAGTCAAGGTCCATCGATTAAATTGTAATTTATTCATAAATATATCTACTTTGGGAAGAATTTAACATTAAATGCCGAAGCATTTCTGTTAATTTTTGTACTCTTAAGTGAAATTTCGAGTGAATTCTCATATTTTCAAATCCTTTTCACTTTACTTTTTCTTCAAAAAAGAGTTAATTTCAAACCAATAAAATTACTTAATATAACAGAATAAGTTCATTAGGATAATAGACCATATTGTTACTATGTTACATTAAATGTATGAATAATATTAAATGATTCTCTTTTTAGGATTATACTAAATGCAGAGTATCTAATTAACAAAATGAGAAGTTAAAATTAAAATAAATTTGATTTAGTACTCTATCGATATAAACATGGAATATACAATTATAAATATTGAAATCAAATCGGAATTATGTGCGAGCTTAGTAATTAAAGTTAGATTTAAAGTATAAAATTCAAATACGAATAACAGATTATTGATATAAGATCAATATAAAAGAAGAATAAATAATTACATTTATAGATTGTTATAAATATTATAAATTTAATGAGTGATATATTGATTGATGATCGTATTAGAGACTGGGTGTTCTTGCCGATAATAATTGTGATGTTTATGATTCAGATGTTCAGAGGATTGTTAACAAAGTATATGGACAATAAAAAAACAACCCAAAAAGTGACATCAAAAGCTTAGGTTGGGGAGATGATTGATAAGTACATAGAGTAAACAACATAATTAGAAATATCACTCAACAATCTTAAAGACTAGCACGATTACATGGACTATTGCCAGATCATTCTTTTAAGATGAAGAGGGCTCATTTATGTGATAATAAATCAGGCATATTAACAAAGGCAAGTGAAAAGCCAGCAAAGGATCCAATGCAATCAATGTCTATGATGAATCCAGCTGCCATGGCTGATATGCTAAAACAAAATTTAAGTGGAATTGTATTCATGGCTGTTCAATATTAATGGGTTTCTTATTTTTTTTCTGGTTTTGTGATTGGTAAAGTCCCATTTCCCTTGACTCAAAAATTCAGATCAATGTTATAGAGGGGAGTGGATGTGCAAAATTTGGATGTTAGATATATAAGTAGTATCAGTATTTACTTTGTGTTGTTGTTTGGAGGTCTTTAAAAGATTCAGTAATTGATGTTTGGAGATGATAATGACGAGTTTGTTGATGGTAAAGAGTGTTTAGAGTATTATTAGACACTCAAATGTAGATGTAGATGTAAATGATGGGAATGCCAACGATGCCATCTTTTGGATAATAGAATGACCCAGGAAAATTGTTTATAGCTGAAAGAAGTAACTAAATATATCGAATTTAGCTCGTTTGGAGGGAGTTAAACATTCATTTGAATTGAATAAATCATAGGATAAGGCCATAAAATCCTTAAAGAGATTTTTAATTTAATGATGTACAATAAATGTTATATATTATTTTGATAAACCAATTCAATATTTATCCGTCTTAAAATTGTTTGAATATTATACGATTATTATTTTCTAATTGAATATTCTACTCTATGTTAAGTTACTATATATAAATTCTTTTAATTATACTTATAAATCAACAATAATTTTTAAACCTAATTATTGCTAATTCTGATTAAGGAGGATACTATTTTAATGAATAAATATGAATTACAATGACTAGAATATAATTATAATATAGAAATATGAAGAATATTAAAGATAATAATAAAGTTTATTAAAATAGAACTAAAATTAAATCTGGATATAAAGTAAATAAAAAGAATAAAGCGTTATTAAATTATGCTTGGTTTAAAATGATAGTGAAAGAATAGAATTTCAAATATGCTTTAAAATTTTCACTTATTCAAAATGAGTATCATTTAAATTTACTTTCAAATGAATGAAGGAAGTCTTTGGGAATTTACAATTTTTAATTAGATTGATAGATAAAGAAAAGCATAAAGGAGGGAAAGCTAAAAATAAAATATGATTAGAAATATTATTTATTAATAATATTAATTATGGGATATAGATTATCTGATCCTAAACGATTTGGATTGGCCAGAACATCAAAATAGAGATGGCATTTATGGAGAACTCAAATGACCCAATTAGTGACACATGAACGTATTCACACTACTTGGGCCAAAGCCAGAGCTCTCCAATTCGTGGCTCATAGGACATTCAAAATGGGATAAGATGCAAGCAAAAATAGAAGTAATGCAATCAATAGATTAATGGGTATCATATGTATTTAATACCATTTAGGTATTCTGACTACTAAATTTGCTATAAAGAAACTTATTAATGAAATAGTACCTAAATTTAAAGATCCAAAAGAATAAGTATTCAAAGTAGTTGAAACCAAAAGAAGAAGAAGTGATTTCGCTAGAATGGGATATATTGAGTTTACAAAGAATGAAATAGCCAAATATGAAGAATCCTAATACAAGTAATTGTAGGAGACAGGTAAGATTGTGGATATTAGTAAATACAATAAAACTTGGTTGATAGAAGAGAGAGACTTCATAAAGGATAAATTAGACTAAGCGCAATCTAGATTTGATGCTCTCTAAGCAGATCCTAACACTCCAAGTGTTGAAATTAAAAGAGCAGACTAAGATGTTAATTTTTTCAAGCGCAAACTAGAGACTGTTGAAAAGGACCTTTGGATTGAAAATAAGAATCCATTAGATATGAGAAGATATTTCAGAATTTATTGATATATGGAGATGCATTATTCCTATCAACCAATCTAGCAAAATCCATATTTCTTCTATAAAAATTAGGTCTTTTTTAATTATAATGTACTTCAAATGTAGGTATGTTTGTGTTGCCTTCCTATCGTCTATGTGATATTATGATGTTGGTCTTGATTTATTAAATGATCCTTTAGAATAGTTTACAAAGCAAATGGTCTTTGGTTTTGGCTGATCGCAATTCAAATCATGTATTATTGCTTAAGTATGCCACGATTTTCTTTTGGTTTATTTATCAAGTGGAATGTGCTTTTTGGTTGGTTCCCAGGGGAGTGCAAAATTAATGGTTTGCTGTAATTGAGAATCTCTTTATTCTTCAAATATCGTAATTCTTTATCTGCAATTAATAGAGACTGAAGGTGTTCTAGGTCGAATGTACTTCCAAACTTCATCTTATAGTTTTTCAACTCTGTTTCTGTATCTGGATGTAGCAGAATGCTCTCTCTTAGCAGTTGTATGAAAATGTTGATGAAATGCCTATAAATTAACAAGTTGTTCTTCATTTTGAATTGATTCTACAGGTCCATCCACTTTCAAAATTTATCCTAACGATTTATCAAGAAGAATTTATCGAATTTTTGATTTTTCAATCATTTAAATTAATATTGTTAATAAATATAATTAACTTTAGAGAAAATGAATTTTAGAATGAGTTGCGAAATAATCATAGATTACTGTTAGACTGATTGATATTTATTAATGCATTTAAATTTTTAAATATTTATTCATTTCATAGTGATATCAAAGAAGTTAATTTTATTCTAATCCACAGTTACCATAATTACTTTGTCTTAGTTTTTAATCAATTGGATTCTTGGTTTCAGTCTGAATTTATATAAATGTAATCTTACTTAGATGAAAGTTAGGTTAGACCATCAACCACTAAGTCTTTTTATTGAATGTCATACTAACCATTATCCTTTTTTAATATCCTATACTACATACATTAACCAATTTCAACTGGAATACAAAGAGCAAACATTATTTGACTAAGAGTAAATTCCAACAAAACAACATCAACATCATTACCTTGTAAAATATCATCCCTATTTGTACTACATACCTTAACACCACTGGTAGAGGCTATCAACATTTCATTAATTGATAATGGGATCATTGTTTAACTGCAAGGCAATGTGTTTGCATTCACCTTTCTTAATTGCTTCTCCTTCTCATTCACTTATATAATAGTAGCTCCCTATTCTCCAGCCACATAAACACAAAACAGTTCTCCAGGTTTAATCAAAGCCATTTTATACTTCCTTGATCGACCCTGCAATCTTGAATTACCAATAGTTAAAAATAATTCCAACTTTGTTGTGATGTTCTTATATCCCAATCTTCCATCACAATCAACAAATGCAAACCCATTATTTTACAAATCCAAACCTGCTAGAATCGGTTTGTTTGAAAATGTATATTAATCCTAGATTTTTGCAGTTTATCCTTAGAAAATCCAGTGATACACTTAACCATCGTCAGCTCCTGTGATAAATGTATTTGCTGATAAAGGTTCTATCCAGTTTACCTATTGAGTGTGTCCATCAAATGCCAATAAGGATTTCTTCTCAGTGTCAAATACTCTCATTTTCAAATCATTTTAACTAATCATCACAAATGTTGACTTAGATAACCCAATCACAGCCCCTATTGTAAAATCTAAAGTGAACTTCCTATTCAATTTGACATGAGGCCATTCTCTTTTTTAAAGGTCTAAAGCCCGACTGAATTTACAATATATTCCAGATTTGCTGATCACAATAGAATCTGAAAGTTGATAATTTTCACGTAATATTGGTTTTGACTATGGAGAATTCAATTAATAGTTTTATTATGAATTATTAGAATATTGTTATACTAATTGAGGTGGTTAAGGCATGCGATCCTAATTGGAACACCAACCTAAGAAATAATTCTACAAAGGTTCTTATATTGTTGAGTATAACCTTTATTAATCTGATTCAAAAATCCTAGGTGACTCATTTGCTATTAATAGTTTTGTGAATTAATCCTAGAGACTATCTAGACTAGTATTATCAATTAATTTTAATTTCCTTAGGTATTCCTCTGAATTATCTCCCTATTATCCTAACTTACAAGTAAGTGCCATGGGAGTAGATAAAAAATAATTGGCTGCAGCAAAGAATTTGGAATTGAATTGTTTTCTGGTTTACTCAAATAAGGATTCATAGTCGGAATATATACCGTCCAATTTTCGAAACACATTTTCTTTAACTTATTATAAATACAACTAGAACTACTCGACAATGAATGTCATATCCTAAGCCACAAGAGTCTTTTAAGTATCAATATTATCTTTCACTTTTTTAAGATGATGTTTATTATCTTGAATATATTTATATACTTTAAGATTTTCATCATTATTTAGAAACTATTCCAACGACGTCTTATTCTATTGCGTAGCCTAGTATATAGATTAACTGAATTCAGCAATAAATTGTTTTATCCCCAAAACATTATTATTGTGTTCCATATGAGCATCCTCATTAAGGCACTATTAACAAAGAAGAATTTTCTTTCGCTTGCAATTCTTCTCTACACACCCTTTAACAATTAATCCTTATTTATGATCTTTACAACGCAATGTGGCTTAAAATGCAGAAGGTTGAAGCAAATCTTCTTACATTGCAAAATAAATAATTTATATAAAAAATAACACAACTTTGTTTTCTAAATTGATATGCCAATATTTATTACCATTGATTACTATCTATCCTATTCTAATATTATTATTATATAGAACTCATTAACTTAGAATCAGAGTTAATATTTTAATTACAATAATGTATATATTAATCTACTTGGTTATTATTAAATGAAAAGACTTTTTATCGAATGTTAAATATTAGTGAAAATATTTTTGTTAAACGTTGGAAATTGAAGAATATTGGAATCTATATTAATCTAAAGGATTGACATATTTAAGCAAATTCCAATAGGATTAAAGTTTTCAATTGAAATTGCCTACACAAAAATGGAAAATTTTGATTACATTAGAACTATTACAATGAGTATATTTATTAATTTATTAACGATTTAACTCAAAAAGGACTTCAATATGAATTACTATATGGAAAGCTAATTGTAAAAAATGAGTTAACTACTTGACTAAAAGTAATCAGAGATCAATTCATTGAAAGCATAAGTAGATAAATATTCAAACTATGAATCGTATATAATGCCTCTTATTCCAGATAATTAGAAGAATTGAACACGTGTATTATGTAGTTAAATTACTAATTTCAATAACAATAATAGTCTCATAAAGAGCAAGTTTATTTTATGTAAAGGGAATTGTAATTCGCGTAAGTTGAAATAAAAAATTTGCAAGTATTCATTCAATTGTTTTTATTAGAGAACAAGAGGTTAAAATGAATAATAATAAATTGCTTCGCTTCTTAAAGAGTTGTCTGAAATTAAATAAGAGAACAATCAATTAAAAGTAGAATTATCCAAATAATAATAAAAAGCAAGGACTAATTCGATTCAAGATAACAGTATTAATGAAATAAGAGTAAAGACATAGAATTAAATAATTATATAGAGACTATCTCCTTACATGAGAGTTCATAATTGTAGCTTTACAAATCCTTCTTAAAATCTTGTAAAAGAAAGAAGAGTTCCTTCGCTCCCTGATGTTAATTCAAATCGATTATCCACCAATAAGAATTCATTACAAAATTTATAATAGAATTAATCTTATTCCAAGAAACCTCCTCTTTAATAGTTCAATAATATTAGTCCTATTAAATAAATATTATTTATTCGTCATTGATTGAAGAATATTATATAGAATATTAGTTATTAAATATTATTTATAATTATAAGTAATTTTGTTTTAAAATGAAAATATAGAGGTTTCTACATATTTAAAAATATTATGAAATAAATACCAAAGACTAATAATATAAGCGGAGAACTAATATATATATATAGTAACTGAAATTTCTAAATTTATCGAATGTTCCAAATTCTAAACAATAGATTGCAAGTGGAAGTAAATGTTTAATAGTGATATTTATTTCTTAATATCAAATTTGATAGTGTAGTAGTTAATTATTCTATATTTATGGACAATTAAGGTAATTGATAGGTTAATTGAGAGAGCATGAATATAAGTATTGTATTTGTATTATATATGCATTAAATTACAATAACAAAGTAGAGATTGAATTATTAATACTTATTTATGAATATTTAATTATATATATATGAGAAAAAATAAACCAACTTAAAAAATAATTGTAAATCGTGGGATTTCTCAGTTAAGAAATGGACAAGATTAGGAAGAGACTGAATAATTACCTATAATAAAGCCGAAGTCGGTAGTAAGGAGTTCAAAAAAAAACTTTGAGATAAAGAAAGTTAGAATAAAAGTAGCCATTTCGGATGACAAATTGGAAATAAACAATAAATAAAATAAATTAAATCCATTAAAGCCGGATGAGTCTCCTCCATTGAGTGATAGGAATCAATCTCCTTAATCGAATGCTAAGAAAGCAAAAGAGGATAATAATAGATCGGTATTAAGTAATTATAAAGTAATTTATGTTTTAGAGAAATCCATTCACAAATAATACGAGATTGATGATACTTTAGAAGACAATTTAGAGAGTTATGTAAAAATATATCACTCGATTATGAGTTTGATGGATGCAATGAGAAAAGTAATTGATTATTCATTATATTTTATTAGAATGTAAGTGATTAAGTGGATCAGATAAATAGATTTTTAGAATTCATAGATGGAGTCCATTTTTGTCAGATCGAAAAACTTTTGGTTGAGAATACAAGACAATTTAGACAGATTTTAATATTGATTAAGATGGGGGTATTATTGTTATAATAATTTTTAGATTGG